CACATGCGGGAATTGAGTCACTAATTACTCTCAAATGTCACGCGCAAACAGTGGGCAGTGCTGCTGGCTGGTGCGTTGCTGCTAGATCTGGCCTGGTTTGAACGGAGCACTGGAGTTAAACAAGATGAGAGATCTAGATGGAGATTCAATTTAGCCAGTCCGTCTGCTTCGAGAATATACCCCCCAGTGGTCGGTGACGTACTTGAGGGGAAATCTGCGTAAGTTTCCCTAACGTGGAGGCCACTCAACGAGTGTGCATCTCTTTCTCGGCTGGAACTGGTGGAACTGTGCGTATGGACAATGTATGTGTATTAATAGGCCTCGTAAAAATTCTCAACAGAGCAGTGCCTGCGACAGCATAGGGTGTTACATTCGCAATGCAATGCAGCTGTAGCCTGTTGAAGTTTGAAGGTGCATCCTTGAGCTGTTTAGGTATGGGGTAGGTCCCTTCCACATTTGGCGTGGCTTGAGCTGGTGGGTCAATTTGGGCGGTTTGTGCACCACTCTAGCACCTTCCACTGACGTTTCCAAAACATGACACAGCGGCGGCAAGTACCGTTTCCAATGTCTCTGGAAGCTGCGACACACTGACAAGTTATTCTCTAGCAGAAACCCCCGAGCCCCCCCCCCCAACCATCCCAACCGCAGCCGATACTCATAGGAGACACAACAATCTCTACTATGTGTGAACTTGGTCTAAGTCTGCCACAATACAGAGGGCGAAGACGTCAATGATGTCTACCCAACAATCAATATCAACCAACACCACCGACGTGTCCTGTTCGGCTCCAACAGACCGATCCTTGACCCATAAATCTTTTCAGCAGCCACACAATGTGCTCAAGAAGGGGTCCAGGTTCCAGTATCCAGAGACGGATGACTGTCTTCTTGCAGTAGAAGAATTTGGACGCCTGGATGATCGCGCTTAATCACCAGTGGACTGATGCCTCCCCCAAGATCGGTTGTGCTAGCTTTGCACTGGGCGTAAGCCGGCCAATGCGGTGTTGAAGCGCACCATTGCGGAGCACCTCGCGCATGATGTAGCCGACTCTGTGACACCACCACTCAACCACCACTCGATGTTCCCGGCCAGTCGGTACTAGAACTACTGCACGCTGCATAGATCCTCACTTGGCATCTCCCTGCTGCCTTCAGCCTTATGCAGTCAGCAAACTCCACCGCACAACACTAACACACCAGCACGAGAGAGAAAGAGGGGGGGGGGGGGGAGAACTCATGACAGTCTGTCTCTCTCTCTCTCTCTCTCTTTCTCAGGGGCCTTTCGCCACCACTTCCGCTTTGGCGTGCTCCCAAACTACCACGGGCCGTCATCGTCCCTAGCCACAAACGTAGACACAAACGCGAGCCGACCAACGCATTGCTGATGACATCTGAACCCACCTTCCTGGCCGACCCTTGTGGTGGACCATATGGCGTGTCCGGGGTGAAAAGAACTGCCATTCGAGGAGACGAGTTTCCAGGGGAAGAAATTTGATCTCGATAAATCCCTGGCAGTGGAGAAAACCATAAGATGTCTGGTCCAGTTGGTCCCCTGCCATAGGCCATGCCTGCCGCAGCCCCCGTCCCGGACGAGCAATCCTCCTGGCACAGCAATCCATGATCACCACGATGACCGCCAAACGGACAATGCTGCAAGAACTCCTCCATCCTACTGGATTGCAAACGGTTGGTGAGGGGTCTTCATGTGATTTCGCCTACCACAATTCGCACAAAATTCGCTGGCTTCTCTGGCCACACCTGCACAGTGATGGCTCATCGTAAGCGTGCTCCTCGCTGCACTCTTGATCCGCAATATTCGCTCAGCCACGAGCGCTAGCACATCTATGGATAGGTTTTTCCCAGCAAACAGCAAATCCTTGGTCTCCATCTGGAGCCAAACAAGCTATCTTATCGATATTGCAGATCTGGCAATACATGGTGAGCTAAGACGAATTCGCCCTGCTGTAGAAGTCTTGTTACGCTGGGAGCCATTGTCCTCTGTGGCGAAGTTGTCACCCCGGGGTGTCACCAAGATAGCCCTTCACGTCGCAACCCTATTGTCGGTCGAGGCACCAGCGTGACAGTGACACCAGTTCGCGCAGAACATTTCCTTCAGCTCCAGGGCGATTAGCCTTCATGTGCTGGTGGTATGAACCTTTCATTACACACCATCAGTCCTGGAATGTGCCTTACCCAAGTCGGCTGTTGTCATGATTTGGCTGAAGTAGGATGCGCAGTCCAAGGCATTTCAAACCTCGATACGAACACCTGCCTGGCCATTGCTCTTCTTGCATCGATCCTTTATGAGCCAGGGCCGAGTATTCTATGCATCTCCCGCGGCACTGCGACCAAGCCATGTCAGATTTTGGGTGTCGTGGCGTCGCACGGTGCATTAACCGCTATGGTTTCTATGCTACCGTATCTGATAGGCCCTGGCAGCGCGTTGTCGCACAAGGTCTTCGGGGCCGGCTCCCATGCCCGGCTCGGGACCGTCCTACTGGGACCTCTTACTCCCTCGCCTAATCGGGACGGAATGGCAGGAATGGGGAAGGTTCAGATCAATGAAACACCTGTTAAGGACATTTATCAACTGAGTGGCTGCGACACCCATTCTTACTTTGTTTTGAGGGCTGCCTGATCTTTGAGGAGACCGAGAGATCGACCGAGTGAGTGTGTTAGTTCTTTAGACGCGCAGTAGTCTGATTAACTTCTGGTCACCGAGACAGGGCACAGCAGTGAAACGGGAACACAGCGCAGGGCTGAAGTTGTAATTCGCTGTACTTTCCAGAATTACAAATTACACGCTCGAGACCCCGTCCCTCCTCTCTCTCTCTCTCTCTCTCTCTCTCTGTCTGTGTGTGTGTGTGTGTGTGTGTCCGTGAGAATCAACGCCTACCTGTCAGCCATACTTACGTTGCAGCATGGGGCCAGACTTATAACTAGCCAGAACCACTTTATTGAGTAGTAAGTGCTGTGCGTTTTCTAGGCGAATGGAGTCGTGTTGGGTGAGACCAGGGGGTAGCAAAGGAAAAGAAGATGAAGAGCGAATGGATTGAATGTCCGTAGCCGAAACGGTCGACCCAAAACGGTGCTGGCTCGAAAACACTGCTTCTTTAGGCTAGCGACACAGGTCAGCTACGACGCACCGCATCCTCTCGCCCAGTGGATGGGGTGTACTACGGTACCTGGCTAGGGTGTGGGATGAGGGTACCTTGGGACTGCGGTACGTACCTTTTCCCGACTAGATCCCAAATCTGTCTATAGCCCTGGCCCTGCAGCTGCAGGGGTCGAGGATCGGTTCTTGTCATTCAGTCACTGGACAATTAGGATCGAATCCCAGTTCTTGTTCCTTTTTCACCCCGCCCCAGCACCCCACGTTTGTTTCCTCCTCGCAAAGACCAGCTCACCAAAACACCCTCCTCTCATCATCACCATGATTATGACTGTCCAGTGTGAGAATCAGCGCGCAACCCCCAAATTCGAGCTCACGACTTCCTCCTCAATCTCCCCCCCCTTTACCCTCCATCCATCCCCCCAATCGCCCGGCTGCGCCTTCGCCGAAGCTGCTCGGCATATGGCCCTGGGGTGGGGGGGGGGGGGGGGTTGAACATCAGGCTGGAGTTTGGGGGTGTCTGTGTGCTTGTGGTGTGTCGTGGGTTTCGTAATCCGCTGCTGAGGTGCGATGCCTTGTGGGTACAAGCAGATTTATGGTTGATGCTGTGTATGTATCCTTGGGTGGGTTAAACGAGATCTGGGTGTAACAGGTACGTACAGGAAGTATCGCCGCCCTGTTTCCTAACGAGAGATGTTCGCCCAGAAACGGCGCGCATAGCGTTGCAGTCCAGGGCGGCGCGACCCAAGGGCGCGACAGAGGGGAGAGAGACATATCCGGTACGTACAGATGACACCTGCAGCAGTAGCACCGGCAACCCAACATCACCTGCAAAAAAGACCCAACGCAAGGTGAGGAGAGGAGGAGGAACAACACAAAGAAGAAAAAGTCTCGCTCGTATCTCATACCTCAGGCTCAAAACGATCATCGTACTCTTCCAACGTACCACTCTCGTACAGCTGCCCTGGCTTCCAGCAAGATCCCATGTCACCCTTCCTCTTCCTCATACCTGCAAGGCACCTGTGCCCTGCGCCTCACTCTACACCGGCCGGCACCTGCATCTTCCTGCAGTCTTAGTACCTGGCCAGGTATAGACATACAAAGAACAGACTGAAGGAGGGGGGGAACAGAGAAAAGAGGCACAGACAGACAAAACAGCCAGCCCAGCCAGACACTCGCTGCGCATCTCTGGATCAGTCATCCGGGAGTCAGACGTGTGTACTGCCGTTACCTTGTCACTCTTGTCACTCGCCGACTCTCTCCCTCCTCCTTACCCGGCAAGACTTGTATGGCTGCGGGTGCTGCTGCTGCCTTAGTGGGTCAGGCAGTCCTCCTTGACCTTGGACAACCACCTGCTGGCTGTCTTCTTCCTTTCCCTTCTCTTTCCTCCCACACGCACATCCCTCCCCCCCCCCCCTCTTCTTCCTGACCAACTTCAGGTCACCAGGCCACAAATTTATAAGGCTGCGATGCCTTCCTGCTTTCGTGGCTCTCTGATCTGCCTCAGTCCCTACCATCTCTTCCCTTTTCTTCTACATCAGGTCATATGAACTGCGTCCACTCGCTAGTTTTCCTAGTCTGGATCTTTTTCTTGTCGCCTGTTCCTGTTTTGACTCATCCCTGTGCTATATTCGTCTCATTGCCTGGCGTTGTCTTCCTCATACGCGTTGCTTCCAACCTATATACGACGACATCTGCCTGAACTCTCGGTCATCAGGCCACACGACCCTATCAACAACCTCTCAGAGCATCACCAAACCTTACACATACACACGCGTGTGCACACATATACACGCTCACTTTCTTTCTCTCTGTGTATCTGTCTCACATATATACACACATACTCTCTCCTTCTCTTTCTCTTCATCCCTTCTCGCCACCCATCACCATGTGCTTCCAGCTGGTTGAGCTGTACGCGGCATGCCGCTGCCCGTACTACACGCATGCCGTCGATCGATGCAGCCTCTACCCGAACCACAACATAACGCAGAGGATCATCCTGGTCGGCTATGCCTGCACGGCCCACGGACAGAGTCGAGGCTCCCGTCAAGACCGTGCCTACTATGATCAACAGAACTACTCGGATTCGGGATACGCGAGCGGACACTCTCACAAGAGCAGCCACCGTCACCGGTGAAGTGTTTTGTCTTCGAGGATGGGCTGCTGTGCATGGCCCGCACCTTCATTGAGCAAGTTCGTCATGGCAGACTGGGTTCAATACCTCTATTCGTTCAGGCAGAGGTCACTATCAAGCACACACCCGCCGTCACAGCTTTCCTACCTGATGGTGGGCCACGACCGTCTCATGTCGACATCCGCACCACCGGGACTTGGGTAACAACGATCTCACCACTGGGTCACTACCCACGGCAAGTCTGTTGTCGAAGACAGCACCACGGATTCCATCTTCTGCATTGGCCAATGGGGTTGTTTCTCATCGTTGATGGACCCCAACAACCAGACAACTTGTAAAGGACAACCTCGACACGACTATCAACAACTATACACACCTTGGCTACTTGTTTTTGGCAGCACCCAAAGCCTCGTCCTCGGCCTTGTGTACTCGCTCAGGATCTTTCTCTCTGCCTTACCTTTCGTTGCGACTCGTCGAATTCCACACTGCTTTTCCCTGCTTGGTTTTGAATTTGTTTTCTGCATCGATTGAGCGAGCATAGCGACTGCCTTGGGCAATTTCTTACACTTATGCGTGGGCGTTTCAGTGGTGAACCTTACTGGTTTGGTTTGGTGTCTGGGTACAACTCGGCCTCACGGCTGCCTTTTCTGCTTTCCATTTCGATTCTCTTGTTGTTTTCCTCTTCTCCTTTCCCTTTTCCCTTTTTCATTATGTGATTGATTTTCTTTGTTTGGTCGCTGCTCCTTTTGGCGAGTGTTTCTTCTGTACTATCTTGCTGTCTCATTTTGCGATGTGTCATTATGTTGGTGGGATGGATTTCTGCGATAAAGACCAGGTATTTGCATTGGATGGACACAGGGGAAATACCAGGCGTTTTTGGAACAAGGTTTGGCAGGAAGGCGTCTAGATGCACGCACATCTCGGATTTGGTTTTCTGGATCTTGTTCTCAACTCTATATCGATTCTCGTTATTTTCTGTTGTTTTTCTCTGTCTTTTTCCGTTTTTATTGCTTTTTTTTCTTGCCCACAATTTCATTTATCTCTCTCTCTCTGCGCATGCCGCATTTCTGATTTCTCTATTTCTCTATGTTGTGACTTTCCAAGTCTATTTTCCCTAAATGAACTCCTGCTCTGAGAGCAGACGGCAAGTATTTGTACCAGCCCAGGGCTGAAGGAGTCAAGAGCTGGTCTTCACCACGATTTCTGAGCGGGCTTACTTGGTCGAGGCTATGAGTAGAGCTCGCCTCTCTGTTTTTTCTAATGATTCTATACAACTCTAGGCTCTGGTAGCTAAATGGCTCGTGCGTTTGGGAAGTGCGAAAGGGAGAGCGAGATGGACAAAGACGGAGGAGGAGGGGCACAAACTGAACGCACCGACCACGTCGAGATCCCAGAGCCCAAGGACATCAGACCGTGTCTGGCAGTTCAGACGACAGGATGACGATCCTCTTACCAGCGGGAGGAGTTCCTTCGCGGGGGGCGAAAGGATCTTAGATGACCCGAACTCAAGAGATAATGGGTGGACAACTTGGAAGGTTTGTGAAGACCCACTTTGGAGGGGGGCGGGGACGAAAGAAACGAACAGGACCATTTACCTTTTCTTACCATGGAATATCTACGCCACAGCAGGCTGAGCAAGAAGGTCGTTGACGACTACCAGTCACCGTACCGCGCCGTAGCTGGGCTGGAGATGGCCTGGCCTTGTGGCCTCTAGCCTGCATGGTCTGTGCCCCCCTTTCCACAATGGGGACATGGACGGGGCAGGGCCACCCACTGATACGTGCGCGGCACTGGGAAGGCTTGGACAAGAGCAGGCAGGGGCGCAACACTAAGAACAGGCTGACTGGCTCGCCTTGTATGTTTCTTGGGAACAAAATGGCCAGGAACGGTTCGGCGCCACGGGTTGGATGCCTATGGGATAGACTCTCTTCTAGAGGCCACTGCATGTATCTAACTACGCACGTAGCAATAAAGTACAAAGAGGCGATGTCGCCTTCTGTCCGATAGCCAGGGACAAGGGGAACTCCTCTCTACCCCTCGTAGCTCCCCCGTCTTTAGTCCTAGAAGGCTCGAAAGAGCTCACTAACCATGTTTACATATTCAATATGGCCCAACACCCAGACCGCCCAAGACGCATCTCCGACCCGTTCCGTCATGGCAAAGTTACCTCATCATTTTATCATCACCCTGGCCCGCACGGCAATCCCAACGGATCCCACGAGACGCCCAGAGGTGGGGTAGGAGGGGGGTGACGATAATGATGGGCCCCGCGGCGGTCATCATTTTTTTTTCTCTCAAGAAAAAAACAGGAATAAAAAAGACCCTTTAAAAGAAGGGGGGGGGGGAGCTCAAAAGCTGAGCAAGCGCAGGCGAGCTGAGCGTAGGCGAGCCGAGCCCACTTCCGATGGCGTGATGTTCCGGCGTGGCTGTTGATCAGATGGGCGAAGGAAAGAATTGATAATAATAATAATAATAACAATAACAATATTAAACAGAAAGAGGAAGAAGAGAAAAAGAGAAAGAAGAAAACAAAGCCATGCAGCCCCAGGTGGGTGGAGAAAAAGTGGTATCACCACTCGTTTCTTCTGGTCTTTTGCCTGTTTTTACAAAGAGGGTGTGTAAGTAGGTTTGTAGAGGTGTGTGTGTGTGTGTGCGCGTCGGGTCGATAGCATCATATCCCTCCATCCCTCCCATTTTCCATCCACCTGAATCTTGTGTAGCCCCGTACTAAGTAGTTCACCCACCGTCGTTGACCACCCTTCACCCGGGAGGGCGTCCCTGTACAACCCGGCTGGCTGGGCCTCCTTGCGGGGATGGGTGGTACGGATCCGCACATGGGATCGGATGGGTGGACAGGGAACAAGATACAGTAGTATGGTACATGGTCTCTTTCCTCCTCCCCCTCCCCCCCCCTCTCCTGTTAATCCTTTCCACACCCCTGGTCTTCCAGATTGGTAAGTGGCTGAGGATTTTGAAGCAAGGTTGTTTTTTCCTACTCGTGACCAAAGGTGGAAGAAAAAAAAGAAGGAGAGAAAAGGAGAAAGATAGAGAAAGAAAGGTATAATTGGGGGCTGAAATTCAGTCTTGGTAAGGTGGATACTGGACTAAACTGAGGGTCATAAAATAGGCCGGGGGGAGGGCACAGAGATGGGTGGGTGTGTGAGTGAGTTTGTGGATTGGATGGGTTTGGAAGGATTCGGCTGTTAGTAGGGGCTTTGTAGAGGGAGAGGATGGTCGAGTTCAGCGGGTGTACAAGGGTGTCGAGACCGAGATACAAGAAAGAAAGGAAAAGAATGAAGAAAAAAATAAAAATAAAAAAGATTCAGAAATCCGAAAGGAGAAGAAAACGGTCTTTAAACCCAAACGGAAGAATAAAACGGTAGCTTGTCTGCCCTGTGCAAGGTATCCGCTGAGGAAAGTGGACACATATGTAAACACCCTGTGGTACCTCCAGCAGGCTCCAGTAAAACAAAAGAATACACAGGAAGGCACTGCAACTGTCTTGCATATCTGAGATTCCTACATCAGACGATGACATACCTTGCGTGCTGACTTGTTCTTTTCTTTTCTCTCTGTCTCTTCTCTGCTGACCGCGCCAAGTCTTACCCGAGCCTCAAGGGGAATGATAAGATCAAGAGACAAAAATTCTAGAAGTATTCCCCATCTGGAAAACCCATGTCGATCAGGTTCCTTCGTCTCTCCCCCCCCCCAGCTCTTGTGCATTTTCTGTCCACTCATATCGTTGTGCCTTGTGCTGTTCAATGAAACCTTGGAGAATAAGCGCGCAAGCGCCCCAGTTGCGCAGAGAGGGGAAACAAAAAATAGAAAGAAACGATCAATTGGAATAAAAATACTCCATTATGTGAACCAAAGTATCTGCGATGCGCCATCAGCTGTGTCACCACCGTTCAGCCAGGGCTCTTCCCCCTCCCCTCCCCCTTCGCTCGTGATGGAAGATGGAGGCACATTGTGTTGTTTCTTTTTGTGGCTTCCAAAAAAAAAAAAAAAAAAAAAAAAGAAGAAAAAAAATAAAAGATTGTTCTATGAGTCTTCTGCGCCGCTTTGGGTCACGCTGCCGCAGAAAAGGGGGAAGGGAGGGGGGGGGGGCGCTGAATGAGACCTGCCTGATCGATAGCTGCATGTCCTGCATGTCTTGGGCGCCCCCCCCCCCTTCCCTCCATGCCGGGCCCGAGTATTGGGAACTACGGTAGAGCAAAGAGAGTTGCCTTGCATCAAGTGATTGCTCATCTCCGAAGGACACATACATTTCTGGGTAGCACTGAGACCAGCACACACACTGTACTGCATCGAGATGCAGCCCTACGGTGAAAATTGTCGGTCTCTTCTGAGACCTGCCAGGCAGAGAGGGGCTTCTGGTTGCATCCTGCTGACGACATGACCACACCCCCTTCTGTTCCCCCTGTCCCTTATCCAGACTCCCATACATAACTCTTTTCACAGCAATGACCCGGCTCTCTTACTTACCTCCAGGGGCTCTGTGGGAGCGGTGTGAGGGTTCCGCGGCTGGTTCGCGAATCGGAAAAAAGAAGGAAAAGGAAAGAAAACAAAAACGTACAAGGCCTGTCATGATTGTCATTATTTTTGTCTCCTGGGTCCAACGATCCGAGCACGACTACTTGACCATCGTCGTCATCATCATCATCATCATCATCATAACCATCATCATTGCAAAAACTCTTCTCTCTCTCTGGATCCTGAAACGTTACCGCCGTTGCGGCTGTTGCTGCTGCTGTGGTCATCGTTCACGCAGTCATGCTCATCGCCTTTCTTTCGTCATTCTGCCATGTGCTGGCGTTGGTCGTGATGCCGATGACAAGGTACTACATCAGCGCCACACCCGCAGATGACCAGACGTTCCAGAAAAGGAACAAAAAGAATGATTATAATTAAATACTGTGTGTAGGTCAGACCAGTGGAGAGGGAAGGTCAGCCGAAGGCCCTCCTCCTTTCTTTCGCTCTGTGTGGGTATGGATGTGAAGAATGTGGCGCAAAAAATAATCCCAAAAAAGGGTATGACGGTTGAGAATTCTGATTCGCTGGGAGGGAGCGAGCCGTGTCGTGCCGTGGACACCTCCTTCCCGTAAGGCGCGGGCCGCAGTAATGGAAGGAGGAATATGGGAGGAGCCTCAATCCGCCTGGGCCCCTTCCTGCTTTCTGTCTCTCTGCCTTCTGTCTCTCTGCCTTTTGTCTGGACTTCTCTCTCTTACTTCCTCATCATACCCCTGTACTGCTGTGCCGAAAACCCCAAAGCGAGGACATGACACACCCAGTCATAAAAAAGAATGGGGCTCTTTTTTATCCATGGGTGGGATTGATGGGTGAGTGGGAATTATCTGACCGAGACATGAACCGGATAGAGAGCAGTAGCAGAAGCAGGGGGGAAAGGGAAATAGTATCAGCCCCAGCGCCTTGGAGCCGACTTGTACTTTGGCATGTATGTAGTGTTGGTGATGCGCAGTCGCGGCAGTAAGTGACTCAAGAAACGTCGTCGTGTGCAACCTTGAAAAAGTGCCCTGGATCAATAAGCTAGTGGGGGGAAGAGGCTATAGCGACTATCCGACAGTACTAGCTGGGATCACCAGGTGACCCTAAGAGGGCCTAAAAATAGCCCCCAACAGGATGGCGTGGATGGGTTTCCTCGATTTAGCGTGCCGTCGGCCTGGGCGCCTGTGTCCCCGCTGGCTGTTCAAGAGACCAGGGGGCGGGGAGCAGAGACAGTGAGAGGGGCCAACACGGTTGGTTAGGGGATCTGCCGGGGAAAGAGGGCCCAGTTCAGAACCACTCAAAATCTCCCATCATCATTCATCATCATCATCACTCATCATGTGTGTCTTGTCATCCAAGATCTGTGAGTCGTCATCACAACGTTCCACACACCAAAATATGCATGGGCTGCAGACGGGCAAACCCATCGGAGATGGTTGGAGGGCATGACATGTGTGGTAGTGGGTGTGCTGAGTGCAGCCCAGACATCGGACGAAGTAGCACTGACAGGGGCTGGGCCACATGGGCAGGATCTCTTGGGGTCCTAAAATTATAACTGTTGACCGTAATGCTCTGGGTACAGTGACAGCAGCACCCAGCAGCAGCATCATCATCATCATCATCATCGCAGATGCTGACAACTGTTGTCTCCAAGTAGTGCCGCTGTCACACATACTAGTGAGACGCCCCTCTTGAACTAGCAAAGAAAAGAAACAAGGAAAACATAAATAAATGATATGGAAAGAAAAAAAATAAACTAGCATTAAAAATAATGAACCGGGAAGCAAAAAAAGAGGAAGAAAATAAGCATTCTAAACAGCTCGACGTATTCTTCCTGTTTGGGAAAACCGTCCAAGCCCCAGCTGCTGGTACGTTTTGACAGGGCAGGGGGAGGACACCTCTTGAAAAGTGCAGGCCACGTTGGCGGAATTTGCGCCGTACCCTCATGGCCACGTCGCACGGCATTCGAGACATGCATGCATGCATATCGTAACGGTGCCGACGGTGACTCGGTGCCGGGAGGTCTGAACGCTTCTGGCCTCCTGGGACCGAGCCACCCCTTGATATCAACGTACTCTGGTACTCTGCAATGAATGCAACCCTAGATAGGCGATGTGTAGGTATGTGTGTCTTCCACCCCGTCTCCGGTAGCCACTTTCGACCCATGAACGGTTGCTGCTGATACTGCTCAGAGTGCCGTGGACAGGGCTGAGAATTTCTTCAGACTGCCTGGTCTGCCTGTACTACGTGTCCTGGCACTCTCTTGAGACGTAGTATCGAAGTCTGACCTGCGTTGGCGGGTGGTGCCGTTTTGCCTTAGCTCTAACGGGCTGATAGGTTGCGACGAGCCTGTCACTTCATACAGATCAGATCTTGCTACCTCATGTACTGTATACCTTCTTGCTGCTGGCGGCAGCAAGCTGAAGCAGCACAAGTCCGACGTCCAAGTGCGATCGATGGAAGGCCGAGCTGGGCCCGGGCTCCATTCCGCTTTCCTGCAATTATACACACACGCAGGCAAAATCGCAGGCAACTCAGACAGGGCATTCCCAACCGCGTGTCTCTCGCGTGGCACCCGGCTCAATTCTGCGGCGAGGCCACACTGCCCCGCGGTGGCTCATGATGTTGCTCCAGAGGAGTTGGCGCCCCGTCACTCTGGGGGCCAGTTTCAGAGATGCAGGTGGTCTCGTGGGAGGCAACAAGGGAAAAAACAAAACAAAACAAAAAGATGACACGTTTTGATATCTATCAGATCTTCCATGACGGTAAGGCAACGCCACGATGCACATAATGGAGCCTGTTGCCAGGGCCACCAGTTCGCCGACCCCAACCCCATAGCGAAAGTCATTGACATGTAATTACCGAGCAAATTAGAGAAGACGAGAAGAAAACATAACAAAACAAAATTAAAGAATGGGCGACTAGTTACAGGTCGGCGAACAACATGCAAGCAGGTGGGACTGGGCCAGCGTAGTCCAATTTCATTGCATTGCCTTCTCAGGGGCGGCGGAGGCTGCAAGATATGTTCCCCGAAGATGTGGTGAAGAGTTTCCAGGTCGTGTGAGGGCGGGTCTAAGCGAGAAGTATGCGCCGGGCCGCTGCATCATCCTACTGTAGATGCATGCGTTCCTCGAGGTCTTGTATACGATACGCCGGCCTCAGGCAGACAACCTTTCCCCGCTGTTGGAGCGACACCCGGAAAAGCCCTGCGAAGGAACCATTGGGCCTAGCAGCTTAGGCTTTATCGACATGTATTGTTTGTGGGAGAACCAATAAAGCACAACGCTTCAGGGTGGCACTGGGCTCTTGGCTGATTGATTTGAGTCTTTCTCAAGGGAGGAGGGTTACCAGTCCGTTTTTGCAGTATACAACGCAGCATCTCGAGTTGATGAAATAGACATTGGTAAAATCGTAGGATATGTTGCAGACCAATTATGGTAGGGTAAGAGCATGTAGGGATGCTTCATAGTGCTTCCGGCATATGATTCGTGCACGAGCCAGCCGACCCCGCTTTGCCAAGGGCCCCTTCCATTTCCAGCCGTGCGTGTCCACCACGCGTTTACGTCAACAAACGTTAGCTATCGTCAATATCAACGCTGCGCAACAGCACAACCGACGAAATGCCAGCTGCCAGGCTGCCAAATGGCCAAGAGGCTATCGTCCGGCGAGGCAGAGACCAGTATGCACAACATAAGCTGATGCCCGCTTTTGAGTCGTTCAGACAGGCAAGTGGTTTGCAATTGATCGCACGGTCGCCATCTTCCTGCCCCAGCACTGACCCAGAGTCGTTACAGGCTGCTCTCATATGCAAGTGTAACAAAGCTCTCCTCACCTCGTCCAAGTCTCTCGGCATCTCCATTCAGGACATCCCTTTTCCCGTCTGTCATTGTAAGGACATTATGTCCCTAGCTGTCGATGACCGTGAGAAGCTGGCCATCTACAACTTGGCTACGAAGCCATGTAGCTGCGGCAGCGGCGTGTTGCGGTGCACGTCCCGTGCACACGCCGAGGCCCTCGACGGCCTGGCCGCCGTGTGTGAGGCGCAGAAAGCCTATGATAAGGCTTACAGCTATGCATCGCTTCTGGTCATCGTGGCACCCCAGGCTCCTGAAGGCTATCTGAGGTTGGCGAAAGCTCTGCGTCTCAAGGACCCATCCAATGGGTCTGCAACCAAGAGTCGATGTTCATGGATCTATTCTCAGGCGGCCCAGAGCGTTCAGTCGTACGGTGATGCGTCCGACGAGAAGCTCAAGGTAAGAATACGCATCCTCATGTCTCCCATCTCTCATGTTCATCCCAGTGCTGATGGGCTCACCTAGGTGCTGAGAAATCTGCTACGAAAAGACATCATACGATCTCTTCCTATCGAGCTTCAGGTGATGGTGCTCAGGAAGTTGTCATACAAGGACCTCTGCACGGCCATGCTAGTGTCTAAAGTTTGGAACCACGCGTGCCGCAACAGGGGTCTATGGCGGCACTTGGAGTTTGTGAAAGGCTGGAAATCCATAGAGGTCCGGAAACATCCAGGTATTATGAACGAGGTCATCTGCAGGCGGTCTCAGAACCTGGCAACCAGCCTGCTCATCAAGAGCATGAGGGACTTTGGCATTAACCACGTCAAATTGCGAGCCATTCTCAGAGCATTGCCTCATCTGAAGAGCCTCTCTCTTCACGGCTTCGATACTAGATCCGCGCTGTACAGACCAGATCTCTACCAGAAGGCTCCTGCTCTACGGGCTACTATTGACGCCATACTGAACGACGCACCCGCTACGCTCGAGACCTTGAATCTGGAAGACTTTCACCATAAGGAACGAGCCACACCTTCCCAGGTACTCGCAACGACTCGCTTTGCCCCCAATCTGAAAGCCCTGGGCCTCGTTAATATGTCTGAACCAGCGCTGGGCGTTCGTTTCCTGATGTCCACGGTCTGGCCAAAGCTAGAGAAATTGACAATCAAGGGGAACACGACTATTCAGCACATTAGCTGTCCAGTTCTGGATCTCGTGAGACATCTCTCCATCTATTTTCTTTTTTCTTCTTTTTATTTATGTTCATTCTGAGGTGTGCCCTAGTCACTAACTTGCCTGCAGGAAAAGCTCGTCCACTCAACGCCAGCACTCAAGGACCTGACCTTGAGTGACGTCCTGATACAAAACAAAGCAGTTCCCAGCCCAAGATGGTCAAGGTTAGAGCGCCTCAGTATCGGACGGATGAAAGGTCGCCTTTTCGCGTCGTGCTCTGAGGTCCGATCACTGGAACTCCTGGAGAGTGGGAATCAAGCTGTCCCTAGACTTTTCGACTCCATTCGCCCTCACCAGGGACAGACTGAAAACCCAGAAAAGCTTCATAACTTGGAGCACTTTTACTACTCCTGGTCGGATGACAGAATGGCGCCTAGTCCATCTGACTTGGAACGCATCAAGCCGAGCTGCGATAACGGTACCCTCCACTCGTTGCACATCACTTTCAACAAGCAGAGCCGAAATGTTCTGGACAAGATCATCAACAAAGACGCGATCCGCACCTTGAGCTGCTACGACATCCTGATGCCCAGCATCAGGGACGATGGTGGAGGCTCAAGGGGCGACATGCAGATATTCGTGGACTGGGTTATCGGCTTCCGCAACCTCACCACCATTGGCGTCTTCCCCCAGAAGACCGACGAGGCTTGGTTCGTCGTTGCGAAGCTGATTACGGAGCGACCCGACATCAAGACGATCTACACCGATGTCCTCCACGGCATTAACCGGGACATGATTCTTGAGCATGCTGCTAGGAAGGGCATCGAGATTATCCATGCCAGTCGCGTACCTGAGCCGGCCCTACAGTGCATCATGACATCGGAACCACTGCATGCTGCACAGGTCGGCTAAGAAAGAAACACCGCCGCTGTACAAAGCATCTCTTGGTGCTCAGCGAGGACTCAGCGTCCTGTAACCAGTAACACAGCAAAAGTCACTTCGATTCTCGAGGGCATTGTTCAGCGAAATCCCGTATCCTTGCAGGTAAGCTCAGTAAATCTGTACTTCTGTCATGGACACGTTCGTTCCTAATGCGCAGACTCTCATGGCAGCAGGATTCCCTCACAGGTCAGAATTACGAAGACCGAATTCGATCGGGCGACTCAACGCGAATGCATACACAGCAGCCACGAATAATCTATGAAAGCTTTGGGTCAGAGAACCTTTGATGATGCTCGTCTGAGGCGTCACTCATGGAGTTCAGGAATAACTTTGATGGCGCCGACATCCATACGAGGCTACCATGTTCTGACCGACAGCACGACATATTTCTAAAGCAAGCCAATGGACATAGCATTGCGAAATGATTACGAAACATTTCCTGCAGGATGCTCATCATGTTTGGCGTTCCCAGTCTTTTAATGGTTTAAGGGTGAGAGGGAGGAGTTGCAGGCTCGTGGGACAACATCGTGCTGCAGAGGTGCAAATGCAGGTGGATGATAATTACCAGAGATAGACTCAAGATATACCGGAATACTTTGATGCCAAAGAGACTTGGCGTTGCCTGATGGAAGGCCAGCCTCTATTTATGAATGCATAATACATATTTCACTCGCTGTGTTTTCCCACTCGTCATCGCTACTATACGTCGTCGATTCTGAATCTGCGTACCTAGACGGACTCGTAGGAACAGCACCCGCTATCACATACTCATCCCAGACACTCACATCGGGCAAGTATCTACGATGAACATGGTATCTACGATGGACGTCTCGAAAAGAAGAAAGAGAAATATTTCAGGAAAATAAAGCAGCGCCGGTGGATATTATGAAACAAAATGTCTAGCCTCTTCCCCACCATTAACACAAATCAAACAACACCGATAATCCAATTTTTCTTCCAACACGATCACCCCGCCGTTCTCCCCAACGACGACAGCACTTGAAACAACAAACACACACACAAGCCCAGCAGCGGCTTCCCCCTCGACCAACCAAAGACGCAGCATTCTTCTGTCCATGCCCTACGCCTCCCTAGCCCTGCATCTTCGGCGTAGGCGGCGGCACAACCTCGCCAGCGATGAGACTCTGCAGCTCCCACGGGTTCAACGTGCTCCTCCGCCGCGAGGCGACCTTCTCCGCCCGGCTTCGCGGCTCCCTCTTGCGCGGCTTGCCGCTGCCGGCGTCCTTGGCGGGGCTCGCCCTAGCCCCGGCTGCGCTTCTTGGTGTCGGTGCTGCGGGCCTGTCTGCCGCCTCCATGTCCCTGCTCTTCTTCTGCGGCGATGCCGAGGCCGTCTTGGCCCTTTCACTACGGTGAATCCTGCCGTCATCGCCATCACCGTCATCATCGTCAACCTCCTCGGCGCGACGAGAGCCAGCGGAGGAGGCTTTCCCCGCCACGCCGCTCTCGTCCAAAGACAAAGCCGACCCGCTTCCGCTGCTGCAGTAGTCTCGATCGCGCTTGCTCGGGTCTCCTCCTCTGCCGGCCTGGCGGGTGCCGCTGTTGCCGGTGCCGGTACTCGCTACTGTCGACGTCGAGGCACCTTCTGTTGCAGCCGCCGCCGCCGTGGTCATGCTGGGTTTCCCCAGCCTTGCGGCCTTGAGTTTGGCGCGGACCCTGGCGGCGTTGGCCTCCCTCTCGGAGGCGGCGAGCTTGGCGGCTATGCTCGCCACGGTGACGGGCGACTGTTGTGCCTGTGGGAGGAGTCCTGCGTTGCGGGGTAAGGGGAGGCGAGAGCTGGATTTGGTGGGTGATGAGCGGACGGGCGATTCAGGTGGGCGCTTTGTAGTAGAGGCCGGCACGTTCTTCTCGGAGGGCGGCAGGCTGGTGGTACTAGTGGTAGAGGTGGTGGCGGCGGTGGTGCTCTGTGCAGGTGGCTTCTCAGTCGGAGAGGTCTTCTTCCCGGTTTGTGCTGCGGGCATGGCCTGGACAGCGGGAGATGCCCTGGCAGCCCGGGTTGGTCTGGGCGGAGGCGGCATTTCGGTGGTTGCTGCTGCTGCTGCTGCTGCTGATGATGATGTCGGTGCTGGGCGGGATCTGGAGGGCTCTGCTTTTGAAGAAGGGGCGGTTCGGGCGGACGAGGACGTCGTCGCAGCGGTGGCGCGTGTGGTACGCTGCCTCGTGACCGGCCTTCGTGCTGGCGTCGCTTGCTTCTCCTTCACAGCCTGACGAGCTGCTCTGGCAGCTGACCTGGTAGGAGGCGCTGGTGTTGCCCTCCCCTTGGACGACGCTTCGGACTGCCCTGAATTCGCAGTCGTCCTGCTCGAGGCTTTCGAGATGGTCGACTCTCGTGACGGCTCCAAGAAGAGAATGCTATCTAAGGAGGAGTGAGAGTTTGTGAAAGAGCCTGGGTTTGATTGTGAGGCTGGGTTCTCGTTCTCGGCATCCAGTGAGACCTTCAATTTCTTTTGTGGTGACTGGCCCGGCAAGGTGCGGTGCGGCGGTGGAGTCGGTGCCTCGGCGTCTTCGTCCGTGTTGTCGTTTTTCTCCATGACGGTGCCTGGTCGTTTTCTTGACTTTTCTGTGAGCATGGTGCCTGCTGGCTTGCGGTTTCCTGCTACGTGTGTCTCTTCGAGGGGAGTGATCTTGGGCGGTGGTGGCAGCAGTGTTGTCGAGGCTGTACTGTCGGCCTCATCGTTTGCCGTGGCCTCTGCAAATATCTCGACGTTCGGTTCCGATGCTTGTAAATCGTCCATGCGAATGTCATCGATATCGTCCTGGAATATACTAGACTCCAAGTCGCTGTCGTCGAGGTCGTCTTGCGCATCTTCGTCGTACTCTCCTGGTCCCTTCTCCCCATATCCTTCAGCAGGGACGAGATGTAATGACCCAGCCGGGCTCGGTTGTCTCTGTTCCTCTTCCTCTTCCTCTTCCTCTTCTGCCTCCTCTTCTGCCTCCTCTTCTTTGTCCTCCTCTTCGTCCTCTTCCTCCCGCAGGGTGGGCAGCTTGAAAGCCTCGGCCTGCGCCGTGTCCTGCACGTTCCGCAACCGTATGGGACTCAGCCGTAGTCCCATCTTCAACTCCTCCATATCGACGGGGCGACCATCCGCGGCCATCCTCCGGCGCCAGCTATCGATAAGATGTACTGCCTCGCGCCACCTGGTTTCCATCTTCTCCCAGCCGTCGCGCAGGCGAAAGATCTCTTCTTCGCGAACGACAACCTCTTCCAGGGGCACAAAGGATGGGTTCGTGAGCATGGTGCGCAGGTGACCCAGAACGCTGTCCATGTCCGTCGCAAGGTCCTCGGCATTCCCAGGTAGCGCGATGGCATGACCGTCGCCCTTTGTTGTGGCCGCACCACCTTTAACACCGTCGTCGTCGCTCTTGTCCCACCCACTCATGTGCTTCAGGCTGGAATTCGTCTTGTGGACAAGCGCGAGAAGCGTCTCGTTCTCCTCGCTCAGGCCCTTGGCCAGCTGCGCAAGAAAAGAGTTGGTCTCTTGTCGCAGGTCATAGCCATCGTCCATGGTCGATGCGGCGGCGCTCGACACGGCATCGTCCCTACCAAACTCGCCAGTGACCTGAATCGTCATGATGCCAGCGCTCTTCCTCTCACCCCTCGCCCTGCCCGCGTCTGTGACGGCCTTCTTCAGGCTCTCAATGTGGCGGTCCCGCTTGCGCACCTCGTTGGCACAGGCGGCGCGGGTCTCGGCGACGAGCTTCTTGGTGCGGGCGGCCTCGTCCTTGAGCTTGTGGATGGAGGCCTCGGCAGCCTTCAGCTGTGCTTTCAGCGAGGCTTCTTCTGCCTCGGCGATGTTCACCTTGCGCTGGGCCTCGGTGTAGCGCTCGTGGAGCCGGGTGATGTTGTCAGACTGGCGGAGGGAGTCTGCGCGCAAGGTGCGGAGGGCGGTGGAGAGGGACTCGCGGTGCTCGGCGTCGCGCTTAATTTTTGAAGAAGAGAAGGCAAAACGTCAGTCAGTCAGTCAGTCAGTCCAACTAAAGAGTGAGGAGAAGGAACAGAAGGAAAACATACATCGCGCCTCAGAATCAGGTCGTTGACGACAGCCATGATGCGAGCCATCGTGTCGGGCAGCTCGTAATCATGGTCGCCGGGGCTGGCGAAGTCGATACTCCGCCCATCGCGCAGCAGACCTCGAGACAGAAGCTGGTTGTTGATGTACAGCGAGGCTGTGCGCAGGTTTTCAAAGTCTGTCATTGCGATAGGATCGTTGTCGGTGGTCTGGCGGTCATTACGCCCACCTTTCTTACACAAAGATGATGTAGCTTCGGGTTGTGTTGTGTTGAAGTCTGTAAAAGATGATGAGATGGATTTGCTAAGTATCCCTCGGAAAAGTTACATCTGCATGTGGGGGTTGGGCCCTTGCTTTGCTTGGTTCTGGTGTCGCTGCAGTGGTTGGAGGATTGGTATGGACTGAGCAGCGAGAGTATCGCGTGGGTGTTGAGACGACCCGCCCCCGTTACCACGGCAACCAACCACTTACTACTATCCACTGCAGACAAGGTTAAAAACTATCGTCTTGATCATTTTATCACCAATCAACCACGCATGATTGTTTATTTAACTTATTTGGACTGCCCTGTCTTCTTCCTCCCTTGTATTCGCATCTTGCAGCCAGCGTGGCGTCTTCCTATGCAAGCTGTGGCTGCAGCAATCGAAATCAATCCATGATCAGCCAGGGCAAGAGTAGGATTGTGGAATGCGCAGTCACACAGAACTGAGGTATGTACGCCATTGGATTGATGATGGCTCTCCTCGTTTTCCCTGTTTCTCTGTCTCATTCTTTATATTCTCTACCCTATCAATAGAATGAGAAATACTGGTCCGTGTTCCCGAGCAGACTCAAAGAGCTATCAATTGAGGACAAGACAAGCACTCCAGTGCATGCATCTTTGCTTCTATCCAATCCACTTTTTTCCCAGCTGACAGTGGCGCCTATCTCGCCTGCTGTAATTATGTCCAAGGTGTATATTTCTTCTCTGCATTGCCAACGAGCACGTCTATCAAGTTTGACGTGCTTGCCCTTGAAAGGTACTCCTACCTACTCAGGTACTATACATCTCCACCAGAAAGGTTGTTTATACCAATGGCATGGAACCACCTGTTTGTTGGTCTACCTCGTTCCAGTATGACAAGTTCTCGTTCTCTTTTTGAGGAATTTTCTCATCGCCACAGCGGCCGAGATACCAGAGTATAGGTCAAACCTTAGGCGGGGCCATGTGCCACCCACCCACATTCCTCACACCTTCATCAAGTGGTTGATTGAGTGATAGCACATCGAGCGCAGGTGTTTCAGGGGTGATTTGAGACATGCGCAACACTATTTACCACGCAATAACCCCACCAAGCATCCCCAGTCTCAGTATCTCAGGTCGCCGTAGTGCAGTGCGGGGAAGGTGGAGGGGGCCTCAACTAGGGAGGGGTGCTCCTTCTTCCATCATGCTACTCACTTACTTACTTAGTACTTGCTCTCCATTCTCTTCCTACTCTGACGTAGTCTGCTCATCTTACAGAAAAAGATTTTGGTGTCAAGCAAAATACAGGAATGATTCGAAACATCTCCTCCGTCTTGACTATTTCCTCTCACAGCAAGTCGTGTGTGTGTGTGTGTGTGTGTGTGTCCCTTTACTGACTGACTGACTGTCCCTCACTGACTTTCAACCTACGCATGCTCCTCAGACTCACTTAGCAGCACTGCGCATTGTCCGTCATGATGCTTGAACAGCTGTTCGTGGCCGCAGACGTCCGCTTCGAACATCACCCTGATGGCTTTGGGATAGGAACTGGCCTTCCACGCATATCATGGCGATACTCGTCAGACGGTTCTGGTCCGCGCGGCAACTGGCTCCAGAGAAGCTACATCTCCGAGGTGCAACGCCTCGTGTCCAAGGCTGGCGGCTGGGAGCTGGACGGTCCCCTCCGTACCCATGTCGTCTCGGACCAGACCATCATGGCCCCGTGGTGTGGCCCAGAGCTGCAATCGAGACAGATGGCTCTGGTCCGTGTCATAGGCGCCAACACGGCCAGTGACTTCTCACCTGCAGACGAGCGCCGCTTGGAACAGATCTTCTCCTCGCCGACGACGCTGGACCTCGCCGAGATGATGCGGCGCTGGACTGCCCGTTTTGACAACCAGGAACACGCCGCAACAGCTTTCAGCGGCTGGACGCCCGTTGAGGTGGGTCTGTTGAAAGCCTCCGACTGGAAGGCCAGGTTCATCACCTCGACCGACCCGCCGCCCCAGGACGACAGCACCCCTCATCACCCTATGGTCTACCTCAAGGACTTCCACTGCGACCTCGGCGACGATTACACCCATGCGAGGCTCTACATCTCCGCCCTCGGCCTGTATGAGGTCTACATCAACGGCCAGCGTGTTGGTGATCAGCACATGACGCCTGGCTGGACGAGCTACCACCACCGCCTGCAGTACCAGACTTATGACCTGACCAGCCTGGTCCACTCGGGCAACAACACCATCGCTGTTGAGGTGGCTGAGGGCTGGTATGCAGGGCGGCTCCTCTGGGTGCCAGGCCTGCGCAACTTGTACGGCGACACGCCCGCCTTCATCGCACAGATCGAGATTCACAGGGACGGCGGGTCCATCGAGCAGATCGTCTCAGACGAGTCGTGGGTCTGCCGCACCTCGCCCAGGCAGGCTGCCTCCATCTACGACGGCGAGGTGTACGATGCGCGCGCCTACATGAGCCCGCCCGGAGGGGGTGACCACCGTCGCCGCCGCAGCAGCAGCAGCAGCAGCAGCAACTGGAAGAAGACGCGCGTGCTCGACTTTGACTTTGACGAGGTCCAGCTGGTGAGCACCGACGCCCCGCCCGTCGCCATCACCCAGCACGTCAGCCCCACCAGGGTGTTCAAGAGCCCCAGCGGTAAGACCCTCGTGGACTTTGGGCAGAACCTCGTGGGCAGAGTCGAGGTTCGGGGTCTGCAGAGGCCAGAGGGCCACACTCTCACCATCAGGCACGCCGAGGTCCTCGAGCACGACGAGCTCTGCACCAGGCCCCTCAGGGACGCCAAGGCCGTCGACACCTACATCTTCTCGGGCGCAGAGGACCCAGACAGGATGTGCCACGTGCCCGCCTTCACCTTTCACGGGTTTCGCTACATCGAGCTGGACGGCTGGTCCCTCGACGACGACGACGGGCCCCCCTCGGCGCAGAACATCACCGCCCTGGTCGTCGGCTCGCACATGCCGCGCACGGGCTACTTTAGCTGCTCCGACGACATGGTCAACAAGCTGCACCAGAACGTCAGCTGGGGCATGCGCGGCAACTTCTTGTCTGTGCCGACGGACTGCCCTCAGCGCGACGAGCGCCTGGGCTGGACCGGCGACATCCAGGCTTTCGCACCCACAGCGCTGTTCCTGTACTCATCGGTCGGGTTCCTGTCCAACTGGCTCATCGACCTCTCGATCGACCAGGCGACGGCAGGCGGGTGCGTGCCCGTCGTGATTCCCGACGTCCTGCGCGGCAGGTCAGCGCCCAACGACGAACCGGTTGCGGTGTGGGATGACGCGGCTATCCTGGTGCCGTGGGCGGTGTATCGGTGGTCTGGCGACGTCGGGGTGCTGCACAGGCAGCTGGCCAGCATGAAGGCACACCTGCACGGATCAATCCGCCGCGGGGCCGATGGGCTGTGGGACGACTCGCTCTTCCAGTTCGGCGACTGGCTCGACCCCAACGCGCCGCCGGACCAGGCCGACCTCGCCCGCACAGACGGCACCCTCGTCGCGGACGCCTACCTAGTGCACGTCACAGACGTGATGGCGCACGTGTCGGTGGCCCTAGGCAACGCGGCAGACGCGAGGAGCTACCAGGCCGAGTTTGAAAGGCTCAAGACGGCGTTCGCGGACAAGTACATCTCCAAAAAGGGCTTGGTGGTGAGCGACTCGCAGACGGGCCTGTCGCTGGTCATCTCGTTCGGGCTCCTCGCCGACAAGGCGCAGCTCAGGGCAGCAGGAGACCGCCTGGAGAGGCTGGTGCGGCAGTCCAAATTCAAGGTGTCGACAGGGTTCGCGGGCACGCCGCTGGTGCTGCATGCGCTGACGCGGACAGGCCATGTGGACCTGGCGTACGAGATGCTCCTCTGCAAGGACTGCCCGTCGTGGCTGTACCCGGTGACGATGGGAGCGACTACGATCTGGGAGCGGTGGGACAGCATGCTCCCCGATGGGACGGTCAACCCGGGCTCCATGACGAGCTTTAACCACTACGCGCTGGGCAGCGTGGCAGACTGGCTGCACACGGTGGTCGGCGGCATTCAACCGCTGGAGGCCGGGTGGAAGACGTTCATGGTCCGGCCGAGGCTCGGCGGAAGTGATAAGTTGACGAGGTGCGAGGTTGCCTTCGACAGCCCGTATGGGAAAGTGGGCTGCAGCTGGTCTGTCGAGGAAGAGGGCAAGGGCGAGGAGGCGGAAGAGGAGACCAAGGAGAGGGCGAGGGCGAGGACGAGGACGAGGGCAGAAGCGGCGGTGGTGGGTGGCGACAGGCTGTTCAAGATGAAGGTGCAAATACCGCCCAACTGCAGGGCGCTGGTGGTGTTGCCGGGCCAGGAGGAGAACCAGGGCGAGTGGAAGGGCTGTGGAAGGTACGAGATTGGATGTGAGCTGAAGTGAGACAAAAAAACAAAAAAAAAAAGGGAGTGTGGAAAGAGTAGGAAAAATTTGGAATGATTTTATGACTTATACGATGTATAGTATTGTATTAAGATTTCTCTATTGGTTTATTTATTTTACTTGTTGCGGCTGAAACCAAGTAGTGAGTGGGTTCATTGTCATCATGAACACGCGACCCCGACCTTCAATGAACAAACTGTGTACAACGTGAAACCAAAAACAACAAACACAAACAAGCAAACAAACAAACAAACAAAGCAGAATGAAGATTACTTGAGGAAGAAGAATACGGTTATGTACAAGTTGTGGGTATTACAGTGTCTCGGCTGGCGGCTCCTTTTTTGACATCGGCCGAGTTGCATCGTCCCGCCGGGGGGGGGGGGGGGCGAGCCACTTCACCACTTATAGGACAACGGGCAACCAGCCTTGAAACTTGGGTCAGTTGTCGAAAAAGGGGATAGGGCGAAATAATAGCAACCTTTGCACAACTACTTCCTCATAAGTGAACTGCTTGAGTAAGTGAATAGCATAACATGACATAACAGAAAATGAGACACAAAGCCCCAAACGCCCCATCCTCTTCCCTCTCCTCGTGTGGCCGGCAGCAGCAGGCCTTCTTTTTTTTTCTTTCTTTTTTTCAGCCTCCTTGAATCGCGAAAAGCCCGTTCGCTTCAGGGCTGGGATACGATATGGTTCTGGCCCGGGCTCTATTTGGATCCTCAGCTCATCTCATTTTAAACATCGAGGAGCCGCCCTTCTTTTTCTGAAAAAAAAAAAAGATCGACGGTCTCGTGTTCTGACACAGGTCAACTGCGAATGCCTAGAGGCCCTTTGCTTGTCAGCCCTCGGGATCACATCCGTCAAGAAGAATAAGAAAGGAAACGGTTTCATTGGCTGAGAGTGGCTCTGCACTTCTTTAACTTGTCGTCTCAGCTCATCCCCTTTTCCTTTCTCTCTTTCTTTCCGCTTTCTTTCTTTCTTCTTCAATTTCACGGTGCCACAGTCCGTCACTTTATTCATTTTTCAATCTTTCTGTTCTTTCTTCCTTTAATTTTTTTTTCATACAGTGCTGGTTTGAGAGACGTGTTTGTCAGTCCTATCATTTGTTGACGAATCAGAAATCATCAATTACCTTTCGATTATTTTTCTACCCTTTTCCCCTTGCTCATGATTAGACCCAGTGGACATTCATTCCCCTTAGTGCTTATAAATTACTGGGCGCTGCTGTGCTGCTGGTGCTGTGCATAATAATTGTCCGGTCTTCCCCCCTAAAACCACTAAACAAGTCACGCCAACCAAACCAGGCCCTGGGCGATCCTGTCGCTCCCTCTGAAACCTGTTGCCTTACTCAGTCACTACTCTCGATTTAAACTTCACTTAGTCACTCACCACCAAGAAGCCAGAGCAGCTATCTTTTGACAACCACTCTTCAACAGCCTACACCGACAACAATCAATAATCAACAGCAGCAGCAGCAGCAATAACAAAAACAATACCACCGAACGGAACGACAAGTCTCCCAAAACACCAGCCATGGCCATGTCCAGCGAGGAGTGGGAGGAGATAGCGGCATCCATTCCTTCTGAGGAGGACGCCTTTGTTCAGAAATACATTTCTGGCCGCGAGGCCCTCATCGCACAGGAGAAAAAGCAACGAGCTGGTCCGTTCCCTTTCCTCTCTCTCTCTCTCTCTCTCTCTCTCTCTCTCTCTCTCTCTCTCTCTCTCTCTCTCTCTCTCATATTCACTCACTCTGTCACTCTCACATACACTCTCTTTCTGACCAAACCTGGCAGACCACTCCTTCAGGCAGAACCTCTCTCCCATCGCTCAGAGAGCTTGCCGCATAGTCGACCGCATCCGTGATGAGGAGCAGCGCACTCTCTGGACCCCCGAGTACGAGGATGCCCTGGCCGTGCGTGAGGGCTGCACCATGCACTCAGGCATGATGTTCACCCTGGCCAAGGACTTGATGGAGCGCACCAAGCTGTGGCGCATCGTGCGCCGCATGCCCAAAGGCGCCATCCTGCACGCTCACCTCGACGCCATTGTCGACCTGGACTTTGTGTTCCGCACCCTGCTGGACGAGCCAGGCATGCACATGAACGCGCCTGGCGCAGAGGAGGGCGGCCTGTCCACCGCCGAGGCCCGCGCCGACGCTGTCGTCACCTTCCGCTTCTTCAAGGAAGAGCGCAACCGAGACACGTCCATCTGGGATGCCAAGTCGTACCAGGCAGGGGCGTTTGTGCCGCTGGGCAGGGCTGCCGAGTCGTTTCCCGAGGGCGGGCGCGAGGGCTGGATCCGCTGGATGAAGACCAAGACGACCATCTCGGAGACGGACAGCCTCGAGCAGCACCACGGCGTGGACCACATATGGAAGAAGTTCAGCAAGTGTTTTCTGATCATGGGCACCGTCATCCACTACGAGCCCATCTTTCGCAAGTTCCTGCAGCGCCTGATGCGCCAGTACTACGACGACGGCGTGTACTGGGGCGAGCTGCGGTTCACCTGGCCGCTCAACTACTACCGCCTCGGCCACGAGGTCCCCGAGACCAACTACAGCCACATGTTCACCGTCATCGACGAGGAGCTGGCGCGGTTCAAGGCCTCGCCCGAGGGCCGGGGCTTCTGGGGCCTGCGCATGATCTGGACCGCCCTCCGCATCTGGGAGCAAAAGGCCATCGTGCAGAACATGGACCACGCCCTGACCACCAAGATCGAGTTCCCCCACCTGTTGGCCGGCTATGACCTCGTCGGCCAGGAGGACCTCGGCCGGCCCCTGCGCGACGTCCTGCCCGAGCTCTTTTGGTTCCGCAAGCAGCTCGCCGACGAGGGCATGCCCGACGGCATGCCCTTCTTCTTCCACGCCGGCGAGACCCTCGGCGACGGCACCGCCACCGACCAGAACCTCTTTGACGCCGTGCTGCTGGGCACCCGCCGCATCGGCCACGGCTTCAGCCTGTACAAACACCCTCTCCTCGTCGACCTTGTTAAGCAGAAGCGCATCCTCATCGAGTCGTGTCCCATCTCCAATGAGGTCTTGCGACTGTGCGGGAGCATCATGTCGCACCCTCTGCCGGCCTTGATCGCCAGGGGGGTGCCGTGCTCGCTGAGCAATGACGATCCGGCCATGCTGGGCCAGGTGAGTTGTCCATGGCCATCGTTTATTTATTTTTTCCTCTTGCTCTCCTTGTCTTTTTTTTTTTTTTTTTTTCCCCTCTTTTTGGAGAGGGTGGGGGGCTGCGCACACACACGACTCCCTCTCTTACTGACAAAACAACTATTAGGACACCGCGGGCATGAGCCATGACTTCTGGCAGGCCCTCCAGGGCTGGGAGAACCTGGGGCTCGCCGGCCTAGGCAGCCTTGCCGAGAACAGCGTCCGCTGGTCCTGCTTCGAGGACCAGACCGCAGACGAGTGGGCCAACGGGATCAAGGAGGCCAGCTTGGGTAGCGGAATCAAGGCGCAGCGTCTGCAAGAGTGGCGGGTCCTTTGGGAGGAGTTTTGTCTCTGGGTGTGTGAGGAATATGGGGAGACGTATGGCGAGGCGTGAAAAGGGGTAGGAAACAACAAAGTTGGACATATCATTTTTGGGGGGGCAAACGAACGATACAGGCCGAGGCAGATTTTCGAGGATAAACATGCATGAGTAAGGTAACACACAAGGAGAGATACATCTCAAGATTCCTGGGAGGGCTTTTGGCATCACGGCAAGGGGGGAAAGGGGGTGGGAGGCTACATTCAACATCGGTCAAAGACTAAACGGTCGGGGCGTTGTTCACATTGTTTTTCTTTCTTCTTTCTCTCTTGACCAGCCACGGCATTATCGAGTAGAGAGAGGTAGGCGTTCTGGTCGTTTCAGGGGTGGCTATACAGAAGAGGAGGTGGTAGTAGGCAAAGACAGGGAGACAAGGGGCGTCAAATCTGTGACCTTATAAGAGGCAAGTAGTACAATATAGTAGTGCATAGCCATAGACATGAAAAAACGGGACGTGGGAGAAAACAAAACGGAAGACGCAACAAACCCGTTTCTCTTCTCCTCAACCAGAGGAAAAAGAAAAAAGAAAAAAGAAAGAAAGAAGAGGGAAGAAAAATATAACCTCATTGGGAAACTTTCCCACCTGACGGCCTCGGCCCCCAAGTACTGTAATACGGAGAAAATGAGAGGACATCACCAATGACAAACAACCAATCCTCCCCTCCCTACCTTTACACGCTTGCATATATGCTGCTTAGTTGTCATCAGAGATTTGAACTCGATCCAGGGTAGACTACCCAGGTATTTCCTTCCCTACCCTAGCAGGCCGGAGAGGGCCCCGAGGCGGGAGGGCGGACGGGAGAGCGGACGGGAGAACGGACGGGAGGGGAGGAGAGGAGGAAGAAGGCGAATCACAGAAAAGAAAGCAGATCTTGTTCGTGTCACGTCACGCATACACATGTATATATATAAATACACACACACACACACAGAGAGAGAGAGAGAGAGAGAGAGAGAGAGAGAGGCTAACTACATGACTATGAGACTTGTTGCTTGCAAAGAGGAACTTGACGCGTACCCATCCAGCTCATAGGGACCAACCTGGACCTGTGAGATGCTTCGACAGCGCCTCCTGCTTGAGGTCGTATGGGTGGGTTCCCGAGGCCGCCGCATGCATACGTGCATGCATGCATGCACTTAGGCGCCGGCGAGCGGGCGAGCGAGATTCTGTGTGAACTATGCGTGTGGGCAGTAGGCGGAGGAGCAGCACGAGGATGCCTGTACCGGGAAAATCGGGAACAAGATACTAGTCAACGTAGACTTGCGTATACGTAGACGACTCAGCCAATCCCCTCCCGTCAAAACACCCGCACCACCACATTCAACCTCATACATGAAGCATGTGCCTAGCTCAGCCCTAAGGCCCCAGAGGCTCGCGCGTCTCTTGGGACCCCCCCTTCAGCCCTAAAGCACTAACCCCCGCCAAAAGTTTACGAGAACCCGCAGATACTACCCCGGGAATAGGCTTACAGAAAACAAGGTCAGGTTAAGAGGTAGGTAGGTACTTTCTCGAGGATTAAGAATACGGGACGGGACGGGCAGAGAAATGGTCCTCGCCCGACAGACACACACACACACACACACACACACATGCACACGTACATACACACGCAATATGTATGTACGTAACTCTGCTGGTTGGGTTGCAACTAGACTTGCATCTGTCGCGTGACCCTCCTTTTCAATGTGCTTGCATGAGCAGCGGGAGGGAGGGTGGGCAGGGGGAACATGGGTTTGATGGAGTGTAGAAAGGCCTCCACCGCAGGTCAGGTTAGGTTTGAAGCTCATCATGCCACCATTGTCAGATTAAAACCCCTCTCTTGATTTTTTTTTTTTTAGTATTGTTGTTATTATTATTATCCTTATTTTCCAATTTCTTGGTTGTTGTTTTCTTCTTGCTTTCCGCCCCCAACGATGACTTTTAGTCCTCTTTAAGCTTTCCGCTTTCCGTCCGTCGCTGACATACATCTGAGGTAAGTTAGCTATTGGCGCAAGGAAAAAAAAGAAGAACTAAGAAAACTCGCCTCATAACACCCGAAATGGACAAGAAAGTCAATACACGAATGTAGAAAAAGAATGGGACGTTATGAGGTGAGCACTGCTTTTATCAGCTCATTGGTCCCTCCCGTTCATTGGCTTCTTTTATCATCTTCTTCATTCGTCATCATGCGCGCGAAAGAAGAACAAGAAAAAAAAATTAAATCCCTCCGGACTGGCATGTCATAAGAGGTAGTATTAGCAAGTATCGTTCGTGTGGTACTTTCGAGTACCCAGGTGGGTCAAGCATGCCCCAGCAGGCGTCGTGTGATGTTTGGACAGCAACCCTCTTATCTCGAGAAGAATGAGAGAATGCCCCCTCCCTCCTATCCTTTCCCCCCAGGCCTCCCTTCCCGAGGTTTCCAGAATTCTACGGCCGTAATGTTAGGTACCGCTCTCCTCATTGGTAAAGACCACGGAGCGAGGTAACACAAAGTTTCTCTAGCGAGCATCAGGTCAACGCTGTACCGCAGAGAGAGCTAGAACTACTGGATGAATTCCGTCACGGCCCCATAATGTGTGTAGATCAAGATGATGGATTGTTAGGATTGCATCTGTAGCCCCCCCCCCCCGGCCCGGCGCATTTGCCACAATATACCTCATCTTGAGCACATATACACGTATTCGATTTGACGCGTGGCTTGATTGGTCTTCGGTCCGCGATCAAAGGTGACACGACGCAAGAAAAAGGAACTTCAGCCGCTGCTGTGCAATACAGCCTATGATGTGAATGACCATACCCTAAGGGGGGCCGACGGGCGACGGGAATGACCTCCATAGCCACTCCTTCGTCACCCTCCATGTGGCTCTCGGTAGCCACACATTATAATGGTCTACGGAACAACTAGAGTCCGAGCCCATAGTTGACCGGAGGAGGGAGGAGGAGGAAATTCGACAGAGTCCATGGGCCGCAGTATAGCCAGTTAATTTGCTACGTACTGTTTGTGAGTTTCCTTTGCAGCCAGTCACTTTTGTGATTTGGCTGTGGCTGAGTCTTGCCCTTGGAGATGTTGCTGTCAAATGCTATAGTTTTCGTGCCTACTTGGGTGGTCAACATTAAGTCCCAAGACTGATAGTTGAGGGCTGTGAAGGGGTCAAATTCTCTTTCTTAAACAAGGATAAGAGCACAAACGATCAAGTCAAGTCAAACATGCTGAATGTGGTAGAATGAATTCCAATTCCCTGCCTTTTGTATCTGTATTTTATGTCTAAGTAGCCAAGCCATATTTTCTCGTCGCAGTAAATTCAGATGCTGAGGGAGCAAGCATAAATCTTGATCTGAGTCTGGAACCAGCAGGTTCTACCAAATAATCAACCAAAGAAAACGTTTTGAGATCCCATGGACAACCTTCGCATAGCCAAGAAAAGAGTAACAGGAAAAAGGCCAAAGAAAAAATAAGTTGATTCCAAAAGTCTAAGTATCTTTTGTGCCACAAAAGTTGCCACCCCCCACAGACCGAAAATTAGATCATCTGGCTGAAATACTTGACAACAAACTTAGGACTTCCGGTCAGAAAACAAATGACCTTTGTAATAGAAAGACAACCAACATTCCTGAAACAGGAATGACACATTGAGTCCAAGGAAGAGAAGCGCAAAGACAACGAGACAGAAAGAAATTGTGAAGGTGAGGGGAGGCGGGGGCGAGGGGAGGGAGGGGTGCATATATGTGCCAAAGAGCAACAACTGAACATCAAGGCCACAACAAACCATACAAGAGAGGTCGAATATTCCAACGCTATGCAATGAAGCATGACCCAGTCTAAAGGCCAACAACAAGAAGTAAAATCCCCCACCACAAACCCATTGTTACAGATCCATATCGATCTCAGTCTGAGAGCTTTCGAGCCCACTAGTGAAGCTGCATGGCATTGGAGCCCATATGATGCTGGTTCTGTTGAGGTGCAGCCAGCGCCCGCCTCGCCCAATCTCGGAACCTCACTGGCCTGACCTCCACACCTCCGTTTTGAGCAATCAGGTCGTTGATATTAGATCTCCCGAAGGTATAGCGGCCGTCCGCTGTGGCACGGAGCCGCTGGAAGTAGAACCAGCGGTTGAAGTCGTGCTCGAGCCAGTAATCGAGGTGGGCCTGGATGTTTCGGTATTCATGGTTGACCAGGTTGAACGGCACTAAAGAGAGAGGGGAGTTTTAATTATGAAGCAGAATTTATAGGGACTTATACCTGCGTAGAAGATAGAAAATCAAGATGGCCTGGTGGGGCTTACCTCGTCTTGCGGAGCTGCACTCGCGCACGATCTCCGTGACGGTCATGTGGTCCCCTCGCATCCTGAGCTCTCTCGGCCAGTGCTCGGGTCCAATCTCGATAGCCGCCGCCACGAAGCGCGCAACATCGTAGATAGAGGTCATCGAGATATCGATGGGTCTTCCCTGCGCGGTATGGGCCACGACCTCAGCCGTTGCGGCATCCACGTTGAGCAGGTAGTCGCCCGGGTTCTGCACGCCCTCGCCCGCGCCCAGGCTCAGCGTGGCCAGGCCGCCAGAAGCGAATCGCTCGTAGAAAATACCACAGGAGAACACGGTGTATCGCATTCCATGGTGTGTGGATGTCGACTGTGACCACTGGTCTAGCAGGCGCAGGGCAGCCACTGAGCCGCGGTCGAGGGGGTCGTCAGAAGTGGGCCGCTGCGCCAGGGCCCCTTCGAACTCTGACGGCACAAAGGTGCGGACCTGTGCGTGGCGGGCGGCATCGATGAGGTTGAGCTGCGATTCTCCCGGTATCGTCGAGATGACCAGGTCCACACCCCGCAGGGTGTATCGTAGTTGCTGTACGTCGGCGTAGTTGACGACTGCCTGCTGGACGCCCAAGTCATCGAACTCTGGGTGCAGCTGTTGGTTGAAAAGCAATCTTGTCGTCAGCATCTGCCTCCTCTGACAAAAACCTGGGCTCTCTTGGGTTTGCTAAGGCGGATGCTCCAAGCGCTTACCTGAGTGGATAATACCAGCACAGCATCGGTACTCTGTGTTATTTCCCGGGCAAGGATGTAGGCGAGACCGCCTCCGCCAGCAATAGCGATATGCATGGTCATGGTTGGTTCCGCTAATTTCTTTTTATCAAGATGCCATTGACCTTTGGTCGTCCATGTCTACCCGGACCAGGCCCGAGTAAATAAATGATTGCCGGAAGCTTGAGGCCAAATAATCTCGTTGCCTTGGACTGCCTCGCCTCCAAGACTTGTGCTATAATGTGCCTGGTGGGACCTGATGGAGGAAGGAGAAGAAAATTAAGACCTTTTGGGTCAATAATAGCAGGACGTCGATAGAATGAGCGAATGGTTTTTCGGCAAATACAGCCTCCTTCGGAGGACAATACATACCCTGGCACTGAGCACCCCCTCCCCCAGGTATGCCTGACTCAGGGGCTGTGAGCGCCGTGAGTGGTTGAGGTGGAAAGGGCAGGCAAGTAGCCTGGTGTGGTCGCAAGGAAATTTGCTACTACCCTGTGTCATCGGCCTCGGTGTGTGTGTTGCGTGCGTGCGTGCGTGCGTGCGTGTGCGTGAGTGTGGATGACATGAGGATTCCAGGAATCTGGTGGCATGCGGTCTTCGTATAGGTCCATGTAAAATAAAGTACACCATACCGCAGACCCCTTGGCTCTCCTGCACGGTAACAGCCCAATGAACAGACACTAGTCAAGCCATGTCATAGACGGAGAGAGCTTGACTGCATATCAATGATCCTTCGGGGGTGGAGCAGTTGCGCGGAGATCTTAGCAAGCCTCATAGGGCTGAGAACGAGCCCGTGAGTTGCATGCAGATCGACCGCATAAGCCCGCGTCCCTCAGCACTAGCACAAGCGGACACGGCAACGGGCCAACCCTTTGGAATTCACTCCCATCCCACGCTCTTACCACACCGGTACTTTCTTTCCCCCTCCCTCTTTACCTCTTCTGAATCGCTAGAAACGGAAGCCCCGTGGCAGGCTATGAACGAAGCTCGATTGGAATGCCTAGGACCATCGGCTCCTCCCTACTTTTGTGGGTGCCCGAGGTACGGACATCGGCACTGACCGAGATGCGGCCAGTATCCAGACCACACCCACACACCCACACACACACACACACATACAGACACGCCCTGGGAGGGATGATGATTATGGGATGGAAGAGAACCCGAAAAGATGATCGCACAGGAAGTTCGGAACCAAGCGAGGTTGGCAACGCTCGGGTCCAACGGATCCACCACCACTCTTGTTCCAGGGGTTTGTTGCATCAAAGTGAACGAAGGGGTACGAAACACGGGAATGAGAATGACGGAAGACCCGCGTCGCCCCGCCTAGGACTAAGGAAAGAAGCGGTCTTGTACCCAAAACCAGAGAGGTAAATTGAGCAATCTCACCTGGTCCCTCAATGAGTGTACATCCAAGGAGATATATGAAGGCAACAACAAGAAGATCTGTACCATGGTTCTGATCCAACCAGAGATCTTGAAACAGACAGAATCAGCCACGGCCATGTGCCCTGCATCGGCTTTCCTCGATGTCACAAACCTTGGAAGAGAGGTAGGGGGAGGGGTTGACAAGACAGGTGACAATATACCAGGGCAGGGGGGAAGATCCGAGGCTGCGGAGCCCAACGTACCAGAAGATGGTAACGCACACCGACACAGACCTGTCATGCTGCAAGGTGCAGGCAGGATCACATTGGCAAGGAAGGGTTAGCAAGTGTGTGTGTGTGTGTGTGCGTGAGAGCGAGAGACAAAGCCTCGTTGGACCCATCTCGACATGACCGGATCAGGAACTCTAAGCCGCCCGCCGTTGCGGTGGAGGCTAGCCGGCCCGTTGACTCGATTGTACCGTACGGGGACAATAAGAAGACGAGAAAGAAAAGGGAAAAATGAGAAAAAAGAGAAAACAGAAGCGCATATCCTCATCGAGTCCTGCCAGGGTGAAAAGGGTGGTAAGAGAGAGAGACAGGAGAGGCTCTCGCAGCTGTGCCATTGGAGGGGTTTGTGGTTGGTGTGATTATGCCTTGCAGGTGTGGATCACACTCTGTGATCACCGGTTCAGCCCTAGGATACCAACAAATGCATGTCCTAGACTCGATATGGTGATCTTGTGAGCATCTGGTGGACACTTGGGGGCCAATTCGATGGTTCAGGAGAGCGATGCAACATTCTCGGGAAGCTCGTTACACCGTAGTGGCGCTATCGTCGCTACATGAGGTGACGTTGGAAAGCAGTGTGGCTGGTAAGCGTGGCTGGACGAGGAAAGAGCGACTGGCCTGTGGCTGTGGCTTTGGATTTGACTGCCTGTCAAGTGGCACAGTGTCAGAATGTTAGTGCAGTAGAATAGTAATCGTACCCAAGCACGCCAGCGCAAGGTTACAACCACCCTGCAGATAAATCAGCGCCATTTTCAACAGCATAGCATGTCGGAATGAATTCTCTCTCCAAAAAGAATGTCTCATCCAATCTCTGATTTTTAATTCGTGCTTCTACGATACTCTCGCTTCTCAAACTATAAATTCTCATTTGGTCTTGGCAGGGTGTGGCCATGTAGACAAGAGCCATTTAATTTCGGAGTGAACGTTGCCTCCCCGATAAGCCAGCCAACCTGCATGAGATGATGCCCACTGTGGCGAGTTATCTTTGTTCTCTGGAGAACCGTAGTAGCAGCCCACCAAGGTGATGCAGATGATCGTCTGTCGGGCAGCAGAGCTCATTTCCATTATACGACGCCAGCGTTTCCTAGCACCCTACCAGACCTTCATTCTGCGCCCGGCGAAAGGAAAAGACGCTTTTGATGAATCGTCCAGACAGACAAACGGACAACGTCTGGCCGATCCCATGTAGCTCGAAATCTCGAGGCCCAGTCTTGAAAGCATTCACCAAATCCAATCCTGGCGCAGCCAAAATACGGCATGCGGATGGTTGCAACCCACACGCCCCCCTCCCTATCCGAAGGAGGGGGAAAACAAACGGAAACAAAAAGGACGTACCGTAGTAGAAAGGATCGCGGAACAAGGTCAAGAGGCAGAAGACAGAAGGCAGAAAGCGAGGCTCAATCTCAAACCGGCGTCGTCATTTGCCCATCATCATCATCATCATCATCATCATCACCGGCACGATTGAAGCGAACACCCCCCCCCCCGGCTTTCAACGGCCCGCAAGACGTGCCGAGCCCTTCTCTCTCTCGCGCAAACACCGTGCGAGATTGTCACGTTTCATTGGGTTGCTTGCCCCTGGTCAAGGTCGCCAAAACGCCCAAAACGACAAGCAGCAACATCATCTCGCACAGATACACACACCGAACCCAGCAGCATTAACGATCCTCGGGACCGAAGGGGCGCGGGTCAAGGCTCTTGAGACGAGGGTACCCGCGTCTCATACGACTACGTACAGACATGCACATAGGTACATATATACAAGGTCGTAAGCAGGATTCTGCCCTCGGAAGGATGCTAGAGAGACTCGAGCACTCCACAATCAAGGCGGGCCGCAGCGACTCGCAAGGAACCGGATCCTCCGGGCCCTGGCTAAGAAGTAAGTTAGACTGCCAAATGCAGAAGGACTTTTTTCTTTCTCCCCTCCCCCCCCTTGTTTCCTATTTTAATGTCCCCTTGTCTCCTTTGCTTCCTCCTCCCCAGATCGGGAATCGATGCGGCGAAGTCAGTGATTGCCTGACTTGATTTTGTTCCTGAAGGAACAGGCAACACTGCCGGCCCGGGACAAGGCAGGCAATAGACCAACAACAACAATCTTTTGTGTACGCACGAGCTTGATGTTGCATCAGGCATCCGTTGGTGGGATAAGAACTGCGTGCATGTTTGTCACCGGTGACTAAGAGGCTAAAGTTGCGAAGGAACACGTCGGTCTAGGTTGTCTAAATATTAGGCCGCTCTCTCAACCTAAGTAGATTGCTACAGCAATTTTATTATTGGTTGGAAAGAGGTGTGGTGGCTTTGGTGGGGGAGGGAAATCGCAGGGCATCCTAATAGTCTCGCAAACTTGGGCATATCCTTCTCGGACTTAGATCACAAATGAATACCTATTGTGCCTCGGGAAATAAACAAAGTGGGATAAAATGGGCCAATATTCCCCACGAGGCTTGGCTATTCAGCGGGAAGGATTCATAAGAAACGGAATACTCGGGTGAACCCTCCCACTCGCCAGGTTAGGCAAGTCATTCTGACAGGTGTGGATTGTACGACTCATCACGAAGCATGAGAGGAATAGCCAGTATCATTTGGTCACGCCAAGGCCACACAGAACGAAAAGATAAATCACATGAGAAAGAAGAAGTGTGCATTATCTGTCTATGTAGTCGCAAGCGCCTTCTCAATTAAGCGGTGTCCACCTGCTGAAGCTGCAAGTCCTCGTCCTTCCATTCGGGGGTATCAAAACTGGAGAGTGCCTTCCCATCGCCCTGAATTATTTATGTCATCATCAAGCTTTCCCTTGTGGTGGTTGCCTTAGTGGGCACCAGCCTCAGCCTGCTTCTGAATATCGGCCTCAGCACCACGCTGCTGGGTCTTGCCAGTATCGTGCTGCTTCTGGTACTCAGCCTCGGCGGCCTTGTTGCCCGTCAGGCCGGCGACAGCCCCACCAATAGTACCGGTGGCACGGTCAGCAATGCCGGAGCCGAGATCAGACAGCTGACCACGGGCCTCCTGCTCCTGACCCTCGAGGTTCTGCTGGCGGCCTGTCTGCTTGAGGTCCTGTAGAATGAGTCAAACGTTAGCATATTGTAGCGAGCAGGTAAAAGAGGGGTTGGGAAAGAGAAGGTCTTCTCACCTCAGAGCCAATCAGTCCTCCAACAGTCTCCTTGGCGCTGCCCACGGTCTGGTTCCACGAGCCTGCGCTGCGGTCGGAGTTGTCCTTGGCAACGCCTGAGGTAGAAACGGTGGCGCCTGGCAGCTTGACGGCGGCGTGGGAGGCATCGTGCTCGGCCTGCGCCTTGTCCTGCTTGGCCTCGCCCTGGTTCTTGTCACCATTGGATCCAGTCAGCGAGCCTAAGGCAGACTGAACGGTGCCGGTGACGGAGTCGACGGCAGCCTTGAGGGAGGAGGTGTTGTCGTTGGTAGACATTTTTGTTGTGTTTGGAAGGTTTTTGTGGGGGGTTTGGTGGTTTATTGAAGGGTTGTGGTTGTAAAGTGTGTTTGAGTTGTTTTAGTTGTTGTTGATTGTACAACGCCAACAGTCCCTTTCAGAAGGGAAGAACAGCCATTTAAATAATCCAGAACCCCTCCCCTGATTCACATGTTCCGTCACTGCCTCTTGCACTTTCGTGAATTAACCCCGCCAACAGGCTGAAGAAGGCGCAAACGCGTCTCACAGTTAGGCGGGGTCTGGCCTATGACATCACGTCGGACAACAAAAGGGAGAGGTAGCCGCGATGACATCACTTGCCATCCGAACCACCGCACCAGCGCAACCCAGACCGCGCCAGAAATAGCCTCGTGCTTGCCATTCGATTGGTTGGCCTCATACGTAATAAGATCTGTGCGAGGCGTTAGGAAAATGAGGAAGAACTGGCGTGATCACTTTGCCTCCTTGTCCACATGGTCTATTCAAGTACCTTAGTGCGCCATCATGCCTGTCACGGAGGGCATCGTCTGGAGCCATCAGGCATACAGATTTTCTCTTGCTGCCAAAACTGCCCTGGCACGTGCTTAGATATGATTCACAGGACCCGCAATATCACGAATACGCACAGGTAGGACATGTCATGTTGAATCCGTAACTACCTTGACTGTGAAAACGATGCCCATACTTGCAAACGAGCTGAATGATGGAAAGTCCAGAGTGACGTTGGTATCCCTTTCCCCCAATATACAAATTGCCATGACGCCGACAAGTAGAAAAGCAAGCCCGTCAAGAGAAGGTCGCCCGCCTTCCGCCTTCCGCCTTCCCCCTAAAACTAATATAAGAACCGGAGGTGATGGTGCTTGACCGTACAATATGATTTACAAAGAGCAGTTGGACAATGACGGTCCCTTTTTTAGCCCACGTGTGTGATGGGTGGGTTCACGTGTATCCATCACGACCAGTGGCTGATATCATCGTCTTCTGACCGTCTTGATGAACTCAGTGTTGGCTCCACTGGATGGTGTTGAGGTCGATGCCCTCCTGCACCAGCTCCCATAGGGGACTCAGCTCTCGAAGAAACGTGACACGTTCTTGCACTGCCTTCAAAACGTAGTCGATCTCCCGCTCTGTGGTGAATCGGCCAATACCAAAGCGGATACTGGAGTGGGCGCTCTCGTCACTGTTGCCAAGAGCTCGCAAGACATAGCTGGGCTCGAGAGACGCAGACGTGCAGGCGCTTCCCGAAGACAGGGCAATGTCTTTCAAGGCCATGAGGAGCGACTCGCCCTCAACATAAGCGAATGAAACGTTGACGCAACCAGGATAGAATGACTTGGAGTCGCCGTTCTGGCTCGTGTGCTCGAGCGACAGGAGGCCATTGAGAAGTCGGTCAGAGAGATACTTGATCCTCTTGGAGTCGTACTGGCAAGAGTGTTATGTTAATAAGTATTCGTAAAAAGAGAAACGTTGTAACTGGTAAATGATGTGAGGAGGGTCCATAATCAGGTAAACAAGAATGCTATCGGATCAACATGAAATTCCTTGTCACGGGAATTCAGAAAGCCATGCAAGTAGAGCAGATCATCAGGTGGAAGAGGTTGAGTTTGACAAAAGGCTGATGAAAACATTGCAATCGATTGACTTACCGGCATCTCCTCCTTGGCAATGCGGCAGGCCTCACCAAATCCGACGACCAGAGGCGGCGCCAAGGTACCGCTCCTCAAGCCTCTCTCTTGACCACCTCCGCTGATGATAGGGTCAATCCTCACACGAGGCCGTCTACGGACATAACAGGCACCGATGCCCTTGGGACCATAGATCTTGTGGGAGGAGATAGACATGAGGTCGATGTTCATGGCGTTGACGTCCAGCGGTATCTTTCCAACAGCCTGGGCAGCATCGGTGTGGAAGAATACCTTGTTCTGCCGGCACATCTTGCCAATCTCCTCGATCGGCTGGATGACACCGATCTCATTGTTGACGGCCATGATGCTCACCAGGGCCGTCTCGGGCTTGATGGCAGCTCTGAGCTCGTCCAGGTTAACCAAGCCGTTGTTCTGGACTGGCAAGTACGTGACCTCGAACCCCTCGTCTTGTAGATGCCTGCAGCTGTCCAGGACACACTTGTGCTCCGTCTGCGTTGTGATGAGATGTCTCTTCTTGCCAGACCGTCCAAAGAACCTAGCAACCCCCTTGATACTCATATTATTGCTCTCAGTAGCGCCACTGGTAAAAATGATCTCCTTGGGGTCGGCGCCTATCAGTGTGGCAATATGTTGTCGTGCCTCCTCAACTGCCTTCTCGCTCTCCCAGCCGTAGGCATGTGTCCGCGAGTGGGGATTGCCGAATACTCCAGTGTAGTAAGGGAGCATAGCGTCCAAAACGCGTGGATCGACAGGCGTCGTTGCCTGCATATCGAGGTAGATTGGTCTCTGGCCCTCGTCCATCAGCGAAGCTTCTTTTAGGACATCTGTAAACCTGTCAGCATCTCCTAACACCAACCACTCTCTCGATGAGAGGTTGTTCGCACCTGCCATAGGGCTGACGAGCATATCACCCTGCTTCTGCCCGCTCATAGCCAGGCCCGACTTCTGCAGAACCTCCCTATCCAAATGTATGGCGGTCTCGATCTTGGGCTCTGCAACCTGGGCATGATCCCTCTTTGACTCTGAGACGTAGCCTCTCCGCGACGCAGCTTGCGTATGTGGGAGAGAGGTCGCCACCCGGGATGTCTGTGACGCTCTGCGCAGCGATGCTGATAACGACGGTTGTTTAGAGGCCAGGCGGGATGCCTGCCTGAGTGCAGAGGGTCCAATGCTGGCCATTCTGACTGCGATGGTGCGATGCTGGAATATGAAGCCTATTGTTGAGGTGGAGGCTGAGGTTGAAAGCGGAAGAGGGGCTTCAAGAAGGTTGGCTGGAACTTTTTTTTTAGTTGACCTATTGATGATTAATTACAAAACAATTGCGGAGGGGCGCTGAATACGCCGTACCCGTGTCGGTATAGACTCTGATTGGTTAGTTTAGCAGCCTATGCCCCGCTTTCTTCACCCCAGCACGGGCTTTGTATAGCCCGCACGGTCTTTGGCCTGCCTATGGCATGTGCTTCTGATGTGCTGCTGGCAGAAGAATTGTAAAATAGCCCAGACACCACTTGGCATATGTGCATAGATAGAGAGAATAAAAGAGGGCAAAAGATAATAGTAATGCCAATATCATGCCCGTATCTTGTATGCTTTTCATTAATCCGGTGAGCAGCTTACACGGACATTTCGCGGCCTGAACAAGCCACTGTGCTGGTATGTTGTACAGGGCCAACGCCACTGTGGGCTAACTGCAACTGCTGCAGTACTACTATGGAGCTGGCCGCGAGCCCATGACGTAAACCCCGCTCACAAGCCTTTTCGGGGGGGTCCTGCAGCCGCCAAGGAACGCTGGATCCAGCTGAATGAGGGAATGCTTCGGCACCACAAAGAACTTGAACGAGCACCTCGGGCCTATCTGAAAACCGCCATCCTCACTGTCCAAGTCGCGCCAACAGCACCGTGAGCAGTCGCCAACCTCAAACACTTTGACCACCTAACAGTTCAGCATACACATCCAGCAGCGACACCCTACAAACAAGACCTTACAACATTCCGGATCTTGCGTCCTATCGGCCCCACGACCTCACTTGATTGATCCCGGCAATAATCGGATCGGCTGGCACTGCCACTGGACCTCGAACTTGGCCGCGATTGACCTCAGCGCAAGCGCAAGCGGACGTGGACAGTGGTGATGCGCAGCGGGCTTGATTACTTGGCAACGAAAGCGAGCTGACCGCACTCGTCTTGTACACAGCCACATCGTTACAGCAGACCTAGAGCCAGATCCTCCTGGAGTACTCGGAGTTACAGACTATCTATCTTTACTCCTCCATCCATCCTCCTCCTTCAGCTTTGTGACCAGCCGCCACCGCCCTGCTTGAGCCATTTTCGACCCTCCTAAATCCTACAGTCCCAGTCATCGCCATCCTCCTGTGCGGTGAAACCCCTTCATAAACAGACAGACGAGCGGAACCTCGTGCTCGGCACGCATTGCGCAACACGACTGAGGCAAGATGAGCTTCCGAGGGTTTTCAAAGAGTATATCGCGGGTAGGTCATCGCTAGGGAGGAGGGGCGGTTGGATGTGGTGGCATTTGACTTTATGTCGGGGATCTGACATGTCATGATAGGCACCGCAGCAGTTCAAGTCCAAATTCAACATCGGCGAGCACACAAAAGATGCCGTCTTCATTGACGCGGAACGGCGCTTTCAAGAGCTGGAGACCGAGACCAAGAAGCTCCACGATGACAGCAAGAGGTACTTCGATGCCATCAACAACATGCTCAACCACCAGATCGAATTCTCCAAAGCCATGACCGAGATATACAAACCCATCAGCGGCAGAATGTCAGACCCAGACTCTCTCGTCATTAGGAGCAACCCCGAAGGCGTTCAGGCTTGCGAGGAGTACGAGGCCGTCGTGAAAGACCTGCAAGAGACACTAGCACCTGAGTTGGAAATGATCGAGAGTAGGGTGATTCGACCTGCCAACGAGCTGCTGGACGTCATCAAGATCATCCGTAAGCAGCTGGTCAAGCGAGAGCACAAGCAGCTAGACTACGATCGACACCGGGCGACCCTGAAGAAGCTGCAGGATAAGAAGGAGAAGTCCATGAAGGACGAGAAGGCCACGTGGAAGGCCGAGGGGGACGTGGAGCAGGCCACACAGGAGTACAACTACTTTAACGACCTGCTGAAGGATGAGTTGCCCAAGTTGTTCGTCCTGGAGAGGGAGTTTATCCAACCCCTCTTCCAGTCGTTCTACTATATGCAGCTCAACATTTTTTACACGCTCCACGAGAAGATGCAGGCCTGTGATATCGGCTATTTCGACCTCACACGAGATATTGAGGAAGCCTTCTTCGCCAAGCGTGGCGACGTCCAGGAGCAGGCCGAGAAGCTCTCGATTGTCAAGTTCAAGACAACCGGGCAGAAGAGGCCTCCTAAATACCAGCCAAAGCCCGCCCTTGGAAGTTCCACGCAGCCAGCAGGTCTGCTCACCCAGGGGACCGGTTCAGAGGACGACAGCACTGCGCCCTCAGAAGCTCCGTCAACATCTGCCTCGTTAGCTTCACCCCTCGCCATGAGGGCGAAGCCTTCTCCCCAGGTGGGGTACCATGCGCACTCCAACAGCGTCGAGAGTCATCCTCCGCCACCATACTCGCCGGGATTGTCGTCCCCTCCTTTGACGAGCCCCAAGCCCGGGTCTCTGGCCGCCGCAGCTGCTGCCAAGGCCAAGCCTCCACCACCGAAGCCCAAGCCCAGCAGGCTGAGTGGTGCTCCGACTACTGTGGAGACGGTGACAGCCCTTTACGACTACTCCGCGCAGGCGGAAGGCGATTTGAGCTTCCGGGCTGGGGACGTCATCGAGATTGTGAGCAGGACGCAGAACGATAACGAGTGGTGGACTGGCAAGCTGCATGGCAAGTCTGGGCAATTTCCAGGTCAGTATTGGTATACCAATTCATTCCTTTCTGGAAATCAACGTGAGACGGTAGATTCTGACGGATTCTGTTCGCAGGCAACTATGTCAAGCTCAACTGAGCAGCCACGCACTGTCACAGTTCTTGAGGCACCTGGCCGCGTTGGCCTCATGTAGGAGAAACACGTGCGTCGCACATTGGGAGACGATGGGGCTCTAGATCGGTCGTTTACCTGGAGTAGAAAGGTTTTAGCATACAGGGTCTCGCGGATACCCATATGGACAGTGTTTTTTTATCGAAAGGGGTCCCTGAATTTGGCGTTGGCAAGGATGATAAGGAGTGTCTATTCCTGTTTGTACTTGCCTAATGTATGTGTATTTTCTTTAGATCTGGGAGAGAGTTGAGTGGTAGGCTGGATCTGGCAGATGGGACGAGACTCTGGGCTCAGTCTATCGCCTCGATCCGAAGAAAGGCACTACTACTATCATCAAACCACTCTCCAAAGTTACCGGTCCAGTGCGAAGTAGAGTTTTGAAACAGTCACACTACTACATCCCTGATACTCATCATTCCATTGTGAGAAGGTACGTGTGCTCGGATCCAATCAGATAAATGGTTTGTCCCTGATGCAAGAGTTTTTTTTTGGTTGTTCATTGCCACTATGGAATTTTATAGAATCATAGCTTGAACCTGGCCCGCGGTGCCTTACACGACTGTGAAAGGAGAGCAAAATTATTTCAAGATCCACCTGCCCTTGCAATGCTGAACGGAGGTATAGCAGAGAGCGTGCGATGTTGTCAACCCTAATCAGGCGGCTGTTAGGACATCTAGCAAAGGAAACTCATGCAAGTTGAGATGGTCTTGGTGGCCAGTAAGACTACAGGCTATGAACACTTTCCAAATCGATCGCCTCGCCCCTGTTTAACACGACATTGACAATAAAACCTTATGGTAAGACTCCTGACTGGCATCCACCCCGTGTCTGTCACGTCCCCTTCCCGTCATGCCGGGCCCCCGACTAATGCTGCTCTCCGTAATCCATCAACACTAGGGAAGATCTATCCGAAGGCGGGGAGGGGAAGCGGACAGCCCCCCCCGGGGGGTGGGCTTGCAGCAGGAGCACGGTTGGTCAGTATCTGGGTAAGCAAATTCCGGGCCCCATCTTTTCTTTCGCACATTAGTTCCCTTTTCCTGTGCCTGTAAACTAGTGTACTTTCTTTTTCGGCATTCCTGCATTTTTGGGAGGGTGTTCTTCCGGCGAAACATTCTAGGTCAGCAGACCCATCCATAACCACGGGAGTGTCTTGCCAAAGGAGGGTCACGCGAGGCCCCTTGTGAGTGAGCAAGTGGTGTTCGAGAGTATGGTAAGTGTCAGCAAGGACTCGACTTGTTGTCAAGGCAGACTCTTGTCCGTTTTTCGATTTCCGTTAGTCTAGGCTGTCGAGCTTTTAACCGGTTCCATTCTATCGCAGGACTACTACTACGTTTACTATTCACACTATCACTCTGATTTATGGGGACCGGTTGGAAAAGATTTAACGCGACAGCGTAGGAACGCTCTACATATATAGTGAGTAATGATGTATCAAGCATTGTGGCCTAGATCCAATGTCTAAAACGGCACTTTTTGATGAGCACTAGATCCTTCATGTTGGGGGTTTGGTAATTAGAAAGATACTTCAAATCGTCTCGGGGTGGCCACTTCCAAGACATATCCTAAAAAAAACCAAGGCAAGACATCATATCCAAAAAGTGTCACGACCAAGAGAGAGAGACACACACACAGAGAGAGAGAGAGAGCTTGTTACCTTCTCAATGCGCAACGGCGCACTGCAACGATAACCCACACAATCTTACACACACATGAAGCCAATTCCGGTCATGGGATTCCCCTCCACTGTGAGGTTGGGGCTGTTAAAAAGCCTTGGACAGGGATTTGGGCTTACATGCATTGGTGAGATGGATCTAAGGATGTCTAGCTACCTACCCCGGGTGGGAAGAAGGGCTTTCCCTTTGTCTGGCTGCCGTTGCTTGCTGGCGAGTAGATGGTTTCAGACGAAGCTTATGGCCACCGCTAGCACCAAGCCATGTGTGCAAGTCCACGTTTCGAAACAAAACACGTTTTCCCCCTCCTAGCCCCAGGGAAAAGAGAGTGTGTGTGAGAGTGAGAGAGCCTCATCCAGGTGACACATGGCGCTTATACAGGGTTGTATGTGAGGGTGCCAAGGGTGAGCCTGAGTGCCTAGGTGGTAGTTGTGTACGGGATGGACACCACTCTCATATTATTCGGGCGAGAGAACCCATGTCGCGTGATCATCACAAGAGGGAAGTCAGACAACCAGATAAGTAAGGCGAATAATTCGGTCCTATCTGTTGTGATTCCCCACAAACCTAATTAGATAGATCACTAAACCAGTGGGCCTCGTGTCATGTCTCTCGTCTTCATACGTCCTGCATATTTGGGGTTGAGGCCCGCGTCGTCGTCAAACCGATGACATTATCGTCTGCAACCCTAAACAGCCTTGTCAAACGTTCCAGGACGTTCTCTGCAGTGACCTAGTTACCTTTTTCTCCCTTGTTTCCCGCGAAACGAAGATCTCGATGTGGTTTCTCCATCTGCTTTGCATGAATGATGGTTGCTTTGCAGGGGGGCGTGGAAGAAAAAGAAAAAAAAAAGCAAGGCAGATTCGGGCAGCTGGCCCAATGGCCTTCTTGATCCAGACATCGCCGGATGGAATGAGCCCTCTCGAGATTCCTGGACAAACCATTGGCGTGCTGACACCTTCTGAGCGATTGGCCAGATTGACACCGATTTTGCGAATTGTTCTCCAATGCTTCTACCCCTGACATGCTCCTCGCCTTAGCGCTCTGCTATCGTCCACCGGTGCCAGCCTGCAGCAAACACTGGTGGTGGTGTGTGTGTGTGTGTGTGTGTTTCGAAAGAATCTCATGCCACGTGCATGAAAAAAATGCCATTTTGCTTCTTGAATTGCATTAAGTGTCTGCAGAGCATCGGAGCCTGCCAATAAAGCACGCTGTCTTGCCCTGGACATCACCCCTCGGCCCCTACAATGCAGTCAGACTAAGCTCTTTTCTCTTTGGCGGCAGCAGCAGCAAATATTTTTTTGTCTTCCGCAAAATCCGGCAATCCGTAATAGCCGAACGCTATTTGGCGGTACATCGCAGCCTCATTTTGAGACCAAGCATTGTTGGCGGCACCAGGTGCCTGGCCCCCCCCAACAATTCGATGCTGCAGGTCATCCGTGGATGAGCATGGAACTGAAGAGCTGTCCTCTCCTGATGAATATCCAGAAGATCCTGGAGATTCCCCATCGGGAGCCGCACCTTCGCTTGTGATTGCTAAAGGTTGGTCCAGGCCTGCGTCCTCCTCCTCCTCCTCCTCCAGCCAAGGGCCAGCGGCAGACTCCTCCTCTTCCACCATGGCCTCGTCGAACCATTCCACGCCAGTAGCGGCAGCAGCCCCATCTACACACTCTGCAGATTCCATGTGCGCATGCTCCGTTGTTGGGGCTTCGCTCGTGCTGTCAATGCTCTTGCCTCCGAGCCCATGGTCCTCAACAGATTCTACTTGCTCCCGTCCCCACCTCTGCAGGCCCTTCAACTTGAGGCTGGGGTCGAAACCTACAAAAACAATAGCTTGGACGCCATCTGCGTTACTTCCTACAGAGTAGACGAATGATCTTTCATCCCACACGCCCTTCACGTTGCCTGTATGCGACGGTGGGTTGATGATCTTCCCCAACTTCTCTAGACCGGCTGCATCAGCCCCTGCTTGCTCGCCTTCCTCAGGTGTCGGGGGCCAGAGCGTTATAGTGTTTTTCCCATCATTCTTGTAGAGATGCATAATGCGCGCTGTGTGCGGCAGCGTCTTGTCATGTCCTGGTGAGTCGGGACCGAGCTGGGCCGCCGGGCGAAGCTGTCTCGACCCTGAGCGGAGTTGCAGGCGAGCCTTGCTGCTCAGGTCGTCTGGATGCGGATTATCCACGAGATCGAGGAAGGCTTGGCTCTCGTAATGGTAAGACCTGATATGACACTTACTGAGCGTGATCATCACGCTCGCCGAGGAATCATCTCCTATATGCGTCTTGTATGGGTTGCGAAGATGGGTTTCTGTCTTGGCCGGGATGGTAAGGCTATCCCATCGGGTGGGGGTGGTGTGGGTGGGTGTGGTACTGCAGCCCGGATCGAGAAATATGTCGTCCCATGTATCTCTGTCGCTGCTGCTACTCCCGCCGGTGCCGTCTCCACTGCTGCCGCTGGTAGCAATATTGCTGCTACTCGATGAAGCTCCGGCTCCAGCGCCCGCAGTCGCTTCAGTATCATTGCTCTGGTTGTCGTCCCTTTTGGACTTCCAGATTATGTCTGTAGTGTAATAAGCCCTCTGGCTAGAACTTCGCTTGTCTAGCCACTCTTTTCTGGACTCGAGAATCTGTATCTGACCGGTCTCCTCGTTCTTGACAAGGCGGACAAAGGACCACCGGTCGTCTATAGGTCCGTCAGCATGCTGGCGACGCCACATTTGCTTCTTGTCCGCCCTATCAGTCAGCTCTTGGCGTGGTCGGTCAACAGGGAACCGAAAACAATGATAGTAGGAGGTCCAGTCTACTTCGTTCACTTCGAAGCTGGTCTGGTTAGACAGTCCGTAAAAGTAGCCATCAATGATTTCGAAGCAGAGAGACTGTCCAATGTCTGAGCCGACCATGTCGATGAGGTGTATCTTATTCCTTGCCCATTGACCTCCGTTAATGTCATAGTTTGTCAGGACCCATCGGCGGAAGCCATCCTCCCCGATCTCGGAGTGCGTGCCGAAGTAGAGAAAATCAGCGTTATTTCTTACGAAAAGTTTGCAGGTTGACTCGAGCGGCCGGGTCGTGACGAGGCTCCCCTCGGGCACTTTGAGGACGACCAGGAAGCTCTCAGAGTAGGGCCGCGAACGGCTGTAGAGGCATGACACGAACCCCTCGGCGTAGTGCAGAAGCTCGAACTTATATCGCCTCCGGCCCCTCGGCTGCGGCAGCTTCTTGTGAAGCAAGCTGCGGATGTCGAAGACTGTCTCTTCAGACTGCGACCCATACACATCCAGCACTCGTAGTGTCCGGTCCAGGATGTGGCATAGCACGCCACCAGAGTACAGCCATGACTCAGCTACTGCGAGGATCGCAGCGGTGAAGGGTGCCGCAGCGCGAATGGCCTGTCGCCGCTGAACAAGCCGGCGTAGCGCCCCTGACCACTTCCCCGAGATGCGGGCCTCCTGAACCTCTGCCGTGGCCACAGCAAGTGCCTGCGCCCAGGCTGGTCAGCTGTAGGTCTACACGGACTGAAAAGATGGTGGCAATGTACGTGGGCAGAGAATGCACACCAAGGGATGAGGTGATCAGGAGGGTAATTTAGGGGGGAAGAGCCTGTGAGTGGGACGACGCACCTCCAGAAGTGGTTTACAGCACCTGTCATCTTGGATCAAATATCGGAGCCATCGACTGGACAGGGACAGGTGAAAAGTATCTTCCAAGCTTAGATTTTGAACAATCATGAAGACAACCTCATATGGGAGAGACCGTAAAGACATATCCTGAATTCTTGGTATGGCTGACCGTCCGCGCCATTGAGGAGAGCTTCATGCAAGGAGGCCCTGTGCCTCTGCTGGTCATGCATACATTGAGAAGTAATATGATTGGGGGCAAAGAATGAGAGGGCATAGCCCCGTTTGCAGATGATGAGAGGTCGGACGGACTGAGCAATGGTTTTTATAATAAGGATGACTTCAACTTCCGAGTCTGATGAGGACGAATAAGGCTTCCAGGGACTGAAACTAGCAGCACCCAAGATTCGCAAAGGACCCATCGTGCCAAACTGGGAGCCCAGCGCGAGGATGATGAGGAATGGCTCCATTCCGCTTTGATTATCGTATTTTGCGCCGCAGCCTCGTTTTTGTCATGGCGGTAGTTGGCTGTGACAGTGTCTTGGTCAAGAAATTCCAACCCCCGCTCCCAAGCTTGGGACTTATGAGGCTCTGCGCGATGCGAGCAGAGGGCGAATACGGGATGATAGCTGAAAAACAACCATCTACCGCACTACAGGACAAGGGTATTAAGACCCTGAAGGGAGGATCAGCATGGCGTTAGCGCTCTTAGTGCAACCTGAGGCTCTAGTACTTGAGTACCCACTACAGCTCGAGGCCAACCTCTTTCCCTCTTTCCCTCTTTCCCTCCCTCCTCTGCTCCGGTCCCTTCTCTCTCTTTCTCCAACAACAAATCCCCCTGATCTTGGCTCCTCAGACATTACACTGTGCTTATCCCTCTCTTTATATGCATTTTCCCCCGTCTGTGTTCTCCCCCTTGGCCCTCTCGCACGACGTCACTGCCCCTTTTATCCCAGAAGCAGGCTATATAGCTCGTCACCCCAGTCAAGATGACACAATCTTGACGCAATGAGGTCGTTGCGGATGAACCGCTGCACCAACCGGTGTGGGTGGTCATCATCCAAGCCCTCGTGTCGATGGTCATGGTCACGATGTTGGTCTAGAAGAATGGAGTTTATTCGCTCCATGACTCTCTTGCACGATTACGGCTAGTCTTGGCTAAGTCTTGCCCCCTCAGCCATCTCATACACTGTTAACTTTGACCCGATGCTTACTCCCCACAACTTTCCAAGGCCGTGCCGAGGCCCTCATTTTGAGCCGCAAGAGACGAGGCTGCAGAACTACTCCGAGTTTTCGTGCTCTCCCAGATCCTACTTAGCCACTCCTGTCAGTGGTCCACCAGTGGACCCAGTGGACCCCGGGTCATAGGTCATGCGGCAAATTTAAAGCGATACACAAACGCCAGGGATTACCTTTGCGCTGATAATACTTAACACCACCTCAATGTTGCGGCTCTGCTGGTCGACCGAGGCAAGGACCTATGGGCAATCCCGGCAGCGCATTTCGGCTCGAACACCCATGACAAGGCTTGAAAATCTCATCATCTTGTCCTATGTTGTAACAAGAGATCTTTTGGTCTGTGTCTACCAATGCGGAGGAATTGATCCATCGCGCGGTGAGCATTATTGCTCGGTCATGTGTTCAGCGGGGTCCTACGATGCGGTGTGACCTGCTGAACCTTTCAAAGTGGCTAGATACGCGGATCCATTCAGTGACGATAGGACCAAAGTACATTGAACGCGGTGACGCAGCGGGTCCAGTGCCTGCTAGCTCCGTCCCTCCAGGCATCTGTCAGACGAACGACCTTGTATAGCCTGAAGCATTGCCTTCGGGATCCGATGCATGAAGCCTACATGTACCTCAGCATCGACTGGAAGATTCCACGATTCGATAACCCCGCAGCTGGAATCTCAGGATTGCATGACCTTTGAAGCTTATGGGTAGTATCGAGCCGAATCCCTCGCCGTGGCTTCCCTGGTGCATGAGCCGATTTCCCCTCTCGCCCTGTGGAGATTTTACCCAGTCAACTTCTGAGCCTGGCATGGTTAGTATCCCTACAATACGGTGGGTTTCCTTGGACCGTAAGAGATTTCACAATCCCAAAAAGTAGCTGCGCCGCTTTGCCATCCCATTGCTTCCTGGGCTGTATCCTACATAGTCCTAGACATGAGGATTGGTGGGCTGGCAACCTCATATGTCTTGTACTGTGATTATGTGTTGATATAAATTCTCTTTACTGCAACGACGTGAATGTATAGTACTAGGAATAGCATCCAAGTCAGGTAAGCAATATGTTGACGACCTTTGGAGAGACTGCATATCAGCACCAGTCTAGTGCTTGGCCTCTTTCCGACAAGACAGGAAAGTACGGAGTTCATGCACGAAACAAGAAACCCATTTCTTGTATTGTTGTCGCGAACCGTGTCCCAAACAGGAAAGTGTAAAATTGTCCAGTATTCAATCTCACAATTTAGAATTGACCACCAAGCCGCGTCTAGTCAAGAAAAAAAGAAAAAAAAGAAAAAAAGCCGAAGACCACACTCCAAGAGAATTACCCGTTGTCATCTTCTCGGCGATGGTTGATATCGTGGCGTCTTTCTATAATGCGAGGTTTCTGTTTCTGAAGAGCAGAGGCTCAACTCGCCTAAAGATTAATCAACGCAAATTGAACAGCACCTGCCCAGGTCAGGGTTACAATCACACAACGACGACGTTGAACACGGACCATGAAAATGGATACCCGCGAGGCTTTTTGAATTATCGCGAACAAACATGAATTTCTGGTAATGATTAGCCAAGGCGGCGATCGACTCTGGCACCCCATGAAAAACCACTTTTGGGCAATAATATGAGAAGCATTATGAATACAGTTAAATTGCGTAACTGGAATATGCTTCATGATACTGGGGGTAAATACTTAAGGGGTACCACATGGTAAATCACTGTCGACGCTATTTAAGCCTTGTGTCAGGGGACCAAATCTAGCGAAGAGTTTATCATCCCAATCGTACTTCCCGAAGGCAGAAGACGTTGGTGGGGGGGGGGGGGGGGTGAAGGAAGACAGCAATGAGGAATATTCAGAGAGGAGAAACACGAATGAGCCTCATACTCGGACACAACAGCTGAGCTGAGATGGCAACGCCTAACGCGGGCTAACAAAATCACTCCCAGCCTTATATCTCCATAAAATGGTAATTCAATATTCGGATTTGCATACGCAATACGCTTTGATCAACACGAATCACCCGACGTATCCGGTCACTCCCGATTGTCCTCCCAAGGCTGCGTTATCTACCAAACTAAGAACCCTCAATCTAACAAGGTAGTCCATCCTTTACCAGTGACTATGCTGGGGTCGGGTCGTTGGTAAATGCAGGATAATTGCATGTGATTCGGGGCGGGAGGGGGGCGGAATCCTCAATGCCAAGAGCACTCGAGGTGTTATTGGCGTCGTGTAGATCGGCAAAAACTGCCCTCCAATTATACATACATATATACATATATATATATATATATATGAGACTATTTGTTTCGGATTTAGGATATCAAATGAGTGCGTAAACGACTTCGTGTAGATAGATGAAGGTCGTCCCACTTGTGGAGTTGTCATGTCGCATTGCATATACCATTGCTATTTGTTTGAGGCATTTCCCTAGAACGTGACATCCCTGTTGAACATGTGATTATGACAGGTTCCGCAATATATACAACCAGAGCCTTATCCGACACGGATTGAATGAGGCTGTGCCCACTTGATTGGTGTTTTGAAAGACACGGGCAAGAGCAAAAGTATTGGCTGCTTAAAGTTTGAAATAGTAAATATGTTTTAGACTCGAGCATCATTATTTCCGACAAATTATTAATCAAGTAGCCTTTGGACATGAGCGTTTTTGGGTACTTGCTACTTGGTCGACATATTTGCAGCATCGACGGCTCAAGGGACGCCTATAGCTTACATTGTCCGGACAGCGAGTTGTTTGCAGGCTGCAAAACGAAATGTCTAGACCAGGATATGAGACCATAGGCGTAAAATCAAACACAAGAGACATTCTAGACTTTGGTAAATCTTATTTCCTAATCCAATTCCAGTCCATCATGTAAGCTGAGAGTGGTTTGAAACCAGAAGTGAGTATTGCTTGCTCAAAGAACGAAAGAGATAAAAACATGTTCCGGACTCCCAGCGCTATCAAAATTCCTCCAACCCTCAAAGGTAACCTCGAAAACAAACATTCTTTACAAAGCCTTTAAACCTTGAAATGCCCCTCTTAAGTGATATGCCCATATGCCCCAGAAAAAAAAAAGCACGATCGCAGCCAAGACATCAAGCTCTACCAAAACAACCATTGCCGAAGGAATCAAGTCGCTGAAAAATCAATGTGAAAGTTTACCCCCCCCCCCGGGTTCTGTATAGATTTCCGCAAGAGCTTCAAGGACTTAAAAGCTCCAGCTGATTCCAGAGGTCTGCGACCCTCCATCAGACGTGCTGAACCCACATGCCTCATAGACAGCAGTAGCGACATCGATGTGGTCAGAAGCACAGCCCATACACTTGTCGATGGCGGTGGCCTGGACGGTCTTGCCGTTGCAGGTGATGGTCATGGAGGTGCCGGACTCGCCGCTGCACTGGAGGAGCGACGGGTCGACAGCGACGTACATGCTGCTGTCGTCGTAGACAGCGCCGCACGACGTGTAGGCGCCTGTTGTGGGGCCGATCCAGGTCATCTGGCCCGAGTAGCTGCCGCGCTGGAGGAGGGGGTTCGGGGGTGATTGCAGGGGGGATGCGCGGACCAAGGCTGGTGCTGCGAGGAGCATGGCGGAGAGGAAGGCGGTGAGGTAAGATGGAGACATTGTGGATGCTTTTGAGGTGTGTACTGGGCAGGCGTATAGATGATGAAGAGAATGTAACTGAGGAGGAGATACTGAATCCTGGTTGCAAGCTGTTGACTAGTTGAGGCAGTGGGACCAAAAAAAAAAAAAAAAAAAAAGGATTGATGCTTGAGGTTTCTTGAGGAAAGATGTTGCTATGGAAATGTAAGAATGCCTTGGGGGTGGTGGTGTTGGATGTTTCTCATGATTAGGCCAAAGATGAGAAGTCCCGGTGGTTTATATCGTCTGCCATCGACAACTCTCTCGCCTTGGACCGGAGTCTGGTATCCATGGTGTTGGCCTTGCACAGAGACCCAAACGTATCAACTCTGTCTCAAAGATGCTCATTACTATCATCTGGCCAAGCGGATCTCGACCTTGGACGTCAAGGTGTCGAGGTGGTCATCTCGGAGCCGGGCGGCAGTCCCGACACATGTATTACCACGCCAGGTGCTAATCCATCATTTGGACAAGTTTCAAGCCTCACCAACTGAAAATGTTTCGAAAATTAATCAACTCGTACATGCTGGTTGACTTTTAGGGCCCTTGTTCAAGAATCCATTACTTGAATAATTCAGAACGGTCTCTCGCCTACGACTTTCAGGTTGGTGTCGGGAGGATCTCGAGGCCGGCCCGGTCGCCTGCGAGACCCGTTGGCTGACCCCGGGGCCATTGTGCTTACGACGGGGGCACGGGCCCCGACTGGCTGTTGTACACTCTTGGTTGGACTGTCTAGGCGAAGACCAAATCTGACAGGGTTTTTTGGGCCCCTGTGTGTTTGAGTGGGAATTGAAACACGTTTCTTTAAAATTGAACCTTGGTTGGCGGCCCCTCGCCGTTTCTGTGGCCGTGAGGGCAACGCGATGGCGTGGATGGACATTGTGTTTTTGCACGTCCAATTTCACTATAATCGGGCTGAAGTGATTATACAAGGTCGTACCAAGAGATGAGACCGAAATAAGTAAAGAGAGAAACAAGTGTCACAAGCCGGCCAGAAGTCTTCTCATTAAGAAATAATTTCTCGGGCGAGTAATCATCACGGTACGACAATCGGATCGAGTAGAAATCAAACAAATTGACAGGCGCGTTATTCCACTTTAGGTCAGCAGTAGAGCCTTTATCGAGTTGTTACTCCAATATTTCTTTCTCAACATCGCAACGACTTGGCCTGGAAGTGAGCCCAAGTAGTGTTCGGACGATCGGTCCCGAACCAACCGGAGCCAGCCGGAGAAATATGGGCCCTTTCCCATGATTTTGGCCGGGGCCACCTTCCTCGACCAGCGGGCTTGTCAAATCAAAGTTTCGTCCTGCTGACGCGCCAAGTCCTCCCACCCTCTCCTTTCTCGCAGCAGATGTGATGCACTACATCCGCTTGATGAGACCGCCAAGTCTCGACGAGAGGAATCGTCTCAAGCTTGTGCTGATCATAACAACAGATCTGGGCGACTCGCTGCTCTGTCCAGACGAGCCTGTTCCCATCTCCGTCTACGTCTTCAATCATGATGGAGGAAAAGTCAGAATCGATGATGGGCGGAGTTGCTGGAGGGCTGGGATGCGGGTCCTCAAGCTCGACCTGCCGATTCCCGCGAAGACTGCGCAGAGGGCCGCCGGCAGGTCCACGAGGATCAGGATCGTCGCATCTCGCGAGCTTTCAGATCCCCCAGACGCTGCAGAAGTCCCGTTTGACACAGAAGGCCGCATTCTTGGGCTATCCGTCCCGTTTCCCAAGCACGGCCAGGAGGCCTGTTATACAGCTACGAGAGAGTTGATGACAGGTGTCGACGGTACGACTGCCGTTCTCGAGATCGAGGAGGAGATGGGCGAGAGTATTGACCGTCATGTGTGGGACGCTGGTGTGGTCACGACGGGCCTATTTCTAGAAATATGCAGCTCCAGCGGAGAGAGGGAAATGAAGTGGCGGAGGACGCCTCTGTTGCGGGAGATGCTGCATTCTGTCTCGCCCAAGAGTCCGCTGCATATCGTTGAGCTCGGCTGTGGTGTCGGGATTTTGGGTATCGGGCTTGCAAGGGCTTTATCTGGTGCACAGTACTCGGAGAAAAATACCAGTGGGACATTGCCAGAATCAACAGACACCAGCATCTCCGGTGAACTGGACACCGCCCTACCCACGAGATCGCCTACTGTTCGCGTTCTTCTGACCGACCTGCCAGATGCCGAGGAGCTGGCGAGAAACAACATCATCTTGAGCACGCGCTGTCAGAAGCGCAGCACCTCCCAACAAGACGACGACACCCCATCCCTCGATTTCGAAAGTCTTGACTGGGAAGACGGCAAGACAGGCGCATTGGGTCCCCAAGCCAGCGCCATCAGTTGGGACCTCATCATCATCTCCGACTGTACCTACAACGTGGACATGCTGTCCGCCCTCGTCAGGACCCTATCCGCACTGCACAAGTCATCCGTCGCGCTGGCAGGCGGCAAGGGGGCTGGGCCGAAGGTCATGCTCGCCACTAAACCTCGGCACTCGTCGGAGAAAGCGCTATTCGACCTCATGAAGGCGGATAGGTGGGATGTGCTTGAGAGCGCAAGCCAGCCGCTTCCTCTTCTGGGGCTCGAGGATGAGCAGGTGGAGATTTATCTCTTTGGCAGGTCTTCCGAGCTGGTTCAAGATGGAGAGAGACCTACAATGGAAGGCTCGAAGCGGCGAAGGCTGGGATGAGGTGCAGTGAGGCTCAGAATCCACGGAAATGTGCTCTGACGTTTTAGATCATACAACCACTGGAGGAGCCGGTCTGTTCCACCGCACCGTCATGCTGCTTGCTCCAGGTCCTCCATCTGGAGACTTCTCACTTTCGAGGGCCACCAGTGTATGGGCGAGCATGGCGGAAATACCCGGCAGACTCGCACGTATACACCTATCATGAAAGTGGTTCGAGATACTCACCACCTCGTACTGGACGGTCATACTACCAATGCTTGGCCTGTTGATCACAGACAGAGGAAATTCTTGTGCGAAAGCAACGATGAGAGGCTGTACCCGGTACAGCAGAAACTCGACCCATCCAAGTGTACTGTTTTCAACATGGGAACTAGGTTTATTTCCAAAAACCCTCACATTTGTAGAGCCATCAGCCTCTGGTCGGCCTATCAAGCAGGCGACAATGCCTTATGCATGCTCTATCTCTATCGTTGTTGGCAGGGCTTTACCTTAGCAGACGGGAGTTGCGACGATGTGCTGCCAGTGTTCCTGCAAGAATTTGACCAAGATAGCGAAGCCTTGTTCAGCATCCCTATGACCTTTTGTGAAGGATCGGGTCCACTTGTCTATGCATTAGGCCATGTCTACATTGCCAGTGGTAAACAAGACTGCGGAGGCACAGATTCGGAGCACCGGCATCCGGCCCGCTCTATACCGGAGATAGTATGAATGTTAGTCATCCTCTTTTTTCCTCTTAAAAGTCCAAGTCTCATGAATTTATCCTTCCTTCTGTAAATTAAATAGTCCCATCTTCTTCTCATCTTGTATCTTTACTCTTATTTCTCTTTTTTAGCTCTCACAGAATCTAATTGCATCCCAGTCCACCAGTTTGTACTGGCCCCAACAAACATGGCAGTGGGAGAGGACGAGGTCAACCTGTGGTCGCCCTTTACAAGCGATACCATCCTCGAGGTGCGCTCTGGGAAGCTCAAGAAATTTAAGGGCCTCAATATCGAATCTGGAATCGACAAGTCACTCCTGAGCGGGCGAGTCTACATCGGCAAGCTGGGCATAGACGGCGATGAGCACGACCTGACGTTTCATGGAGGGCCTGACAAAGCCGTCCATGGATGTGAGTTTCCTTGCCCATCCTGATCTTCATTCTCCTCACTCTCTTCACCAATCACCTCCACTCTGCCACTACTAAAAACGACACGTCAGACTGCTGCACACACTACCCATCCTGGGCCTCCGAGTTCCCCACCGCCTCCTCCCGCTTTGTCCCAGGCGGCTTCGGCGAGAACTTGGTAACAGCCCACATGAACGAGCGCAACGTCTGCATAGGCGACATCGTCGCCATAGGGCCTGACCCCTCTACAGGACCCCTCTTACAGGTCTCTCTCCCCCGCCAGCCCTGCTTCAAGCTCAACCACCGCTTCGAGCTCAAGAACTTCGCCCCCAACACGTGGCGGCTGAGCAGGACGGGGTGGTACTACCGCGTGCTGCGCGAGGGGTGGGTGAGCGCAGGGGACGAGATCAGGCTGGTCGAGCGGCGCCACCCCCGCTGGACCATCGAGCGGGTGCAGGAGTATCTGCACCGGAACACCGGGGTGCTGGCAGTGAACGAGGAGCTGGCGGGGATCGAGGAGTTTGGGAAGGAGAGCCACGACGCGTTTGCGGGACGAGTGGCCAGACAAAAGGCCAAGGAGAGAAGGGAGCGGGAGGGGAAAGATGGGGACGAGGAGAGGCAGTGGCGGGACTTTAGAATCGTGGAGAAGACGAGGCAGACGGGACGGATCACCTCGTTCGTGCTCGAGGCGGTGGACAAGGTGGCCGAGGCAGAGCTGGACGAGGGCGCGCACGCAAAGATCAGATTACCTGCGCCCAGCGGCGGCGGAGGCGGGCAGCCGCTGGTGCGCGCCTACTCTGTGGTCTCGGGCGACAAGAACAGGCTCGAGCTCGGCATCGCGCTGGACGAGCACAGCCGCGGCGGGTCGAGGTACCTCCACGAGACGGCGGCCGTGGGCGACGTGCTGCAGGTCGGCCGGCTGACGTCCATGGCCCTCCTCACCTCGGCGAGCTGTCACGTCTTCGTGGCGGGCGGGATCGGCATCACGGCGTTTCTCAACCTCCTCGCCGAGCTGCGGCGCTTCAACTTCGCCGCCAAGCTGCACTACGCCGTGCGCTCCCAGGACGACATCCCGTTCCGGGATCGGATCGAGGCGCTGGGGCCGGACGTGGTCACCATCTACGACAGGCAAGCGGGCCAGCGGCTGTGCATCCGCCAGGTCATCAGGGACATGCCCTGGAACTCGCGGCTCTACTTCTGCGGGTCGACGCGCCTGATGGACGAGGCGCTGCGGGAGACACAGGCCGCGGGGATCGGGCCCGAGGAGGTCCACTTTGAGGCCTTTGCGGCGGAGACCAGCGGAGATCCCTTCGAGGCCGTGGTGGCCAACCGAGACGAGGAGGTCGTCAAGGTCGACGGGGAGGAGACGCTGCTCGAGGTGCTGCAGAGGAGGTTTGGGGTGGACCAGATCCCTTCCTCGTGCGAGGTGGGCAACTGTGGGACGTGCAAGATCAGGCTCAAGGCGGGGAGGGTGGATCATCGGGGCACGGCGCTGACCGAGGAGGAGAAGGCGGATTCCATCTTGAGCTGTGTGTCTCGGGGGGTTGGCCGGATTACTGTTGAGTTATGATGGGTGAGGCTGCTGTTGAGTATATGCAAGTAGGGACACATCGTCTCTCAAAGGCCGCAGAAGAGCGGTGACAGCTTTAGGTTGTCCTCAGGTTGTAGCCTCGTTCATCTTTTGTTGGATTGAAGTTGCTTTCTTCTTCTTGGCGCGACATGCACGGTGGGTTACACGGCATGAGCCACACCCTCCTCTTTGGCATCTCGATCATTCTTGATTTCTGGTCCGGCCTCAACATTTTGATCCAGAGTCTCTGATGCAGATTCCACATCCTCCTCCTCCTCCTCCTCCTCCCCCTCCTCTTCATCAGACCCCGCCATTTTCACCGGCGGCTTTCCGCCAGCAAACAATCCAATCACAACCGCGCCCCCGGCCGCCCAAACCGCCAAAGCCCAAGTCAGCGTAGCCCACCCAGCCCCAGCCATCACATATCCTGACATCAGCGTCCCCACCGACCCTCCCAGCGCAAAAGAAGTACAGAACAACCCGTAGCCCAGCCCATATACACCTTTGGCACCAAACACGCCGGGGCTCTTGGCCTCCTCCGCCTCGATCGCGTACGTGATCTCTGCCATGAGCGGCGTGTTGGAGAAAACGAGCGTGACGCCCAGTAGGGCCAAGAGAGCGCCGAGTAGAACCTTTTGGGGCGTGTTGTCCTCTGTCACGAACCTCAAGCACACTAGAATCGGGATGGAGGCGACGAAGCCTACAAAGGAGGGCCACCTGGCCCCGTAGCGGTCAGAGAGCCAGCCTACTACGGGGGAGACGAAGCCTGGGATGAAGACACAGAAGAAGATGAGGCCTGCTGCGGTCGAGTTCCAGTGGAAGGTCGACTTGACGAACAAGGGTAGGACGGTGTCAAATGAGAACCTGTGGGGTATTGTCAGCACGTAAGTAGTGTTGATGGATGGGTAGCAACGAAAAGTCCTAGGCAGATTGACTCTCTGAAAGGGGAGGGAGGGGGTTGTGTGGTTGCTTCTGATTTTTTTTTATAACTTTTTTTGTCTCACTTACATGATGGCGGCTTGTGTGATAATGCCCCAGTTGGCGGCTAGAATGCGCCTTGATTTGACGAGTTTGAGTTTGGGGTATCTTGCCGTCAGTCTGCTACTAGTAGTGACGGCTGAGGTTGTTGCTGCTGGTGCAAGAGGTGTGCCTGAGCCGTGATTGTAATCTCCACCGTTGCCGCCACGACTCTCAGCCGGCATGCCTGTCTCAAGTTTGTTCTCTTGGATCTGAGCGTTTTCGGGATCCGTCCTTCGGCTTCCTCCTACTCCATCATCCTCGTCGAGCCATCGTTGGGCGACCTTCTTCTCAATAAGGACCAGTCTTAAGATCACATCGAGAAAAATGCACCCAAAGGCGACATAGTAGACAGAGTAATACCCGCAATTGGCAAACACGGCACCCCCAATCGCAGGCGAGACAAGCAGGCCCAGCGACATGGCGATGGATGAATACCCCATCGCCATGCCGATCTTGTCGCCAAACGTGTCGGCTAGCAGGGCCAAGCCGACGCTCCAGACGATAGCGGCGCTGAAACCCTGCAAGAGACGGCCCAGGATGAAGAGGGCGACGGTCTGGCCTAGGCACAGGAGGAGGGTGGAGGCGGCCAGGGCAAAGAGGCCGATGAGGAGGGGCCAGCGCCGCGACGAGGTGTGGTCTGCATAGATGCCGACGAGGGGGCTGCCGACGAAAAGGGCGACCGTGTAGCAGGCGAGGAGGATGGCGTTCCACTGCTGGAGGGCGTCGTCGGGGATGCCGATGCGGTTGGTCATGGCGAAGGGGAGGACGGGCACGATGATGCCGTAGAGAAGAATGTCGGTGAAGATGGCGATGCAGACGGTCGCTGCTATGAAGGCCTTGGAGGAGCGCAGGGACAGGAGGTAGGGCGGTTTGGAGCTTGTGGCTGCTGTATTCTCCTTCCTCGGGCCCTTTAGGAAGTGAGACATGCTCCTGAAGTGGAAGCCATCATCACCTGCCATGATGACGCACGCCTACCCAGGTGAGCGTGTGACTTCTCTGTCTCTCTCTCTCTCTCTCTCTCTCTCTCTCTCTCTCTTGCTGTCAGCCTCGTCCGCGATCCCAACACCTTTCCTACTCAGCGCTCAAGGCGTGGGTGATAAAGTTAATATGAGTCGGTGGCATGTGAGAATGAATTCTTCAACGGAAATGGTGGTTCGGGTAGGAGAAGTGCAATATCCGGATATGGCCTCGTACCCGTTATCTTCGTGTGCTACTAACACCCACGAGACCCTTCCTCGGGTAGCCAAGCTAAAGCCAAGTAAGCAAGCACATTGCCGGAAGCCCTTCTTGTAAATTTTTTTCTTTTTTTTCTTTTTTTTTCGCAAGGAATAATTTCACTCTATATCAACTGCGACTGTCTCTTTATGTGTGGTTTCAAGAGTTTCGCCAAGTACTGATGCTTCGTACTTGGCTACTAAATCGCAATGTACTTATTCTTTATATGCCTTTCCTGATGCTACACGAAATGGAGGAATTATGCATGGTTCAATGACGAAAATAATACATGTACTCATACACTCATGGGAGTATGGAATTAGTTGGGTTTTCATACTGAAGAGTTGAAACACATTAGAACGTATGTGATTAGTAGTGGTTGTTGTTAATGGAAATGTCGTGAAGAGAGGCAGGCCAGCATTCAGAAGTCTATCGGAGCCGACTCGGCAGGCCAAAAAAGTAGATCAGCCAACAAAGTGGGTCCCAGCCTGACAGCGATTTTCTTTGCCCGTCAACTTGGAGTTTCGACACATTCTTCTTCGCTAATCAGGAAAACGAACCTCCTCTCAACCTTCGCAACCACTTCCACCACAGCAACCATGGCGCCGATACCCAAGACGATCGGCGAGTTCTCAGTACTCCCCCTGAGCATACCACCATTACCATCCTATCCGCACACCGTCACCCACCACCTCTACCTGCGACGCCACCATCCCAAAAATCCCACCCCCGACGACGATCGCTGTCTGTTTGTGACCAATGTGCCCGTCGACAGCACTGAGCCCCACTTCCGCGCCATCATAGCAGGCCTCATAGGGGCCGGGCGGTTCGAGTCGGTACGGTTCGAGGCAGAGAACAAGGCCTCCGTCGCGTCCCTCGAGCCTGCGCAGGCCGCGCGACTGTCTGCCCTTGCCTCGAGAAAACGAAAGCGGGGGGACGACTCCGCAGACTCAGAGGAGGAGGAGGATGACGAGGAGGAAGAGGTTGCACGACTGCCTACGACATGGACGCGACCGCTCCAGAAAAGTGGCAGCACCGCCGTCATTGTCCTGGCAGATGGGAAGAGTGTCGACCTCGTCCTTAAGGCGGTCACGAGAGCCCACAAGACCAAGAAGTTCCCCGTATGGGGAGAAGGCGTGCAGGAGAAAGTCCCTCCCCTCGGATCGCATTGGCTCAGCACCCACAACAAGCTCGCCTACCCGCCCCAGGAGCTGCTGCAGCAGTCCGTCGACGCCTTCTTCACCCTGTACAACCGCAAGGAGAAGGAGGCCGCGGAGCTGGCCAAGAGGCTGCGCAACGAGCCTGACGAAGACGGGTTCGTCACGGTCACCAAGGGCAGCAGCCGCGCTGCGCCTGCAAGACTGGATGAGGCTGAGGAGGCGCGGAGGAAGATGTTGGAGAAGGAGCAGAGGAAGAAGGACGAGATGGGCAACTTCTACAGGTTCCAGCTGCGCGAGAGGAAGAAGGCCGAGCAGGCCGAGCTGATCAAGAAGTTTGAGGAGGATCGGAAGAAGGTCCAGGCCATGAGGCAGAAGCGGGGGAAGTTCAGACCTGAGACGTGAGCTGCAGCTGGACCATCATGCAGTCAGAGACTATATGGGTGCGGTGGATTGCTTCCATATCGCATACGAGATTCGCAACATACCGCGAATACCCCGACATGGGGCTGGTGGGGTTCGACCAAAGGGTGAGGCTCCTTGCATCATTCATTACCTCTCCTTGGCACATGACCATGATGAACGCCGCGGGGCCAGCAAAGCATCGTCTCCCCATGGGATCCATACCACGCGGACATCGAGGCAATGACGATGAAAACCGCGTCAACAAAAATCTTCTCAAACCTGCTGAAGTCAGCCATTGATCTCTCAAGAATTGTGGACAAGGGTAAATCACAAGCTGAGCTAACATCTCCAATCTCTCTGCAAGATCCACGACCCAGGCTGGTATGGTTTCGAGGGCTTCGGCTCTGGAGGAACCATGTCCACTCTTCGTTACAAGCCCTTCAGCGAGATGGATACAGGGCGAGAAACAGGAGTCCTACCAAGCAACAGCACGACGCTGTCTGTCACCGAACCAGTAGCCTTACCGAACGAGCTAGAGAAAGCCTGCGCCGTTCAACAATTGTCTAGGCTCTTATTCATTTTCTGGCGTGAATGATCGAGTGGCAGCTTTCAGCAGAAGCTCGAGTGGGTAGAACAGTTAACTGAATCTATGGAAAAATTACTGTCCTGACCACATGAAGTGAGAAGGAATCTTCCAATTCTGATGCTCTTATGAGCCAAGACCTCGAAATCTGGACATCTTTCACAAGGGCTACAACGTCAGACACACATTTTGTCTGTCCGTGCTGACCAGATTCACCTGGATGTCCCGCCTTCCCATCAAAGACAATGAAGCGCGAGTTTCTGTCGGACGAACTGGTTCTTGTGACGTGCTATACGATTCTGTTGGATTGTTCTGTGCGAACTGGGAACCGTCTTTGTTCTCGCCGCTCCGATGCGCCGCTCGGAGTCGATGCCGGAAGTGGAGCCCCGGATGGATGGCCGGAGTTTGTAGATAAGATAAGATCAGCGCCCCTCCTCGGCTCCGGCATGACGACACAATCCACGTGCGGCATGAAATGCGTATTTTAGGAAAGAGAGGTGAGCGGTCGTGAGGGGGTAACTGCCTTGTGTATTTCTCATTACCAAAGAACAAGGTGTCTCTTGAATCACATACTGTGTCTGCCTTGGCTCCTCACGATTGCTTCAACAGATCGATCCATCCAAAATTAGTACGAACCCAATATTTCTACAGGCCATGTTACGATCCTATAGCATCCGAAAGTAGACAAAAAGACCCTCTTCCCTATCCTCTTCCTTGTCCTTCCTCTCGCGCATTCACACAAACATGGGTTCCACTCAAAGAGACAACAAAGGCATTCGCATCGCCATCGACAGGGGCGGCACCTTTACAGACTGCGTGGGCAGCCTCGGCGGCGAGGACGTCGTCATCAAGCTGCTCTCCGAGGACCCAGCCAACTACGATGACGCCCCTCTCGAAGGCATCCGCCGTATCATGTCGCACTTTTTGCACCGCGAGATCCCCCGCGGCGAGGCCCTCGACACCTCCCAAATCGACTCCATCCGCATGGGCACCACGGTCGCCACCAACGCCCTCCTTGAGAGAAAAGGCGAGAGGATCGCCATGGTCGTTACCAGAGGGTTCAGGGACTGCCTCCTCATAGGCAACCAGTCCCGCCCCAAGATCTTCGACCTGGCCATCCGAAAACCCGATGTGCTCTACTCGGAGGTTGTCGAAGTCGACGAGCGCGTCACTCTCGAGGACTACGCCGAGGACCCTAGCCGGAATCCGACCAAGGTGGACGCCAAAGCGGGGGAAGACGCTATTGCTGATGTTGTCATGGGCTTGTCGGGCGAGGCAGTGCGGATCCTGCAGCGGCCTGCTGAGACGACGGTGAGGGAACAGCTGCAGGCCGTCTACGACAGGGGCATCAGGAGCATCGCCGTCTGCTTGATGCACGCATACACGTTCCCGGACCACGAGGCTGTCGTCGGTAGGGTCGCCAGGGACATCGGCTTCCGGCACGTCTCGCTCAGCTCCGAGCTCATGCCCATGATCAAGCTCGTCTCGAGGGCGACGTCGGTCTGCGCGGACGCCTACTTGACTCCGGCCATCAGGAAATACATTGACGGTTTCCAGAGGGGCTTCGAGGGCGGGCTGGGCACCAGGAGCGTGATGGAGGAGAACCCCGGCAGCGACAGGGGTGCGAGGTGCGAATTCATGCAGAGCGACGGCGGCCTGGTCGACGTGGAGAAGTTTACAGGTCTCAAGGCTATCCTGTCGGGTCCCGCTGGTGGTGTGGTTGGCTATGCCATCACGTCGTATGACCCTGACACGAGGATTCCCGTGATCGGCTTCGACATGGGCGGGACAAGCACCGACGTCTCGCGGTACGGCGAGGGCCGGTATGATCACACGTTCGAGACCACGACGGCCGGTGTCACCATACAGTCGCCACAGCTCGACATCAACACAGTAGCAGCCGGCGGCGGCTCAAGGCTGTTCTTCAGGAACGGCCTGTTCGTGGTAGGGCCCGAGTCGGCCGGTGCCCACCCAGGCCCGGCTTGCTACCGAAAGGGCGGCCCAGCCACCGTTACCGATGCGAATTTGTTCCTGGGAAGGCTGCTGCCCGACTTCTTCCCCAAGATATTTGGCAAGAATGAGGACGAGGGTCTTGACCTGGGAGCGAGCGAGAAGGTGCTGCAGGAGCTGACCGACCAGGTGAACAAGGAGACGGGCAAAAACATGTCAGTCGACGAGGTGGCGTATGGGTTCCTGACCGTCGCTAACGAGAGCATGACGCGCCCGATTCGTTCCATCACCGAGGCCAAGGGCCACGACTCATCCAAGCACCGGCTGGCTACCTTTGGCGGCGCCGGGGGCCAGCATGCGGTCGCCATCGCCGACGCACTCGGGGTCAGGCAGATACTGGTGCACCGCTACTCATCAGTGCTGTCTGCATACGGCATGGCGCTAGCAGACGTCGTTGACGAGCGGCAGGAGCCCGACTCGGCGGTGTGGTCTGATGATGACGAGGAGGGCAAGGTGGTCTACGAACTCAGGAAGAAGATGGAGTCGCTGAAGGACAAGTCTCGCAAGGCTCTGCAAAACCAAGGGTTCGACGACAAGGACATTGTCTTTGAGGAGTACCTCAACATGAGATACCGCGGTACGGAATCTGCCCTCATGATCGTAAAGCCTAGCGAAGAGGATGCACAAGAACACTTTGGCGGCAAGGACTGGGCATTTGGCAAGGCATTTGTAAAACATCATCGATATGAGTTTGGATTCACCCTCGACGACCGGGACATTATTGTCGACGATGTGCGGGTGCGAGGCATTGGGAAGAGTTTCAGGTACGAAGAAAAAACCGTCGATCAACAGCTCAAAACCCTAGAGCGACAGGACGTCTCCTCAAAGAAGCAGCACTCAGTTGCACAGGTGTACTTTGAAGGCCGGGAGGACACACCCATCTATAAACTTGATGAGCTCGACGTTGGAACGGTCATCCACGGCCCGGCGATGCTGGCAGACGGCACACAGACCATCGTCGTCACGCCCAAAGCCGAGGCCGTCATCCTCGGGACACACGTCGTGATCAACATCACAGACAGCAAGGGCAGCAGGGATGATGATGATGAATCAGAGAAAGACAGATCGAAGCGAGAGGTTGACCCTATCCTGCTCAGCATCTTCGGGCATCGGTTCATGGCGATTGCGGAACAGATGGGCAGGGCGCTCCAGAAGACGAGCGTGAGCACCAACGTCAAGGAGCGGCTTGACTTCTCCTGTGCCATCTTCGACTCGACGGGAGGGCTGGTGGCGAATGCGCCCCACCTGCCTGTGCATCTGGGCTCGATGGGCACTTGCGTAAAGCGTCAGGCCGAGATCTGGAAGGGCGATTTGAAAAAAGGTGATGTGATCATCTCCAACCATCCGTCGTATGGTGGGACACATCTTCCCGACGTCACGCTCACAATGCCTGCTTTTGACGAGAAGGGGGAGAATATCCTCTTCTACGCCGCGTCGAGGGCCCACCACGCTGACATTGGCGGCATCACCGCGGGCAGCATGCCGCCGCACTCCCGCGAGCTGTTCCAGGAAGGGGCCGCCATCAAGAGTGAAAAGCTCGTCAGCCAGGGTTCCTTCAACGAGCAGCGCGTCGTCGAGCTCTTTTACAACGAGCCTGCCAAGTACCCTGGGTGCAGTGGGACGCGATGCCTGGCCGACAATATCAATGACCTGCGAGCGCAGGTCTCTGCGAATCAAAAGGGTATTTCTCTGATTGAGAACCTCATTGCCGAGTACGGCGAGGACACTGTCATGTTCTATATGAAGAACATCCAGGACAATGCCGAGGCATGCGTGCGGAGACTTCTCAAGGACGTGAGCAAAAAGTTTGAGGGCAGGGGCCTCTCGGCTGTCGACTTTATGGATGATGGGAGCCCGATTGCCCTGAAGGTCACCATCGACGCCGACAAGGGCGAAGCTGTCTTTGATTTTGAGGGTACCGGTGCTGAGGTGTATGGCAACGTCAATGCGCCAGAAGCAGTGACCTATAGGTAAGAATCCTCCGTCCACCTATCCACCCATCCATCCATCCCTCCCTGACTTTATAATGATCCTTCTTCCCTCAACTGACACTTATCGCCAAACATAAGCGCCATCATCTACTGCCTCCGCTGCCTCATATCAGAAGACATTCCCCTGAACCAAGGCTGTCTGAAGCCAATCAAAGTGAAAATCCCCCCCAAATCCCTCCTCTCGCCCTCGGACCATGCCGCCGTGGTAGGCGGCAACGTCCTCACCTCCCAGCGCGTCACCGACGTCATTTTCAAAGCTTTCCAGGCCTGCGCCGCCTCCCAGGGCGACTGCAACAATCTCACTTTCGGTTTCGGCGGCAACGTGGCCGGTCAGGACGAAGTCAAAGGGTTTGGCTACTACGAGACCATCGCAGGCGGGTCCGGTGCTGGGCCCCACTGGGACGGCACGAGCGGTGTGCACACGCATATGACTAACACGCGCATCACGGACTCGGAAGTCTTTGAGAGGCGGTACCCCGTTCTCCTGCGGGAGTTCTCCATCCGGAAGGGGTCGGGTGGTAACGGTCAGCACCGCGGTGGGGATGGCGTCGTGCGGGACATTGAATTCAGGATTCCTGTGCAGGTGTCTATTCTTAGTGAGCGGCGGGTGTATCACCCGTACGGCCTCGCGGGGGGCGAGGATGCCGCATGTGGACTGAACGTCTGGGTGAGGAAGGTCGAGAAGGCCAGCTGGGAGAGACAGCTCAGACGGCTCAAGCAGGGTACTAACAACAACGACGCCACCACACATGAGCAGAAAGGAGAAGACGAAGACATCGAGTACGAGGAGAGACACATCAACCTCGGCGCCAAAAACAGCGCGCCCATGAAGGCTGGGGACAGGATCATCATCAACACGCCTGGAGGCGGTGGCTGGGGCAAAGTCGGGGAGGAGAAGAGCCACCGGAGCCAGGCTGCAGACCCGACAGAAGGCTGGAGAAAGGGGAGCCATGCTGCGAGGGAGGATACGGCGCTGCAGGTCTGATGATATGAAGCATCTCTTCTACTGAGCACATAGAGCACAATCTGAAAAATGGAACAAAGACATGATATGTTAAATTCATTCGAGAGTACAGGGTGACCGGCTCGCACTCGGCCACAGCCTTGATTAGTTTTATCTACCCACCAAAACAAGGGAGTCGTCTTGAATTTAATCTACAACTAGAATGCTCTCGGAACCCCCCCCCCCCCTTCCCTCTCCTTTCTACTCTCCTTCAGCACCCATAGCCCTTGGTGTAGCCTTTTCTCATGGCTCGTCACATCCTCTTCCACCTTCTCACCCACCGCCCCGGGAGGAAGGACGGGCGGGGGGGGGGGGGGCGGTTGCTCCCTTTTCTCGAACCCTCTCCAATATGCTCTTCTCCTATAACTCGGTGCGCATCATCTCGACAACGCCAAGGTTTTGCTGTGAAACATATAGGCAAGGCAGGACAAATCGCGAAGAGTAAAAGTGGTATCATCGTGGTTTTGATGCTTCTAGCCTGCTTGCTTTATGATAAAAAAGACAAGAGGGACAATGAAACATAATGAGATAGTGAGAGAACTGGCTGGAGGAGGGAGGAGGCCCTTTGCCCTCGTCCTCAGTTCAGCCAGCTTACGTGGTGCATGATGAATGATGGATGTACGCAAGCTCTGTCGGTCATCTTCACAAGTGGAGAAGCATCATGGACAGAGAGAGAGAGAGAGAGAGAGAGAGAGAGGGAGGGAGAGAGAGAGAGAGAGAGGGAGGGAGAGAGAGAGAGGGAGAGAGAGGGAGAGAGAGAGAAGAGAAAGTGAGACAGAGCGTATGGTCCATCTGCTGGCTTCCACACAATTGACTTTGAAATTTCCTCACACCCTTTGGAGTATTAACGCCTTGCCGTGCCAAGCCATGCCAGAACCGCCCTCTCGTATCCGCTGTAAATCTTCATTAGCCATTGATGATAAGACATGCTACAATGAAGTCCTTCCTCCCCAAACCCAGCATACTCCGACTAATGTTTTCTATATACCCATAGAATGCCGCAGGCGGCTTGGTCTCGAGACCGGCGCTCCCTAAGCACGCCGACTTGCCATGGCGGCAGTTGCTCCTGCCGAGGCCAGATCCTGCTTGGAGCTGACACTGCGACCTGCAGCACGTGGGAGGCCGCTGCTGATACCACCGCTAATCGCCCCGCCGGCGCCGCCACCGCCGCCACCGCTACCGCCAGTGGTCCCAGTGCTTGTACGCTTGGGTGGAATAGTATAGACACCTGATGGCCGCCTCGAATGAGCGGCCGTCGTGGCGCTGGGCTTGAGGGGGCTGGAGCTGACGCTGAACACCCCTGATGTATCCTTGACAGGCCGGATGCTGGAGCTAACCCTCATGCTTGCCGCTGCCGCTGGGGGTTCAGGAAGGGGTCGAGGGGTGGAGATGGTATTATGACGCTTGATAGGTGACTGCTCGCGGACGGTGGCCATTCGGGGTGCAGGCACAGGCATCTTCTGGCCCGTAATGAATTCGTGACGGATAGCCTCCTCGGGCTTCATCCGTCGGTCGGGGTCCCATCTCAGACACCGGCTGATAAAGTCCAGGAAAGCCTCGTCGTCGCACTTCAGTGCCTGCTGCAGAGTCTTGGAGGAAGGCCGCCTCCTCCGGCCCTTGGATGACACCGTGAGGCGCGGCTTGCCCATGGAGTCGAAGAACAGCTTCTTCCTCGTGCTCTTTTCAATCAGATGCTTTTCAGGAGGGCCAAACACCTCCATGATGCAAGCCAGTTGCTCCTGTTCATTCTCGCCAGGGAAGATGGGGACGCCAGTGTACAGCTCAGCCAGGATGCAACCGAGACTCCACATGTCGATGGGCAAGCCGTACGACATTCCCAGGATGACTTCTGGAGACCGGTAAAAGCGGGACTGGATATAGGTGTAGACCTTTTCGTTTTCGAAGCAGCTGGAGCCGAAATCGATGACCTTGAGCTCGGTATGCATAGGATGTCGCAGCAGGATATTCTCAGGCTTGAGGTCACAGTGGATGACCTTTTTCTGCTTCAGGAGGTTGAGGGAGCTGAGCATCTGCTTCGTGAAGCGTCGGATCATCTTGAGTGAGAAGCCACGGAATGCGTTCGCCTTGATGAACTCGTAGAGGTTCATGTCGAGTAGTTCGGTAGAGATGCACAGATGTTCGCGGAAATAGAAGCTGTGGGTGAAGTTGACCATACTGTGCCTGTTTTTGGGATCCTGGAACAACAAAGAAAATGTAAGCGCATGGTCATGAGATGATGTGTTTGTTTTGTCAAGAGGGAGAGCTAGAGGTCGGACTTACCCATTCGCGAAGCTTTTGCAAGATGTTGACTTCGACCAGGGCTTGTTGGTGGAACCGCTTCTTGTTTCTGATAATCTTGACTGCGACCAGAACACCCGTCTTGTGGTCGATGCATCGCACAACCTGCCCAAAGCTTCCTTTTCCAAGAACATCGACAATCTCGTACCGGTAGGCCAGGTGGTCTCCGATGATAATGCTGTAGTCACCGCGGTCGTCGTCATAGCCAAAGTTGGGGGCCTTGGAATGGAGATCACCGACGACCTTCTGTGCGTTCTGCGTCCCGCAGAAATAGATGTCCTTGTAGTCGATAATCTCGCCTCTTTCGTAGATGTTCAGCATAGCTATCCGGATGGCCTCCTGAGGGCCCACGCGTTCCTTGGGCGTAGCACGTTTCCGGAGCGTGTCGAGGGTCTTGGCTGCGAGCTCTGTCTCCTTCCGCCGACTGCCGAGTTTCTTCATCTCCTCCTCGGCAACCAAATCATCCTTGTCCAGGTCGGTACTGAACGCCACCTCGCCCTGCTGTATCTTGGTTGTCGAAGCTTTCGATCGCAGGAACTTCTGCATGACGGATGTGGACGCGGTCGAACGGGTACCAGTGCTGCTGTCCGCCTTATTGTCAGCCCTCAACTGGCGGCCTGTTGCGTTCTGCATCGCGGCGCCTGAAGATGCATCACTCTTGTTCCTGCCATGCTGGTGGTGTTGTATCCCAGAAGTCATGCCGTTCAGACTTGCACTAGAAGCCTTCCGCCGTGCGACATCGAGTTGGGGTCCCCTGGAACTTGTCGAGATGCTCGGGCTGCCAGTCTTTGCAGCCATCGAATTCCCAGTAGTAGCGGAGATCGGGATGCGCGGTGGCGGCATCGCGTCGTGTTTCGTGTTGGCGTGGTCGGCATGTTTCTCTGTTTTGGAGCTGCTCCGTTTCCAGGACAGAGACAATTTCCTCCGCAGGGTAGTCATAGATGAGGGCGTCTGCGGCTCATCGGGACTGGATTGCTGAACCGGCGGGGACTTGGTGCCCGGCTTCGTCGACACCTTGGGCACCGATCTGGACGGCTGTCTCTGCGCACGGGGACCCGACGGTTTTGACTGTGCCGGGGTGGTACTGTTGTTGTTGTTATTGTTATTGTTATTGTTGCCGCTATTGACAGGCTCGTCAGCTGCGCGCACATCACTGCCAGTCTGCGACCTCTTGAAGTAAGGCTGATGATCAAATCCTCCCTCCTTAGGGACGGAGGAGGAGAGGTATGGCGAGACTGACGGTATCACGACGTTGGCGCTGACGGACTCTGTGCTGCTTGTATCGGCAAGCGGACTTTCCAGCCGGTTCGGCTGGTGTACGGAGCTGCTGCTGCGGTAATGAGAAGCAGGAACCTCTTTTCTCTTGGGAAAAAAGGTGCTCCGGGAAGCCGTCATCGGGGTCGATGGTGTCTTGGCGGTCTGCCGCGCTGGTGGCGAGCCTGCCTTGCGCTCGGAATGGACTGGGCTCTGCTGGAGCCTGGCGATCTTGTTGACCGTCGGGGTGCTGAGTGGACCCACCGTGAGTGGTGGGAGGTTCATGGACTTGAGATTCCTCCTAGGCTGTGTGACCGGCTGCGTCTTCTCGGGCTGGGCTTTCTTCTCCGGTTCAGTGGCTGTATTCTGCGGTACGGGCTTGCGCGCGCTCGGTTTGCGTTGCACCCTTGCTTTTTCTTGCGCGCCAGGCCCCGACAGGCTGCCTGTCGAGGTGCTGCTGCGAAGACTGCTCGAGTCGAGCCCGAAATTCGACTTCCTCTTGTCGAGAAAGGTCAGCTCAGCCGGCGAGTCCTTGGGTGACTCGTACGCTTTCGGAATGGCAGGCACAGGAGGCACATCCTCCTCGTCGTCGTTGTTGGACACCGGGAGGTTGTTCATCGACTTGGGCGCGGGCAGCCGAGAGTTGCCGGCCGTCTGCTGAGCGCGCGGCTGTAATGATCCAGTGGATGTCCGGACGGTGTTATTGCTGGTGACGGAGGCAACAGAGATGGAGCTGTAGGACTTCCGGTTAGGATCCGGCGTGGTCCTCTGAGAGGATGGCGTGGAGGTCTTCCGCGGTAGCATCGAGGGCGAGCGCGACGAAGGCCGGTCCAGGGGTGGCGGCGGGGGCTGCAGGACCATCGAGTTGGTCAGAGGCTCGGTATGCTGAGAATCAGCAGGAGGCATGAACGACCGCCGCTTCAGCCTCTGCGTATCCGTGGGGCTGATTGTCCTTGCCCCCAGGCCAGACACGTGGTGAGCAGCAGGGTGGCCAGGCACCACCGACATCCGCCTCGCGGAGGCAGGCGTGGTTGCACCTGTCTTCCCAGCCCGCGGTGAGCGCGGGGGAACACCTGCCGCCGATGATGTCGTGTTTTGATCGACCGATAGAGTGCTGTCTGCAGATGCACTGGTCTGGTTGACCCGGGGCGGCAGAGGCTGCGACAGCGTCTTGAGCTTAGCGGCCCGAGACGCGGTCATGTTGCGCGACGTGTCAGAATAACGGGCTCCGCTGTCGATGGAAGAGCGTGTAGAATCGACCCCAGACTGGTCCGCAGTCGTAGTCAGGCTCGGGCGCCGGCGCACTCCCAGGCCATTGACCGGTTCCGTGGTAGACTCGAGGAAACTCGGGCCCAGCGACTTCCTCGGCTGCTGCTGCTGCTTCCCGATGAGAGTACTGTTCGAGATAGGGGGGTGCTGGTTCTGACGGCGAGGACGTATCGTTCCTTGGTCGCGGGTGGTGTCGCTCGTCCGGGACACCGTAGAGGTCGTCGATGAGATGCTAGTCTGTCTGTTGGACACGCTGGGTCTCCTGAAGACCGGGCCAACCCGTGTCCGCACTGGCTGCTGCTGCTGCTGCTGCTGTTGCAGCGGCGGCGCCTGCTGTTCCCGCTGGTGGCCCTGGTGCGAGATTGGGGCTCGCGTGGCCATGGTCGCACCACGGAAGGTGTTTGGTCTCTCGACCATCTTGCTGCTGCTGTCTCCTCCCAGCAGGCCCTGCGCCTCGAGGATGCTGCCTTCGCCGGTCGGGGAGGGGAACTGTGTCAACTCGAGCTCGCCGGACGCAGATTCTATGCTGGTCTGGAAATCATCGAAGCTGACCTCGGGGAGAAAGGCGTAGTGGGTGGAGTCGTCCTGTTCTATCGCATGGGGATTGGAGACGGCACCGGTGGCAGAACCATTGTGGCCAAACGAAAAGAGCGAGTGGTTGTTGGAGGGGGAAGCAGAGAGCATGGGGGGACTCTCGATCACTGAGGAACGCTTTGTGTGGAGGAGGTGGTGGTGCTGCTTGGTGGGACTGGAGATTTCTCTGCTTCTGTTCCTGAAACGAGAGAGCCCAAGCTTGTCAGCGACAGGCGCCATGGGAGGCAAGAGACAGAGAGGGGAAGGGGGGGGGGGGACAAGACGACGGGACAACACGAGTACAGCACACAGACAGTGAGCGATAGCGGTCAGGATTCACTGGGGAAGTCGTGCAGGGCTGTCGCCAAACCCATTTGCCGCGGTGCGCTGGCAAGGATCCTCCTGCAAGTGCTGGCTCGATATGGGGACAAGAACATGTGTCTGGACGGACATACCGCGTGGGGGAGTAGTTGGCTGGTCGCGGGCCAGCAGGAACCCTATGGTCCCTGATCATGGGGAATAGAATGAGTGGTCGAAACGAGTCGACTCGGCTGTCAGAGAGGCGGTCGCGTTTCTCGATCTGGGCCGGGTTCGAGGGTTGAGGTGAAGGGGGAAGGGGTGGGTTGGTGCCCTTTGTCCACAGGCCGCTGGAGGCCGGGTTGCAGAAAGAGAGGACGAGAGGTTTCGCGGCGGTCAATTGAAGCGACTGGCAACCCCAGCAGGAGGAGGTGGCACCGTTAATGCGGGTGAGAGCTCCGCTCTTCCCACTGGTGCAGGACCGGGCAGTGGTCCGGTCGACAAGGAACTTGTGGGCTTTTGGTTATTGGGGGGGGGGGGGGGGAGGAGGAATAAATTCTTTTGATCCCCTTCTCTCGTCTCTGTCTCTTTCTTTTCTTCTTTCCCTCTCCCCAGCGCAACTCGCAAGGCCCCAACACCTAGAACGCAGGGATCGCAGGACGCGGACTCAGTCCGATGAGGATCTGAGTGAGTCTGCAAGGCTACCACATCCCGTTTGATTGAGAGGGGGAGAGTCTGGGGCCAGGTCGTGGTCGTCCTCGGTCGTCGTCGTGGTCGTGACGTCGTTGCAGCAGCTGTTGTGTTGGTAGCTACGTGACCTGCGAAGAAAGAGGAGAAGAAGTGGGCGAAAAGAGCGATTTGTGGAATGTCGAGGTTGGCGGTTGTTGTTGTCTGACCTCGATGGCAGGGCGACTGAAGGGAAAGAAGGAGAAAGGCCGGTGGTAGTGCAGGCCAGGGTAGGTGATGAGTGAGCCTTGGAAATGAATGGAGTTGAACCAGCGCCACGGCCAGGGTGGTAGAAGAAGACGCTATCTACTCTAGTTGGGGGTGACGGCAGGTGAGTAAGTGCTAACGGTATAACGCCGTCCCTCCTGGTGTGTGGTGCGAGCGTGTGGATGGGCGGGTGTGCGCGTGTGTGGTACCTGCACGTTAGAAGTCTCGTGCAGTGCGATGCAGAGTGCAGAGTGCAGGAGGGACCCCGTCTGTATTTTCTTTGGCTGCGAACGGCAGGGGACTGGACTGGGCTGATAGGTAGTGATGTGCCCGTTGACGCAATCCAGACACTAACAACTCCTCACACTCACACACACACACATACACACACGGTCGCTGCAGACGGCCACTGACCCCACCGCCCCAACCCACAAATTCTGTACAACCCTTGTGTTGACTGCAGCAGATGCAGCCTGATCTCCTCCCCGTTTGCCATGCCCATCTCATCTGGTACCCAATCCTTTTGTTCCATTATCATCTTGTTATTGATGAATATTGACGGGGATATTTCGCATCTCACTGGGCAACCTGCCTCAGCTCTGCCAATCACTGTCTATCAACTCTCGGCCAGAAGCCCACTCACACACGCGCGCACACACACACACACACACCCTCCCACCCTTTCCCCCCCTCCCCTGTCCTCCTTTCCAGATAAAATTGAAGAAGTAAAAATCATCTGCAGATGAGAACATGTTCCTGCATATTATGATGAAGAAAAGCTGCTTTTACTATGACCAACCCCCAGCGTTGGCCCAGCACTGGCCCTGTTCTAGGCCTATACTATAAATCCAGGGTCCAGCAGTGCATGACCGCTGTGTGGTCAGTGGGCTAGTGGCGCATAACAAGCTTCCCATCAGGCCCTACAGGTCATACCATAGGACCTCATACCTGCCATTATTGTACAAGTGCTTCAAAACTTGCTAGCTCGTTACTACTTGGTGTGTGCGCTGGGCAACACCATCAATCAACCACCATGACCCCAATGTGGTGCATCTGTTTGCTGGTAGAGAAAATGGGATACAACAAGATTCTGCAGCAATCTGGTTACGGCTCAAGTATGACATGCAATTTCCACAACAGTGACCAGGGCGTTGATGTTGTTCATGATGTTGTTGTTGATTTTGGTTGTTTTTGCCCCCACTTCTCATTTTATGGGGCTGGAGATTAATACCCAAGTCCCGGAGACCTGCCCCATTATGGATGATGCCCAATTCTCCGACCAAAGGGGGGCCCCCCCCTCTTCTCTTTCTCAAGGACGACATCCTTCCTACAAATAGTATCGGACAACCTCAAGAAATGAGTACGGCAGTACAGCATTGCTGCTTTTTCTTATTGTCTCTATTCACTTTCTCGTCCTTCTCGACAGAAGCAGGCAGGCTGGTTTCCAAAACAGCCATTTCACATAGCATTGCTGTCACTGCATCTGATCCCAAGACAGCAGCTTATAATATAGATAAACATGTGTCAATCAAAGTTGCCAGAGCTTGGGGCATATTCTGAACAGCGCAGGTGGGCATCATGCACACAAACAGTAGTCGAATCCGTCTGTTCCCCCAATCCAATTCATCCACTCTGGCCAGTGTTTTGTGTCCAAGCGATCTTCCAAAGGAAAAAAGACCCTTTGTTTCCAACCGAGGTCCCCCGAAACCCAGATCTTCATCCTGCTGCTCCTCAGCACTTATCTGCCCGCATGTCTCAGCCAAAAGTTGCAACACTGCTCCAGAGGCAAACGAAACACGAGGCACAGACACAAACACACGTGTCATGATATGTCATCACACGACATTGTCAAGGCTTCTGAGCTTGGCACAGAGGATGGATACACTGCAACTTTGATTTATCCATCCACACCAGCCAGTGCTAACCAGTGTCAGGCCCTGCGAGGACCCCCAGTGTAGAACTTCCAAGCTGCTTGTGATGCAGATTGTTCTTTTGTCTTTCTTTTTTCCTTCTTTTTCTATTCCTTTTCTTATGTGCAGGGGAATATTACCATGGATACCCGCCCGTCAACAATGTGACCAGGCTGCTGGCTGCTTGGACAGGTGAGAAGTAGTCCCCCATGTTGAAATTGGCAATCTGCTAATGCATAAAAGCCCGTGTCTTGTCCCTCTCTCCCTGCCTCCCAAAATTTTAGGTGACATTGCAGATTCAGCACAACGGGATCCCGGGGTGTGCTGGTGCTATAATGCCACAAAGCTAAGCTTGGCCTCCACTCCACTGCTATTAGGCTTTTCTTTGACATGACCCTGAATCATGCATAGTAGCAAAAGGTGAAGAAAGGCAAAAAGAAGAGATTGACGAAAATGGAAGAGAAAAGAAAATCAAATCAATCTCCACCAAATGAACTTGGACCCTGACACCTTCTCACATGATGAGCATCATGAATCAAGAGAGTATAGTCACTCTTCTACACACACACACACACACACACACACACACACACAAGAGAGAGAGAGAGAGGGCATTGCACAAGATAGATAGACTTGTCGCATTCAAAAACACGTACACAGTCTACTGGTTGGTAGCTGCAGCTTTGGCCCGCCTTGGGGGTCCTGCGTTGGCCCGATGGTTGGCTCAAACGGCTGCAAGAACGTTCTGACGCTGTGTGGCATGGGGGCGGCCTCTCCCGCACCTCCCCGCGTCAGCTCAGCCGCGCCGGCCTTGACATGTGACGCAACACGTCAGTCAGTCCTCCTGCTCCTCCATTCTTGGACCTGGACCCTGACTAAATTCAAACATCGTCGAGGAAGCTGTCTCATCTTCCTAACCCCCCCTTTCTACATTCTGAATTGGAGCCATCAAAGAGGAACGCCCCCTCTCATCCTTGGCTTGTTTGATGACAATGTGGCACCGTCAGTAGCAAGAGACGACAAACCTTGCCATCAAGTACAGTCGAGCACGAGAGGGTTTGCCCTACAGGAGTCGTCAAGATGGACGACGCAACGTCCGACATCCTCAACGCAGTGGACGAGTCCACTCTCCAGGATGGTGATGTGCTACAGAGTCCCGAGAAGGATGACGGAAAGGACAAGAGCAAGAGCAGATGGCGTGGTCTCTCTGCGCTCAAGGCCCAGGCGAGCATGCAGGACAAGCTGCTGGAGAAGTCAGTCCTCTTCCCTTCCCTTTGTCTTGGATTTCGAGGACGCCTTCTTACTAACCACCACCACCATCACAGACTTCTGCATCAGGTGATCCCCACCGAAGATCTCGCGCCCGGCGGCCACGTCCAGGACACACCGGTGCCGGCCGACAGCTTCCCTTCCTACGAGAGCACTCGACCTCCCTTTGCCATGGCGACCATGGCGACCAATTTTACGCGCTTCAACGCCCGCATCGGCGTCGTCTTCAAGTTCCAGTCCCGCGCTATCCGCCTCCTCTCCTGGCGCCAGCCCTCACAAACCCTCTCCTTCCTGGCCGTCTACACCCTCGTCTGCCTCGACCCATACCTCCTCACCGTGCTGCCCCTCGCCGCCGCCCTCGTGGGTGTCTTCATCCCCTCCTTCATGGCCCGCCACCCCTCCGATTCCCGTGAGCTGGCTTACAGCCCCCGCGGCCCGCCGCGTGCCCCCGCCCGGACGGTCAAACCTGCCCGGCAGATGAGCAGCCACTTCATGCGCAACATGCGCGACCTGCAGAACTGTATGGAGGACTTCAGCCGGGGTCACGACCAGGTGGTGACCGTGGTCGTGCCCAAGACCAACTTCAGCGACGAGGCGCTCAGCTCAGGCCTCTTCGTGGCGCTATTCGGCCTGACGCTATTCATGACCATCGCCGCGCACCTTCTGCCGTGGCGGGCCATCACCCTGTGTGGCGGTTGGGCGGCGGTCGTGAGCGGGCACCCGACCGTGGCGAGCATGATGCGTGAGACCCAGGCAGCCTACTTTCCACCAGCTCAGGGAGCGAGGACAAAGAAGAACAAGAAGAAGGGCAGCACTTCCACCACTAATGACCCCTCGGAGGAGGGAGAGGCGGAGGGAGAGGGAAGGGGCCAACAGCAGCCGCAGCAGCAGGCCAAGAGCCTCCTGGACTCGTGGATCGCCGAGGACATCATCCTCGACTCGGCGCCCGAGACGCGCGAGGTCGAGATCTTTGAGCTTCAGCACCGGGATGCCTCGAACGGGGAGTGGGAGCCGTGGGTATTCAGCCCGTCGCCCTACGATCCGCTGTCGCAGGCGCGCATCACAGGGGACCGGCCCAGGGGCACGCGGTTCTTCGAGGATGTGCTTGCGCCCGAGGGCTGGGAGTGGAGCGAGAAGAAGTGGGCCTTGGATCTATGGAGCCGCGAGTGGGTGGAGGAGAGGATCATCACGGGCGTCGAGGTCGAAACCGAGGGCGAGAGGTGGGTGTATGACATGTTCAACGAGAACGAGGGCGCCTCGGGTGTCAGGGAGCATGTGGACGTCGTCGAGGCCGGCAGCGCGGCGGCCAAGAGGCGGCTTCACCTGAGCTGGGAGGAGGGCGAAGAGGGCGAGGGCCGCAGGGGGGAATGGAGGAGACGGAGGTGGGTGAGGCTGGTGAAGAGGAGGATGACAAAAGAGGCGATCTAGCTGCTTTGTCGATCTGCAGTAGCACACAACAACAAGAAGAAGAAGTCAACTTCACAGCGTCTGGGCGTGCTTGAGAAATGGTGTTTTGAGAATGGTGTGATGTTGATGCATACGCTGACGGGCTTTCATTGCTCACGCCGCCTTCCTCAATGAATTGTAGTGCTCCCCCAAGCCATATCCATGTCGATAGTAAGCAAGCCATATCCTCTTCCTCTCAGCCTCCCCCTCCTCCTGCTGCGCCGGCCGTATCACCTCCGTGTCCCGGTCCTGCACCACATGAATCTCCACCCCATACACGCTCGCCAGCGCCAACAGCTCCAGCTGCCCGCCCCACTCGGCCGTATCCCTCATCTTGGCCACATACCTGCCCAGGTCCTCCTCCAGGAACCCAGCATACTCGTCTCCATGCTGCTCGATATACCCAGCCGCCCTCCGCCGCACAATCTTGTACCCAGGCTCCCCCACCGTCCCCTCTCTCTTCTTCTTCTTCTTCTTCTTCTTCTCCTCCCCTTCTTCTTCTTCTTCTTCTTCTTCTTCTTCTCCTCCTCCCCCAGCGCCACCGCCGAGCGGCACCCCGATCTGCCCGAGCTGGTCCGCCACCGCAGAGAACAGACAGTGCCCGTCGGGTCTGATCTCGTGCTCGGCGAGGCCGTGCTTCTTGAAGGCCGCGAGCATGGTCGTCTTCTCGACGGCGCGGTGGTCTGGCATGCGGGCGGCTTCCTGCTCGGCGGCCAGGGCGGCGGCTTCTTGTTCGGCGGCGCGGCGGGCTAGACGCTCCTTTTGGCGGTTGCGTTTCTTGGCTGGGCCGTTGCCTGTTTCTGCTGCTGCTGCGCCTGCTTCTTCTTCTTCTTCTTGTGTTTCTTTTTGTGTGGGTGCTGGTGGCGGCGGTGGTGGTTGTTTTTGTTGGGCGGATGGGGGTACTTTTACGGCCTTGTCTAGTAGGCTTACGTCGCCCAGCTTGTCTGCAACCACGTCTGCTCCCTCACCCTCGCCATCCACTCCTCCTCCGTCTTGTTCCTCCTCTTCCCCGTCCTCCGCCCCGCCGTTCACCTTCCGTATCTCTTCCGCCTGCCGCTCCTTCATCTGCCTCTCCATCTCGGCACACTCATCATTGACTCCCTTGCGCGTCTTCTTGGTCGCGTTCTTCTTCTTGCTGGTGATGCGGCCCTGGAGGTCCTTGGCCTCTTTGCGGTGCCGGGCTTGGATCTGCTCGAGGGTTTCGGGTGCTGGTGGTAAGGTGGTTTGTGCGTCGGACGCCATTGTCTGTTACTTTGTCTTCTCTTCTGTCCCTTTTTTTTCTTTCTCTCTCTTCTTGTCTTGGATAGATAGGTAGGATGTATGGAGGGGCGGGGGTCGGGGGGGGAACAGGAGTTGGAGCGACCTCTCTCCTCTGGACTCGAAGCCAGGTCGTTACAACAAGATCGAGCAGGTCGACAACGATTGTATGCTGCGTAGCCAAGAGAAGTGGTATGGGCTAGAGTCAGTGTGAATTAGAAAGAGAGAATGAAAAGCAAGCAACTCCAACACTTTTTTTCATTTTGAGTAGTGGGTAAAATGAGGGTCGACGTCAGTGCTGTACAGTACACTCATTCATAGTGGGGCAGAGGTCTTTTTTCCTGTTGCTTCCTGCATTACTGGTAGGCGGGGTTGACCTGCGGAACGCGCCGCGGTAGGCAAGACAGACACCACTAGGCAACACCCCTGTCCAGTACAGCGTTGGGCCCTTCACACTTTTGTACTTCGACTACCATACGTACGATTACAGGGTACGTGTGGTGGTATACACTATCCAGTAGGGCAGAGACGCTTTAATAGGCTCCATTCTAGCATAAACGTTCACCAGGAAAATACGACCAACAGACACGACACACGATCATAATGAATAGTCCGTCATGGCTTTTTGGTTATTGTCCCAGGCGTACTGAGAACAGCTATACAGCTATAGTGGACACACAAACCCTCTGTCTCTATCTCTCTCTCGCCCACACGTTCTCCTGTTCCATTCTCTGGGTAGTCCAAGAGGTACGTTGACCCAAGAAGATATGTTCATTCCATCTTTTGAGAGGGACAGAGACATTCCCTTTTCCTTCTCTCGCCTAGAATCCTCTCATCCCTACTTAATTCTCCTTACTAATCCAGCCAACCAAGGCCTTCCCCCCCCCCCCCCTTCCCCACCAAGATACCGTCCCAATACGGCCTTTGACCATCCAGAATAATTACCCAGAATCAAGGGTCTTAATGCAGATCAGAAGGGTATATAATATATCCGAGATGGAAGAAGAAGAAGAAAATCAAAAGATTGACCAAATATAAAAGACACAAGAGGAAATTCCGACAAAGCAGAAAAGTGACCGGGGGTATCCCGCGACAGCTGTGGTTCATGGCCATGAGCCCACGCTCAATGTAAGAAAAGAGGCCGTAATAGAATCAAAGAGATATGAGAAAGAAAGAAAAGAAATAACTCCCCAAAGTTATTTTCTGTGCTGTTCCTTTTTCCCAGCCATCATACAGACTATGGCCAGACACGAGCCAAAAAGAAAAGAAGAGACCAAAAAAACAAAACAAAAAAAAAAAAAAAGAGAGAGAGAGAAGAGAAGAGAGCGCTCTAGTTTGGGGGTAAGGAAAGCCGGCAGCCTCACCAAGATGGGGGCCAGGGAAAGAGGAGGGAAGCAAAGCAGAGCAAAGAGGCTCAGAAACCCTCAAAGGGGTTGCCCCTTCCGCTCCCGCTCACGCTGCTCTCCTCACCCACCGTCCTGTGCCTGCTGTAGCCCCAATACTCGTCCTTCCACCCACCGACGCCTCCGCGGGCAAAAGTCTCCCTGTTACGGCTCCTGCTCCTCGATCGGCTTTTCTGTCGCCTTATCTCCTTGGTCCTCTTACGCGCCCGCATCCTGCTGTCCTCGAGCGGGTCGGGGTAGTCCAGCTGGCCGTCGCTCTCGTATCGGCTGTATGCGAGCGGGCTGATGAAGGCCTCCATGCGCACCGTGCCGATGGCCTCGAAGAGGTTGCCGCCTCCGCCGCCACCCGCCACAGAGTCTCGCCACGAGGATGCCTCGCTGTTGCGACCGCTCCACTCGCCGGCCATCTCGGCCGACCTCGGCCCGTTGCCGCCGTAATACACGTCGCTCGAGCCTGTGTTGGTCGACTGGCTGTTGTTGTTGGGGTTGTGCGCGTACGTCGGGCTACCTCCGAAGCCGCGGAAAGACAGCGGAGGTGGTACGCGTCCGCCCGTGTTGCTGCGCTTCCGGCCGTGGAACCCAGTTTGCAGGGGCGGGACCTGGTCCCTTCCGAATCGAGGGATCGCTGGCGGTATGGCGGCGTCTCCAGAACAGTCGCGCTCGTGCTGCAGTGCCACGTTGTTGTTGTTGTTGTTGCTATAGCTGCTAGTTTCGGGGATCGAAGGGTGCGAGTAGCTTGACCGCGACTCGCTTGCCGGCGCCGAAGGCACAGAGCGGTAGGCGCTCGGGGCGAGACTGGGCGGGACATCAGGGATGCTGGGCATGGGCGAGATGGTGCGATCGCTGAAGGCGCCCCTCGGTGCCGCCCCCTGCGACGACATGGTCGAGCTCACCCCGCCAGAGGACCGAGAAGGTGCGTTTTTGTGGCCCAGTATAGGGTTCTGGCTCTTGGCCAGGCGGATCGAGTCGCGGATCCGTGGCCGTCGTACCTTGTTCTGCTCAGGAGGCAGCTCGTACTCGGGGGCATGCTTCGGCACCGTTGTGGGTATCTCAGGTACGTCCTGCTGCGAGTGTGCCAGGAACGAGAGTGCTGTCAGCCAGAGGTAGTGCCTCTCGGCATTGACTGCGGTGAACTTGAGAGCCCTCTGCGGCGTGAGGATGAGGATAGACCGGTTGAAGACAGCAAGTTGACCCTTGGGCGCAGGGTTGTCATCTTTGACATCAAGTACGGATTGGATGGTGACTTATGTATGTAGCACCTGGTCAGCAGAGTTCATGATGCACCAAAAAGGAGGGGACACCACTTTGTTGCGGCAGAGAGAGAGAGAGAGTTTACTTACGCTTCCGACCAGACTTGCCCAGCAGTGCACTTCCGCTAGAAGGCTGCTTGCTGCTCCACAGGATCGCTCTCTCATACGGTGCCAACCAGACCCAGCGCCTGTGCCGGTCGTTGCTGGAGTCGTCCTTGCTGCTGGTGTCGGCCGACATACCAAACGACTTCCTCCGCCGGACATACTTGAACATCCACTCGCCCACCATGGTCTGGGCAATCGCATCCACCACACCATTTGCGGCCTGTGACCCTTCGTTGGACCGGAAGCCAGTCGCCTCGGTGGTCGCTGTGGTGCCCGAGTTCTGGTGACGATGTCCTCTTCCCTGAGGGCGCTCATTCCTAGGTGTGACGAGTTCATGGGTGTTTTGTGTCACAGAAGGGACTGTGGGCGTCTGGGGCACAGTCGGAGAGAACGAGGGCGACCTGCTGTTCTTCCTCCTACTTCTGCCCTGACCAGCCACTGCCGATCTGCTCTTCCGGACACTGTTTGTACGGTAGTGCGTCGTCCGTGTGCCCTTTCTGTGCCACGGATCTCTCCTCGTCGGGCTGCGGTCATCAGCACTGCGCCCACCTGCGCTGAACACAGGCTGTCGGGAACTGGCCCTCGTGGGGATGGGAAAGGGCGGGTCTGCTGCATCCTCCTGGTGGGTGTTGATGCCATTTTGTATCATGGCAGCCTTCCTCATGCCTCCAGACTTCATACTGCTCGCCATGGAAGAGGCCCGAAGGCTGACCTTCGTAGAGGACTCGCGCTGAGGCATGGCAACGCCCTGGTTACCGGACAGCTTGTAGCGAGTGAAGGCACTGGTGGGTTCAAGTGGCTCCACAGGACTTCTCGAGCCCGACACAGGCCTTGCGACGCTCTCCTCAGGAGAGGTCGGTGCCGAGACTGGTGTCGCCCGGCCAGGTTCAGGGGACTTGACAGCACGTGGAGCCGACAGAGCTGTTCTGAACTCGGAATCACTCAGGCCAAAATCGTCCATCTCGTCAGCTGAGCTGGCATCGATGTGGTCGGCAAACATATTGCTGATACGATGCGTCTTCCGCGAGGTGGACTTGTGCGGATGAGAGAGGGTGCTGGTAGTAGGACTCTTGGCCTCCTGGTCCAGTGAGTCTCGAGGCGAGGGAGCTGAGTCGCCGAAGCTTCTCTGGGTAGTGAGCCTCCGGGGATTACGTGGTGGAACGTTCCCAGGGACAGGAGTAAACTGTGCCTCCGCGTGGACAGTAGAAGCCTGTGATTCGGCAGCGGGAGATGTAGGTCTCGAGGTGATTGCAGAGGGGTGTAGATGGGGTGGTAGCCTGTCCAGTCGCTGGTCGATCCGGATCTCTTCCGTTTGGATACCGATCGAGGTCATAGGAACATCCCAGAGCGAGACCTGGCACGCAAAGTCTCTCGAGAGCTGAGGCAGTCGAGACTGCTTGGGCGAGCTGGGTCGGCTTGTCGGAGGGTGTATGGCGATACTCGGGATGGCCAGAGAAGGCGTCGGCGGTGTTGCAGGCCGTGGAGGCACGGGAGCGTCTGTCTGCGTTCCGGCAGAAACCATGACAGCTGCCTCTTTTGAGCTCAGCTTCGGCTGTTGCTCCTGGGTTGGGGATTTCGGTGTCTTTGGTGGGGTCAACGGAACATCTGATGTCTGTGCCGCGGCAGACACCATCAGCTTCTGGGGAGCCGGTGGCTGGATGGCCAGGGGCTTCGCGATACTGGTCCTCTTCCTCCTCTGGTTTGCCTCGTTGTTGCCCTCCTCATAGTGCTTCTCCCATTTTGCCGCCAAGGCCTGTACCATCGGCTCTTGGGCAGGAGGAGTGGGAGCTTTGACGGGAGAAATCTTGGGCGACGGTGAAGGGGAGTACTGGATTCCTGTATCCGTGTAGCTGACCTTGGGGGTTACGGGTCTCTGCACCTCGTCGTCCTCCTGAATCACATCATTTGTTAGATCATCTAACTGCGATTGCGGCTGGAAACGAACGCGCGCAACGCTGCCTGACCTGACCAGGCTGTCGTTGCTGTTGTGGCGGTGATGGGATCTGGACAGAACGCTGGCACGGGAGCCACTGCGGGCATGTCTATAGTTCGACATGACGCTGTCTCGGCCGTTCGCATCCGTCTGGTAATCCGAGTCGTCGTCAAAGTCGAGTTCGTCCGCAAGGGAGTGCCCATTGGCCTTCTGCAGCAGAGAAAACCGCAGGCTCTCCCTGACGTTCATGGAGCGGATGCTGCCGGCATCACTGTCTCTAGCTCTGTCCTCAGCGTCCTCTTCCGGCACCGCCTGGTCGTTCAAGGCAGCCGCCTGGTACTCTGCCATCTCTTCCAGCACCATCTTGAGTCGGGTCTCAAGGACGTGGATCTTGCGATCCGTCTTCCGTCTATCTTCTTCCCACGCATCTTTGTCCTTGGCCCACAGGTCGTTCGTTCTTTCTGAGTCGTCTTCTTGCGCCTTTAATTTCTTCTGTGCCGTCTCAAGCCTTCTTCTGGTCTCGGCGGCAGCGTCGACGGCTTCGTCTCGCTCACGGGCCAACTCTCCGAGGGCGGATGAAGTGCCTCCCTCCAGCAGGGCCAACTGCCGTTTGAGGGACCTGTTCTCCTTGGACGTGTTGAGGAGGCTTGTCTCGAGGTTGTCTCCTTCATCCCGCGCCGACTGCAGCGTAGCTTCCAGACCCTCTATCACCTTCAATTTCTCATCCTGGTCGCGCTTCAGGGACAGGATCTCGGCGACCAGATTAGCATGTAGGGTAGGCGTAAACCGGCGTGGGTCCAGGATACTGATCTTCTCGTCAGTCGCAAGGTCTCTGACGACTCTGTCGCTCTTGTCTGTCTTATCGCTGCCGGGCATCGGCGGTGGTGACTTGGTGATCCTCCCAGGCGGGGTCACCGAGCGCCTAGAGCGCCTTGAGCTCCGAGAAGACGGCCTCGAGCCCCTTGACGGTGGTTTGGCTTCCATGGGTGTCGTGAGGGTTGCTGACGAGGTGGGCACGCTCATCTCGTCCTCGGTCTCCCAGGCTGCCGTGGTGGCATGTGTTGATTCCATGCCGAGATTCCTCGAGATAGGTTGTTCAGGCTCCTATAAGGAAGAGGTAGCATATCAAGCCAGCGGAAATGAATCCCCTCCTGTCCCTCTTGTATCGCTGTCGCAGGTAGTCTTCCGAACAGAGCCTGGAGGAACAAAACTCCTGCCGTACTGTCACGACTGCCGTGGTAGACGACTACTAGTAGGCAAGATCCTCAATAAATGAAGGTGGCCTTAGGACGAAACCTCAAGCCACGCTGGAAATCATGCGAGACCTGGTCAGCAAGGGCAGCGACGAATCCAAAATATTGGTACACCTCCCAGGAGACGGGGGAAGGAAACGTGAAGGAGAAAGGTCGAAGATCACGTACTGAACAGCGCAAAGGGACGAGCCCCCACAAGAGCCGAAGACCGATGATTGCGACCTGCAGCTTCCGCAGAGGGTTATCCAGAGAAAGAGACTACAAGACGTTAGCCAGGGTTGCATTCCGTAACGTCTGGCACGTTGATGTGTCTGAAGTATGATATAGCGCAGCATAAGAGCCCGGCTTGACCCCTGGAGTCCCCTGGAGTCCCCTGGTCATAACAAGCGATGCTATGAGAGGGTCCCCGGGCATATAGGCCCAAGAATACCATACGTACCGTTCTTTGCTCAGATCTGGTCTTGTGTGGAGCCGTGCAATGCGAATTGCTCCCAGTCACAACTGATTCGAAGACGTTTTCAATAGGAGGCATGAACCGATGGCAGAGGCCGGCCCGGGAGGTCTGGCAGCATTGCTGTCGAGCAAAGAGATAGTGATGATAATAATTCGCCACAGGGTTCCAATGTTCCAGGATTGTGAGGCCTCTTTTTCGCTGACAGAGTTGGCAAGGCGTTGACGGATGAACGGGGTAAACGCGAGGAGAAATGAAGATGCAAAGTTGATTGGTTTTCGAGATGGAAACCCTTTATATCAGCGTCGTTCCCAGGTAAGATCTTGCAGGCCAGTGATCGAACATCTGCTGGTGAAGAATCAGCACGAGGGAGTCAGATAGGCTGTGTATGATACTTGTACGAGTCGAGAAAAAAGGTGGATGGCCATTCGTGCAAGCCTGGCTGCGTATTCCGGCTGGTGGCCTTGCTATCACAAGGGGCAATACAGGCAGGGCAAGGCACGAGGAGTGAGACCACAGGCTTGTTGGGAACTCACCAATTTTGGACGGGCTGTTTGTTGGACCAGCGACGAGAAGGCGAGCAAAGGTGAGGCCGGATCACATGTGAGACAAGAACAGAAACACAGCAGGACTGGCCTGTTGGACAGATGCAGGGCAAGATCAGGTCTCAGTCATACGCCGAGATGACCGTCCAGTCACTGCATGGATGGCGGCGACCTGGCTGGTAATAAATTCTGAGGGCGTAAAAGAAGAGGAAAGGAGAGAGTGAGAAGGAAGAAGCAGAAGTAAAACAAAAGGCAAAGTAGAAGACAAAAAGAAGCAGCTAAGAACAGTGAATAGATCTCCCCGGGTATCGTGAGCCGATCGTGACGTGTATCCACAGCGTCGGGCACACGGGCGGTGATATTGTGCTTGTCGTAACGACAATCGTGATCTGTTGTAGTCTCCTGTCGTAGTGTCCAACAATAGTGAGAAAGAGATAGGTTCTAATTAGAAAAAGAGGCGGGCAAGAAGATTGAATATGGAGTGGAGGGTAGGGAAAGGAGGGGCCAAAGAGCACACAGAGTGACACCTAAACGCCAGGGATGGACAGAGATTATTGAGAATTACAAAAAACACGGTACATCCAGACGTGGCGTGAGTTGTAAAGGTATCAGGGTATTGAAAAAAAAAAATAAGATTATCAGAGTGGGTTCCAATGAAGAGATTCAATTATATGACAAGCAGAGGCAAGTTGCAGTGGAGCCCATCCGGGGCCCAGGGTCACAAATAACACTGTTACGATGGTTCTATCGTCGCAGCCAGGCAAGGGTCGCACAGGCCTCGACGTGGCGAGGGCCTGTCGACTTCATTTCGAACCCGATCAAGGCGTCGAGATCGTTTTCTGTTCGCTCGTGAGGAATCGCGTGGGGCCAACCAGTCTCCCGCCCTGTTTGGGAATTATGAGCAAGGCGTCACCATGAGTAGTCTCATTGGCAGCAGACGGATTAGGCGGAGGAGGAGGAGGGGAAGAAGCCGCTCGCCTGCAGAAGAACATCTCGAGACCTAATAGGGCGAGGGAGAGCGAGGAGAAAAGAGGAGAGAAAGAGCAGGGGGTCCTGGGGGGAGGGGGGGCATGATTAAGATTCGTCCCTGCATTGGTGCATGTCCACCAAAATACAGAGAGTTATAACGTAGATGGGACAGGGAATGTAACCTGGGGAGAAGCACAGGGTCTCCGCTCACGACCCTCCCTCTACTACTGTACTACCAAAGAGAGAGAAGCCTCGGTCAGGATTTACAGAAAGGAAACTGAAAGGAGACTTGGCTTTGACTGGTGGCGGAAGGGGCGCGAGGGGCCAAGCTGGTGAGATGAAGATCCATTCGATTCTGGGAAGCCGCGATGGGGTAAAATAACCAAAATTTATGAGAGTCGTCAAGCCACGAAACCCCCCAACTACTTGATAGTGCAGAACTGTGCTATACCAACTGACCCTGTTGGTCCGGGGAAGCTCCTGGCACGTTAGGGGCCCCCTGTGGTCTACCCCGGCTGGTCCCGTATGGCAGGTACTACTAGTCGTACTATGGTACTATGGTGGCTCTCGTAACTCCTCCCAGGGACCAGCAACCTGAGTTGAGGGCCGCTCGGGCCATGCCTTGTCCGTGAAGGGATTAGCTCTAGTTCTTGAATCCAGCTGGGCAATGTTCGCACAAATACAACTAGAAAATACGGGCCGTTCCTGTGCGTGTGCCTGAATGATATCGAGACCGGTTCGTCTATGATCAAGTTTTGTCCGTTGACAAAAAGCTGGTTGAACGAAAGGAGGGGGGGTATGGGTGGGAGCAAAGACATGGTAATTCTGGCATGAGGAACCGCCGATCTCCTTTTCCTGGAAGCATCTCACCGAGGTGGTGCAGGATGGACAGGACAGAGAGGTCTAGCCCTCAGTCCAGCATACCACATGCTACGTTATGCAGCAAAGCATCTGCGTACGATGTAGTGTGCTATGACATGTTGATACATCACATACTATGAACACATTGGTGTTGGCGGGATTACGGTAATTCTACTATGGCATGGTCGTAGTATTATGCGTGGCCCCCAGTCGGCCTACCTGCTATGAGCTACATACCATGTACTGCAATACCATAGTAGTGTGTCATAGGGTACCATAGCACATTGGCAGGAGGTGGGTCGGATTGCACTGCACCTGCATTAGCTGGCTGCAGGTGGTGTTGTTGCCAGGAACCGCTGGAGGGTGCGCTGTGACGGCTGTCATTCGCTCCGGAAGAAACAACATTCCGGGAGGCCCGTTCCTCTCCATCGGGGAAAGAGCCACGCGGCAGAGCCCCGTTGAGGAACCCTTCCAGAGGGAGGCCCCCAGTGAGAAGGAAGGCTCCAGTGAGGGACCCAGTGAGGGACCCAGTGAAGGACCCAGTGAGGGACCCCAGTAAAAGGAAGTCCTGGGCGGTCTTTTTCTCCTCTTCTAGAGTCTCCCCCACCATCCCCACCTCTTCTTTCCCTTCTCGAACTCTGAAGGCATTGCTGGTGTGTGTGAAGGCGTCTCTTGTCCTCATCCACGACTCAGCACGAGGGCAGGCATAGCATGGTAGCAATCGCACCCCGTCGCCATCCGATTTCGCTTGTGAACTCACAGGCCGTACTACTGCATGGCCTATTGGCCTCTCCTTCTTTTCTAGTCTCGGGTTTACTCGGTAACACAACCTACGCTCTGCAGAGTTCAACACCGAACTCTAGAGCTGGCGAGGCGAGATGACTGCTGCATGGCAACAAGCAAGCCAAGCAGGGTACGATTTCGAGAAGCAGTACAACATACCTAGACTGAGATGAGGAAGGAAAGCCGCCCGTTCCAGGGCTCTCTATGGCGTGTGGTTGTTGAGCTGTGCCGCATCGTTACAGCCCCGGATGTGATATCCCCACCAACCTTGCACCTTTGCGTGCCCTGTCACACTTCAAGATTGCTTTTCCTGCTGATTGATCTCCGTCCTCATTTCTCCAACGGACCATTTCCAGCGAGCTCAATTGGACCTTTGACCGAATCCAAACGGCTGGCAGGCAGTAGTGGCCGCCATCCCCCGTGACAATGCCCCAGATCACACATGATCACAAGCCCATTCGGCCTTGTCTTCCAACCAGCACAGTCCTCGACCCTCCCCTCTGTGCCGTCCTCCGGATATTGGCTGAGCATGATTGTTGTCCCCGTCTCTCTCTGTGGTTTGTTTTTCTTTTTCTTTATTTGGCGATGCTCAGATAACCGTTTTACTCCACCAGACTGGAACATGGTTAACGCCCCCCGTTCAAGGACTGGGTCAAGGATCAACGTTGCTGCACGCGAGTGACCGCTCAAGCAGACCCTCGAGAAGTGCACCAGCAGTTTTGTGCCAAGGTGCACCTTGCTCGTGTTTGCTTGCATGGGCTTCAAGATTGAGTACTAGAAACAGCGGGGCCACGCCACGTTCGGATCTAAGCCAAGGCAGCAAACAAGACTTGTAGCTGCTAACTGCTTCGCGGAAGCTCGAGAGAAGATCAACGGCTCTAGCATTGATACCCAACTGCACATCACCTTCGAGGAGATTATATACGGACAACACACAACAGTGAACCGTGTTCGCACACGTGTACCCGCCAGCAGGCCCTGTCTCTGCGGCGAGAGATGAGACGGGCTCTTGGCCTTCAACCAAAAGGTCTGTAGTGCCATCCCCAGTATCGTAGTGTCTCGCGTGCACGTGCTCTCGCGCTAACACGACCAAGCTGCGCCCCCAATCATGTCCCATAGCAGAGAGGGATGATCTGGTGTCTCAACAACGCCTTGAAAGCCACGGGGGGGCCGTCCCACATCGCAAGAGCCTGCGGTTTTTTTCTTCTTGTCTTCTTTCTCCACAAAGCGTTGTACATCTTTCTTACGCTGATACTGAACTACACAAGGTATGCAAGCCACAGAAAACCCTCGCAATCTTACTTCAGGTGTCTGAGTTTCCTTGCTCTCCCCCTTCTCTCTGTCACATGTTGGGATGGTGTGCATGTTCTCAGAAATTTGGTTTCTGCTCATTACACTCACTTACTATACTGCACAGTGGTCTGCCTAATACAGCATGTTCCCCAGTGGATCACCCACGTCGGGCCCCTCCTTCGAAAGAGGATCCTCAACCCGAACCATCGGGTCGCAGCCGCATGTACTATGCACGATCGAACCGAAGGATCCGTGGAGCTATCTGGGGCGTCGGTCCTCCGCAGGCCCTCGTCCCAGCTTCTAGATGCAACCCGAGCAGCGAGCCTTTCTGCGTCAAAGCTCCTCTGATTCTCCCTCCTGACGCCAGCGAGCAGCTGGGATTTGACGCCTAGCCCCACTGCCCTCTAGCAACTGGGGCGTGCAGAGCCATTATTACCTGACCTAGCCACCGGCGGCCCGGTCTCCGCGCATCCTTCTCTAGGCGAACCATGGCTGAGAATATTGGCTGCTTGCACACACGGCCAGGCCTATCTGGCACGCTGCTCATGCTTCATAACTATCAATACTCGCCTATCTGCCACGCGAGCTCATTGACCTAAGCGATGATGGCGACATGCCTGCGCCCGAACCTTGGGACCCCATTCCCACAACCAGGATCAGACGCCAAGGTTCTCACAAAGTCAAGGATGCAATTACGAGCGTCGTGAAATGATCGGCTAATCTCGTTCTACCACTCCGCCAGGACCATGGTGACCTCCTTGCGGTAAAAGCTCAGTTGGTGGCGGCGGTCAGCTAGCTGGCTGGGCATGGTAAGTATTAATCGATCTGGGATCAAATTCCCCGTGCGCATTTGGGTTCCATCAGCACTTTACATCTCTAGACAAGACTACAAGATCCTTTACTTTATCCAAAACGTTCCCCACGGGAGATCTCAGTCTGCGCACTGACTTGGGGCCCTGGCTGCACAGTCACAGATTGACTTTTCTCTCTCGAAATTTGGTCCAAGCTCACCGGCAGCTAGACCCTGTCAAGACTTTGACGTCGGTGCACACCGGGCGGTGCACACCGGGCGGTGCTACCTTTGCAATGTCGGATATCGCCTGGGACACCAAATGGTACGCAGTACGGCGGTCACCGTTCAAGTCTGGACACCCTGCCAGAGGACTGCCTTGCCCAGGACAGCTGTCTTGAGAGCTTTTTCCGCATCTGGATCGACGACATCGTGGGCTGGTTACATCTGCGTTGTGGCCACTGCGGCAGAGGAGATCCTTAGGATGAAAGATCGGCACGTTAGCCGTTGGCGCACCTCGTTGGCTCTCTTCAGCCGACCCAATCTGTCACGATACTAGACCAGAACCAGATCTCCTCACCAGCAGATATACCGGATGAACATTGAATATATGCCAGGTGTACTGGACACGATGCAACAGCCGGAGCATTGGTCTTTTATTTTGTGCCTCGTGGAACACAGATTGGATCTCCACTGTGATGTAACGAGAAATGCTCATGCACTGCTATGTCGACTATCACATCGGGGTCCCGAACGATGGTAGGGTTTCTTCGCAAGCCCTCCTCTTCTTAGGTCATGACGCCTCTGGACCATTTTTCATACATGCGCCGGAAATCAAGTGATCTCGCTGAGACGCCCTCGCTTCTAGGAACCGTCCAGGGCCCCAGAATACCCAAGCACTATGATACACACCCTCTGCATAAAACACTGTGTCTCTAGCACAGGCTTCTTCGCGATAGGATCCACCACTTGCCTATTAAGCTTTCGGCTGTCTTCCAATTTTTTTTCCCCCTGCATCCGAGATAGCTGCATATATACACTACGTGCGATTTCGCACTGGTTCCCTAACCAGCCTGACTCGACATAGACTTTCCCAAGGCATTCTTCGTCTTCTTGCCATTGCGGATCACTTTACTATGTACATAGTAGTGTCATGAAATAGTGGGTGATTAGGTTTTCGGGTGTTTAATTCGTTTTCTGGTTTTTTCGTTTTCTAGAACATCATACCTGAGCCTCTGCCTTCTCGGAAAGCTGCTCTGAGGTGGTGGCGGATAGTATGTTCTTGTCGACGATGATGGGGTATTTGTCCAGGGACTCGTACCACTGGACAACGGAGCCAATCTGCCCAAGTCATTGATCATCAGTCTTCATTTCTTGCCAAAACCTCATTTCCCTGCGGGTTAGAAGCACGTCTCGTGTTAAGTTGTGTCGTTGTTCTCTTCTTCCCTTGCCCCAAGCACTCGAAGGGGTTTCAAGACCATCTCGGTCTCCGAGTTCAACAGCCCTTGGAGCAGGGACGTGTTCAGCTCAGCCACCACAGACGTACCCACAGCTGAAAGGATATAAGATGTTTGATCTGGACACTATAATTGTGCCATTTGGGGCTCCCCCTTTCCCTCGCAAAAAGGAAAATGTCATGAACAAAATGAAGAAAGGTACTGTGCTTACCAAAAATGCCCACGAGCCGATAAACGTGGACCAGATGCCAGCCAGCTCACAAGCCTCATTGCTGGACGCGAAGCCGAAGGCACCACAGAGGGTGAAGCCTATGGCGCCAATGAGGTTCCAGAAGCCAATGTGCCAGCCTAGGACATTGGGGGCGGGGATGTACCACTTCTTTTGCGTCTCGAGCATGAATAGCCAGCTGGAGACGATGAAACCCGTGCCGCCGACTACCTGTAGTTGAGAGGGAGGCCAAAGTGTCAGCAGAATTTCTTCTCTTCTTTCTCTTCTCAAACAATCTTCTAGCTAGATGTGATGAGTTGTAGAGTGAATTCTGTAAATTGGACTTACCTGAGGTAACCAGTAGATCCCATTCGTAGCAGGCAGGGAGAGCACGTCCAGAATTTGAGGAAGGCCCGTGAATCCCGAGATCCAGAAGACGGTGGCCCCAATCATCTGCGACAGGCAGGCGAGAAAACCAATATCGCGGAAGTAGTGCGTCCGCAGCTCGTACCACGACGGCCACCAGGTCCACATCCTCCTCCCCTGGTCGGGTGCCGCGTCCCCATCAGCCTGGCTATCATCACCACCACCACCGTCGTTCCCGCTCCCATTTCCCAACCACCGGGTTTTCTGCGCATGATGATGCCGACACCCGTCCTTGTCGCGCGTCAGGGTCAGCTTGAGGTCCTCGGCGCTGTGCTCGAGGGCCCAGCCGAAGCACTCGGAGCGGTTCTCGTTGACGGCCTCAAGCATGAGGAGGATGCTCCCGACTTCGAAGATGGTGGCGCCCACGACGGCGGAGATGCCGCCGCCCCAGGTGGACTCCCCTGCGAAGGTGGTAGGGAGGAGGACGAAAAAGCCGTTGATGACCCAGACGATCTGTAGAAAGAGGATTTAGTTAATATGTTCTTGGTTGGTTTTTTTTTTTTGGTTTTTTTTTGAAGGGGGGGGGGGGGTGGGTTCTTGTTTCCTCCCCTTCCAACTTCAACAGGGGAACTTACTGATCCAAGAGTGAAGATAGTAGCGACATCATACGAAACATCCCACACCGGATACCGCAAAGCCATCCGCCCGATCCCAGCCATCGTTGCAGACCATGTGTTTGTGAACTTAGTGCCCTCACCGGCGAGAACACCCCTGGCGTCGGCCGAGGGCGTCAGGGCGAGAGCGTGTCTGCCCTTGCGGTTGTCACGGCTGCGCCAAACATTGTAGATGCCCTGCGTATGGGGGGCAGTCTGCTTGCTCTTGGTGATGTCTGGCTCCGGGGAGGACGTGTCTCCGTCTCTTTCTCCACCTCCTCGTTCTTCTTCCGCTCGACCCACGCCATTGCCGTCCGACTTGTCTGCTGCAGTCTGGCTCGTAGCGGCTGCCGGTGCCGGTGGGCCTCCTGTCTTGGGCCTCTCGAGGGCGAGCAGGCGGGTCGTTGGGTTCAGGAAGGACAGTGGGCCAGCGACGTGGTCTGCATCGTAGTGGCGCCCGCTCCAGTGCTCAGTGCTACGGTCGGTCATGGCGCCGACCGGCCGTGCGTGCTGTTACGTACGAGAAGAGGGGGAGCAAATAAAGAAAAAAGGGTCCGGCGGCGGAAACTGTTCCCCGTAGGAATTATATAAGAAGGCACGAGGTGGACCACACTCAGATCGGACGGAGTCTTGGCGTGGAGGGGGGGTCCGGGCTGGCTTGGTATTGTAGCCACGGCGGCGACGGTGGTGGGCCGAACACGAGGGGAAAGGGGTGTGGAGGATGAAAGGGCGATCCGGATGGTCGAATGTTGGCACTCCTTTTGGCAGGAAACAAGAACAATGGCTCAATTGAGAACTGGAATTGTACAATGCGAAGAAACATAAAAGTTTCGAAATATCCTTTGCAAAGAAAAGAGAGAAGGAGTGGAGTTGTTGGATGAGGGAAAGGAGAGGAGCAACAACGATGACCAAGAACTAACGAAGACGACACGTCGATGACAATGGTGAGATGGCAGCCGCGTTTCTTGGTTTTGCGTGACGCCTCTCTTTTTATTTTTTCGTCTCTCGTCCTGCCTTGGTCCTTTCTTTTGTCCCTGTCTCTCTCTCTCCCCCCCCCCCTCCCTCTCTTTTTCTTCCTTTTCTACTCTCTTCCCCTCTCCTTCTTTCAGCCGCGGATTTTTATTTTATTTTTGGGGGCCCCAAGCATGGCTGGCTGTGCTGGCCGAAGAAAAATTCGAAAATCTGACAACACCAAATTTCAGGGGTTTTCGGGATGCGCGTCCAGTAAGGGACCATGAACCGAACATCCAACTTCCCCTGGCCTGACGTCAATTTTACCACTACCATTAGTAGTAGCCGCAGGGGGCTCTTGGTTGTTCCAAGGTTTTTTTTGGTAGGCACTTTTTTTTTTCTGTTCTTATTTTGCTTCGTGGGCTGCTGCCGTATTGCCGGCGCCAACGCAGAAGTGGTCATAGTCCAGAAGCCGAAGATTCCCGGAGGAGGGGGGAGGGGGGGCGGGTATAGAGGATGGATTGAATGGACGGTTGGTTGAGTGGGGTCCCGATTCCTTTAACATCTTGATTTCTCTCTTTTGGTTGGTCGTGCTGTTGTGGATATTTTGTGTATAAGTTCCTCTTGGACGATATATGCCAAAATCCCAATCCCCGACAATTGAAGTTGGTGTGCTGTGATCGTTTCGGTAGATACTTATCCAAGACGGGAAAAAGAACGGGAAAAAAGAAGACAAGCCTCGGTCTTGTTATCTGAAAACCCACACCATGACGACCTCTCTAGAAGCCCTCAAGAACATCAAGGCCCTCACCTTCGACACCTTCGGAACCGTAGTCGACTGGCGATCCTCAGTAGAAGAGGGCCTCAAGGCCGCCCTCAAAACCAAGATAGACTCACCCTTGTTCCACTCCCTCCCGCCAGGCCTGCAACAGCGTGCCCAGGAGCTGACAGACGCCGACTGGGCCACCTTTGCCCAGCAGTGGCGCAATACCTACTCCGCCTTCACCCTGGGCTTCAGGGCGGGCGAGACCCCCTGGAAGGACATCGACACCCACCACCACGACAGCCTCGTCGAGCTGCTCGCAAGATGGGAGCTCGACGGCCTGTACACGCCCGAGGAGATCAGAGACCTGAGCCTGGTCTGGCACCGGCTGCGGCCCTGGCCTGACTCCGCAGAGGGCATCCACGCGCTGGGCGACGACGGGCTGGGTCTGGTGACGGCCACGCTGTCCAACGGGAACAAGTCCCTGCTGGCCGACCTGAACACCTTTGGCGGCCTGGGGTTCCGGGTCCTGATCTCGGCTGAGGACTTCCGGGCCTACAAGCCGGACCCGAAAACCTACCTCGGCGCGGCCGAGAGGCTCGGGGTGGCGCCGGAGGAGGTGGCCATGGTGGCTGCGCACCTGGGTGACCTGGAGGCGGCGAGGCGGCTGGGCCTCAGGACCATCTATGTCGAGAGGGCGAGGGAGGAGGCTTGGGCAGCTGGCGAGGAGACGTATCGGAGTGCGAGGGAGTGGGTGGATCTTTGGGTCGGGGAGCGGGAAGGAGGGTTTGTTGAGGTTGCAAGGAGGCTTGGGGAGTGTGGCTTGAAAGGAGGATCTTGAAAAACATGAGAAAGATAAGAGAGAACTGTATACGTGACCGTCATCAAGGTCGGTTTCTGCTTCCGGAAGCGCACACAAACTTTAGACGCTGGCACAACAGGCAGTCATCACGTCATGGAGAACCAACACGAAGGTAGACCAAAGGGGAAAAAAAGTTAGTTCCAGGTCTCATGCCGTCGATAAGACTAAAAAAGCTCGCTCGACTCCTGCTAGCAGAGCTGGAAATCTCCTCTCTATAAAGAATGTTGGTCATCAGTCTAATCCTTGGTGCTTATTCCAAGAGCACCAAACTCTCTATTGCTGAAGAAGGAAAAGGAGACTAAGAAAAAAATCCCGACTTCTTGCATGGACGTCTCGAACGCATGTCTCAGTCACCCACCCACCCATCTGAACCAGAAATCCGAGGTCGTGACCGAACAAGCCTCGTTCAAGAGGAAGAGGCTTAGGTGCGCCGCGCAGGCTACAATACGTATACTTACACAACCTCCACTCTGCACCTGCTCGTGAGACAGCAACTGCTCGTGAGACAGCAACCGCATCCTGTTCCTGTCTGGCAAACCCACACAGCACTTCCAATGACTCCCCCTCGCCCTCCTCCTTCTTGCCAAGCAGGCAGCCAGTCACCCCAAAGACAAATCATCCTCCGCCGAGATAAAAGTAGGTTGCAAACCTTTGTCTAATGGATACATTAAAGTGAGCATCACGGAAGAGTCCGGTCCGTTACATGTCCACATAGCATAGACATGACCAAGACCCAGAGCCCTCCCTTCTTTACCACTGAGCAAAGCTCTGGCTTGTATCATCTTAAGTTTTCTTTCGTTTCGACGGCAGCATACAGCCCAGAAGAACCACCACGCGGAACCGCCCCCCCCCCCCCTTGGACAGTCGGCAGTCGAACAGGACCACACTGTCTCGTCACCCACACAGCATCCCTCGGCACTCGTGTCAGCGCTGGCCTCCCCCGGCTCACACATGTGAGACCTACCCCGGGTGCCCGCATCGGCAGTGGCAAAGACAAGGAGAGGGGAGTGGGAGGGGTGCCGGGAGGAGATTCTCCGTTGGCCATGCGCGCCAACAGATGAGGAGGAGGAAGAGGAGGAGGAGGGCAAAATGGTCCAAGCCGTCGTGTGCCACTCTGGAGGGAACTCCTATGTGTTGATGTTCCTTCTAAATTGCCAGCCTGCTGGGATTGTCGAGGTAATGCAGGCGGGGTAGTGAGCGGCATATCAAAACGGTTGACAAGCTCAACGATGGATGTCACAAGCAAATAGGCGAACAGCAGGACAGACGAAGAGAGGACGGAGGGTGGCTGCATGCTTGTCCTGTAGTATAAGACAATAATTGTCACGTCACATTCAGGCAGGGTAGTTTTCTGGGATAGAAGAAGTACTCTACCATAAAAGAGGCAGAGGCCTTGGCGGCTCGAGGTCGAAGGATGGGACAATGTGCAACACGCACGTAGCCGCCATGTTAAGTGATCCCCCACTTCCCTTCTCATCACGGCCAGCCCTGTCAATGATCCAGACCGTGAGCTCTCGCTTTGTTATGTGTGTGTAACTGACTTAGGCTGGCAACCCCACCCCTGCTGCTCTTTGACCCTCTGGAGGGGAGGGGAGGCAGGAAGAAGACCAGGAGGAAGAAAAACTACTGTACGTGGTAATCAGGTGACGTGTGCTGTGTGAGACATGGCGGTCTCGTCGGCCTGAAAGAGGCAATCCTGAGGTAGTAAAGTGGTGCCCAACTCTGCTCATCGCACTCAGACTGTAATACTGCTTAGCTGGGCTCAGCTTGTGGTGGCAGTGACTTGAAGATCGGAGGGAGAACGATCCTGGGCTGGGGCAACGGCGCCGACGTCACTGCCCAACGGTGTGGACCAACAGCGCTCAACTTGAAAGGTTGAATCGCGATAGACAACAAGACAAGGAGCATGGAGCCAGGTCCGTGTTGCTCCGAAGGCTATGCCCGTTCATTCACCGAGTCCCTACAGGGCTTGACAAGGGTAATAAATAGAAGACCCAAAAAGAAAAAAGAAGAAAGACATCCATGGTACGAGGCTAAGAGGGGGGAGGAGGGGAAGGAGGAGATGGACGTGGACTACGCAGGAACGATTAACATCTGGTCCCACCCCCTTCGCTCCTTCCCAGCTTCTAAGCAAGTTACAATTCCGTTCTACTTCCGGAACAAGTAATGTTCCAGGCCACATCGAACCGGACCTCAAGGTGAGGCCGAGGTCCACTCTCGCGGATTTCGAGAAGAAACAAGAAACTAGAAAAAGCCCCAGGCAAGAGGTAAGGCTTATTGGATGGGGACCCGACAGTACGGCACGCGGGGGAGGTTCAAGCGAGGAAAAGCCAAACAATGAACGTGTGGCCGACACGGCAGGGTTCCTGCTGTGTCTCGTCTGGTCGACAGGGATGATGTCTGCGTACCGAGATTGTGAAGCTCTTGAGTGATATGGGAGAAGCACATGATGAAATGATCAGATGATTTTTTTTGTCCCCTTTCTGTTTGTTTTCTTCCGTTTCTCTGTGTTTCACTAGAAGGGCAGGATAAGGAGGAGGAGAGGAGGATGGCTCGTAAACAGGTCCCTCTATACGGGAGGAAAGAGGTCAGTGCTAAAAATTAGTGTAACGATAGATACTCATCGAGACACAGAAAGAGAGAAATTGATATTACCTTGCACTTTGCGAGCGAGCAAAGAATTCTTACGAGCACGAGCTCATCTTCGAATAAGAGCCTCATCCGGTGCGGTGTACACAAGCTTCTTGTGATCAACTATGACAGTACTTGTCTCAGTGCCACAGTACCTATGTAATTTGCAGCCATCAAAAGTATTCCGAGGCCTGAATTCGACGTCATACAACCCATACAGAGTACGAGCCCACACAAGACGTGCGAGCTAGCCTTGTCAAAAGAGAACAGAAGAGAGAAAAGACCCTGAATGGTGCAGGGGGACTGGTGAAACCACAAGTCTGATATCACTTCTTCCCTACCCTCCTCCTCTTCTCAGGGTCAAGGAAAGAGGGAAAAAAGGAAGAACAAAAAAGCAAATGAACCAAAACAACGAGCGGACAGAACCAGGTCGATGAGTGGTCTGCAGAGGGACGGTGTTACATAGTAAATCTCACATCTGCAGTATGGTGGAGACTTGCTGAGAAAGGTCCCCCCCTCGTTCTCTCGTCAAGCTGTCGCAGTGGATAGCTTCGGACGCACCAAAAGAAGAGAGCCCAACAGCACACATCCGGATCGGGCCATTAATCGTTCTCCAAGGTTGCCCCCTCCTAAGAAGGGACGAATTGGGTAGCCCATTCGTAGACAACCAAAAAAACCAAAGCGTCTCGAGGTTTTGATCTTCATATTTCTGCAGGAAACGGGGTGTGGAGTGAGTGGTTAATGTAACCGGCGGCCAAGCGCAAGGGTGATCCAAGCAGGGCGTCGTCGTTAGTCGTCAAGGGAGGAGAAGGATGGGCCCCTTCCTCGCTCTCGGCGGCATCTTCAGGGTGCGCCATCTCTTGATGAGAATGGGATGGATGTGCTCCTCTAGCTATAGTACAGTACTATGGCAACATACTTTACCAGAGAAAACTCATGGTGGTATCTGGGCTGCCAAGAGGGGGGTCCCTCCTGCTGATAACGCTGGCCGTGCCGGTTGCTCGCTGTTCTCGCCGGTGCAACGCTAAGATGGGCCATTTCCCATTCGCTTTCAAATTACAATTGCCCGTCGGGACAAGTTGGGCAGCTGTGGGCGGATTGAACATGATGTTTTCGTCTGGTAGCGGACGTCCGTGTTGCGCCTTCACCCCTCCTTTGCCCCAAGAAAGTCAGCACACGACCCGCTCTCTTCTTCTTCTTCTTCTTCTTCTTCTTCCTCCTCCTCCTCCTTTATTTGTCTCCTGGTGGTTTCCTTCTTCTTGTTCTGCTGCTGCTGCTGCTGCTCTTCCTCGGCTGGACTGATGCTCGCTCTGCCGTAGAGATGCGCGCAGGATTTTGGCTGATGATTCCTCAGCATGTCGCTTGGCTGGCCGAGAGCCACCCTGCCACGTGGGAGAAACATGGGAGAGAAATGACAAGACCCTGCTCCAGTAGTTGGGCCTGGTCCATGCACACAAACACACACATATTCCGAGGGATGACGGAACGGTTGAAGGCTTCCCGGCGTACTGTGTCTTCTGTCACGGCAAAATGCTGTCCCTGGCCAGGGAGACACTCGGCTGCTGCTGCTACGGCCATGGGTAGTTGGCGCTCCCGGTGCCGACAGCCAGGTCTTCAATATTACCATCTAGTGTACATGCAATAAATCATACATACCACCCTTCCTTCTCCTCTGTCTCCCTCTCTTCTCTCTTTCCTCTGATAATTCATCCCTCCTCTTCCCATTGTGTCCATGTCGGGATTTTTGAGCTGATATTTGTCAGGAGGGCTTCAGCACGGGATTCTGTATGAATCAAGTACCTGAGATCGTATATTGCACGGGGAAAAAATTAAGATAAGCCTCAACCCGCTTGAGAAATTCAGGCCTAGGTTCGGCTACAAGAACATTGCTAGCACGCCCCCTCCCCCTTCCAAACCATGCCATGTGCTACCCAGGACCCAGGCTCCCGGTTTGCCTTCCCCGCTATCAAAGGTGGCTCCTACGACGCGGGCACTCGGGAGGAGGGTTCAGGCATGGAAAAGAAAGAATTTAAATAAATAAAAAACCACCAAAAAAACCCAGTATTTTGTGTGCTATAGAGAAAATCAGGAAGAAGAGAGAGTGTGTGTGGATGTGTGCACCCCTCCCTCTTCAGGTACCATAGTAGGTACTTTCTCAAACCCACAGCATACAATTCGCATTCGTGACTCGCACCATGAGAAGTGGAGGATGAGGTGGGCACGCACCACTATGCGCCCACCTCGACGGGAGCCCCCTTTTCAGAGAGCGGGGAGCTTCGACTCGGCTCCTCCTGTTCGCATACACACTACTATTGTACGTGGTTAGTACCGTAGTACGTACTATGTTGGTGTGTGTGTGTGTATGTGTGTGTGTAGTTACTGATGGTGGTGATGCTTCTACTACTTAGGTAGATGCTCTCAGAGGTCCCCATTGTTATTGATATCCCGCCTGACTGGATAATCCCGGCTGAAGCATTCAAACTCGGCTTATCCACCTCGAATGCCATCAAATCGCCTTACTTATAGCTCTCTCTCTCTCTCTCTCTCTCTCTCTCTTTCCCATCCCAAGCTAGGAAGCCTTGTTATACCATAGTAAATACCATCTTGCAGCCTTGGCGTCTTCAACATCCAGCATAGTGACTAAGTTGATGTTGCAACGAGGCTGACTGTCATAGGAGAAAGCGGCAGGACCACAAACAGGGCCAGGGCAATCTTGTGACAGCTTAGCATCTCCGACTGAGGGGAGGGGAGGGAAGGCGCAGAACCTTAAGCCAGACCACTTGGAAACTCCAAATGTCATGTCTGGTATTACTTTGTACCATGGTATTTGAAAAGCACCAACACCAGCAAGCTGGGGGGGTGGGAAACAGAGACGACAGGTAGATCCCTGTGACAAAGCGTTGTCGGGGGTTACAAGCAATAACTTACCATGTACATACATACGTGCCTGGTCCTCCTCCCGTGGGCCCGTCAATAACGGAACAGCTCGCCTAAGGCAAAAAAAGCGGCTCGCCCGGTCTGCGCGTGGGTCGGCCCTTCGCCTCCCAACGGCTCTCCCCCCCTCAAACATACTGTGGTACAATACGGTGCGGTGCCCATTTGTTGTGCACGATAGAAAGTTTGAGAGAGGAAAGAGAGAGAAGGGAAAGGGGGGGGGAGAGGGAAAGCAGCAGATCCTGTCATTTGAATTGCCGGGTTCTTTTTCAAGCTGGGCCCGGTAAGAGTGGATCTCGCCTGGACTTCCCCGTCGACAGGGCCAACGAGAGGAGTGATATCATTTATGATCGATGATTTTGAGTAACCGGCCGTTTTTAGCGATGCTGAGAGAGAAGAACCCTTGCCCAAAAGATGATTTACATCTTGAGGAGAAAGAGTACTTGAGAAATACTTGAAACGATCATATAACATACTTTGAGGAGTAAAATGAGTAGTGAGGATTGGCAAGCGCCACCAAGATCGAAGTAGGTATTGATCGATGCGAGAAGATACTATATGGCAGTTTGACGTTACGAGAGAAGGGGGAGAGAGCAAATGAGACATGGCTATTGGTGTGGTGCGGCGTTTGCAAGCTCTTTTTGTGTGTATCATGGTACCTTTATCCCTCTTGGCCCTCTTCGCGCCTCTCCCTCTCTCTCAGCCCGTTTCATAATAATAGATCATAGAATACAGGAGAGTTAGTGTCATGAAGGGTTGTGAGAGGGGGAAGAACTGTTAGGGATTATCTCAGATTATGGATTATCTTTGTGCGTGCGGGTGGGTGTGTTGTCTTCATGTACTTCTTATTGCCCAAGATAGGCTACACAGCGCGGTACATTGTACTGTTATATGGAGTTGTGGTAGGTGGTCAGATCAGATAGCTCCTGCGGTGATTTGTGTTTGCATTAGCACCTCCACTGCACATTGGAGAAGAGGGCCCCATCCGCCCTCCAAATGCTTTGTAGCATGGGTCTGGTAGTTTTTCTTTATCCTTCCCCGACCCCACCTACTGCTGCAACTCGTCTCCTCCAGCAGCCACAGCCAGCACCAGCCAGCAGCAGGCCTCTCTGTGTCTAAGCCTCTGCCTCTGCATCTAACTCCTGCTCCATCTAATTACTGTCTTGTGAACTGTAAATGAATGACTGACTGACTGACTGACTGACTGATTGACCAATCCAAGCCTTGTCCTGACTTCCTGTTGTCTCTCACCACCTCCATCCCTGAACTTGGCTTCTCCCCCCCCGCCCCCAAGAAACTGCTTCACCATTGTTGCTCCCATCTGTCTGGTCTACTACCACTAGCTCTCTGACCCTGACAGCATCGACATCCCTCCTGTCATGAATCCCCTGTAACCTGGTTTCGTCAGTACTGTGGGGCCCACTGAGGGACCAGGGCTGGGATTGGGGACCTGGCCCTGGAACCCGGGCCTGGGCCTGGGGGGGAGGGGGGGCACCCACTCACCATGGCTACTCTGCTGCTGCCACTACTGCTGCAAGCTGCCCTGCTGCTACTACTGCACTGCACCAATGCAATGCTGCACTTGCTTCTGCACTGCATACTAGCTAGCACCGAAATCGCACTGTCCTGTCCTGTCCTGACCCTGCCCTTGTGGTGCTTGCCCTGTCCTGTCTCTGCCCGGTGCCCAACCCTGCCTTTGCATTTTCCTCAATCAAAATCAAGCCCAAGAGAGGTCAAGCCTGGCCCGTTGCCCACCTTGATCATCTCCCTGCCATACCATACTCATACTTTATCCACCCACCAACTCCCCTACCTACCTACCTGCCTACATACCCGACTACCTCATCCTCAACCTCGCTACCACCTACATACACCACCTTTCTACCTACAACTCAACTTGACCTCACGTCACCCTCCCAAACCAGTCGACAGACCTACCTCCCCAGGGTTCATTCACCCCTGACTATACTGAAGATCCAGTACCTCGTCCAAGAACCCTCTTCTTTTGTTTCCTATCATACCCCCGGCTGTGCGACACAGAGCTTCAAACCAAACACAACTGGCCACTGCCGTTCGCACCCACAGCAACAAGCCCGTTTCCCTCGCCAACCCGATTGCAACAGAGACCTTCCCTCCCCTTCCAACTGCTCTCTACTGCCTCTCGGCTCTCGATCCTCCCTTCATACAATTCCCAGGACAACTTGACGCACCCTTCCTCTTCTGCTAGTCTGATTATTTCCGTTGTCATTGATCTGCCGAGTCGTCGCTACGATCGTACCCCTCAAGGCCGGCCTGGGCCTGCGACACCACCCCCCCCCCCTTCCACCTTTATCTTCAGTCCACAACATGGCGTCAAGGTTTACCACGCCACACAAGATTGTGGTATTAGGTGATGGTGGTGTTGGCAAGACGGCCCTCACCATTCAGTTGTGTCTACAACACTTCATAGAGACCGTGGGTCCCCCTCTCCCACCCCCCTAGCTGCCCTGCCCCTCCACCGATCATAGCTTTCTTTTTGGCGCTCCACTCCTCGTCGACAGCATCCTTTCCCCCTGATTAGATGGCCTGGTCAGTCTATTGCTCAGGGGCATCCTGCTACAGGAATGCTTGCATCCTCGGCGAGTTCGCTCGCTTGTGGGTGGAGAGGACCATTTCTCGCTCTTCTTTGCATGTCTTGGCCTCGCTTTCTGTTTACCCGGCTCTGGCTAATCCCGTCTCTGCGTTTCTAGTACGACCCAACCATCGAGGATTCATACCGCAAACAAGTCGTCATCGACGGTCAGGCATGCATGCTTGAGGTTCTCGACACTGCTGGACAGGAAGAATATACTGCGCTGCGGGACCAATGGATCCGGGACGGCGAGGGCTTCGTGCTGGTGTACAGCATCTCCTCCCGGTCCTCCTTCTCGCGCATCAAGAGGTTTCACCACCAGATTCAGAGGGTTAAGGAGTCCACCGGCGGTTCTCCCTCTTACCCTGGCTCGCCGATCGCCCAGGTCGCCGGCCAGGTCAACGTACCCATCATGCTTGTCGGTAACAAGAGCGATCGGGTGACGGAGCGCGAGGTGTCCACGCAGGAGGGCCATGCCCTGGCACGTGAGCTTGGCTGCGAGTTTGTCGAGGCATCGGCCAAGAATTGCATCAACGTCGAGAAGGCCTTTTTCGACGTCGTCAGGATAATAAGACGACAGAACGCCGGCTCATACGGCTCAGGTCCCTCGAGGTCAGCCAACGGCGCCACGCCGGGACGCCGCGACACTCTGGCCGACAATGGCCGGTACAGAAGGAAGGGCGACAAGAAGTGTGTGATATTATGAGCAGCCTTTTTTGCCAGCTCAGCCATCAGCACGTTTTCTTCTTGTTTTGTTTTTCTCTTTCGGTCTTTTACTATCCACATCCCGTGCTCGGCTTTTGGGGCCTTTCCTTGATATACAAACACACACACGCACTTGCACACACATTTTCTACACGCCTTCCACGATGAGGCGATGTGCGACGGGTACGGAAGAGGCGCAGTCAGTCACACATCAAGATACCACAGCTGCGACAGCACCCATCTTCCCGAGAGAATAAAAAGAAAACAAGCAAAAGAAGAGAGAAAGAAAAGAGGGGGAAAGGACCCCATGCTGATCTCGAGATGATCTGGCTTAGCACCCAAAACGTGGGGTTCCCACTCCCGCCTGGCATCTATTATTGTTTCCCGGGAAATACACGTTATATTCGGTGCCATGACTTCCTCGACCAGGCGAACGGCGTGTGAGTATAAAAAAGAAAAACAAATGGTTTGGGTCATTGACAGGGCGTCTGGTTGGGGTCCGGTCGCTACTCAGCCCAGGAAAGATGATGGATTATACCAAGGTATCTACATGGAAATCTGGAAAAGGGAAGGGCTTATTATGTTTAACGGAGTACTGTGGTTGTGAGAACTTCATCGCACTCGGTGTTGTTACTGTTGATGGTGTTGCACGTCCAGAGAGCGAGGTGTGGCTTATCGCCGGGGATGGAGGTCCGGGCACGGGTCGTGTGTGGCGGTTTGGGATGGCCTCGAATGATCATCGGGCTTTCCTGAGGAGCAGGCAGCCCTCGTGGCAGCTGAGGCGCTATCACGGGGCTCGTCTGCAGAGACCGGCGTCGACTGGTTCACTTTCCACCACACCAGAGAGATTGGCTCAATGGTTTACCGCCCAGCAAAGGGGCGGGATGAGGGGTGGGTTGTGCCGCGCGGAACTCGCCCTGGCCGGATTAGATGTAGGAGGCCCGGCATAGTGTGTGTCATGGGGCTGCCGTCATTTTTTTGGTTGCTTGTTCTGGAGCATCTCGGCTATTTTTGTTATTTTATTTTTCCTCGCGGCGATACTCATTAGATGGTTCCACCAAAAAATTCCAGTATTCATGGTTCTCTTCCCGTTAGACCAATCGCATTCTGGTAGAAGCCCCCCCCCCCCCGGGAGAAAAAGAAAAGAAGAAAAAAAGAGCAATATTTCTGTTTATCATCGTCATCTCGGGCTTCCTGCGACTGCTTTTTCCAAACTGTCTTGGTCTGTGTATGCCGGGCCCCTTGAGGGAGGAGGGGGGGGGGGGGGGTGACACAGCATTACGTCTTTACTATATACCAAATTACTGCGTAACCCTGCTTGCCCTGGTGTGACGGACAGGGACTGCAGCGTCGTCTTGGGTGTGGCAGTGGCTCACACTACCAATATCAGACAGAAAGCAGTTTCGTGCTGTTACCATGTGTACTATGTAACATACCGAGCCTGGACGGAGGGAAGGGCAGTCAACTTAGTCCCCATCGTCCCAGATGCTGCAGCAGCAGCACAAATTCAAGGACTCGGTACTGAATAATCCCAAAGGGAAAAGAAGTTCATTACCCCCAACTTCCAACCCAACCCGACCTATAGCAGATTTTCTCGGTCCCGAGATTGAGATACTCTTGACTATGCACATCCTCTCTTCTACCTCTTCCCCTTCCCCCTTTCGTCCTATTTTCTACCTGCTACTTTTAGGTATGGGCCGGGGGGTTGGAGATTACAACCCTTGATGCGATCTTGTGCCTTAGTACTTGGCCCCGGCCCCCCCAAACCCCAAAGATGGGATGGATGGTTCTCAAACGGTTTGTTTACCCTTTTCCTTGTTTCTTTTCTTCCTTCCTTTCTCCTCCTTTTCAGTCTTGAAGTTGTATTGTGATCTGTCACATGACATGGTGTGTAGACTTTGGAAAAAGGGCAAGGGTCAGTGAGAGTTGAATTCGAGGATCACTGCTGATTGTCATGACCAAAGCTTATATGTTGACGCGTTCAACGGGGGATGAGTTGGCGGTGAAGGATTGGATCTTTTGTTTGTAAGCAATCTACATATCCTTTATTCCCCACCAACTCAGAATGTGTCTTTACGATTGTACAAGACAGTCAGTGACGTTGCGCAGAAAGGTGTTCTGTCCGGTTCCCCCCCTTTGCATTTCCAGATCCTTCCTGGGCTCCGTCTTCTCGGAAAGGAAAATTATGTCGCTCGCAGTTCATCATCGCATTCCCTCCAAGCTTGTCCTTTTCTCTTTCCTACATTCTCTCCCCTCTCCCATCTTCTTTCCCCTCCATCACCAAACCCACTGTCAGTCAAATTAAGTGTCGACATCATTCTGACCATGGGTACTTGCTACGTCAGACGGCCCCGCGACACACAGACTCCACCCAGCTTAGTCAAATGTCCCACCCCCCCTTTCTGACCCAGTCTGGGCCATCCACACCCGTCCACCCAACGCACCCATGTGAATCATACAGTTAAAAGTTCTTAAGTGTGCATGAGCACTAAACAACTTCAAGAAAGAAAAAGAATATAAAAGAAGAAGGAAACGGGATTACTTTTACTGTTACTTATTGGGTCGTATTCTGGCCAGTTGGTGAAGCTCGCTTTTGGGCTTGGCGGGCCTTTCGCATAATTGAGTGTCCTTCTTCGCCCTGCCTTGGCGGGGCATTTCAAGATGTGTACCATGTTTGCACTTGATTAGTTTGGTAGTACCTCTATTTGAAGAGGAAAACATGCCTTGGATGCTTCACTTTTTGGCGGTTTTTTTTTTTCTTTCGTCTTTCCTCATCCCTTTCTTCTGGCTTCTTCCTTATTCCTTACTTGACCCCTCCCTCTCTCTTTCGTCTCGTATTAACCCGAGACTGAATATTTTGCCGATGATACCTCCTGCATGGAACATTTCCCAGAGCCCTCCTCCAAGTGGCCTGAGAAGAGCCAGACACACACGCACGCACACACACAGTAGATACGGCTAGTGGGAGAAGGCGGCGGTCTTAGGCCTTCTCACCATCGATCAGTCCATCGGCTCGCGCAGTTTGTGGGCCTTGGCCTTTTTACCTTTACCGTGACGGACATACTTCCCATACTGAGCCTGGTCAGCCCGCGTCGACTGACGCCATTCCCATACCGCCGGGTCCCGGGAGTCTGGACCTTGAGGCCAGGGGGGCCGGGGGGGGGCAGGGCGGGCGGGCGTGCCTTGATGTCATTTTCCGGGGTATGCACGATGCATACACCTTTTTTTTGTTGGTGGTGCCCGTCGACCATTGCCCGCCAAGGGGTCCAATGCCATCCATAATTTTACAGCTCTCCTCCCCCTCCCCCCTTCTGCAAAGACTAGGTTATATCGTAATCTCGAGTTACAGTCTTTTTTTTTCTTTTCTTCTTCTTCTTTTTCTACCCTAAATTCCCAGCAGACAAGGGAAGGCCATGGTTCCTTCCCTCTTCCCCGTCGGAGCCGAGTCGGAGACAAGGGCCCAGCCAGCTCAGCCCCACGTGGGTTGTCTGCCGTCTGGGGTGCAGTTTTGTGTTCGCCCACACCCCCCCCCCCCTCCTTCGTGTGATGTGTGGGTGAGGGAAGGGTGCAAAGTGGTGCTCTTGGCGTGGGGTGGTCGCAATGTCTTCTTTATGTTGTGCTGTATACTGTAGAGCTTCTTAGCATTTCTTCATCTTTCCCTTTATATTGGTTGTAACGTTCAACGAAATACATCTGAAAGGCGAAACGCCTGTCCCCTCTCTAAATTTACTACCTTGGTCAATCTTTTTTCTTCACTTGTCCCCAACCCTCGGGAATCCCCCCACGCTGAATATGATGAACGGACCCATCCATCCTTTTATGGGCGTCTCGGTGAGGACAAGGGAGGGGGGAGGGGACAGGATGCGCCGATGTGCGCCCAGTAAGTGACTGCATCAGAGGAAGGGTAAAAAAAAATGGTGTCAGACCTGTGTGAACGATTCATGGTTCGCCTCCGCCTGCTTGTCCTCCTCCTCCTCCTGCTCCTGCTGCTCCTCCACACCAGTTCTGTCTCTCTCCCTTAGCCTTTCAGTCTGTCCAGCGGTGAAGAGGACCTTTCCACCGGCCCCGGTCGCCTTCATTCCCTTGTTCGTAGCCTTCGGCGCCGACGCTGCTGTCCTTGGTTCGGACCCGGTTTCTGGGCCTGGGAAGAGGGAGGGCAAATAGAGGAAACAGGAGGAAGCTCTTGCATTTGCTAGATTGAGATATTGGACTGGGATAAGGGCCAAACGTGCTCGACATGTTCCCCCTGATTGGGAGTGACAGAGAACACCATAGTACTTACAATTGTGACGGCGCCGTGCAGACGAGGGACCGAGGGATCGATGAGGAAGGTGTCCAATTCCATCTTGTCCATCAAATTTTTTTTTATAAATTTTTTTTTTTTTTGGCTCCTCTCTTGTCCTTTCCATTCTTCTTACCGACATTCCCAACAATGTCTAGATAGCAGCATATAGAGTATCCTCAAGAGACATAGAAACCCTGGAACGTGGGGTTGACAGAAATTCGCATGATCCCGCGCGGGATGAGGTTGTGTCGTGCCCGGGAGACCTTGTCCGTTCCCCAGGCCATTCGTTGTTGACGGTACAGTAGCTTGCAATGTGGGACAAATCATGATGTCTATACCACCCACCTACTCACCCACGAACACACATACACACGCACACACATATGCATACCACGATACTTGGGATGCGGCGGCAACCATTAAGATGAGTGGGGGTCTGCATTATATATGGGCCCCTTTCTTGTTGTCTGAAACGCGATCTTCGCCCCCCACACCAGCCTCCTCCTGTATGCCATTTTCCCCGGTGCGCGCGCCCCGGTCGTTGCGCAGCCCTCAAGTGGCACGAGATTGTAGAAATGGCGGGCCCGATGCTGTAGGCCGCTTGGGGGTAAAAGGGGGGGGGGGGTTGACAGACGGCAATGCTCAACTCAGATTTTTTTTTGGTGTTCGGCACAAAGTTGTAGCCGTAATGGGGTATAACTGAATAAGTAAGTAGATAGATAAGCAAGGGATAACGCAAGCCGAGTGACTACACGACCACCTTGTTTCAAGATCATCAAGCGGTGTGATGGAGAGGGAAGAATAAAATAAAATAAAAAAAGGAAGCGGAAGAAGAAGAAAAAGTATCCGGCCTATGGTAAAATGGAAAAAAGAGCAAAACGTAAAGGTCGTGCGCGGACTCGAACCGCGGTTGCCGGAAAGTTCTAACCGTCGTACGAGTCAAAATCCGGAGTGATAACCTCTACACTACACAACCGTAATCCGCGTGTTTTTTCCCTCTTTATGAAGGTTTCTCACCAGCACGGCGCCAACGAGCCCACCATCGTCTAGCGGTGCGGTCCTCCACTGTTTCGGTTCAGCAATCGCTTTCTTCGTTGTTCCATTCAAACTTGGTGCAAGTCTCGTTGAATGTCCTCAGAGACCTGTAGGGACGTCCTTTATTTCCAATCGTTTCCTCATTTCTCTTTTATGACAACTACTCAATTCACAATCAGAACAGGCTGGCTCCAAGCGACTAGTCACACTTATGCAGGTGAACTTATTTTGATGGCGACCTATTCGAACAACCTTTGGGTGATAAACATGTGGCCGTGCCCATCGGCTTTGATTTCCCATATAATGATGGTGTCATTTACATCATCAAGAATTTTGATACAGCTAATTTTATATATATTCAGGTTTGCTATCATGCCAATATACCGAGCATTATGACTTGGTTCCAAAGCAAGAAGCTTGTAGACCTTCTACGCCAGCTGGCTAAGATGACACAGACAACTTATCAAAATCGCCTTCGACTTACGGTTCCTTCATGTCCTTCAAGACTGCCCATTGACGGGTCTTCATATCGTTCCGACCATTCAGCATCACTTGAAAGCCAAAGCGTTGTGGAGAGCAAAGTGGTTAGAGGAGATCCAAATCGTGGACAGTGTATTCGATCTAAAAAAGAGTGACACTCGCTTGCAGACCATCCAGAATAGAAGGCGACAAGGAGGAAGTACGAATCTAGATACCCTGGTCCGAGGAGGGCCTGCTCCTCTCATCGGCACCAAGTCAGAGTCTCCTGATCATCATCGCCCAGCACTACCCAACACCCTTCGCGCCTTCCCAATGCCCTCAGATGCAGTACCGGTTGTTCCTTCCCCGTCTAGTCCTTGTTAAACATTCGTAAGGAAACTATCATTAATTCATGTCGTCTCAACATTTTGCCCCTCCAACCAACTCCATGGTATGAACTTGTCGTCTCTTTCTCTTCCTTCCTTCCTTTTTTTTTTCGTTTTGGTTTCTTTTGTATTTAGCTTTGTTGTTGTTGAGCGGCGAGTAAGAAAGCATCAATCGATCTACTCATCCTCAAACAGACCACCGAGGACCTTCAGGGCAGTGCCGCCGACGGTCTCAATGTCGTGCAGGACCTCGGAGGAGCGCTGGGCGAGAGGAGCATCGCGGGTCTCGCTGCGCTTCAGGTCCTCGAGGGCACTCGCCGCCCAGGAGGCAACCTTGGGCAGAGCATTCTCGGCAACACCCTCAATATCGCTGACGATACCAGAGCGGGCAGCCAGAGGAGCATCCACGGTCTCGCTGCGCTTCAGGTCCTCAAAGGCATCCAGGGCCCAGGGCAGGACCTTGCCGGCAACACCCTCAATATCGCTGACGATACCAGAGCGGGCAGCCAGAGGAGCATCCACGGTCTCGCTGCGCTTGAGGTCCTCAAAGGCATCCAGGGCCCATGGCAGGACCTTGCCGGCAACACCCTCAACCTCGCTGACAATGCCAGAGCGGGCGGCGAGGGGCGCATCGACGGTCTCGGTGCTGCGCTTCTCGGCGGCGTCGAGGGCATCAAGGCCCCAGGAGGCGACCTTGGGGAGCACACTCTCGCCGACGCTCTCGACGTCGGACCAGAAGCCGGTGCGCTTAGCCACAGGGGCGTCGTAGGTCTCGGTCACATCGCGCAGGTCGATGCCAGCACCGCTGGCGGCACTCTTGACATCATCCCAGACACCAGAGAGGGCGTCCTCGCCGACGGTCTTGGCAGCACCACCAGCAAGGGACTTGGCAGCATCGCCCAGCAGAGAGCCGACACTACGGACGTAATGAGAGGGCTGGTCGTCACGCTTCAGGCCAATGTCGCTGGCGATGGCAGAGAGGCCATCCTCGCCAGCAGTCTTGGCCGCACCGCCAGCCAGGGCCTTGGCAGCATCACCCAGAAGGGAGCCGATGCCACGGACATAGTGCGAAGGCTGATCGTCGCGCTTCAGGCCAATATCGCTAGCGATGGCAGAGAGACCATCCTCACCAGCAGTCTTGGCCGCACCGCCAGCCAGAGCCTTGGCGGCGTCGCCCAGGAGAGAGCCGAGGCTGCGGACGTGCTGGGAGGGCTGGCCATCGCGCTTGGAGGTGACGTCGCTGTACAGGGTCTCGGCACCGTCAACGATGCCCGTGCCGATCTCGCTGCCGATGCTGCCAGCCGCGCCGGTGAGGGCAGACTCGCCAGCCTTGAGCAGAGAGCTGCTCACCGACCTCTCCTCAGGGGTGGTGAAGAGGTCGCTCACACCGCGAACGTGGTAGGCAGGCTGATCCTCGCGCTTCAGGCCGATTTTGCTTGCGAGGCTCTTAACACCGTCGACAACCTCAGTGCCGATACCGCTGCCGGCACTGCTGGCAGCACCAGTCACGCCGGCACCGATGGCCTTGTCGAGGAGCGACTCGCCCTCCTTGGCGGCGTCCTCAGCAACGGTACCAACCACGGACCGCTCCTGCGGCATGGTGAAGAGATCGCTCACGCCACGGACGTGATAGGCAGGCTGGTCCTCGCGCTTCAGGCCGATCTTGCTGGCGAGGCTCTTGACGCCGTCGACAACCTCAGTGCCGATACCACTGCCGGCACTGCTGGCAGCACCAGTCACGCCGGCACCGATGGCCTTGTCGAGAAGGGACTCACCCTCCTTGGCAGCATCCTCAGCGACGGTGGTGACGACTGATCGCTCTTGGTTGATGTCGAAAATGGGGAGGCTAAGGTCCAACTTGCCGTCGACGGGGCTGCTGAGAGACTGAACGGGAGCCGTCTGGGCAGTCTCCAGGTAAGCGATGGTGGCCAGGATGGCGGCGAGGATCTCGTTGGAACGCATATTGAATGATTGGGTGGTGAGAGGAGATAGAAGAGACCGGCTCTAAACAATTATGTATATAAAAATAAGGAGGAGGGGAAAGGACAGTGGATGGAGTTGGAGGGTCTGTTGAGATTGAGGATTGTGTTGTCCAAAAAGAGTGAACGAGCAATTATTAGGTATTACCGAACGAATGGTGTTGTTGAATTATTACTGCAAGGAAAGACAGAGGAAAAAGTGCCACTACCAGAGTAGACACTATGAGAGAAGTGAAAGACTGAAAGGAGAGGGAATGATTGATGATGATGATGAGGAAAGGAGAAGACTAAGCACAACAGAAGGCAGGAGGAGTCGTGACATATATACACTTTTTTCTTCTTTCGACTCTGCTAAAGCCCATCGCAGCCAGTATGGTCAGTGTCTACTCTACCATTGCGGGATGCCTGGACGATCGAGGTCAGGTTGTCGTAGTCAGCCTCATACTGGTCACGGGCGTGTGTGTACTGTGCACGCGCGTTCCTGCATGCTGCAACGCTTTGTTCGTCCACCGAGTGAATGCCACAGGATTCGGGCTTGGAGGCCGGGCCGGGGCCGCAGGGCTTGGCTTGGCTTTGCATGGCAATGGCAATGGCATCGAAACTTGACCCTGATGCCTGTAGATCTTGCTTGCATGTGCGGGTGTGGTGTGTGGTCCCCGATCCAGGCTGGTTGCCTGATCCTGCCCTGCTTACTACTCCGGTTCCACCAAACCGGATCGAGAAGGCGCCGCCCAAAAGATATTTTAGTGTTAAGGATACTAGAGAGTATGTATGAGTCAGCTGGCCTGGAACGGGAGACCGGCCTTAACCACGCAATCATTACCCTTTCATCATACATGCCCCTTTTGTCAGATGTCCTGCCTGCTTTTGACCTTGCGTCCTGCTTCTTACTCTCCAAGTGCTACGGATGAGACGTGAGAGATGCTGGAGAAGGGGTTGTGTGTGTGACAGATCTTTGTGGTGGAATCTGATCTGGAACCAAAAAGTCCTCCAGGCATGTCACAAGCCACCAATGGTGGTTCCTTTGGCCGTGTGATTCTTGCCCCCCCCCCCCTTCTCACCCTCCTCTCTCCGCAAGATTATTCTACGTACACATTCCCTACTGCAAGCACTGCATATTACATGTAAGATAAGCGAAAGGTCTTAGGAACCCAGTAAGCAAGAGGCCCCCTGTGGATGTGTTGACGCGTATCTGTTGGCTGGCGGGAGGAATGACTTGCATGATTACGGCTAACCCGATTTCTTCGGGGCACGTTCCTGGCCGAAATCTCGCTTCACCAGCCTACAGCTCCATTTTCTAAGTATAATGAGGCTAAAAGTTACTAATGCGCTGTTCGTGCTCCTACTGTCAAGATTAGACATCTGGGTTACAATTGGCTTGAATCCCATCCAAAAGAAGACAGGACGAAGGAGGAAGAAGAAGAAGGAAACCCCTGCAGAGCATACTATACTGTGGTGATAGACAAGCAGCAGCCTTGCATGTTTTGATTTCAATTCCCACCCGCTGATTCCAGCCCTGGGCCTCAAACCAAAGGACCGGTGCCGGCCTTCCTTGATGCAAGACAATACGAACCTGCGCCGATTGGGCCCAGTGCCGGGGCCCTTCGGCCTTTGGCCTTTGGGGCTTAGACTTTTTGCTTGCTTGCTGCACGATTGGAAGCACGTGTTGATGCACGTCAGGCAGACATCCCCATCGAGGGCCGTGGCCTTTCTCCATGGAACTGGTTCGTGCATCAGGGCTGGGTTACATGGCCTGGGGAAGGCATACTAATTGCCCTCGTTGCTGAACTGCACCTCCTACTCTCTTCTTTGAGAACGGAAAGTGGGCAGGGTGTTTGGAGGTTTTGCTCAAACTGAGTGTTGTGTTTGGTTAATATTCAGTTGAGGAGCTGAAGTACATTGAGGGACTATGGTGTCTAATTACTCGATAGTAATTCCGAGCCATGGATTTACTTGAGTATATAGACTGACTTCGTAATGAAACCAAGCAGCAATGCATGATCAGATGTCGGAATCAAGGTCGACTAATCAGGTATCTTTTGGCTATCTAGATACTCAATGTCAACTTCCAGAGTCTGTCATGATCCACAGAGTGACAATTCGCTAGTGTTCATGTGCCAAAGGACTGCCCTTTGTAAACACGTTCTTGAAACTCACCACCCTCATCTTCCCCCTCTCAAATAAATATTGTTTACCTAAAAGTACAAACAAAGGGCGAGATACGCTTTCCGCGGTTTGATTACATTGCATGGTATGTAATGCAAACAATTCAACCGGCAAGACATACCGAGCTGACCTTAATTAATAAGCAGCCGTATTAGATCATCTCGAGACTTTTCCTGTCAGCAGGCAGGGAACACGTCCAACATCTCAACCCCCTTTCAACACCTAGGGGAAGACATCAGAACAAGAGGCTGACAGTGCTGAGTAAAGTGTCACAAAGCTTGTCCACAAAGCTTGTCCACCAAGCCCGCCCGGCCTGCCCGGCCGTTCCAAGTGTGCTGCAACGCCCTGCCAAAGTGATATTGCAAAGGACAAAAATCCCATGAGAGGGATTCAACTGTGGAGAATCACTAAGCCCCCGGACGCAAGCGACGCAGGATTGCCGGCCAGGTGGAGAAGGGAGACAGAACAGGATCATCAGTTGATGGACTAGGCCATAGTGAGGAATACTCTAGGCCTGAGAAGGCTTCTAATTCTACTTATTTTGTATGTAAATTACTACAGGATCTGGGTGCATGGATCCCTTCCTTTTCCCCGATTTATTCTTGGCAATGCTTGTATCACTGCGCTGGGATTTATGCGAGCTTTCCTCGGCTGTACATTACAGTAGTTCATTAAACAAATTCCAGAAGAGGGCAGAATTAGCAACTACTTAATCTCTGCGCTTTACATACAGGATATTCGTCGGGGAAGAAACATTGTAACCGAGTTTAGCCTCAACTGACTCAACTGTCGTTATGCAGGTCAGTGTAGCAGCCTGTTTGGTGAGTATGTTGCAAGCCAATGGCTTGGTCATAGGGGTAAGCCCGAGTGATATGATGTCTTCTCATTCTTTAGAACGGTAAATACGACATATGCATCGAATGGCCGTGTGTTCTGCTGCTAGATAGCCTTCACAACTATAGACAAACTGGCCTCATTACACCTCTGTATTATTGGACCTCTGTACTGAACCTCAAGGTATGGAAATTATCTTCATCTTCATCTATAGCTCCAAGGTAGCCAGTATTTTTGCTCCTTGTCCTGGTAGCACTGCAAAAAATTGCTCGGTCGCTTAAACCAGTTCCGTTGCGAACTAGTATCGCACACCTGTCTTCGCATCAGAAAGTCCTCAGGTTAAGGCATCGTGTCCCAGATAGCCGTTGTTATAAATACCCTTTGACTTTCCCAGGATATCGAAATGTTCCAAGCGATTCCTCTCATGCACATCATCCAGTTGGTAACTAGTGACCAGGCATTCTTGTACTGTGAGATATTCCAGTACGGCACTGTGAATGCTGCGAGACGCCACTTCCTGCAGGAATTGCAGCAGATTTGGATCCTGACAAGTATACACTGTGCAAGCCAAAGTCTCCGAGCCGCGTTGTTCCAGATTTGGAGCTGGTGCGAGCTGCTCTGTTGTGCAGCTTGTGATGAATATCCTCGGGGGCCTCGTGATTGAAAACCAAAGCTGGCGAGGTCGGAATTGGGGTGGTGTAATCTTTGGTCACCCTGATATCTTTGGGAAAGATGATAGCCTTGCTAGCCTTGAAGTTCTTCTTCGAGCGGTGATGATGATGAACGTCCGTCGTTGGCCGGAGGGATGAAAATGGATGCGTATTACCTGATATTGTACCAGTGCAGCTGGGGCGCATGCAGATTTAGCATCAAATGCGACAACTGCAGAAGTTCACTCGTCACATGGCGGCACCATTGGATTTGAATCCGCTCTTGCGGCCACCATCCCGACATCCTATCCGCAGAGCCGGGGCCCCCTCGTACTTGACACTGACAGCCCCAGCGACAGCTCCTTAAGTGGATTCCAGGACATTGTTTGATTTCAGGCCGCGGACGGTGGCCAGAAAGACATCGCACGCAAGACTATAAGCCTTGGGCTTGCTGAGAAAGATGGAGATTCTCATGTAAGGATAGCTCAACCTCGTCCAGCACTGTCATTGCCATGCTGAAGCTGTACGCCGCGTCATCCCAGACAGCTTTCCAGGAGCGGTGACTTGTGCTAGGTTGAGCGAGCGCCAGGACCTCCTTATCGTCCTGGAAACTTGCATCAATATCAAGGTGTAGTGAGGAGTTCCGCCACTCTCGGAGTGTTGCTTGATGTCTCGAAAAGCCACGGCCAAGAGAAGGAGGGCCTTGGGATCTGCTGCGATGCCCATCCCAGTAGTACGATGCCTATGATGGTGCAGTCTTGCAAGAGACACCCTAGGTAGCTTTGGCCTGTGAGACCCACCAGCTTTCAGAGTGCTGTCATTGTCAGTTGGATGTTCTTGCATTTGGAGAAGGTGGTGTAGGAGCCACAGGAAGCTTTGCGCTCTACAGCCCGGCAGGTTAGACGGAGGGAAGCGATATCGCTTGGGCCCAGAGCTGTAACTTTGCACTCAACCAGCTCGGTCGGCAGATCTTCGACGACTGTTGCCATCTTGTGGGTCTCTGCTTGGTATATATTTTGCAGTAAATATGAGCTTGAGAAGGGACCGGAAGAAGTCCGTCCTGAGGTAACAACAGGGAGCAAGACAGCTCTCGTTTGTATATGCGTGTAAGCTGGATTACATAACAAAAGCTGGACCTGGACGGGCGAGCGCTGATGATGTGACTTGCAAAAAGAAGATGTGGAAGAAGTTTTAAGTTATTTCTAAGTGTCTAAATTATGCATAGCATGTGCAGCCCCAAATACAGGATGTCTTCCCATAGTGAACAAGCCATTCCCTATTAAATGCTGTCGATATTTCAAACTCGGTTTATACCAGTATACATACTATGGCACAAGAGCTGCTATCAAACCCCTGCAGCGGGCCCGGTGCGGGCGAATCAAAATGCGGCCACCCAGGACCGCATTATACCCGTTACAAGGGGCTCTGCTGTACAATACAATGGGGAAAGAGCCTCGGCTCATCTGCTTGGTCCGGGCGGACGCTGTAATAACGGTGTACTGCGTGTACAGAAACCCTCCCACTGTACAGTGAACCTCTTTGTCCTTGCTTGTTCTTCTTCTTTCCTTCCCTTTTGACTGCTTTGGATAGAATAAATAATTTCATTCTTCCTCATCTCAGATCCCAACTGAATTTCCTCATTCGGACCAACATGGATGTCAACTCCCTTTTCAACGTCAAAGTGAGTGAATTCCACAGAGAGAGCGCGACGGAGAAGAAAACCAAGAAACCACTCCTCCGTTACACTTCTCTTATTCGTATTCTATTTCCTCCCTTTCTTTTTTTGGCTGAGAGAGACTTTGCTAAAGCCACAACACAATCAGGGCAAGGTGGTGCTCGTCACGGGCGGGGCAAAGGGCATCGGTCGTATGATCTCGGAGGGTTTTGTGGCGAATGGTGCAAAGGTGTACATCTCGTCGAGAGACGGCAAGGCCTGTGAGAAGGCCGCGGCGGAACTCACCGCTCTCGGTACGTATCACTGCATGGTGACAAGGCCGAGAGGGTCTTTTTTCTTCTCTCTATTCGTTGCGTATTTGTTTCCTCAGCTAGGTTGTTCCTGATGAGGTAGAGCAGCCTCGTCAAGCTGTGAGAAACAGACCCTTGCTCGACCTCTTGTGTTGAACCCCCCTTATCTCCTCCGCAAGCAGCAGAGACAGCCTCTCATAGCATCTTTTGCCACTATCTTCTAAGCAGAAGACTTGAGATTGCAGCCTTACAAGCAGTCCAACTACCAAGTAAAAGAGCCCCCAGGCTGATCTTCTCCAGGACAACAATCCGGCGGCAGCGCCATCGCCCTCCCAGCCGACCTCCAGTCCCTAGAAGCCTGCAAATCCCTCGCCGCCGAGCTCACCCGCCGCGAGGGCGACCGTGAAGGCCTGCACATCCTCATCAACAACTCGGGCGCCGCATGGGGCGACTCCTTCGACACCCACCCAGACCACGCCTGGACCAAGCTTCTCACCCTGAACCTGCAGCGCGTCTTCACGCTGACGCAGCTCCTGGCCCCTCTCCTGGAGAAAGCAAGCAAGCGCGGCGGCGGCGGTGGTGACGACGACCCTGCGCGCGTAATCAACATCGGCAGCATTGACGCCATCCGCGTCCCGACCATCGAGAACTATGCCTACAGCGCGAGCAAAGCGGGCCTGCACCAGCTGACACGCACCTCGGCGGTGGCGCTGGGCCCGAGGGGGATCACGGTGAATACGCTTGCCTGCGGGCCGTTCCCTAGCAAGATGATGAAGGCGGTGCTGGATAGTGCGGGGAAGGAGCTGGCGGAGGCGAACCCCTTGGGCCGCATCGGGACCCCTGAGGATGCTGCGGGTGCTTGTCTTTTCCTGTCTGGGCGGGCAGGGTGAGTCTTGTTTTCCTTCTTTCTCATTCTTCCTTCCCTTCTTTCTCTTGTCGGGGAGTGATAGGACAGCAATGGGGTGTGCAATATGCTGACATGCCACAGTGCTTTCGTGAACGGTGCGACGCTCACCCTGGACGGCGGTATACACCTGCTCTCTAGACTGTAAATAATACAAAGAAGCTCGACTGGGTAGGCGGTTCTTGACTCAATGAAGACTTGGGCCACGAGTGGATTCTACTGTATGAGGATCACTTTATTCCCCAGCTTGCATGCTGCTGGGCTGGGATCCTCGCTCTGCCTTGTGGTGTGCCTGTGTCTTCCGCCTTTCTGGATGAAGCGATGGAGTTACGAGCTGGGTGAGAGAAGCCTCATGAGACAGAGGGTACGGACTGTACAGCATCATGGAGGGGAGAAAGAAAAAAAGAAAAAAAAAAAGGGGGGGGGGGAAGGGGTGTCAGGTCACAGCCAACCATACCATGCGAGTGAGGCGCACAATGAGAAAATATGTAGAATCAGGCCCACCTCAATAGAAAGGGCTTCTAGTCATCTCTCATAAATTTGTAACACACTAGACTTGGTCCTATTAGAAAACTCCGCGCTCCCCCTTAATCTAGTACCTGCCTCCCGCCTCTCTGTCTCCCAGTCTGACCTTTGTGGGGGGTTTTTGTATCTTTAAAATCCATTGCCCATGACCTCTCTGATGCCATGCCCCTGTCTGACCATGATGAAATAATTCTATGAAGCCACTGAGGGAAGGAGGCTTGGAAAGGTTCTGTACCGATCTCTAGTCTGTAAGCCCAGGAACAAGCCGACCGGCCCGTCCATCCAGCTCTTTGATCACCCAGGTCGATATGAATAGCCTCTCTCTTGATACAAGCAAGACTAAGAAAGAAATGTACCATGAACATGCAAGAGGAAACAAGAAAGAGGGAAATATATGAGAATAATTCAGGCATGCAGGATTTAAAAGAGAAGAGGAAATAAAAGAGAAACAAAGAAAAAAGAGGCCGAAAAAGGGATATCATTGAAGCACCCTGTGCCAACTCCATGCGCCTGCCTGCCTGCCTAAACCGGCCTTTCCGTCCTAGGTATGCTGTTATTTCCCGACCGTGCGCTTCGTATTTTTTTTATTTATAATTGTTTTGTTGCTCTTTGCTTATTCTGGGCCCGCATGCTGGATGAGCTCGGTGGCATCGTCCTAGTGGATCGTCCCATGCATCGTGTTCTTGGTGTTCCGATACCAACAAGATCGAGTCGACAGTTGTGGTTTGGGGCCGAGAGAGGAGGGGAGGGGGGTGGGGGGGAGAAGGAGTGAATACAGAAGCGCTCTCCTCCATGGCTTCGACATGTCGACGGGACGACTCAGAGACTCTCCTTGTTGGGTGACAGGAGCGTCTGAATCGGTAACAACCCTTGCGACTTGTGGGAGCTCATGTTCGTGGGTGCAAAGAGGGAAAGAAACACCCCTCTTGGAATTGGCCGCGTCCCATCCCAGGATTGTGCGAGGCGGGGTGCTGCACAGCATGAACCTGTGCCCTTGGGGCAAGGAGCCCAAGTCGTGCACGACACAGACCGCAAACAGCACCACCAGGCCGACCACCAGTTCAGAAGTCCACTTGCCCCCCCCCCCCCCTTTCCCATCCAAACATTGTGGAATACGAGAGGGTGGATGTTCTTCTGGTCTCTCCATCCCAAGGCTAAGTCGTGTCCCCCCTTCCATCCAACCCAACACCACACCTGAGGTCTCTCTTGTCTGCCTCTCATTTATGACAGCCCAACGTTCTCGAGATCCCTGATCATGACAGCCACCTGCGCGCGCTTGGCAGCCTCAGCAACCAGCGTGAAGTCCTTGAGGAACGTGTCGGTCGAGGGATTCTTCATTGGTACGTCCCTGGGGGCGGGGGGCGGGGGAATGGCGCCGAAGCTCCCCTTGGCCGCCTGCGTCTGCGGCCAGTTGGTCGGGGGTTGGGCTTGCTGGTGAGTGGGCGACGAGAGCGGGGCGTCCATGATTATTTTCTTCTTTGGTTTGGTTGAGTGTGTATGAGAGAAAGAAGATGATTGAAGGGTGGGGTTGGTGGTGGGAGAAGCTCCACGACTATGGTTCGAGATGCGGCGGCAGTAGTTGGTCGCTCCTTCTTGTATGTGTAGAGGGACTGGTGATAAAAGAGAGGCAACGGGCTAGGGTTCAGCTCGGGTCTTTCCTTCCTCTTCCTCGTGGGAAGTTGCGGTGGAGGCAGCTCGTGTACTTTGGTAGGATGTTCAGGTGGGCGAAAAATCGAGGGGTGTGGGACCAAGATCTGCTGAAACGGCGAGGCGGATGACGATGGTGGTGAGGATGACGATAGGACGGCGGATGAGATAAGAGGAGTCAGGAGAGAGTCAAAGGTGGAGGTATGTATGGCGAGGCGAGGTCAGGCGAGATGAACGAGGTGGGAGATGTGGAGTAGTGCGAGGCGAGAACAAGAAAGAAAGCACGCGAGGTCTCCGACGGAAGGGAGGGAGCGTATTATTGAGTGGTGGTAGGAGTAATCATATGTTACTACGCAAGGCAGACGCTGTGTGTTCCTTTTTCTGGACTGGTTCGTCCTGAGCTGAACTGGACCGGACAATGAGCTGGATTGGAGTGGATGAGATCAGATCCAGATAAGGTTTGGGTTTGAAATGGTGTAGTTTTGGCACATGAGATACGTCTTGGTCTGTCTTTAGTTGGTTGTTGTAGGAGAGGAGAAGACGGGGGAGAGAATAGACCGAGGATAGAGAGAGAGAAAAAGGGTGTGTGTATATGAGTCTTTGCTCTTCCTTTTTCAAGATTTCACAGTCAAGCCCCCAAGAAGATCGGTACTCTGCCGAGCCGAAGTGTGTGGGGTAAAACTCTTTTGTTCATGTATAACCCAGTCCCCTGTCGGCAGAGCGATAGGAGGGATAGGAAGAAGAAGGGCAGAAAAGGGAGAAACCTTGAAGATGAAATCCAGCCTGGGGCGATACAAGCAGAAAGCGAGGCCGCGAGAGAGGCAGAGACGACAAGAATGCGAAAAGAGAAAAGAAAACGAAGTGGATACCGCCCCAAGCTGCTGTGGATATTTCAAGGCTGCGCGCGCACTGGGTCGGCAGAACGGGCCTGGCTGAGTGTGTGAGAGTGCGTGGTGACGATGATGGGGGGGAAGGACAAGGACCTCCCCTCTCTTCTCGACCTCGAGTCAGACCTTGTCTTCTACTACTATCAATAATGCTTCTTTGTTTCCTCTCTGGCGGAGATTATCTTTTCCGTATTTGCTACGTTGTCCGTACATCGAGAACACGTGCTGCAGGGCAGATTTGTTTGCTTTCTGATTTCCTCCCTCCTCACCTCAAAGAGAAAGAGATAGAGAAATATAGAACTTTAGTTTGTCCCACCAGAGATACTTCATTGTCAAATGCAGGACCCCGCGTGCCCGCCGAGGCAGGGCCAAGGCACAGCAGCCAGGGCGACAACTCTATGCAGGAGATCGTACGGAGGAGTGGAACGAGTTAGTGTGGTCGAGGATCCTGCACTTAACAGGGGGTACATTGGCTTGACAGGACTAGCACCTCCCTTCAGGCGTGCAACAGCCGAGGGATCTGCGTGTGGGGCCCCGCGTTGGGTGTACCTTTTGTTTGGACGGATCTGCACAAAAGGGGCATGATCTCCTGTACGTTGTATCTTGTGCATGCCATTTACTACAGGGAATACTTTAAAGAAAAAACGCGGTAGTACTCTAGGCAGCGCCAAGTGCGGTACCGCACTGCATCGCATCATTCGAGGATGGAGGCCTGATCAAGACCTTTTTTCCTCCTTCTTTCCAGATGGGGACGGCTACGAAAATGCATCACATCAGCCCATGTTACCTCGCCCCTTCTGTTTTCTTCATCTTCTCTTATGCAATGCAGCAAGGGAGAAAAGAAACAGAGATGCTCATATCTCTACATCATCATCATTTTTCCGAGGGCCTAAACCCTGAGAGCAAGATAAGAATATGCCACCTGAGCCATTCATCTGCCCATGACACAACCAAGTAGCCTCCTCGTCTCAGTCTCTCTCTCTGTGTCCCCCCTGGCTACTCCAACTAGCTAGGACGCGAAGTGCCTTGGAAAGAGGGCCGCTTCCGGACTTGTTCTCCCCCCCCCCCTGCTTCGATTCATCACGATCTCTCTCCCTTTCTTTCTCTCTTTCTCTCTCTCGTCATTCCCTTCGTTAAATTGCTTGTTCTTGGGAAAACAAGGCATCGGAGGCTATTAAAAGCGAGCGGGCGACAAGGCAAGGGAGCACTGAGATGATGGGCTAGATAGGGCCGAGATAGTAAGTACATGGTACCGGCGATACGACGGCTGGATTCCTGTCATACTACAGTACGATGTATACCGCCAGGCGGGAAATTCCGGGTGGGATAGAGAGAAAGAAGGAAGAGAGAGAAAACGGCCCATGTCATGCAGTGGGCTGCGCTAGAGAAACTCGCTACCCCGTCGTTGTACCTCGGTGGATTTCGGCCATCTTGCGTCCTCACTCGCCTCATACAATCATCACCGCCTCGACAGAGCGAGGAAGTTTTTATCCCTTTCTTTCCGAGAGGTGATCAGGGGGAGCAGTTGATCGAGGGTCAGGGATATTTCGCCGAGTTGCAGGGCCACAAATCGAGGACTCCTATGGAGGACTACTATGTACTTGTATCGAGTCGTGCGTGTTGGACCCTGAATTTTGAGTTTTGCGTCAAGAGCAGACTTTTTTTTTTCTCTTTCTTTTTTGGACCCATGCCCCTCCCTTACTCTTCTACTAGTCCATAGTAACCTTTTCCTTTCTCTTTATTGTTTACTTAAATTCAGTCCGTTTATCATCTCCTCTAGCGCTGAGGGTCGCAGACAAGGCAGGCAGGGCCTCGAACGTGTAAGCCATCTCTGTAGCGCGAGAATAACCGCTACCGTATACACGATACAACATAGTATAAACTATCTGTAGACACCCTGCAGATCTATGTACGTATCGTGATACTCATGGAAATTTACATGATCTATGCTTGACAAGAAGGGTCATGTATACTCCCTGTTCAGGACCAGGCACAGTACTGTTCTGTCAATCCAATTACAACAACACGATATCGTATTTGCTCTGGAAAGGAAGAGCATCAATTAGGAAGAACAGGGGAAGGGGAGGTGTAGAGAGAAGATGCAGCACGCAGGCACAGGATGCAGACCAAATGCAGGTCCCAATCGAATAGATGCAGTGGAGACCCGGGTAAACTCTCGCCGCATGCCTCGGGCCGGCCTTCCCAAGCACCGACACGCGCTATCGTACCTCTTCCCTGACCGCTGTTGCAGCCTCGCACGACGTCAGTCCAGCCACTCTCAGCCTCGCCTTGCAATTTTTTTTTCCCCTTCTCTTATACTTTTTTCTTCTATTCTCTATCTCATCCTTGCTCCATACCCACACCACCCACCCAAAAAGTTTCGTACACCCCATTAAGGCGAAACTGTATTCTTATACGTCATCCTGTATAACAACTGAGAAGGGCCTGCTTTCGTTCTAGAACCACACCCCTCACCCCGCCCCGGCCTTAACACCCCTTGCTCGCCAAGGCGGCTCGAATCCAACCCACACAAACAACCCAGGTCAAAGCTTCTAGAAGACGCCAACCGGGGTTGTGTCTCCCCACGAGCAAGCAACAAGCTGCCGCCACCACATCACCTGACAAACGAAGAGAATACGCGACCCTTACAAGGCGATGCGATGACATCTGCCCACCAGCCCGGCACCAGGGACTCCTCAAGGAGCTGGATCCCGTCCATCCCCTCTCCCCTCCAGCGCCTGTTCGCCGCCGTGCCCCTCGTCGCCTACCCTCCCAACGAGCTCCCGCGCCGGTCACCCACATCAAGTGACCTTCCTACTCTCCATGTCTTCATCTCCGAGGAGGACGCCGCGAGGGGACGGCCGAGCTTCAACCCCTCGTGTCTGAAGTGGCAGGTCAGTTCCTTCTCCTTCTCCCTGTCCTTCTGTGCCCTCCTCTTCCTCCCTTCTGCTGCAAAGATTCACCCAACAAACTGACATCTTTGCATACATACACATACACCAGACCTACCTCCGCCTCGCCTCCATCGAACACAACCTCCAACCCTCCACCAACCACGCCTCCCCGACGGGCTCTCTCCCTTTTCTTCAGGCCGCCCTCCCATCGACCCCAGAGCACCGCCTCGACGCCCGTCACCTCCTCCCTATTCCCTCCTCCCGCCTAGACTCGTACGCCAGACAGCACGGCTCGCTCCCCCCTTCTTCTTCTTCCTCCTCCTCCTCCTCCTCCTCCTCCTCCCAGCAGCAGCAACAGCAACAGCCGGTCTCATCCGCCGCAACAACCCCCGACGCCCGCTACCATCGGCAACAGGTCTACCAGTCCCTCCTCGATACCGCCATCCGCAGCGCCTGGCTCTACACCCTCTACCTCTCCCCTCCCAACGAGCCTGTCCTGCGCAGTCTCTACGTCGACCCAACCTCCCGCTCCCCCCTCGTCCGCCGTGCCCTGCTCACCCAGCTCCGCACTGCCGCCCGCGCCGAGATTGTCCGCGCCTCTGGGGGCGGTGCGACGACGACAACGAGTGCCGCCGAAGGAGCAGCAGCAGCAGCAGCAGGAGGAGGAGGAGGAGGCTGGTCGCTGTCACTGGGGAGCTTGGGCGGCGGGGACCTGCTCACATGGGTCTTGGGAGGCAGGCCGGCGGTCGACCCGGCCAAGGTCTACGAGGATGCGCGAAGAGCGTTCACGGCGCTGGAAGCAGTTCTGTCTGCGGCCGGGGCTGAGGCTGTAGCTGGTACTAGTCCGAGCCCAGAAGAAGAAGAAGAGCTAGAACATGAAGAAAGAGGACAAGAAGCAGCAGCAACAGGTGGTGCTGCTGCTGGAGGCCCATGGTTCTTCGGCAGCCCCAACCCGACCCTCTTCGACGCCGCCGTCTTCAGCTACACCTACCTCATCCTGCACGACGACTACACCCCCGCCGGCACCACCTGGGGGGACGACACGCTGCGGCACATTGTGCGAGACGACTGCCCGCGTCTGGTGGCACATGTCGAGAGGATCTTGGAGCTGGGCTGGGGCTCGCAGGGGAGGGTGTGAGAGGGGGCGATGGAAGGAGAGACAAAACTAAAACAAAACTGGAAGGGGAAAAAATCGGCAGATAGCCGATTCGTCATAGCTTCCACTCGGCGCCACGAATGTTTCCCCTCTTTCCCTTTGCAGGTGAGCCGGGAAAGATCTATACAATGGTTTCTTATTTATCATCAAGATCTCAGGACCAATTACCTTCTCCGCGAGAAAGATCAAGGGCCGGGGGTTTGGGGAAGAGGGGGGGAGGGGGGGAGGGAGGCTGGCCACTTTGCTCCCCTCTGTTACACATATACCTACCCATCTATCAAGTTCAGACACAAGGGAAGAGATTCAGCAGCTAATCCCATCCATCTCCATAGAGAGGAGAACGATTTGGCATCAAGTCCTGCCGAGAGTCCTATAGGAAAGAAAGCAGGACTTGCAGAAGGTGTACAAAGCCTAGATATGTGTATATTCCACAAAAGGATACTCTTAAAATGACGACTGCGAAGAGACTGCCTACCTCGTCGTCTTCATCAATATTCTCTGAGCCACCCATCCCCGTACACTTATCTATCACTGGATCTCGATCCTTGATCCAGCTTGCCCCTGGACTAAAAGTCACTGCCCAGGAGAACATCAGATTGAAGATACGTCAATCTCGGTATTTCCATTTCGCTAATTGAGCACGTGGGTAGTAGTACTGCTCCCGCTACCATCTCTATGTGACATGCCTGCGCATTATCATGCCTGTGCATTGACCGCTGCTTATTCCTGTCCGACACATGCTTGGCCATTTTGAATGAGCACGTTCCCATATGCTACGCATGCTCACTATCGGTGATCCTGACCTATCTGACGATGTCCGCCCGTCCAGCCCACTGGCAGTCAAACCCATCTGCCTTCCTTCGAAATCAGTCAGTACTGGTCCTCCTAACACGGCAGTGTCTATCTATCCCAATGGGCATTCCCAAGTCGTGAGTCCGTCAGGCCCTTCCATGCGTGAGTGGGGTGAAGGCGAATCCGAGAACAAAAAGACAAAAAAAGGGAGAGGAAAAAAGAATGATAACGGGTGAGCACAACGCCAGCTTCCATCCCTTCCTTCCGTAACCGTATTACTCCTGAATCGAAATCAACGAATCGGTCCATCCCAACCGGAAAATGCTGGCGAATTGTTCTCGCAGAAGTGGAAAAGAACACAAGAAAAAGGAAAAGTTGAGGAGAGAGTTGCCACTGGTTATGTGCATAAGAAGTGAAGAGGCACGCCACAGGACCCGTATGCCAGCACATGTCTCTTGAAAAGTCGACCACCGAGCCATCACGGGAAAATTACTGGCTGCACACGAGGACGAGGCTGTTCCGAGAAAACGCTTCCACGGACACCTGCTCGGGAGTGGTCCGTACTATATCCATTATGCGCTGCTGCCGTACACGGATGGCTGATTTTCTCCGGATAATGAGTCTATCGTAACCACAGCAGGGCCGCCCAAGCTGAAAAAAAGTGGAAGATGTAACGGTACGTAGATGAGAATTGCAGGCTCTTTGCATAGAGGCATAGTGAGGGGAAGGCTTGTGTTGTGAAAACGCCGGTGCAGCAATACCGACTTAGGGCTCATATCTGTTCGGCGACGGCCTGTCAGGCCTCAGGACAAACGTGTGTCGTCTAAGCCTTCTCGCCTCCTGGTCGTAATCGCTTCTCAATCTGTCGGCGGCGATGACCCGAGTGCGATGCACATACGAGTCCACAATGCCCTAAAAGTCAGACTTGCTGGGCTCGACCTCGTCAATGATGCTCTTCATGGTGACGAAGGCACCGGGGCCACCATTCTCTGCTAGGTCATCGAGGAGCACGCTTGTCTGCGCGTAGACATTCTCGATGGCCGCACGTGAGGACTTGCCCAGGGATTCTGCACCACCAAGTTAGTCCAACAACCTCAACGTCACACTGTAGATGCTTGCAAGAGAGAGAGCGTGTCAAAACCCACGTAATATCACAGAGTTCAGTTCCTCCGCAACTGCCACACGACCCTTACGGTCCAGCAGATGCGCAACCTTGGATTCCTTCAGAGGGTTTGGATATGCCATCAAGCTGAAGATGTCCTCCAGAGCCTGCTGCACCTCCTTCCGCTTATCGCCGGCGTACTCAGCCTGGAGGGACTGGCCGTACAGCAGAGCAACCTGCGTAAGGTCGCCGGCGCCGTCGGAACCCCTTTGGCCGCTAGAGTCTCTCACGTCATTGTCGTCGTCGTCCAGCTCCATCTCCTCGCCTTGTGGCGGGTGGTTGTGTCCATTTTGGCTGCGCCTTTCGCCGCCGACCAGATTCATCTCAGCCTCTCGCCGGATCATCTCGATGAACTTTCGGCACCGGAGACGAAAGTAAACTTGTTCATTTTCCTGTAGCACTTGGGGATAATATGCGTTGGTGTGCTTAAGCGCCTTGTCAATATCGCCCTCTAGAATCGCCCGCCGGATCCCTGCACGTTGTGAGTGAGTAGGAAGACTACTACGTCTGATTTTTGAACCGAGGTCAGACTTACTTTGCCGGTTGTTGGCATCCTCATCATCTTTGATATCGATGCCGGGCACCTGAACGTTGGGGTCTAAACACAGTGACTGCTTCTCGGTTTGTATTTCTTGGGCGAAAGCTCTCGCCGTCTCGACGTAGCCGTCATGTTGCAAAAATTGAAGAACCTGAGCGGCCGTCAGCTTCAGTCATCAACAAGGTCCGGGCCTTAGAACAACCCACCAGCTGCTGGATCAGATCCGTCTCGTTGAGTGGCGGCGCAAGTTTGCTAGTGTCCGCTTTGGAGATCTCCGCCTCGAGATGGTGAATCTCCTTCTGCACAGTCGGTCAGCACATGATTCTTGCAATTTTGAAATTCGAGGGCAGACCCAGCCCCGCTCCGTCCAGTATGAATCAGACATCTTCTCAATGAACTCATCCAGTGTCCAAACCTGGTGATCGTCGGGCGTCTGAGGCGTTGCTGGAGACGCTGGTCTCTGCAGTGGCTGGCTCTGGACTGTCCGATCGGTACACCACGGAGACCTTGAGGGCGTTGGAGTTCTTGCCCTCCGCTGCTGGTCGAAGCTGAAGAGGACGGCTCTGTCTGACGACAGCGGGGCACTCTGCCTCCGCGATCCCGGCTGCTGCTGCCAGATGGGGTCGTCGAAGACTTCGTGTATCCACAGGGGAAAGACATGCCCGAGAGAACTGTTCATGACGGTGTGTATAAGGGAGAGGGAAGAATGAAAGAAAAGGAAAGTCAAATGCTAAAAGAGTGTAGGGATGTTACATGCCTTCATGTGGGAATCGATATCAAAAACAAACCGTGTTTGTCCAAAGTTGACACGGACGTGTTCGCCCGTCTTTTTCAGTCCAACCGAGGGATACAGCTTCCCCTTGACTTCCTTGAAAGCAGGGCCTAGAACATCGAGGGTACGTCAGCACATGGCAGTCGCAGGGCACCAGATCAACCCCCCCTCCCCCCAGTCCTGTCCCGATCGCCCTAGACATACCTATCAAATGACCGTTCTTGGTGAAGAAGGCCGAATTTGTCCTGAAGTTGACACCACAGCCTATCGTGTCGCCGCCCGAGAATAACGGACCATAGTTCCTGCCCACATTCTGTGAGGCAAAGACGTGGCCATCGTCACCATGGTAGCCCCACGACTCGGACTCCCAGCCGGGAGCTCGGTTCAGCGAGACGGACTTGCTGGAAAAGCCGATGGCAATGGTGGTGCTGCGGCGGTAGATATCATAAATCAGTCAGAGAAGCACTCTTTCCCGCCAACTCAAAGAAGATGAAGAGGAAAAAGTAAAGAAACAAGGAGGTATGGGGAAAAAACCTACTCGGTGTGTTTTCTAGACAATATCGTGACCTCGAAGTAATACAGTCCACACTGCACGGGCATGGGGTGATCGGCGCGGACAGCATAGGCCTCGTGCTCCCTCTCGTTGGGGTTCCTCGCGGTGCACTTGACCTCCAGGTCGTCCGACAGCAACTCCAGGCCCGATGCCTTTTCCTCCTTACTTGTGCCCCACTTTGTGGGCAGCGGGCCTATCGCGTCCTCCTCTTGCTCGTGTGCGGGTGTACGCTCCACCACGTCCCTGGCAATGCCCATGTGGTACGACTGCGACGCTGAATTCTTGCCGGCCCCGTTGGCCGCCTGTGAGCCGTTGGGCTCCCTGCTATGCAGAAGTGCCTTTTGCCGGGCCTGTTGCTCGAGCCTCGCCAGGTAGCTGGAGCCCTCGAGGTAGGAGGGTCTGGGGAAGTTGTTGTATGATGTGGTGGTGCCGGAGCCGCCGGCCGCCGTGTGGATTGGGTCTGTCCGCCCCGCGAGGACGGCCTCCACGCCCGGGAGTGTCTCGAAGCTGGATCGATTCATGAACAGCTCGAAGGCCCTCGAGGACTCTGGAAGCTGCTGGCTGGGTGCTGCGTAGAAGCTGCTCGCCCCAGCGGCACCGTCCAGATTGCCGCCGTTCTGCGTCATGATTCCTGCTGGCTCCCAGTCTCGTGCCGAGCCAGAGATATTGTGATTTCGGTGTGCTGCAGGGCTCCAGTCGGCGTCGGAGGGATTGAGAATGTTGCTGAAGGAGGTCGGGCCCGTCCTGCTGGTGCTGCCCGTCCTCTCTCGCGATTCGGACGCTGCTGCTACTCGTGCATACGTGATATGGGGTTGGGCCGGATCGTAGATGTTGTCGTGTCTTTGCGTATTTTGGGAATGCTGAAAAGGACTGCTCATAGTTGTCTGGGTTATTCAGCAGACTTGGGCGGAGGACAGGAAGAAGAGGTAGAAGACAGGTGAGGTAGAGACTAAGGGTCCAAGACGTGAATGGCTGGGCTGGGTTGGTTCCGGAACGAATGGCTTCGATGCTTTGAGGGGAGGGGCTGTCAGGCAGCTGCAGCAGAATCAGAAGCTTCCTCAGCTGCCTATCAATACCACTTTCACGAGACAGATGTCCAGACAGATAGAATATTGCATACCTCTCTTTCTGCTTCCTTCTTAGGTTGGCTGGCTGGCTCGCTTTGGGGCCGGCCGTGGTGGGATGAGGTGCACCTTGGGTGGAGGCACGTCACTTGTTCCCGCTGCTTAGTCTACCTAAGCTGAGCTCAATCGGGACATAAAGAGAACACAAGGCACACGAGACTGGAGGCCGAGACAAGCCGCTTTCTGGCAATGAACCCTTTTCAGAAAAGCAATGCACATGAAAACAACAGCTTTTCCTCCTCAGAGAAGGACAAATCCAGTTGGAGAGGAAGAGTGGGGGAAGGGGGGAAACGGAAGGAGAGGAAAGACGTTGAGAGAGTCGGGGTAGTTAGTGAGTGGTGGAGTTGTCGCTATCAATACGTTATCATGTAGAGTCAGGAGGTAGGTGGTGCTAAAAGTCATAGCAGGAGGGAGTTTATCAAAGAATGTGCATGTGCCCTCTTTACAAAAGCACACCCTGGAAGGGGGGGGGGGGCGCAATGATGCATTGATCCAATGTTCTCCACTGGCGACAAGTCCAAACGCAGCCAGCACGGTGGGTTTCGTCTTCTACAGAGTGCCAAGCTGTAGTTTGCCTTTCGTTTACCCCTGGCAGGTTAGGCCACACCACAGCACTGCACTGCATTGCCCTGCACATTGAGCTAGTGGCTAAAGAGGACTCAGTCAATACTCCTTCAGAAGCAGACACACCCTGTCTCAATGCAATGAAAGCCCAACACGTAGCTGCTCGTTGCGTTTGGGAATCTGAACCAGCATTTTATTGGCAGATATTTCTTGAAGAAAAAAAATCTATGTCCGAAAGGAGGAGGAAAAGGAACAAATACTGTATACTTTGTGCTGTTGAACCATGGTAGAGTTGGCCCTTGCTCCTAAGTCGCCGGAAACGCCCTACTCTAGGAGCAGCAGGCAAGCTCAAGGGCATACATTCCAGACAAGATCAAGTTCGCAAGGAGAGCTTAGCAGCTACGTTTTCGAGCATGCCGACTAAATCATATGAATGATGGCGAGAATTTTTGTAATGAACCAACCTTATTAGATAGCACAGGAGGATAGTTGGTTCTTTCCTATTACAAATCCAAAACTCCGTACCCATTTCACTGAGGCCACACAGCAAAGCACTGGTAGGAGACGTAAACACACCACCATGGAAGGTCATGTCTCCAGAAACATCCACCACGAAGTAGATGTACTGAAATGAAATATATGGCACATTCAATTTCATGTCAATAGTGTGTGAGGACAGTGTCTCATATAATCAACGCATACAGCTACTGGCAGATTTCTATGCATAACCGGACAACCCCCAACGCCCTTCCGACATGGCAGTGGTCAGGCCGTCAAACCACCTGTAAACGCCATCTGTGCCTGGTACCTTTTTATTCCGTCCTTTCAGCTTCCAGGACGAATGACAGAGGAAGTGGATGTCAGCCATGGGCAAGAACCTTGCCCTAGAATAGTGCCACATCCTTTGCTGGAATTGTTTTCCCCCCGCAAACCTTGAACGCCAGTGTATTACATGCCCCTAACCAGGAAACCGAGAATGAAAGACGAGAGAAAAAAATGTTCGTGTCCCCGTGAAAAAGAGAGAATCGTCGTTTGCCCACGGCTGCCGCACTTAAGCACCAGCGGCAATAGCCATAGGGGCAGGCGAGGAGGCTTGAACGCTAGGAAGACTCTGCATCTCGACGTCGCCACCGGAATTGCTGTTGTCGGACTTGGTCGGCTGCTCGACGTTCTCCTTGTTCTCCTTGCTGCTGTCTGCGTTGGAGGCGGCGGCGGAGGCGGGCACTTCCTCAGGTGTAGCCTCGACGGGCTCCGGCTTGGGAGGGGCAGTCCAGCGATGAATCTCCCACTCGACACCGGTAAAGGTCTTGAGGCGGAAGCTGCCCTTGTTCCATTTGCGGCACGGCTTGCCACTACGGTCGAGGGCGCGCAAGCCGGCGTTGATGGCACCCTGGTTCGCCTTGGGGCCGAGCCGGTGGGCATTTCCTCGGGCGGGCTCAAGGGTACCATCCTCCCTGCGAGTTGGGTTAGTTCACTGTTGCATGCTTGCTCGAGGTCGTGGATGTGGAGAAAGGGAGAGAGGGAGAAGGCACCTACATTCGCTGTCTCTTCTTGGGGCCAGGCTTGCCTCGAACCTTGGCCTGCCCATCGCCGTTCGCTGCGGCTGCAGACCTCTTCTGACCCTTCTTCTTGTCGGGAGGACCCATCGCGGTCGGGGCGGGTGTGCCACCGTTGGCAGGCGTGGCTGGGCTGGAGTCGGAGACGTTCTCGGGGTTCGAGGCAGGGGCTGGCTGTGGTGTCGAGGCGCCAGGCGAGTCCTTGATGTCCTTCACCGGCGTATCCTCCTTGACGGGCTCGGGGGCGGGAGTTGGCGTCGGAGCAGGGTCGAGAAGGGCTCGCAGACGATCGGGCGAGACTTTGAGTGTGAGGATCTTGGAATCCTTGCTGCTGGAGGCCGAGGCCTTGCGCTGCTTGTCCTTGGCAGGCGTAGAAGTTCGGCTCGTTGAGGGTGCCATCGCTTTTGGCTGTGTGGAGGATCTGGACGTCGTCAAGAAAGTAGTATTCGTGTCGGGAGCGTGTAATCGCCGACTGGTGGGAGGACCGATGCCTTTTTATATGGAGCTCAATAATAGAGGCGACAGGGCAAGGCGGAGATGATGAATTGGCAAGAAAGGTATGCGTCTCTAGGGGGGAGAGTAGTGCGTATGCATGAGTGTGCGATTTGCGTACGTGCCTTGACGGGCGGGTTGGTTGCTGAGCAGATCCGATCCACTTGATCAGTTGGACGGGAAGGGAGGGTTGGTTGTTGGTGCGGTGCATAGAAGGAAAGAAGAAAAAAAATCAAGAGTCAGCCTGGCTGGGCTGGGCTTTTTTGGTGATGACAGGCGTGCAGAGTTATCTGCAGCGTGCGTGGTGGGATCAAGTGAGAAAAAAGTGTGCGCGACGGCGACGATGGAATTATAGTGGTGGTGATGGTGGTGTTGGGTGGTGATGGTTACGAAGGGAAGAAGAGAAAGAGGATGGGACGGCGAGGGTGGGAGGAATCCATCACCTGGACTTGTTTTATTGCCCGGTGCGGTGGGAGAGGAAACGTTCAAGTTTCGATGGTGCCGCTCGCGCTTCAGTCATTGTGCCTGTGGTGCTGGGCTGAGGTGGCCAGGCCTCGCGCTCTCCCTCACTCACCCCAAGGCGCCCAAGACGAGGACGGGACGGGTTTGGGTCTTGGAGGGAAATGCGAGCTTCGTAGCCCTGGCGCGGGCGATCAACCTTGTTTGAGCTCACCTGCAGGTGGCCGCCGCGGTCCCCCTGCCGCGGCTGGGGCTGGACTGGATTACATAAGGCAACCCAAGGCACTTTGTACCTCTGTACCCTTTCCTTTCTCTGCAACCCGTCGCTTGTCGATTCTATTTTCGTGGTCTCTCCTCCCTTTTTCTCTCTTTATTGTCCTGTCTGGAGTTTCTTTTCTTCCCCTTGTTCCTTTCATTGTCTCTCCCTCACTACAAGATGAATATGAACTGAAATACAAAGTGTATCGTTCCCCAACTTTTCACTCACCACATCATCATCTTCTTCCTCCTCAAAGTCTCCATCTCGGGTGTGGCAAGATAAGGAGGGTGCAGGCAGTGTGAACTTTGGTTTGGTGTGTCTCCGCTAGGACTGCTGAGAATTCTGCATGTATCTAGTCAGAAACTTTGTCACACTCCTAACAACACATCCTTGTTTCTATACCAGTTCTGCTGCCTATCACTGTTAATGGAGGACAAGCCACCGTATCATCGCCGACAGGTCTCACATCCCCTTCAAGGTCTCACTGCCACCCCATCCATCCATTCAGTGGGCGTCCAACTGCCCAAGCGCTCAATCTCCGGAAACCCGCCCACAGCCGATCCATCCATCTGACCTCGTCACCTCGTCCAAGAGGGAATAAGAATGAGGATCGCTCCCGCAGAAAAGGGAGCAGGAAAAAGGGGGTTCGTAACGTCTAAGTATCTCCTCACTTTGGTCCCCTCTCCCCTCCTCCCTTCAACAACAAATTGTTATGGCTCTGCATCCTGATTTTATCATCGTGCCTCATGATGCCGAACATGTCTGCTGCCGAATGAAGCCAAAGCTGGCTGGAGGAGGCAGGCACCGGCACGAGTCGATGGAGTACTATCACCAAAAGCGGAGTCACTAGAAAATCCAACCAAAGTCATGCTCCTTGATCACACAACCAACCGCGACAAATGAAAAGTATTATAACTCCGGAGCGAGAGCCCCCAGGCATAGATGGCGGCACCCACGAATCACTTTCCGACTCCACTCTAATAGTGTCATGCCTTTAACCCCCCGCCATAAGAGAGACAGAAAAAAATCGACCGTGCTCTCCTCGATTGGGATTTGGCACTTAAATAGGGGCTTTGCGCCTCTTCCAAAGAAGTTTTGACAACGTCAATGCGTCATTCATTGATGAGCGAGATTTGCACCTCCGCCAGCTCGCCTCAGCCTGTCTGTCATTGACATGTCAGTGAGGCAATGTCAAACTCAACGACTACTATAAAGTCCAATTTTAGCTTGGCATTTGTACAGTATATACTGGGTGGCGAAGTCATACTATCAAACCTTGGAGGGTCGTAACTGTAAATCGGATCAGCAAATAGCCCTGTCAGCCTTTTGATTACGGCTATTCCAGCGTGTCTTGAGCATTATCTCGGTTCTCCTAAGCATGCCCCTCGAGAGTTGAATGCTACTATAGTAATGAGTCGAATTATGTACTATGGTAATAGTTGAATCGTACCTAGGTAGGCTTTTGGTAGCACTATGGTGCTTCTACACCTGTGCTTGTTATACATTCCAAGGTTTCTCTTTCGATCAGAAAGTAGTTCTCTATACTTGCAATTCGCGACAGCGCTCACTATCGACCTACACCTCTACTGGGGGCTCAGTGCATCAATTCACCTGTCTAGCCCAGGGATGGCATGAAGAGTGTGGACGTTAGTCCCCTCCCTCATGAACATATACTCCTACGGATAGCTTGGCTTTGTAAACATGTGTAGAAACTGCTTATACTTGAAACACCTTCTTGTCAGTGTAGAACTTGAGAGCGAGATATGAATCTTGGCAGCTTACAAGCCGAAGCAGACCCCATAGTGACCGGCCTCGTCAGAGGTGTGGGACTGGCATGAACTTCAAGGTTCAGCGGCAAGCAACATATACACTGCCTCTTAAACATCTTGGTGGGTGTGACATCCCTCTATGGTACTCAGAGACAGCAGTGCGGTCTCACAACAGTGGTTGTGCCATTAATCATGTTTACAGGCCCCATAATGAAAGATTCCTGATCTAGAAGAGTACTGGAAGTCAGACTGGTAATAGTCTTTGAAAGGTGACTACGTCTCAAGAAGGACCTTGTCGGGGCCGTGTAGTCTAGGTACTCAGATAGTTTCCAGAACGGCGGCCTATTTCCTGTAGGATGTTTTCAATTTTAACCCCGTTTTAGGAACGATTCTTGTTTTGCTATTATCCTTATTTTTACTCTGACAACCTCACTGCCCCTTCTCTCCCTCTCCTCTCTCGGCGCAGTACTTGGCCACCTCCTTCTTCAGCGTGTCCTCCTGCCTCCTCACAAGGTCCATGATATCCCTCACCTTTCCCCCGAGCTTCTCCTCGCCGATCTGGCCCGCGACAAAGTTCATATCCCGCAGCACCGCGCTCAGCTGGTTCGGCAGCCAGGTGATGATGGGGCTGCCACCCGTGGCCGTCGGGTGCGACGTCATCTTGAGGATGTACTCCTTGCCGAAGCACCAGTGCCGCCACCGGAAGTCGCGCACCTGGTTGAGGAGCTGCAGCCACAGCCGCCGCGACTCCCATACCTCCTCGTCCTGCTCGGCCTTGGGGTCCGCGTTGGACAGCTGCAGGGCGAACTCGCGCATGTTGACCTCGATGGACCTGTCACGGACATGCTTGAGGAACGCACGATGGTTGGAGGGGCGGTATTTGCGGAAGTCCTTGAGGATCTCCGTCAGGGGGGTTTCGGGCTGTGTGTTGTCAGTCTTTGAACAAGAGAAACAAAGGTGACCAGAGAGAAATAAAGGTTGGCTTCTGCCTATGGGCAGGCTTGGGTGAGAAAGAGAACAGGCTTCGTACCATGGGGATCTGCAGGAAGTTGTCCATCGTGGGGATCATAGAGTCGTTGGCGCCCGACTCGCCACGGAAGGACATAGGCTTGCCGTCATTGATGCCCTCATACACTACACCATTGGGAAACATGGACTGGCTAGTGATGCCAAAGATGAATGTGCGGAAGGTGGTGTAGTCCAGAGGCTTGGACTTCATCCACATCGTCTCCATCTGTGTTGCGTGGCAGGTGTCAGCCTCATGAATCCTCGCCTGTGTGCATGTGTGCGTGTTCAGATGAGACAATATGTATTGACTTACAGTGGCATTGATCTTGATCATGGCGCCCAGCATCTTTCTCATGGCATCATTGAGAGCCTCACGGCTCTCGTGCGCAGCCTGGAGGGCTTCGACGACACCAGAGACAAGAGGGCCGGAGCTCTTCACCATGTCGATGTGCACGAGCACGAAGCCGGCCTCGGATGACTTGGGGTCGAGACCATGCTCAAAGGCACGGATAAGACGCAGGTTATCGTAATCCATGCCCTTAGCTGGGTCCTCCAACCTGTAGTTGTAGAGGGCGTACGAGCCGGCGTACTCCATGAAAGGGAGGAAGCCAGTCCTGCATGATTGTCAGGGATCATGGAGGGTAGACTTGCTTGGTTCGGAGTGAGGCACAGAGAGGAAGTAGTGAAGCATAGAAGACACGAGCACCCCAAGCGACAATAGCCGAAGCCAACACCCGATGATAGACGATGATGAGAAAGGAAGGAGTTCATTGTGTGGTACTTGGCGTGGAGGGCAGAAGAGGGGAACAAAGAAGGGGCCAATGATGGAAAGAAGGTTGACTAAAGAGCTGAAAAGGGAGGGAGACAACGACAATAGGACAGACGGTGAAAAGAGGGGGGGGGGGGTTGCGCAATAACTATGACAACATATTACGAGAAAGAAAAGGGCATGTGCTCACAACTCTGCAACCCTAGCCATGGGTCTAGCAATGACAGCCGGTAAGGTCTGCCTCCCCAAACCATACGGCTCACCCCTGAGGAACCTTTCGTGGCAGGGCTCGAGGAGGTACGCCGACAACAAGAACGAGTAGTCTCGGTACAGGGCGTTCATTAAGGGCATGTTCTCCTTGTACTTGTCGACAGCCCAGGTCAAGTCTGGAAAGTCTGCGTCGACGGTAGGTCCAAGCTTGCTCTTGGCGAGCAGGCCTGGCTCACCCGACGATGTCTTGACGGGCATAGCCTGGAGGATATCCTCGAGGGGCTGAAACTCTGGGGGGAGTTGCCAGATAGGGTTGGCACGGGGTAAAAAACCACGAGGCTTGGAGACCATGAATGCCTGGAGGGAATCATCGTCTGGACGGCAGTCATCGAGGACTTGGAAGTCCTCGTTGGGGACATAGTCATCCTCAATGCCGACAGAGCCCATGGTGGATGTTCGATGGTGATGCTCAGGGTAGTGTTCAAGCGGTGAGGGAAGAGTGGTATCAGGGGATTTTTGGGAAGGATTTTTTTTTATAAAAAATTTGGTGCGCTGTTTTGGATCTGTGTGGTATGTGTCTTTAGAGTGCAGTTACAGTCCATTGTCTGGCTGGGCGCGGTGGTGGTTAATATAGACCGTGGCCGGAACCATTTCCGCGCTCAGAAACTGTCGACGACGAAGACCGGAGATAGAGGCATTCTTAACAACCAGTCACGAGAACTATTGTCCCATCGATAAGCCAGGGTCATGCTGCAACCCCCCCGACGTCAAGAAACGAGTTGACACGTATCATCCTGTCACGGTCCAGCCCTGGTTTTCGTTCACCGTAAAACTCATGGGGTGAGGTTACACATCGTGAGTATAAATTGGTGGCCACTCGCAAATTTGTAGTATGGAGCGACAAGCCTATACACCAACTTTGAATGTGGAGGAGACAAAGTGAGATTGGAAGTGCATAATATAAACTTGTTGAGAGACCTGCTGACCTCGCGCTGATAAATTCTCGATTTCTCTTTGGCTCGAGTCTTGTTTCCACAGTGTCGTGATGGAACTGAGTGAATTCGAAGGAAGAGGGCCACGTCAAATACCGGGGGATGTGTAAGTCGGTAGGCGGATGGACGGGATGAGCTCCACTCCGGATGCTACGTCTTCCGCTAAGCCAGCCGAGACAAATGACCGAGACCGGGCACCGTGCAATTACGGAATTCCGGCCAGGTTTAAACACCGTGGTCTGGTGAAAACTCTCAAAATCTGGATAATAGTGGAGTTCATGATGGATCAAGCAAGTACTCACCGCACGTGTCACGGTACTCACTTTCGAGTCTTTTTATCCTGACAGAGATATCCGTGGGCACACCATGGCACCAAACACCATCCTTCGAAATTACATGTACGTGGATCAGACTAGAATGGTATGACACTCTGGTGAGGAGGTAGTGGAATTCAAAGCATTATGAAGTAATTAAGCTTCCTAGCTGAACTGGTGCGAATGAACGGGGTTTACAGGAAGGAAGGCATTTTCCTAACTTTCTGTAACTCTGAAATGCATAATATGGTTCTCGATAAGCTGTCTGGAACAATAAATAGCAGATAGACACAATGTATAAAGACAAAGACCTCATTACTTCTTCCGTCTGGGTATTTGTCGAAAATTTTGAACCCTTTGATTGAACTAATTATGGCAAGTCATGATTACTTTGTGAAGAGAGAGTTTGTCATCTGCAGGGCCATCATTTGCTGGTTGAACCAACCAAATGATAATCAGATCAGTGGTGGTATTCCACTGCGAGTCAGCTCGAGGGAGTTCATTTGGGTGTCATTACATGTGGGGCTACAGCACAAGGGTCTGGTCTCACTGTCTTCAATTCTCCGTACACTACTTTACCCTCTCTTTCTCTCTCTCGTATCATCAGCACCAGACACGGACCAACAGTACCAGGGAGGGCTGGAAGGGGAGGTTACTCCTGCCCACCTGGCCTCGGTCGGGATGTTATGCATCAAAACTCGCCAACTAACCAGCCAGCGCTAATGCAGAATACTGCAGGTCTGCATTCGAGCTCTTTCTATTTGCATTCTCCTGCCTTTTGCCCGCCTACCCCCTCCACCATTTCAATCAATCCGGTCCGTCTGCCGTAGGTTGGTCACACGAGGGGCCCCAAAGACCCGAACCCGAAGGATTGCACGCCACACTTTGGCTCCAGTGGTGAGCAAGCAAGTGCTCACTCTTTTTTCTCCTTTTTGCCTCTCACCCCCTTCTGGATCCTCAAGAAGATGCCGGCCAGCCCTGTCTGCAGGGCCAGCAGGGCCACTTTGTCATCCTGCCGGATTACCCACAGCAGTTGGAGCAGGTGACGAGGAAGGTGCGGCCGGACCTGGTGCCTGCGTCCCCTCCGGCTACTCTTGCGCTGTTGGTCCACTCGAGGTGCCACCCAGGTTGCATCTCGGTTGCCATCCAGTGGATGTTGGTCTCGTTCAAAGGTGCATAGGGCTCTGCTTCTTCTCCTTCTTCTTAGCATCTAGAGGTCTTTTGTAGAAAAGAGTGGGACAAAATGATGAAGAGAACCTAATTGCCTTCATTTCCTTTTCCATCCTCTTTTGTGCATTCTTCATGTCAAAGACAAATGTCTTGAACGAAAGATCAAATGACGAACCTCATCAAATGTCACAACCCACGACCGACACAGCAAATAGGCTGATCGTCTGATTCCACGCGCGCCAACAATGCGCTTTCCCCTCCTCCTCCTCCTCGTCGACGGGGTGTGCGCGCAGTATGCAAGATTCGCGATGATGGGAGACAACAACCCCGACCTCGATCTCGACCCAGATGACAGCCACAACCTCCGGGCGCCGCAGTATTACTGGCACCCTGCGGCCGTTGCAGCATCACCGCCCTTTTTTGCAAAGAGAGATGGCGACTGCGGCACTGATTCGCATCCATGTAAGTTATTTATGATGGCCCTTTGCAGTCTCGTCTGGTCTTGCCCAGATCTCACCGCCCCCCTGGCCTCCCCTCGTCTGCGACCCCCGCCCCCCACCAGCCAAAAGAGCCCCGACTTTTTTCTTGTTCGGTTCCTGTCATGCACGACACATTGCGTTGCATCCTTATTTGATATTTTCTACGTCTTCTTTTTATCCTTTTCAGCCCTACCCGCTGTGCAGCGTGCACGGTACATCCCCTGGCTCCAATGTGATCATCGCATGTGGCTTGTTGTCTGGCCCTCCTCCTCCTCATCCTCCAAGTTGCAAGGTTGGGGTTGGGCCACCACCACCACCACCACCACCAGCAGCCACGTCTCTCCATCATAATCATGATCATGATCATCATCATTGTCACCACCACTATCACCACCACGATCCTCCTCATCATGAAGCTCACAATACCTCCTTACTCGCACCACCAGGCTCCGACATCAACTCCACCCTCTGCTGTCCCGACACGACCTACTGCCTAGTCAACAGCACAAGCTGGCAAGCGCAATGCTGCGACCTAGGCTCGACCTGCGGAGAGGCCTGCACGCCCAACCAGTACCTCGTCAACTACACCTCTACCATCACGCGATCGGCCACCACCACCCAGTCCACCTATGCAGCATGCGCGCCCCGCGTCTGCACGTCAACCAACTACCTCTGCCCTTCCTCCCTAGGCGGCGGGTGCTGCGCCTACGGCTCAGACTGCGGCGTCAACGCCGACGGCCAGGGCGTCTGTCTCGGCACCGCGGGTGGGACCACGTCCACCGCCTCCACCGAGGCCATGAGCACCCTCGTCACCCCCGTCGCCTCGGGCTGCACCGCCCAGGGCCAGACCTACTGCACCGCTGGCGGTGGCTGCTGTGACGCCGGCTACGCCTGCACCCTCGTCTCGTCCCAGGTCATGTGCAGCGCCGTCACCGCCACTCCGACCTCCTCCTTCACTGCCGCTGCGCCCACCGGCTCCGGCATCACCGTCGAGCACAAGTCCTCAAGCGGCGACAAGCTCTCCTCCGGCGCAAAAGCAGGCATCGCCGTCGGCGTGGTCGTGGTCGCCGCGCTCGTGATTGGGTTCCTGACGTGGTTCTGTCTGCGGAGGCGGAGGCGCTCTGGGGCTTCTGCTCCTACCGTCTCGGGCCAGGAGATGCGTAGTGTGCCGCCTGGAGGAGGAGGAGGTGAAGGGCAAGGGGGCAACGAGATGGCTCATGGTGCTGCTGGCAGCGGCTGGGGAGGCCGGAACCTGTCCGAGGCAGACGGGACGAGCCTTGGCTATCCTGCGTCGACGGCGGGCACGAGCCGTGCCGGGCGCGTAGGCTACCAGGACTATTTCGGCCCAGAGAACGTCCCGACGTACATGGAGATGGGCGCCGGAACCCTGGGCGCAGGTTTTATTGCTGCTGGCGATGTTGCTCGTGCTGGTGCTCCTTCTCCACCAAACGAGCACCCGTCCCCAGAGATGTACGCCAGTGGCGTTGCTGGTGGTGGTAGGGACGCAGCAGGCCCTCACCAGAGCCCTGTAGAGATGGCCGTGGCAAGTAAGGATCCATCATCGCCGAGACGGCCTATGGCGCAGGCGGGACAACACGCAAGGATACCCTCGGACCGCAGCGACGGCGGCCAGAGCGAGCTCGCAGACACATCATCAGGGCCAGCAGCGGCGGCGACGGCGAGGGATGTGGGCCGGTACCCGCAGGCGAGTTCGCACAGCATAGACCAGGTATTTGAGCTGATGGGGAGCCCGACGTCTCCTATAGGACCTGGTGGTGGTGGTGGTGAGGGAGAAGTCTTTTATGATGCGCACGAGGGCGGCGGTGGTGGTGGTGCCGTGGGTGGCAATAGGAATTTGCCTCAGCCTTTTCCTACGCCTGCGAGTGAGATGAGCGAATTTGGGACACCGAGCCCCATGAGTCGGGAAGAATAATGATAAATAATCAAAGCGGGTTGGGTCATGAGAAGGAGGCAGGGGCGGGGAATGGGATGTCTTGTTCTTTTTCGAGGTTCCCTTTCAAGCAGGCGTTTTGGTCGTGGCCGGGTTTGTTCTTCTCAGTCTTATTAAGACAGACTCTGGCTATATGATACTCTACACACACGCACACCCACACACCCACACGGAGGCTCATTATGAAAATAACTTCATCTCCACGTCCCATCGTGCACACTTTGAACCTGAAACAGGAAGATCATATCGTACAGCATTTGTTCCCCAACACCTAGCCGTTCCGTTCCGTATTTCCCTTCCCGAAAGAACCGCCATACAGGCCTGTGGTATACTCCATTGCTATTGTTCCCAAACGCCAAACAAAAATAGCAAGAGACAGAAAAAGAAATCAGTGAAGCAAAAAAAAACAAAAAAAAAACCACCAAACAAACGCACGCTTCGTAATAATTCCCTCTCATGCTTGTGCGTGTGGGGGTATAGGTATGAAAACAAAGGTCAGGCTGTCGCCGTCATATCACCTCGCACTGGATGGAGAGGTGTACTGCTGTAGGTCCCTGACGAGGTCGTCCACATTCGACAGGTGCTCGCCCAGCATCCTCTGCTTCTTCTCGGTCGACAGCGTCTCGCCCTCGTCGGCAACATCCTCACCGTCGGCGTTCTTCTTCCTGCTTGCAAAGCCCTTGCCCAGCCTGCCCGGTGGGCTACGCTGCTGCATGTTGTTGTTGCCGTTGTCAGCGACGGCTTTGGGGGTCTCGGGCATGAGGTAGAAGTAAAGGAACTCCATGGTCTTGAACTTGACGTCGCGGGCGGTGGAGCGAGACTTGAAGATGGACGAGACGGTGAGCAGGCCGTCGAGCTGCTCAAAGGTGCGGGTGTTGGCAGGGGTCTCGAGTAAGGCGACGACGAGGACCAACAGGGTGGCAGACTGGATGGCGGGGCAGTTGATAGGCTCGAGGAGATCGAGAAGCAGCTGTTGTTCGCGTTGTGATGTCAGTGACCCACATTTAGGCGCGTTTATGTACATAAATATATAACGAAGGATGCAGATCATACGCACGGCACCCACCAACGCGCGCACGCCCCCAGGGCAACAACATGGCAGGGAACGCACGTACGCGCGCGCGCGATGCAGCTGAGCCGGATCGTGCAGTAAAAGAGGAATTCAGAGAGAAAGGAAAGAAGACGAAACAAAAGAAGAAGAGAGAAAACAACATACATTCATGTTCTGAACCCTGGAGAAGAGAACCCTGCTGGGTGGATGCAGCAGCAGCACACCCTGGAGGCTGTCCAGTGCGCTGACAATCAGCATGTCCAGAGATCCATCATCGCTCTTTGCGTACAGCTTGTCGAGGGTCTGGACCAGTCGGGTGGCAATGTTCCACTGAAACCCGTCCTGGAGCTTGAAGAACTCTCTGAAGGCAGCATCACCGCTCAGGTCCGACAGGGAGTATCGGGACCGGGACTGGTGCTCATTTGGCGAGTGGCTCCCGTTGGTGGAGACCTTTCTCTTCTTGGCAGCTGCGTCATGGGCAGACAGGCAGACCTGGGCCAGGAGGCCATCGATCTGTCGAAGGCCCTTCTTGATCTTGGGGCCGTCAAACGAGGCCAGGTGATCAAACGAGACAGACAAGAGGTGCTCCATTGTTGTGATGTTGCCTTGTTGTTTTCGTGTTATTGATTCTTGGGACAATGTTGGATATTGTTATTGTTGGATTGGAGAAGAGAGGGCAAGAGGAAGAGAGGAAGAGGGAGAAAATAACGAGAACAGAAATTGGGTATCAAAAAAGAGAAGAACAGATGGTTTGGTTGTTATGATGTTGATGTTGATGTTGCTGATGAAGGGGAAAAGGCGTTCTCCTCTCTGTGGTTCTCAAAAGTCGTCTTGCCTCCTGTAGCTGGGAGTGAACGAGAGTCAGGAACAGGTGATGAAAGTAAATAAATAACTGGTTTGACTGCCAGACAGGGAGAGAGAAACCGCTGACGTGAGGGGGAGAGGGACACGGAGGGACAAGGGAGAAAAGAAGGTTTTAAGTGAGGCTTGAGGATCTGCTCAGACGATGACGGACGGACTGTCCTAAGTTTAACAATGCATCATATGTCGTCGTTGTGGAGCAGTCTTTTTGGGATCTGGACCCTTGGGTTGAGCTGGGAAGACGAGGTGAGAGCTGGAAGCTGGGTAAAAAAAGACCAGGGAATAAAAGAGTAAGAGAGGATGCAGTGGACCTGATGGCCCCGATGCCCTGTGACGGGGGAGAAGTGGATGGTGATGGCACTGCTGGTGGGGCCGTGTTTGGGGCCCTGCTTTGAGGGGGGGCTAGGGTAGAGGGAGGGAAAGAGACCCGATGTTTACTGCAGAGCACATGCCCGGTTGGCGTTATCGAATCGTGCCCCGGCTGCCAGGGCAACATCTCCCCTGGGGCGTCCCTGCATGTCAACCTGCTGAGGGTAGGGGTGCTACAGGGGGCACTCTAGCGCTATGGTCTTCTGGTGGTATGTACTGTAATAGTACCTGGAATTATGGTCAGTAGTACTGTACATCACTATGATCGTAGCATATGGGTACTCTTTTGCCAAACTACGTAGGTGGTATTACTCTGTAAGCCCTACTTTTCCTACCATGGCAGTAAAACTCTAGAACCAAGAGCCCTACCACAATGACGTTCATCCTTCTCCATCTTCAAACAAACCCCCCTTCCCCCTTTTTTTCTCGCCTTCTCCTTCTTGACTGATACACCCTGCGAAAGCATGACTGACCTGACCAGGCTCCAGTCTTCCAACCACCAATCGCACACGCATTTTGGGCTCTGCTGCAATATTTGGACCCAGAGAAAATTGGTCATTTTTGACCTTAAAAGAGGTGGCTGAATGAAACAACATCTCTTGCCTAGAACCACAAAACGCAGTAGACGACAATTTTTACCCCACCCTGAAGGCAACCAACAGCCTAATTCCCGTGGGGGGGTGTAGAACCACCACAGCCGCCCTCGGCCTGTATGGGCTACTCCTCATTGGCCATATCCTCTTATCCACCCCTCTGCACATGATGGCGCCCGCTGTGGCGTTTAATGAACCCTCCAGAACGGCACTTTTGCAGCATCCAGCCTTGTTGTTTTGACAATTTTTTTCTAATTTTTATTCTCCGAGGCCTCTCTTTCTCTCTTCTTTTCAGCTGCATGTGTTTTCTCTTGCTGGCGCCCCCGGCTTTGGACCCTTGATTGGGTCAAGTACGCTATGGGGACTGCGGTAGTTCAATAAGATCACTTTGCGCCATCGAACTGCGTCCAGGCGCCCTCCCTTGGGTTCAGCTGGTCTTGAATTGCCGAGGCCCTCTCTGTGAAGAGGCAAGACAGCTTGGTTCCACACTCAAACAGGTGATCTCTGGACCTACAATTCTGTCACGTGCATACGTATCGAGCGCCCTCGCGCCTCGCGCCCGTGATGCCCTTGTTCACCCGTGCCCCATTTTCAGAGTGAGAATAGGGAGACGGAGATGGAGTCAAGAAAGGAGGAGAAGGGCTGTGCTGTGCTGTGCTGTGCTATGCTGTGCTGTGCTGTGCTGTGCTGTGTCACAAGTTTGAGTCAACGGCCAACTCATAACTCACAACTCAGCTTTTCTCGCCTAGTTAGCGCTGTCGCCTTGCAGCATCCTGCAGCCCAAGGAGGAGGAGTAGGAGGTGGTGGAGGAGACACAAGGAGAGCGCGATACGCGTTTTCGTTGGGTCGCGAACCACTCAGGCTGCCTCCTCTCACCGGGTCCCTCTCTTGCACAGAATCGCAGAGAAGAAGATAGAGCGCGCAAGAGATGGTTGGGTATCTCCTGCGGGCCGTTCAACCGGACCAGACTCTCGGGTTGTCGAATGAACTCGCATACTTACGCACACTACTTGGACTAGCAGCCTATTTACTATGGGGGTACACACTATGCGCATCGATGACAAGCGAGAGCACTTGGGCTTGGGCAAAAAGCCCTACAGAGCCCTATAGGGCCCAAATACGACACTAGGTGCCATCATATCCATAGTACACCCGCCAAGGAGCACCTAAAATAAAATAAACAAAATAGAGGCCCGACTAAGCGAGATATCAGTCAAACATCGCGCTGACTCGCCCCTGTTCGGGGACGATGGGCCTCTGGACTGCCCCGAGTCAGGTCTCCGGTGACCGTCTAGTGGTGGAGCATTTCGTGGGAGGATCGACATGTCATCCCTCCCTCAAAGCTCTTTTCCTCTTTTTTTTCTCTTCCCTTTTCGTTCGGGGCCGGGAATCGTCCTCTTTTTTCCAAGGGGGGCTCGTTCTCAGCCCGTTTGCTATAATGTAGTATGGGTAGTGGTTCTGGGTCGGGCAGAGCCCCGGTTCGGGCGCGCGCGGGTGGTTCCGCCATCCCTCCTGGATTTCTGTAGATCTCTGGGACACGGGTGAGAGTTGGAGTATATCTTTTGTTTCATAAGTTGTGCTGGAAACTCGAGGTGCCCATAGACAAGGAGGCCAGCACTGAACGCGATCAGATGTCTACTTCCATAGCTACAGGGTCCTACAAGGAGGTTGTCACAGAGTTCTCCATCTCATAATGGAAAACATTACCGTGTCCTGTACTATTCTGTAAGTAGGTAGGTGATCATGAATCCAGTGGGCACGGGCCTGCGGGGGTTGGGCATTCTCTCTTCGAGCTGCTCACTAGGGCAGGTGGGGGAAAGGACGTCTACTATGGTAAGTCCAAATCTGGGGTCTGGACCTGACGCTTGTTCATTGACCTGCTCGAGAACTTCGCACTACTCTCCTCTTGCTGCCCCTCCCTCCTTCTCTTCTCTCTGTCTGTGTCTCTCGCAGACTGCAGCAGGCCAAGCAGGGAAGACGAAGACGAACAGCAGGAGGAGGACGAGGACGAGGACGAGGAGGAAGAAGAAGAAGAAGAAGGGGAGGTCCGGTGCGGAGTGGATACCCTATGTGTCGTATCCGGGCTGCTACTTACGCTCCTTCTCTTTTTTCGCACTCCCTCTCTGACCCTGTTCGTCCAGGGCTGCCACGTGTGGACGGGTCGACTAAGGTAAGAGCACAGCTGCACCTCAATCTGTGTGAAACAAATTCGGAACACGCGCTTTGACATACCACAACGAGCCAAGGAACTATGTCTGGTTTCTTTCGGGGATTTTCTTCGGGAGAGGAGAGAGTGTGTATGAAAGAAGTGTTTCAATCTGACCGTGGTCCGTTCATCGGCCACGGCTTTCAACGCTAAGAATCTCCAGGGAGAACACCTCCTTCTCGCTGTAGGTCCATGTTGGGTTGCGTTGCGTTGGGTTGTGTTGTTGGGGTGGAAGGAGAAGATTTGAGAGGTGGGGGGGGGGGGGGGGTTGAGGTGAGTGTTGTTGGGATGAACATGAGGAGCAATGACAAGACTCGAATTGACTTTGACCTTCCCTTTCTCTCTCTCTTTCTCTTTCCCTTGATTCCTCATTTGCTCTTCTCCCCACCTCGTTTGGACTGTCAATTACATGAGAAGAGCTTATACGAGACAAGAATATTGATATCTTTCTGCCAGACTGTTCGTATCGTAATCGTATCTTTTCCTTTAGAAGTCTGGCAGTAGCACGTGCGTGCTTGCATGTGTGTTCATCCCACTTCTTGTTTATTTTTTGATTTGGGGGGGGGGGGGCGTTTGGAGGTCCTCCCTCTTCCACAAAGTTTGGCCCCCCTCCCCACCACACCTGCCCTGCAGCAGAGGAAAAGCGTCATAGTACCACTGCACTACAACCGGCGGGCCGTCATCAGACTCCCGGGAGGTCCGGCTCTAAAGCTAGCAGGTAGCTCTAGCTTTTTGTTCCTCTCCTGTGGATGGACTGATCTTGACCTCGATTGGGAAGACTATGGCTAGATTTTGGCGTACATAGTATTTGTTTCCTCTTTTTTTAATTGGTGATGGTGAAGACAATGATGATGATGATGAGGAATCGTTCCTGTTGCCCCACACTTTTTAAATCACTACCACTACCACAACGCCAAACAACATCAGGAACAAGAACCGTCGCCGCACCTTGAAGACTAGACCACATGATTCGAACCCTCCTCTCGTCTCCTTTCCCCTCTTCTGAGCTGTTATGAATTATGAACCAGGCAGCAGAAGAAGGATGCGGCTGCTGACCACCTGCAGGCTGCAGCCACTACCAAACCTAGCACAACAACCACTTCTACCGTCCTGATCCGGCAGAACCGCCGAGACAAGCAGAAATAGACAAGCAGGAAGTCGGTACGCCTACAGTAATCAGAAATCCATTCCATCGACGGCACAGCGAGCTCGCTTACCCAGTCCAGCCCCTCCGCGACTGTGCCTCCCCACCAGGCCAGAAGGACACCCTCCCAGAGCCAACGTTGGCCGAGTCCAGCTCAGGCGAGAGGATTACTGTCCCTGGTGCTCCGCTTCGAGGCAAGGCTTGGAGGCGGGGTGGAGGGTGTGAGATGACGGCATGTTATGATTTGAAGGACAGGACCGCTTACACAATATACACAGCTCTGCCCCGAACTGCCTTAGAGGCCCACGGCTACCACGATGTCCTCTCCTCTGCCTCCTGTTCGCTCTTCTTCGACAGGTTCCAAAGCCGCGTCCACGCCCAGCGCCTTTCTCACCTCCCCAAACGCAATCCCCCCACGGACCTCCTCGGCCGGCGCACCTGCCAACAGCATAAGCAACAGCAGCAGTGGGGGCGGGGTTGGCGGCGTCATCGCATCCCCCTCCTCCTCCTCCTCCTCTCGTGCTGCCGCCGTCAGCAGCGCCAGTGTCCTCCGACCCCTTCCAGAAGGTGACTGGATCTCTCAGACGACGCACACGAGATCCCCACCGCAGCGGGCCCAACACCACCATTCTCATCAAGAACAACATCACCGCCAGACCTCGTCGCCCTCCTCCTCCACTACCAGACCGCCGCCTCACCTCCTCCCTTCTACCAACATCCTCCTCAACATGTCGAGCCCTCCACCCGACGAGGGGCGGCCCGATCCCTCCCGCTACGCACACGAAGACTTCAACTTCATCAGCGGCCCGCAGGCGTTTGCGGCGTCCAAGAACCGCGTGGTAATGGGGCCTTTTGACTACCTCAACAGCCAGCGGGGCAAAGACTTCCGCTCCCAGCTGATCGGGGCCTTCAACACATGGCTGGACGTCTCGCCCGCCTCGCTCGAGATCATCACGCGCGTGGTGGGCATGCTGCACACAGCCTCCCTCCTCATCGACGACGTCGAGGACAACAGCGCCCTCCGCCGCGGCCTACCCGTCGCCCACGCCCTCTTCGGCGTGCCGCAGACCATCAACAGCGCCAACTATGTCTACTTCCGCGCCCTGGCCGACCTGCAGGGGCTTGACAACCCGCGCGTCATCGCCGTCTTTGCAGAGGAGCTGCAGAACTTGCACCGGGGCCAGGGCATGGACCTGTTCTGGCGTGACACTCTCACCTGCCCTACCGAGGACGAGTACCTCGAGATGGTTGGCAACAAGACGGGCGGGCTGTTCCGCCTCGGCATCAAGCTCATGCAGGCCGAGTCCCGCAGCCCCCACGCCATTGACTGCGTGCCCCTCGTCAACCTGATCGGCCTCATTTTCCAGATCCGCGACGACTACCAGAACCTGCAGAGCACAGAGTACAGCGAGAACAAGGGCTTGGCAGAGGACCTGACCGAGGGCAAGTTCAGCTTCCCCGTCATCCACTCTATCCGCCACGACCCCTCCAACCTACAACTCATCAACATTCTCAAGCAGCGCACCACCGAGGACGAGGTGAAACGCTATGCCGTCCAGTACATGAAGGGCACGGGGAGCTTTGACTACACACTCAAGGTGCTCGACGTCCTCATCCAGCGCGCCAGAAAGGTCGCCGAGGACATTGACAAGAGCAGGGGGGAGGGGAGCAGGAACAAGGGGATCGAGACCATCCTGGACAGGATGGTCATCGGGGGGAAGGACGAGATGCATTTCCCTGCCAAGAGCTGAAGTTTTCCAAAGACTGAAGCTGAGCTGAGTTGAGTGGATGGATGGATAGGTCTGGACCGGGGGAGGTCAGTGTTCCCCTCTGATGGATTTCTTCTCCCACCTATTAGAGGAGGGCCCAGGAAGAGGAAAATCCCGAAATTGTACTCGTGTGTGTACAAGTAGAGAAGAGGCTTTATCTTTGGCTTTATTCCTCTACTTTCAGCCATCTTTTCTTGTTTTCTTGGATGATCCACGACGAGCACATTGGTTTTCAGCCAGCAGGCAAAGTAGGTAGATATGCCTCTGATTCAAGCGCAAATCATGATATCCTCTTAGCTCTCAAACAGCTCAGGAAACCATGTATCATTCAAGAAGATGAAACTCTGTAGGTAAGGGCCTTGAACCTTTAACCATAGAGGAGCAACACGTGAGTTGGACTGACGATACGGTAGAAGGCTACGTGCATATATATGTATCCAAGCCGCGGAACAAAGGGACACGGGAAAAGAAGGGGGGAAACCTCACGTTGAATCATGATGGGAAGAGACACAAGAAGCCATACTGGCACGCTCCTTTTATTTTTCAATTCTTCAACCGACGAAATATCGTCAATGTGATATAGCTACTATAGATATACGAAAGAAGGGGGTGCATCGATGTAGATGATATAGATATATGATCTTCCCTTTGTCTGCCTCCTCTGCCCTTCCTTCGCTTGGCCAGACCACATACCCACATTGCTCATTCCACAACCAGACAAGAGCACAAATATAAGGAGATAAAAAGAGTTTCCCATTCCACCAGTGACAGCTGAGGTCAGATAGGTATTTCCCAAAAAAGAACACGTTGAACGCCAATTCCGCGACCCCGGGGGGAATAATCTAGACCCCAAGATCATCTTTGGCGAAGAGAGACAGAGGGAGGGAGAATGAAAAGACACTAGAAAATATGGAAATAAGATTCGCCAGATAAAAGAGATGGATGGATGGATAGATCAGGTTCGGAGATGGTTGCATATGGGATCATCCAACGGGGAAGATGCCCAATCTGCTGCCGGTCATCAGGGTATAGAGAGAAAAGAAATAACAATAAAAATTCGAAAGGGGGATCTGTATGCCCGTGCAAATGTCGGTGCAGTGGCCCTCGTTTTCAGGGCTCACTTGTCGTCATGTGCCTCATGTTCGTCTCCAAACGGGCTCTTTGCCCGGTCTGCCGTGCTTGGTCGATGTGAAGCCCTTTGCGTGGCCTCTGCGATGACAGCGCTCAGGGTCCGGTTACTATGGCCGCTCAGGCGCCTTGCTGACGGAGGGTCCCGGAAAGGACTGTCCTCCTCCCGTGGCGGGCTTGTCACTGGTGTCTGCAGCCCTGATCTCTCTTCGTCGGAAGAGCTCTTGACGCTCGCAGTTGAGGATTGTTTCAGGCTGCTACCAACCTTGACAACCTGGGCCCGCACGGCAGTAGCGGTGTTGGCGCTGGTCGCATTGTTAAGGAACGTGGACCCTACGCTGAAAGTGCTGTCCGCAGGGCTTGGTGGGACCATGCTCGAGTACTTCTTATGGTCGATGAGCGGCACGGGCGGCGGCGAGATCTCGTCGCTTCCGGAATTGCTGCTTCCCATGGACTTGACGCTGACCATGGCTGCCTTGGCCCGCATGCCCGTCTGTGCTGGGGTCATGACAACTCCAGCCTTGCCGTAGATAGTCGAAGCCACACTCGAGCGAGGTGCGTATGAAGTCCGTGCGTATGACGTCCGGTCGGTGTAGCCAGAAACGCCAGAGCAGACCGAGTCGCGAAGATCGCCCGGCACAAAAAAGTGTTGGTCCTCGACCGAGTTGGGCGTGCCGACTTGGGAGGACGTAGCGATCGGGATTGGCGGGACCGGCGGGACCAGCAGCGTCGGAGACGTGGGCGTGGCTCGGTTCGTAACACCCGGAATGTAGGCGATCTGGATAATGTTGGATGCGCGGGTGAGCACGGTGGAAGCAACCGAGTTGCGGCCATGCGAAGTAGCCCTCGTGTTCCTCCTCGACTGGAAGTCCTTCTCCCGCTGGCTGTCGGTGTACTCCTCGCCGTCCCACGTCCTCTGGTCGAACTCCCCTCTCTTGTTCTTTATCTTGTGTTTCCAGACAAAGTATACGGCGACAATGACGAGTGCCACCACAACAACACCACCGACAACAGCGCCTGCGATGGCGCCCGTGCTAGCTTTCGAGCTAGAACCTGAGCTAACCGAGGTTGAGGACGCGGCGGCAGCACAATATGCCTGCGGGCATGATGTGCAGTCCAGAGGAACGGTGACCTGGCATGCTTCTCCGTCTGCACAGGAAGGACATGACGGCGAGCCGTCTTGACATTCCACACAGCCGCTTTGTCGAGGAAAGAGGGCGTGTACGGTTACTACAGAATGAAAGGGGGTGGATTAGCATTCGGGGTGGTCGACGCGGCACAAAGGCCGGAACAAACGAAGACGCTGGACGGCGAGCAGGTAGACGAGACTCACAATCTCCTTGTATCGACGACATGGTGACTGACAGTCGACGCGAAGCGTCAAACCAACAAGTTGATGATGCTGGATGAGGTTTGATGGGAACAGTCGATGGAGTGGGAGATTGGTGAAGATGATCGACAATGACGGTTGCGAGTGAAATGCAGATCCCGTTTTGGTGATCAGTCAGGGTCGATCTCAAGGGCTGCTCTGAGCTGAGTCTAGAAGCAAGGCTGCCAAATCTTTAAATAGGACAGGGCGGCGTTTAAAAGGTGACTTCGATTGGACGGGATGGGTGGTGAGATCGAAACTGAGGACAATGGAGTGAAAGGCAGGATCTATTTCGGTCGGGACGGTGTTTTTTTCTCGTTACGGCGTTTGGTGGCATCTATGGGAGCGGACTCGAGGGGTGGGGAAATTGTTGCATTTGGCGAAGGACAGAATAGACAGAACGAGCGACACTGAGACCCGGCTCAGGAGGTTAGGGAGAGATGGTTGGTCGAGCTCTATCTCCTGACAGCAGGCATGAGAGTCGATGTTGTGCAATTGATGTCGGTTGTGGATGACGCGAAGGTTGCACGGCGCGGGTGGGTAGGAGAAGGAAGAAGAGGAGGAGGAGGGTAGAAAGGTCTGACAAAGGTCAAGTCATGAAGGTTGGAGTTGAGGGACGAGATTGAAGATAGACGGGGACAGATTGAGAGGAGCGGGCAATCGAAGCGGCAGCACAGCACAGGACCACAAGACTTGGACTTGCCCTGACTGCCCCCATGGAGCCGACAGGGGGGTGGTGTGGTTTCTAGGCCAGGGCTGCAACTATTACAATAGTATGGAAGGTCACGGTATATGGTACGCAGTACAAGGTACCTGGTTGAGGGTGTGCGATGTAACCAGTATGCAGCGTGTAGCCTAAGGACACAGAATGTAGCTTGTACCTGGAGGATGAGGGGAAGGATGGAGGGAAGAGGGGGTCGATCTGCGCGGTTTGAGTGGCTGAGGGTGGGCGAGGGGGCATCATGATTGGCCCGGGAAACCAAGTCAGGGCGGAGAAGAGGTTGCATGAACATGGGCTCCACCCAATACTGGGCACCTTGTGCCTGTGAGAACCCTGTGCCTGGCGCATGGAATCAGTATTTCGTAACAGCGAGCCAGGCTATTGCAAAACCAGAGCCCATGGAATACAGGGCCAGGGCATTGTCACCGAGGCAGGTGGCACTGAAAAAAAAACCAACGGCTAAGCGGAAGATAGAATCGGCCCCCGCCCCTCCCGCCTGGTTGCCATTCTTACCATAGTACAGAATTCGATCAGATCTCAATAAAATGCAAGGCCAAAAACCAACACTACATCAGGAGGAGTACAATGGTGCATCCAACTGTTCGTTCTATTCTTCTTTCTTGAAGGGGTGCATGGTGGCTGTAACGTCTGGTCCCGTCCTGCTTCCCATCATACGTACAGTGGAGTTCTACCGATACGCAGTACCAAAGAATAGAAGCTAAAAAGCGTCCAGATTCAGTCAGGTCCAGGGGTCTCAGCCAATGATGACCAAGCGAGAAGGGTAAAAAATAAAATAAAAGACAACTAGATTGGTCGAGAGGCAAATGAGTGCAACAGTAACAGCCTCAGCAAATTTCACGGTACCAGAGTAAATTTGCTAAAAAGAAGATTTATTCTTGGGTATTTGGCCCCAAATGTGCTGATTGATGGGATGACGGGAGGATGCATGGCGCTGGGCGAGAAGAGCCCTTGACAGGGATGGGTCTCTCATCTTCTCACCCTCCCACTCTCACTTCATTCAATAAAGCCATTACTAGTACTATGTACCATAGCACAACATGGTAATTCCTCCATTCCAGCCCTGCGTCGACCCCCCCCCCCTTCCAGGGCCCCCCACAACTCTGGGTCTAGCCACCTAAGGCCGAAGAGGGGACCTGGACTGCTGACCCCCTGCAATTTCAATTCCTCCACTATGTTTCCTCACCAGCGTCAGTGCCGTATTCCCAGACCGGGCGACTCGTCACTTGTCTTTCAGCCCCTACTCGTGATTTTGGAGAGACCCGTGTGGGGGGGGGGGGGTGTTGTTTTGCCTTTCTTCTTCCTTTTTCCCCTGTCCTTTTTTTTTCTTTCTTTTTTCTTGTTTGCTTTTTTGTTCCGCCCTCCCAACTTTGCTCTGATTCCCCAGTAAGGGGTAATTTACATTGAAAGTACCCGCAGGTATCGATCGCGATTTTAGAGTATATTTCACGTCGGAGAATTTTCAAAACATGTTGCAAGTTTTGTAGAATGCTATCTGATAATTGGTGATTACATAGTACTTGAACGGCTAGAAGCAGAACTCAGCTGAGATGGCAGCAGAGTGTTTGTTGTCCATACTATAGAGAGGCAGGAGTTTACGGCCCTGCATCCTCCGTCGCGGCATTTTGGGAGGCCGATCTCGATGGGGCTCAGCCCATCATCCCTCCCTGCTACTACTACCTATGCGTGCTATGGTAGTACAATGGTACAGTCCACCATACGAGCCGAACCCATGATCCTCACTGGGACCCCCTCTCTTTTTTTCGTGTCCCGAATCTCGTGTGCTGCTGTGCCGTATCTCGGGTCACATTCCTGCCCTGTCGCACGCCATGGACTAATGGTAAAATGGTATCATACGTGCATTGCAAATCATCAACGACGATCTACAGGACCCTTTCCGGACCACGTAATAGTTACGCCGGACGGCCGATCCCCGCCCATTTCCACTATACATAGAGGAGCCCCCCATCGTTACGGGGAGGAGGGGGGCTGGCAGCACGGCAGCACGGCAGCATGTCTTACCACGGAGGAGAATGGGAAAGGAAAGGAGGAGGGGGTTGGTTTCTCTCTCATCGTCTTTCAGCAGAGGGGCGCGAGTCGTACGGGCCATCCACCTGAAGCTTCTCATCAACGTTTCTTTTCCCCGCCAATAAGTAATGATTGATTAATTAATTGCACGTTGGTCCCGCAGCTGCTAGTGAGCAGCTAGACTATACTCTTGGCGAGCGGCTTGGACAGGGCGGCAGCGTTGTTTGAGATTGAGTTGAGCTATGCCGCAGCCACGCGCTCCTTGCTCATCAGCAACCCGCTGGCGAAATCATCTATAGGAACCGCTAAGGATATGAAGAAAAGATGTTAATGAAGGAGGAAAGGGGAGGAGGGGGACGAAAAGAACACGAAGAGTAAAACAAGATTCGGTCTTGACCGATGTGGTTCGATGTCCAGCTTTGTCTCGAGGGCGAAGAAGCCCTTGGGTACATTGTCGTGCAACTTTATCTCCCCTTGCCCGTCGCGGCATGACAGCCCCTTGGATTGTTCATGAGGTCTTGCAAGTTATTGACGCGATTTTCTGCTATTTGAGTAGCGAGAGCGCACTCCCGATGAAGGCGATCCGAGATCTTCATGACTCAAATGATCTCAACACGTCCTTTTCAAACGGGTCGCATATGCAGCGGCCAGCGGTCAATCTCGACGGCGCCATTAGTACCTAATTAATATATATATATATATAAACAAATCACTTTCTTGCTACGGATACGAGACCGTCCTATTGGTCCCATGTGAGAGGATCTCTAGCGGGTTAATATCAACCTGGTTTTTTCGTTTTCTACTTTCAGATTCTTCCTTTCCTCTCCCTGCAGATACCTGAACAATAGTGACTGGAAGTGAGTCGGGTTCTCTTCGTCTTCAGATCCAGGAGCGCACTGCATTGTTAGCAACTACTGCTGGCCGTGTCTAGGGTACAGGAAGACCCTGACCATGGTGGCTCGTTTGTAATCCCGCTCATCCTACTCATGCGGCTGCAGCCTCACCGTGGCGAGCTGCTCGCGAGTGTGCTTCCTCCTGGGCCCGCCATTCTGGAATGCTTCCTGAGCCCCTTCCTTCTTTAGACAAGGGGCAAGGAATGCGAATCCGCTCTTTCCCTCCCAAAAGGGCTTGTCTGGTAATAGATGCTGAGGTAAGGGGCCAGGCTGACGGGGCCCGTTGATGGGACCACATCCTTCTTAAAAGACTGGCTGTATATAGACTGCTTGAGAGCCGAAAGTGTGGCGTTGGACCTTTGTTTTCGTTAGATTGCTTTTATTTGGCAAGCTCTTCGCAGTCACTATCATCAGACTGCCGAGAGAGAAGAGAGGTGGCGTCCAGACGTCGCGAGTTGAGAGGCCTCTAGGTACAGGGACAAAGAGCGTCATGGACGGTCCGGCCTGGCCACACGGGGCCGGCACACTGTACACCGTGCTAGCTCTGCCAGGCAGTATAAGAGATGGGCCAAGCGGGGACACAATAGGAAGATACTCGACGCTATCTTGCCGTATGTATGCCAGTCCTATGACCCTGGCCATGCTTCCCTCGACTTGTCTGGTCTATTCCTAGGTGGTGGCCACTGCTACCGCTTGTCCCATTCATCAGTGGTTCGTCCCAAGACGTAGCGACGTGAAGCACAAATACCCTTCTCGTGCAGGGTTACGTTTCGCCGACCTCATGATTGCACTCGATTCAAGGTCTCCATGTCTGGTCTTCCAAACTGTGCCCTTGAGGCATACCTCGATGAGCTATAGGCTATAATCTTTTCGGGGGCATGTGAGCGTTTGGCTAGCCCGCCATTGAGCCCCGCCACGCCAGGACTGCTTTCCCGGGACGCCATCTGATGATATGATGAAGGGTAGAGTATCAACGAGGAGATGCCGCCGTCATAGTTATGGGAGTTGGAACAGTGGAAGGAGGTTCCATATTCAAAGAGAAGCCTAGAAACCCGTTGGGGCATCCTCGGACAAGGAAGGGCTATCTGCCAAACGACGAATCCTGTCCACCAGTTGGTTGAGAGCAACAGCCGATGCGAGGATTCCGGTCACCACGCTCGCTCGCACGGTAAGCCTCCGGTAAGCCTCCAAGATAGAAAGCAGCTGTTCGTCTCATAGAATTTGACATCGCTGTGCGGATAAAATTTCCAGCACTGATTCTGGCACCCCAATGTCTTGTTTGCTGGCCCCTTGGCGACGCAGATAGGGAGGCAAGTCCCGACCTTGAATGTCGCATCGGACCTGTATTTCAGATGATGCCTGAAATGGTGGCCATAGAAGCCAACCAGCCCAGCGCGAGCACATCTTTGCGCAAGCAGCCAGAATCCTCGATGATCCTCAAGTGACATTTGCCAGTCAGCGCAGAGCCTCTCACAACCGGCTGTCAGTATGTGACTAACGAAACTTTCCGTATGATTGTGAGATTCTCGAGTAGGAAGGCAGCCAAGATTATTTCGAGTCGTCTTTGGGACTTAATGAGAGACAAGAGCATCCTGCCCACTTCTTCCTAAGCTCCTCGTGCAGCACCTCACTCGTGAGGTCTCAAGACTGCCGGCAACCGATGTCGAATACTGGGAGATCATAGCACAGCTGTTCGCACCGACTGAAGTTCGTTCTCGACATGACTTACAGACGTGCAAACTTTCGTGTGTTGCTGCACGGTGGCCGAGCGAGGAGGCGAGCCCATACCGTGGCAAGAAATGCCGGTTCATATTTGCTTTCTGAAGATGATCGAACGAGCAACCTGCCTCACAACAGAACCTTGAAGAGAAATAGTATCGAATGCAACGAGTTGGGCAGGAAGGTTTCCCACGACTGTTGGGCCTCCAGTGACACTTGCCACGGGCGCGAGGATGGTCGTCGCTGTAAAATGAATGACAAGTCGGAACTACGTGTTTCCCATGTCCTCAGTCAATCCATTACCATAATAGGAGGCCATTCCGGAGCTGCCGAAACAATGAGGCTCGTGTGAGGAATATTCTCACTATCATCAAAGATCTAGTTCCTCTCGCCAGGCTTCATTTTCAAATATTTGCCATTTCTCCCATTTGATGAAATTGGGTATAGGCGCTGGCAGATGACGTGTGGGTGGCTATACGAGGCCGTGCCGAGCCACGAAATTGGCTCGTGTTGCTATTTTTAAATTTTCGAGGACGCTTGAGTGGTCAAAAGGCGTGTGCACGTTTTTGTGCCGCCCTCGCGCTAGGGAAGAAAAGCCTTGCGGGAACTCTTTGTGATCGGCGCTCTAGCGTGGCTCTCATCGCGTGTCCCGTCCCGTCCCTCATTGTTGAAGGACAATGCACATGATTTTCCGCGGGTAGGCGGGTAACGTAGTAGCGGTAGTATTAGTAGTGAGAGCGGCTGGTGACCATCTGGGAGCGCAGTGGACTGTCGGTCATGTTCCACGGCAGGTGGCCACGGGGCGCAGCCGTGGAGGGCGGGCTTGTGTATCCTTCTCCTTTCAGCTGTCAGCAGTGTCAGGAGGAATTCGGACAGTGGCCATAGACACGGCACGACTGGTGCCAGCGCGAAGGCGGTGAAAGCCGTACATACTATGTTAGTGTGTGTGTATTTGTGTGTGTGTGTGTGTGTGTGTGTTCATACATAGTAGAGGTGTGCGCGTGGTGGGGCCTGCGGGAGGACAAGGGCTGTTTCAGAAGGGCGAGGGGCCTGCAATCCTGTCTTGAGCTTCTTGCTCATGGACCCTTGCGTTCGCAGCGAAGGGGGGAAAACTTCTGGAACGAGATTGATTGGCGAACGGGCCATCGGCAATCCCCAGAATCTTAACTGGCCCCAGTTGGGATCTGCGGGAATAGGGGATGGCCATCTTGGGTGAACGGGCCTCCATATCTCGCTGGCCGGTGATGAATGGATGGTATGATGGTGCCACCTGTGGCCAATGGAGCCCTTGTTCAGGTAAATCAGAGAGCCAAGATGCTCAAACGTTCCGTTCCGTTCATAGGCCAGCCAGCAGACATGGCAGGAGGCATTCGTCCAGCCAAGTCTTGCTGTATGGCATGCCCTCGATGTGGCTCTGCCTTGTATTAGGTAGATGTCTCGCTGGAGTGGCCTGTCCTGTCAAAAGTAGGTTATGTCGAGAAAAGTAAGGTTAGTGTTGTGTTTGTAGTGACGTCGTTTAGAGCTTGTAACCTTGGAATTTGAGTGAGCTACAGCAGGTGTGTGTTTCCCCCTGTGACCCTACCGTAGCATCCTCATGCGTGAGCACGGATTTTGACTTTTGTCGTTGCCTTGTCTGTGCCCTGCCGTGAGATCATGACTTCCTGCCTTGACAAGAAGCGGTAGTGAGTAAGAAATCATGGACTGGTAAGCATCGATGAGATGCCATGGTAAACCAATGCCTGTACTGTGGTAGGACAGCTGAACGATTGCTTTGCCGTTCACTGCCCCCGTTAGGCCCGTGCAAAGTCGAGCTTCTAAAACTTACCAGTGCTGCGGGTTCAACGTCTTCCTGGTGGATCCCCTACTGCCCACTGGTCACTAAAATACAGGCTGGGGACAGTTTGGGGGGGGGGAGGGGATGAGTGACAACTCGACAACCTAACCTTACTGCGGCTAAGCCACAGTGACAACCCCTGTACCGCCAGGTAGGTTATCCTTTTTTTTTATGCGGACCTCCTTTTTTTTCCTGTCTTCCCTTTCATCCTTCCCTCAGCTTTTCTATACTAGGACTGGGCCCCCATCCCGTATCATCTTCGTCTCTTCTACTTTCGAGATTTTTTTTCCCTCTCTCAACTTGCTTTGGCCTCACGTCTTTTCTGTTCACAGCACAGGGTTTGACTTCTGCTCGCGTGACGGAATTGCCGGTGTGGGCTCGCATTCACACCAGCCGCTCGTTGCTTTTCCTTGAAGGCTGACCTCTACACGGCCGAGTCAGGATTAACCTTGTACTTGAATCTACGCGACTGCGGTGTGGATCAGCAACTACTCCCTACGCTACGCCCCAGCCAAGCCCTGAGAGCCAGCGGTTGCCTCCTTTTTCTGGTCCCCTTCTTCAGCTCTTTGTCCTGTCAGCAAGTAACGGTCGGAGTCTCTTTCTTGGTCTCCGCCTTTGCCCTCGCGACAGTCTCCTCCATCCAACCTTCTTCTCTCCGACTTTTGAGCACACAACTCCTCCAAGGCACAACCTGCTCCCACCTCGAGCAGGACGCACCCATCCGCCCCCTCCAACCTACCTCATCATATAGGCAGTCGAGAATCGGCGCTACGTCACTCACAACCAACAGGCCAACATGGCTTACAACGGTGGAGGAGATGATGGTTACGAGCATCATCAGATGCATGATTATAACTCGGAGCACCAGCACCCTACAGGCGTAAGTTGTCCTTTTCTTCTTCTTCTCTTTCTTCTCTCCTCTATTTTTTCTTTACAAAAAACCACCCAATCTTGTACTCCGTGTGCAATTGGAAGTTCCTCATGACGGAGGGTCTGGCGGCTAACACAATATTTTGTGCAATATAGTACCACATGCCTCCAAACCAAGAGAACGATGACGAGGTGCAGCGCTCGCTCCTCAGCGCTGGACAGACGCAGGCTCGTCCCGTCTCAGCCTACAGTCTGACCGAGTCTTATGCCGCAAACCCTTCAGTCACTGTGCCTGGGAGCGGCCTTGGGGAGTACAACAATGAGTACGCAGCTTCTGGCTACCCGCCCCAGGGTCTTGGAGCCCCTGGCTTCCCGGGTGATATCGAGCGTCCTGCTTCCACCGTCGGTGGTGAGGAGGGCTGGGCTGCTCGTCAGGGTGGCGGCGGCGGCCTGGGCCGCTCCAAGACCAGAAGGGTCAAGCTGCAGAAGGGTCACCAGGGTGGTGTCCTCAGTCTTGACTATCCCGTCCCCAGTGCTATCAAGAATGCCGTGCAGGCCAAGTATCGCGATGCCGAGGGAGGCAGCGAGGAGTTCACCAAGATGCGCTACACGGCCGCAACATGCGACCCGAACGACTTCACACTCAAGAACGGTTACGACCTGCGGCCTCGCATGTACAACCGCCACACCGAGCTCCTTATTGCCATCACCTACTACAACGAGGACAAGGTTCTCATGGCGAGAACCCTTCACGGTGTCATGCAGAACATCCGGGATATTGTGAACCTCAAGAAGTCCACCTTCTGGAACAAGGGCGGTCCGGCCTGGCAGAAGATCGTCGTGTGCATGGTGTTCGACGGTATCGAGAAGACCGACAAAGATGTCCTCGATGTCCTTGCCACCGTCGGTGTTTACCAAGATGGTGTCGTCAAGAAGGCCGTCGGTGACCAGGAGACAGTGGCACACATTTTCGAGTACACGACTCAGCTTTCCGTGACGCCCAGCCAGCAGCTCATCCGACCCCTGGACGACAGCCCCCAGACCCTCCCCCCGGTCCAGATGATCTTCTGTGTCAAGCAGAAGAACAGCAAGAAGATCAACTCTCACCGTTGGCTCTTCAACGCTTTTGGCCGTATCCTGAACCCCGAGGTCTGCATCCTGATCGACGCCGGCACCAAGCCCAGCCCCAGGTCGCTCCTTGCCCTGTGGGAGGGTTTCTACAACGACAAGGACCTCGGCGGTGCCTGTGGTGAGATTCATGCTATGCTTGGAAAGGGCGGAAAGAAGCTCCTGAACCCTCTCGTTGCTGTCCAGAACTTCGAGTACAAGATCTCCAACATCCTAGACAAGCCCCTGGAGAGCGCCTTCGGCTATGTTAGTGTCTTGCCCGGTGCCTTCTCCGCCTACCGCTTCCGTGCGATTATGGGCCGCCCGCTGGAGCAGTACTTCCACGGTGACCACACCCTTTCCGCAAAGCTGGGCAAGAAGGGTATCGACGGCATGAACATCTTCAAGAAGAACATGTTCTTGGCCGAGGATCGTATCCTCTGTTTCGAGCTGGTCGCTAAGGCTGGCCAGAAGTGGCATCTCACCTATATCAAGGCGGCCAAGGGCGAGACGGATGTTCCCGAGGGTGCTCCCGAGTTTATCTCGCAGCGTCGAAGATGGCTCAACGGCTCGTTCGCCGCCAGTTTGTACTCCACGATGCACTTTGCTCGGTTCTACAAGTCTGGTCACAACATCATCCGCATGTTCTTCTTCCACGTCCAGCTCCTCTACAACACCGCCCAGCTCATCTTCTCCTGGATTTCGCTCGCTTCTTACTGGCTCACCACCTCCGTCATCTTGGATCTCGTCGGCGACCCGCAGGACTCTGGGGAGAGCTCTACAATGGTGGGCTTTCCCTTCGGCAACACTGTTACCCCCAAGTTCAACGCTGCGATCAAGTACATCTACTTGGCATTCGTCATCCTGCAATTCATCCTGGCCCTGGGTAACAGGCCGAAGGGCTCCAAGTACACATACATCACCTCCTTCTGTGTCTTCGCCCTGGTCCAGTTCTACATCCTCATCGACTCTGTGTATCTGATCTACCGGGCTTTCCACCAAGGTCTTGGCATCCACACGGATAGCGCTGCCGCCTTCCTCAAGAGCTTGTTTGGTGGTGGCAACACGGGTGGTGTCCTGCTCCTGACCATTTTCACCATCTACGGTATCTACTATATTGCCTCCTTTATGTATCTCGACCCTTGGCACATGTTCCACTCTTATCCCTTCTATCTGTTGCTCATGTCGACGTACATCAACATCCTCATGGTCTACGCCTTCAACAACTGGCACGATGTGTCCTGGGGTACCAAGGGTTCCGACGCCAGCGAGAAGATCCCGGCTGCCAAAGTCATCAAGGACGAGAAGAGCGCAGAAGAGGCCGTGGTGGAGATCGAGGACGAAAAGCCCCAGGAGGACGTCGACACCCAGTTTGAGCAGACTGTCAGGCGCGCCCTTACCCCCTACAAGGAGGTTGTCGAGGAGGACGAGGCCGATGTTCAGGACTCTTACAAGTCTTTCCGAACGGGTCTGGTCGTGGCATGGCTTTTCACCAACTGCTTCCTGGCTGTTGGCATTACGAGCTCCAACTTCAACGGTGGTTTCAGTACCGTAAGTGTAACTTTCCAATCGCTCGCCCACCCTCCTCCCTCTCCCCATTATTCCTTGGAGACGTGACTAACATGCGTCCCATATAGAACACCGTGCAAAACCGACAGGCTATGTTCTTCGAGGTTCTGCTGTACTCGACTGCCTTCCTGTCCCTGATCCGCTTCATCGGCTTCTGCTGGTTCCTGGGTAAGACCGGCATCATGTGCTGCTTCGCCAGGCGGTAATCTGGCGAAATCATGCTTTCAATTTACAGCGGCCTGATCTTCCCGGCGAGAACAAAATTGTCGACATTTTGACTGGTCAAAGTCTCAATTCATTCCCCGGGCAGCAAGTATCTACTAGTGGCAAGTTATATACTGAGCCCAATACAACCAACGACACTTGGTACAACAGGGTGGACTCGGCAGGCGAGAGCACTATTCAGTTTGGTCTAATTTGGCGGAATGTCAGTTGGCACCGTAACGCGCAGGCCCCCCTCCCCCTCAATGTTGAGATCCTGTAACTCTTGGTTTCTGGATTCTCTGGAGACTTGTCACCATTTTTTGTATTTGCATTCTGGAAAGGGGGTTGGCATCAGAGTTGTTGATCAAGGCAAGACGGATTGGACATATTGGTGGGAGCGAGAGGATCTGCAAAAGAATTTCATGGCGAATCACGGCGTTTCACGCGCGCGCGAGAGAGAGAGAGATACTGATACTGTTTTCCTGTCCTTTTTCCTTTTTGAATCTTCAACGTGAAGAACATTGGCCGTCGCATGTCGACTCATATACACTCTTCACAAGGACATAATGTTATATCATTTCTAACCACACGCTTCCACCAATACCACTTGGCTTGTCCTACTATATGCTGCTTTTGGCCGTCTCGGAGATGGTAGATGAATGTTCTACTTGCCACGACATCCTTCAGCGTGGCTTGTTGCTCTTGCTAGGTAAGTGAGAGGAGAGTCGGCAAGTATCAAGGTTGACTGAGGTTTTACCATAATACAAACAGCAGTGTTAAATTCTTGCAAGTATCATGCAAATTGTTGCTGTAGTATAAACAAGTTTGGTTGGAAAGTAGCCCAGATTTAGGAATTGGTCAGACATGCGTCCCCGACTGTTAAGGCGTTAGTTGATGGCCAGGCCTTTATCTTATCGCTCGGGGGCCAATAGTGCCTAACAACCCACAGCGTCATACCCAATCTCCCCACTCTACATCCATTTCGAGAGGCACAACACACTCGCTTTTCATCGCTTGTGTCTATTTAGCGTCAGTGTCTCATCAGACGGATTGGTGAGGCTTGGTCCCTTCACCAAACATCGCCATTTCAAAAGCCCCCCTCCTCTTCCGTCTCTCTATTACCTCGCCGACCCCGCACCCCCTGTCTCGACACTGCAAACACCGCCACCGTTCGGCACTCCTCGCAACACACGCGCCTACCTCCCCCAGCCATTTTCTTCTTCGCCCTTGGGTTGTGACGACACCCACCCGCCGTCAAGATGCTAAAGATCTGGTCCATGAAAAAGGAACAACAAAAGGCCGACCAGGCTGATGTTGCGACTGGCAAGAAGAAGAAGGTGACTGCAGCGCAGCTCCGCGTGCAGAAGGACCTCGACGAGCTCAGCCTGCCCTCGACCATGAAGACCGAATTTCCCGACCCCGACAATATCCTGCACTTTGTGCTGACGATCGAGCCTGACGAGGGCATGTACAAGGGCGGTTGCTTCACGTTCAACTTCGACGTGGGCCAGAACTTCCCCCACGAGCCGCCCAAGGTGCTGTGCAATGAGAAGATCTACCATCCCAACATCGACCTGGAGGGCAAGGTGTGCCTGAACATCCTACGGGAGGACTGGAAGCCGGTGCTCAACCTCAACGCCGTTATCGTGGGGCTGCAGTTCCTGTTCCTAGAGCCCAACGCGAGCGACCCGCTCAACAAGGATGCTGCGGATGACCTGAGGAACAACAGGGAAGGGTTCAAGCGGAACGTCAAGACGAGTATGGCCGGTGGGAACGTGAGAGGTGAGTCCTTTTACCGGGTTCTGAAATAGGACAGAAGGGCCAAGAGGACGGTTTTGAAGTAAAGATCCCCCAGAGTCGACATAGCCGCCTCCATTCCTGGGACCAACCGCCTGTACACACACCCAGGGACGGCGAGGCGAACAACATAGCAAGGAGGAGGTGGAGAAGGAGGAGGAGGAGGTTACATGGAGATGGAGGACAGATTCATCGAAGAGAAGATCGGAATAGAGGTTGGACAATGGCGAGGGGCCGGTGGACATGCTGATTGATATAGCGAGGCACCTCGTGAGCGTTCGTCCAGACGTTCAACACAAAACATAGACAAGACGTGGGCAACAAAAAGGGCGGACATGATGACTTTACGAGCGTTTCATGTAGATTTCTCTCCTGATGCAGAGACCTACAGCATTTGGAATTATCTACAACACCCCCATACTTTCTCTTCTGGTACACCTTTACTATCGTGATGCTCGCCCGGCAAAAAGCCCTGACCTAGAAAACGGTGACTGACTTTTTCCTTCACCTTTCTTCCGCCCTTCCTTCCTGGGACACATGTTGTACTACTGTGTAATATTATGTAGCATATACTATGGTAGAAAAGAGAAAAGAGGTTGGTTGCACAGCACTGTGGGGAAGGGCGCCCGTTGAGAGGCACAACAGAGGTCCTACAACAGAGTTTGTGTACTGGCTGAGTGGTGGACCCCTGAATTCCAATCCAGACCAGCATGCAAAACCCTGCCGCCGGCAGCCACCCCACAAAACCCATTCTACTACTATGGTACTAGCCACACTAGGCCCACCGCCTGAGCGCCGATTTTCGCTGACCTTTTTCGAGGTCGAAAATTTTGGTGGAACACCATTCGGCGAGCCGACCGGAGCTCTCGAGCTACCTGGTAATAATATTCCTGCTGCGACCCAGGACGTCCACAACACTTTCTCCCGTTTCTTGTTGTCACCGTCTGTTTCTCTCTGTACACCCCCCCAAATTCAAATCCCCCCTCCAATTCCCCTCCCTCCCCATCCACAAGATGTCTGCCAGAGGTTTCTCCAACGCCGTGCGGCCCGTGGCCCGCCAATTGACAAAGTCTGCCGTCCAGAGGCGCACCTTCGTCTCTGCCCTCGGCGCCGCGACCAGAGCCACTGCTGCTGTCGCTCGTCCTGTTCTCGCCGGCCCCATGCAACAGCAGACCCGTGGTGTCAAGACCATTGACTTTGCTGGCACCAAGGAGGTCGTCTATGGTAAGTTCTTTTGCTGAGACGCGCGCACTCAATTGGTCTCCTTGTGGACGCTATGTGCTGACCCCTAACTTTTCTTTTCTGCGCGCCACAGAGCGTGAGGACTGGCCCAAGGAGAAGCTCCTGGTGAGTCACCCATTCTCCCCTTTCCCTTCAATGACGATGGAGTCCTCCACAAGATGGCTGGTGTCGTACAAACTTTGTATGTGTCGTACAAGTCTTACTAATAACCCCCTTTACAGGACTACTTCAAGAACGACACCCTCGCCCTGATCGGCTACGGTTCCCAGGGTCACGGTCAGGGTCTTAACCTCCGTGACAACGGCCTGAACGTCATCATTGGTGTGCGAAAGGAGGGCAAGTCGTGGAAGGACGCCGTGCAGGATGGCTGGGTCCCTGGAAAGAACCTGTTTGAGGTTGACGAGGCCATCTCCAAGGGCACCATCATCATGAACCTGCTCAGCGACGCTGCCCAGTCCGAGACCTGGCCCCACATCAAGCCCCAGATTACCAAGGGAAAGGTGAGTCATTACGTTCTCTCTCCTGGTCCTTCAGGTCTACTGTGTGTGTGTGTCTCCAAAGCTGACCATAGACCCTTCCCTTCTTTCTCTACAGACCCTGTACTTCTCCCACGGTTTCTCCCCCGTCTTCAAGGACCGCACCCACGTTGAGGTGCCCAAGGACGTCGATGTCATCCTTGTGGCCCCCAAGGGCTCTGGCCGTACCGTCCGCTCCCTCTTCCGCGAGGGCCGTGGCATCAATTCGTCCGTTGCTGTCTACCAGGACGTGACCGGCAAGGCCGAAGAGAAGGCCATCGCCATGGGTGTGGCCGTGGGCTCTGGATACCTCTACAAGACCACCTTCGAGAAGGAGGTGTACTCGGATCTGTACGGCGAGCGTGGCTGCCTGATGGGCGGTATCCACGGTATGTTCCTGGCGCAGTACGAGGTGCTGCGTGAGCGCGGCCACAGCCCCTCTGAGGCCTTTAACGAGACCGTCGAGGAGGCGACGCAGTCCCTGTACCCCCTGATTGGCTCCCACGGCATGGACTGGATGTACGAGGCTTGCTCCACCACCGCCCGCCGCGGTGCCATCGACTGGACCCCCCGCTTCAAGGATGCCCTGAAGCCCGTCTTCAACTCCCTGTACGACTCTGTCAAGAACGGCGAGGAGACCCAGCGCTCTCTGGACTACAACGGCCAGAAGGATTACCGTGAGAAGTTCGAGGCCGAGATGGAGGAGATCCGCAGCATGGAGATCTGGAGGGCCGGCAAGGCTGTCCGATCCCTGCGTCCTGAGAACCAGAAGTAAACAACTCTGCCTGCTGTCATGAGCAGGTTGGTTGACGGTGTTGGCGGCGATGGTTTTTACAGGAGGGGATACTGATTCTGACTAACTGACTGGGTGGGCTATGGCAGATGCAACGGGTCGGGCAGGACAAATGTCTGGCACGTGCAGCTCGAGAAAAGAAAAAAAGATGGCTAATTGCTTGTTGTTTCTTCTTTTTTCTTTCTTTTGTTATCTACTTGGTTGATACTCGATGATTCTTAGAATCTACGCGCAAGGCTCAAAACGTGAATTTGTATACTACGTCCGTCTCCAAAAATGTTGCAGCACGTCGTGTCGTGGTGATCGTCATGTGTTGTGAGCATTGCAGGTTCCTGAAGTTTTTTGCCCTTGTGGCTTCCGTTATCGGCCCTCCCCTCAGTGCTGCAGTGCGAATGCATCTCGACATCCGCGACTGGCCGCTTCTCAATCTTCAACCCCACGATCTTTAAGCCGAGTTCTTAGGATTTTTTACTCAATCAGAGGAGTTCTCATCTTATCTGCTACATATCGTCTTAGCTCATGATTATTAGAGCATGTCGCCGATGAGCACGTCGGCGCCCTGACTAATTCACTTCTTTTGCGATCGCTGTCGTTGCGCGATCGCGTACATTACTTGTCGACCAATTGTGGGACTTGACGGGCAGATACAATAATTATCAAGCCTTGTTCAACATACAGGGACACTCCCTTCCTTCCAGATCACCTCCCATCCCCAAAATCTACCCATCAACCGACTCACTCATCCACAAAAGATGGCAGACCTATCCACATGTCCGCCTCTAACCAGAGACTCGGTCCGCGCCGCCCAAGATCTCATCAAACCCTACGTCCACCTCACCCCCGTCCTCACCAATGCGACCCTCACGCGGCTCGCCTCCACGCCGCGCTCTGCCGCCGACCTCGAGGGCACACGATGGGCGGGCCGAACTCCGGCGCGCCCGACGGTGCGGCTGTGGTTCAAGTGCGAGAATTTCCAGCGGATCGGGGCGTTCAAGGCGAGAGGTGCGTTTCATGCCGTGGAGAGGCTGAAGAAGGATAAGGCTTGGGTCGAGGGAGGAGGCATGGAGAGGGGGATTCTTACGCATAGCTCTGGTAGGTTCTGTTCTGTAAACGACTGATGATGGTCTTGTCCCCCTGTCTTGGGTGTTGTTTTGTGTGTGTGTTTGTGGAATATTAGAAGAATTTACACTCACCACTCTTCCCAGGCAACCATGCTCAGGCCGTTGCCCTCGCAGCCAAGGAGAACAACATACCCGCCTACATTATCATGCCCGAGATCTCGGCACCCCCCAAGATCGCCGGCACCAAAGGCTACGGGGCCAATGTCATTTTCAGCGGGTCCACGGCGCCCGAGAGGGAGGCCGCTGCAGAGAAGGTCCTCAAGGAGACGGGGGCGACGTTTGTGCCGCCGTATGATCATCCAGACATCATGCTGGGCCAAGGTACGCTCGGGCTGGAGCTGCAGGAGCAGGTGGAGAGGCTCATGGCGCAGAAGGACCAGGACGGCCATGACCTTGACGCGAGATTCGCGAGCACAAAGAAGGCGGCGGCGGCGGCGGCGGCGACTGAGGGCAAGGCAAAAGGCCTGGACGTCATCCTGGCGCCGTGCGGCGGAGGAGGCATGCTCTCGGGCGTGGCACTATCCTGCGAGGGTACAGGCATCACTGTCTTCGGCACCGAGCCCGAGTTCCAGGGCGCCGATGACTGCAAGCGCGGGTTTGAGGCCGGCCACCGCATTGAGGCTGTTTCATCCCTCACCATCGCCGACGGCCTGCGCACCCCCGTCGGTAAGTTCCCCTGGTCTGTCATCTACGAGCGGCGCCTGGTGCGGCAGATGTTCAGCGCCACGGAGGACGAGATCAGGGATGCGCTGGCTTTGGTGCTCGAGAGGATGAAGGTTATGGTCGAGCCAAGCGCCGTAGTTCCGCTGGCGGTGGTGCTCTTCAATGAGGACTTTCGATCGCTGGTGGAGAGGGAGGCTGGAGAGGAAGGGTGGGATATTGGGGTTGTATTCAGTGGGGGAAATGTTGCTCTGAAGAACTTGGGTAAGATATTTGGCTCTTGAGGATGAATGTCAAGATGTTTCTTGCTGTCCTGTGCATATCGGCTTGAGAGCATAGACGCATGAGCGCCCATGTGTGCTGAGCGATAAAGAGGAGACGACGAGGACGACTAGCATGAACATACAATTGAGATTTCTGGCCAGGACGAAGGCTCGAGAGGTTGCCTCATTCTCCGTCACGTTGATAACAGCACATTTGAGAGTGAAATGTTCTTCTCTCGTTTACCTCAGGGTGTGTCTGCTGTCGACGGGGACGTGTCTGCTCACCCAGGAGGACCCAGTACCACGAATAGTAGCTCTTTCGGCTCTTCTGATATCAGTATCAGGGTGAATCTGCGCTGGATCTCGTCACGGCCCCCCTCTATCTCTTTCTCGTCACAGAACACTTTCGTCTCAATCTTGTGAGGGGGCTTCCTACATGAAGGCCTCTTAGGCTACGCGTGAGCCCACCCACGAACATACATCTAAGAAGAGGGTGGGTGGGCTGTTCATGAAAACGACGACAAACTATCCCCCTTTTCATTTAACAACAAAATACCCAGAAGATGAGGAAAGAAGTCTATAAACATCCCACGATGTGTCTGCTCACCGCTGTGTTCTCGTACCACTCACAACACAGCCAGGTGAGTCAACAGAGAATGGTAGATTATCATGGGAAGGATAGAGGGAGGGAGAAGGCTGAGAAGCCAAGCGAGATTCAGCCATTATTTGTTTTATTTTCTTCCTCCTCAGCCACGTCAAAGAGGTTTGAGATCTCGCACACGTCTCGGCGGCCTCGGAGCCATGGTCTGAGGTCCTTGTTCCTGCAAAACCCACCGAATTTGTCGGCAAATCTCGTCGGTATCAGAGCACATCAGATCATAATGATACATAGTCGTTAGATTTCCTTTGTTTGCGTTTCTCCGTGGTAGGCGGCATCTACTTTGAACCGCGCAAAGCGATATTGTGTTTAGTCAGGGGCGTTTCAGAGGTAGAAGAATCCCTCTCCCACATCAACAAAAAGGAGGAGGAGGTCCCCTTGCATGAGTGAGGCGAAGGGTCGTGCCGTGGTGTCACCCTGTTGCCGCTCCAGTCGATCACGGGTGATTGACGGATTGGATTGAATGATCTTCCTTGTCCCTGCATTAGACGGGGGCGCCGGTTGTCGCATCGTGTACTCGCCGTTGTGTAATCTAGTGGTCCATTGTTTGTTGGTAAGAAGGAGGAGGGAAGACGCGGTCATGGGTCCCTCAATAGTGTGCGGCAAGAGACTTAATCTCCTGTACGTCTCACCTGCTCCTGCAGTAGGCAAAATAGCTCAGAAGCGAGGAGGTGGGCCGGGTCCTCGTCGCCTGGACTCAGTGTTATTAAACGGTGTGACCATGACTTGGGGCCTTCAATTATAGGACGGGAAGGCCATTTATTTACACCAGGTCGAAACAGACCAGACAATCAAGCAAGCTTCAAGTACTGTACTTAGAAATAAGAGGAAGAAGAAAAAAAGAAGAAGGACGGGATACTCTGATGTTTCTTCTTCTCCCCCTTCTTCTTGACACCAAAATACTATGTACAAGCAGATTATGATCAACGGTCTGGACTGGCTTGTCCAGAATTGCCTCGCTCGGCTGACGGGCTGGGGCAACTTGACCCGGGCAAGATTTGAACGGCCTGAGTAGATCTGAAGGGCTGGAGTATACCCGTCATGATCGTTTCGATGACACTTGGTCCCTGTCTACCGCTCATGTAGTGGTTGTCTTGGTCGTCAGACGAGGCGAGGCCCAGACGAAAGAGGGACTTCTCTCTCGCCCGCGCGCGTGGGGCGGACTGCCTTGTTCACTTCATCCAGAGTTGCCACCGTCCCCGCCAAGCCGTTTATCATTTGGCCTGCTCGTTTTTTGGTTCAGCAGGTTCATTTCCCGGCCCCTGTACGCCACAGTGGCAGGAGGGAGGAAAACGAGGAAATCAAGAGACCTCTTCCAGTAGATTCTCGAGTCCACCCACTCACTCACTTCGCACACTCACTGGCATTTTGGGTGAAGGAGAAAGGTGATACTGTGCCGGACCAAAACTGGCCTCTAGGCAAATATATGCATCTGTCTGTTTGTCCTTGAGAACGGTTTTACATACACAGGCATACATACATTGTGGACCTCATTTGACAAAAAGAGGCCATAAACACGACCAGCAGCAGTAGCAAAAAGGAAGAGCCAGGTGGTGAATGAATGATGTTGGGTTGGAATTTTGGTCTTTCTTCTCTCTTGGTCCGAGCCGTCGTCTTTTTTTTTTGGCTGTAGTCTCTGTCCTGTTGTCGACGACCCAACTGCAAAACCCTTCCCGCCCAGAGAGAAGAGAAGAGAGCGAGTGAAAACGATTTCTCTCCCACTCTCAATCTGGGCTAATCTTCCTCGTGTCCACACACACATACACATACACTGACAAGTGATGAGCACGCTTCCCTCTTCTTCTGAGGGCCAGAGTGAAAGCGCACAAACCCCCTCCAAACGAATTATGAGAATTAAGTACCATTTCCCTCTGATCTCTTCCTTTCCTTCTCAGCCTCCCTCTGCGTTTCTCCGCCGGCAAGACCTGCACCGAAATAGACCATCTAAAAAGGCGCAAGACAATGAAAAGACGCGAATAACAGTGTGAAGAGCAAGAAGGAAAGGTCCGTCGCCGGAAACCAGAGAGAGTTGACCGACAGTGGTAGGTGGTATGATTAATGTCGTCTAAGTTATATTTCGTCAAGCATCGTTTGTACCATGGCCAATCCCAACAAACCCGGCCTAGAACCCTCACTTTTCTCTATCCCCAGTCTAACTCCCTCCCAATTCACACGCCCATATCAATTTTCCTCTCTTTTAAAGATTGAAGATTGAATAAGAACGCATTTACAGGAGCAAGGCAGCCAGACCCAGGGCACCAGCCAGACCAGCACCAGACAGGACAGCAGTCTTGCCGGCGCCGGCGGTGGCGATGGGCGGGGAGCTGGTGGTGGCAGAGCCGGCGGGGGAGGAGCCAACAACACTGGGAGAGCCGGTGCCGACGGGGACAGGGCCGGTGGAGAGAGTGGTGACGGTGCCGTTGGAGTAAGGGACAGAGGCAGGCGCAGAGGTGGGGATGGCAACGGGGGTGGTGGTGGTCTCGGCGCACTCGGAGGTGGTGGTGGTCAGGGGGTGAGTGATGGTGCAGGGGCAGTCCGTGATGGTCAGCGTGGTGGCCTAGAAATCTTGTGTTAGCTTGTTTGCTGTCTCCAAAGAGCACGAGAAGAGAGAAACTGACCGAGGTGATGGTGTAGGTGGTGCCGGCGTGGGTGAGGACGGTGGCCTCAGGGCAGTACGTGGTCAGAGCCGTCACAACCTCGGTGGTGTACGAGACGTTGCTCGCACTGCTGAAGGCGTGGGTGCCAGCGACGGCGGCGGCGAGAACAGCGGCGACAGAGTACTGCATTTTGACGGTTTGTGTTGTTGAGGGAGAGGGAGAGAGAGAGAGAGAGAGAGAGAGAGAGAATTAGATTAATAAGAACCCGGTGAGGAATTTGGTAGATTGTTTGTCTTTGATCTGCTCGAGAGCTGAGAACGAATGAAATTGACTGTAGAAGTCAGGGTAGGTAGCTTTGAGAGTTGAGTGAGTGAACGTGGGTGAGGAGGAGGAGGAGGAGAAGAAGAGAGGGGATCCACACAGCAGCGAGGGGCCTGAGGAACTTTTATATATACTATGGACAATAGATACAGATTGACAGCCCCATAGACGGGGCGCGTTGGAACCCAAGACTCGGGAGATTACATTCTGGGGTGGGTACTGTGGGCTGTGACTGACTCTACACAGTAGTACCATTGCGGGAAAAGCAACGAAGAAGAAGAGAGAGAGGGGAAAAAAGAGTCAGACGGGGATGTTGGAAGAGGCGGACAGGGGGTGGACAGAGGGTCCAGCAGCTTAAAAGTCAATACACAGGACGTTATTTTAAATTGTGGCCAATCAGAGCCTGTAACCTTCAGCCGGGGTGTCAGATGTGGACACCATGCACTGCTTATCGACAATAAGGATCGCCCAAAAGGGGTTTCTCGGCATGACGTCCAGTGCATGTGCCCTGTAAGCTTAGAATGTGCCCCCAACACGAAAGAGAAAAGGAGGAAAAGAGCTGACAGATCAATAACAGCTGAGATTTGACGACAGATCAAGAAGACCATAGGACTACAGTATGCATCAGCTACTGATTGGCTACCATCTACACATACTGTAGTAGTGCCAATGTACTATAGTAAAGTTTCCTGCAAAGAGGCGGAGATGATGGAAGCCCACACGCACCAAAAAGGCACCAGGCTTGGCGACCCACCACCCATCATGAGAGATCGTCAACGTTGCATTCGCCAATAATGGAGGGCCCCGGGGGGGGGGGGGGGGCGCACCTGCACTGAGCGTCCCTCTCAGCCGGCTTCCTTTTGAAGATGGGAGTCGGGAAGGCCATGTTACCTCGACGAGTTCCCAGGTCCCTGACTTGACAGGCTGGGTTGTTAATGTTGGGTGGTGTTGCTGTCACCCAACCACCCCCGGATTATTTTTTACTATTATGTAACCTTAAAAGTAGTGATAATAGTAGAAGTACTATAGTGGTAGTAACAAGTCATGGGTGAGTGAACGAAAAAGACAGCAGCAGGAGGAAGAGGATGCTGTGCTACCCTTCCAGGAAACTTCCGACCGAGATCCGTCCTGTCAAGATCACAGACAATCACTATGTACAGTGAACCATTACAAACTTCAAAAGTACAAAACATATTGATTCATCTAAACACGCTGAGACAAGGTGGCTGGGCCAGAACATACGAGGTCTCGCATTTCCAGTTTGATTGCCTTCCCGACGCGCCGACAGAAAATAAAAAGGAAAAGAGACTCTAGACGAGACCAGGAAGGAGACTCATGGAAGGTCAGAGAAAAGATCAAGTCAAGAACAGACGAAGACACACACACACACACCGAACCGTTCGTTTACCACCATCATCATGACCACCACCCGCGGGCCACCGACAAATCAGACGCCAACGGATGAAAGGGTTGGCCAGGTGTGCGTCATGTACTGTACCTTGCATAAGTGCGCTTTCTTAGCCCCAGGGGCAAAGAAACATATGCAGGTACCATAGTACATAAAACACACACACTTTCTCTCTCTTCTTTTTCCTGCCGCTCTCCTGATTCGGCTTGACGTTTTTTGTTCCTGCTTACGCCCTAAGTTGGCGCCGGGCGGGAAACCAAAGCCACCAGTAAAAGACCAAAAAGCAAACAAAATTCAGGGGCCTGGACCGAGAGACAAATGTCTCTCCCCTCCCTTCTCCTGGCCTGGTTTGCTATTTTGTTCTTAGCTCCAGAAACGTTCCCAATTGTGGCAACACGGCCCGTGACAGCTTCATCCCACACCATCCCGCCCAAAATGTGTGTTCAAAAAAAAAAAAGCAATCATAGGCCATCCCGTCTTTTGTATGTCTCTCGTTCATTCGCGTGTCTCTCTTTCTCCTGGACAGAAGGATGAAAAGGATTGTTCATTTGACAGGGGGGTTTGTCCAGTCCAATCAAATCAAGCAAGGAGGAGCAGGAGGAGGAGGATTAACTAGTGCTGCCACTATATGTGTGGAAACTCTCTCGACGAGACACAATAGACGCGTGATGGCGGCGAAAACAAAGTGAAAGTCAGCTTTGAGAGTTGGGAGGCATTGTCTCTACGGCCAGCCTTGGGATACCGGCCTGGGTCCCCCACCATCCTTCTCGAGAGGGGAGCGTTGCTGAGTGAGGTGACAGACCCTCTTCTCCTGCTGTGCCTCTCTGGTTGTCCTCGATCTGGACCTCTCTTGGCACTTGCCGCCTGTCTGATGTTCTCACGGTCCACACACACACACACCCATACACCAAGTGAGAGAGTACCACACCACCTTCCACGACGCATACATAAAGTTCTCGTATTCATATGCATTAAGACGTCGTCGAATTTAGGTTGGCGGTTGCAACATTGGCTCCACCTCTCCACCCAGAGGCTAAATAAACCATTCCATCAGATGGGGACTGCAGTGGATGGATACCATTCACTGGAATGTGGGACGGCGTGGATGGTGCGTCGTCTCAGACCCTGAGCATATTATACTTATATACACGACTAGCCTGCGTACATGGTAGTATGTAATATGTACTCTCTCTCTCTCTCTCTCTCTCTCCCCTCTCTCTGAGAAAGACTCTGGAAGAAGAAAGCAGTAAGTGACGACAGTGAGTATGCCCCGACTCGTCCCGCCTCACATGATCTTTCTACCTTCCTTTACGCCGGCATGGTCTGACAGATCATGGAAGCGGATCTCGGCTCTGGAAGGATCTGGGCTTACTCTGTCCATCCCGCGCCGAGCACACTTCTATTGCTTTGGTCGTGCTGACGAGGTCCAATTTCCACCATCTGCACATGTCAGCAGTGCGAACGGTCATGATGCCCAGAACACTGTCCATCCATCTATCCATTGATCACATGTGTGAGTGGGGGACATGGCTTGCTGCATAATCTACTTGTCCACCTGATTCATGTTTGTTGTTCCTCCGCGAGCAAAGGTGACATGAGTTGTTCAGGTCCCCCTCAAGGATTCTCTAGATATGCCTCGCAGTTTAAGTTCAGGCCAGAACGATAATCTCCCATTCCCCCTGCGACTCACCGACGGCCTCTCTCCTCATGATTCCATGAATGCAGAGGTCCCTCTTCATGCCAGAACCTCGTATTCCTTTTCCTGTTGCTGCTGGATGTGCTAATAATAATGAAAAAGAAGATGGTGGTCCCGCTGCTCGAATCCATCAATCTTGGTCCTCTGCCTCAGCTCAAACACAAAGTGAGCCTCGGCCTCAACAGGCACACTCAAACAAAAGGAATCAGACAGCGGGTTCGCGGACCGCGCCTGCAGCCCGTGTAGCTGATCAGTTACTATTATGAATCCGTCTCAAGGGACAGTGTCCACCCAGAAACGCAGCCACCCACGGCTGGAGGACCATCTCCTACAGACACCACACGCGGCGAAAGTTCTGCCGCAGGTACATTACGGCCAGGCTCGCCCACCCGGCCAGGTCAAGGAGCTCAACGGCGGCCTCTGTGTAGGCACGTGACTGCGCCGCGGGGCCTCGAAAAGGGCAGCTGGACGAGCGAGCGAGGAGCCTACGCCGGGCTGCCAGGTATAGCTTTGCCAGGGCGTGGATGGCGTGGAGGGCAGTGCGATCGTCTGGGCCTAGCCAGACCGGGCCGAATCTCTTGATCTCAGCTGCGATCGTCACGGCCCTGTCGTGCTGCATGGTCGCGACAGCTCATCCTATCTGGTCTCGCAGGTCAACCCTTGCCCCGGCGTCACGGAGAGCTCTCACCTGTGTCTCTTGCATCTGTCATCAGCTCTCTCTTTTGCCATCCATTTTGTACACACCGTGGGCAGGTCGTTATTTATATACTGCCGAGACGCTGTTCCTGATCGTAGTTAATAAAAGAGCCGTCCGCCCTTTGCTATTCAGCGCGTCGACAGGCGCACCAGCCCAGAGAAGCTTCCTACGACATAGCCCCTCATTCAGAAAGCAGATCGGGAAGTATATACAAGTAACTGTCTTGCAATGATATGAAACTCGCCTGATGGCAGAGACTTTACCGTCTGCAGAGGCAAAGTGCACATCAGCAAACAGACATCTTCGCCGTCAATAACAGTCCTGCTCTTGGAGAACATGAAATGGTCAGCAGCTGGGAGGCGCTTCAGCGCATCGTGCAGGGTTCGTCACATGTAGAGAATGCGGCTGTTGCAGGCGATGGGCATCAATGCCGTTGCTGTGGCGCTGTTGTCATTGTCGGCCTCGTACTCCCTGGGATGGTCGAGGTCATATTCGTCCATCTCGACCAGCGTTTCATCAGCTTGCATCTGCATGGTCAGCAGAGTACGGTAATATTCTCCTTGCCTCCATCTCGTCCAATACGCGCATCACGTGGCCATCATGAGTAGACCCTCCCATAGAAGTCGGCGCATCTCAAACGCATACACACGTAGAGAGATGGGGACGGAAGTCTGGAGATGGCATGAAATTTGTGACTTTTGGAGCCCGGTGTTTCATTTCGAATTATGTCCATTTCTGGCCAGAATTGTCATTTCCCCCAAGACCAAAGACGACGTCTTCGTCCTCCGAGTAAGTAGGGTGTGGGTTTGACCAAGACAACAAGAAAGACTCGTCATTCGGTGGCCTTCTCATTAATCATCTGCAGGCGCTGTTGAGGCCGAGGTCCGCTCTAAGATCTGTTCCCCACCTTGGCGGAACTCCTTCTCATCCGAAACTAAGTCTGATCGGTTGATTTCAAAGCATCGAAACATAACGGTAGAAGAAGGGGGGAAATCTTATAGTCGAGATATGTGTGTGAAATTACAGATGAGCAGGCACATTCTGTGTGTAAGTTGAAGTGAAGTGAGGTCATTTTGTGGTAAAAAGATGAAAATCTCGATTACTTGGCCACTTTTCAAGTATTTCATATCGAAAACATTTCTTCATCCCGCGACTTCCCTTTTCTTTGAATACGTCATTTTCACTTATTAGTTTTACTGTAACTCTGCAACAAGATCACAAAATCTCAAAGAACAATATTCCCAACCCAGAGTCAAAGTCGCCAAAAAACACCCAAATTCAACCTCAAGCTTACACATTTCAAAATGTCTAAAGTCATGAAGGCAGTCGGTAGGTTCATGTTTCCCCCTCCTCACCTGGTCATTCTTTACTCACCCATCCTCCCTCTACCCTTACAGACATCAAAGGCGGCAAAGGCCCCATCTCGGCCCTCTACATCAACAATGAGACCCCCAAACCCACGCCCACATCCACCCAAGCCCTCGTCCGCATCAAGGCCTTCGGCCTCAACAGGATGGACCTCCTCCAGCGCGAAGGCCACTACCCCTTACCCCCCCAAGCGGGCCCGATCATGGGCGTCGAGTTCGCAGGCATCATCGAGCAGCTCGGAGGCAGCTCTGAAGCCGACACCCGCGGCTTCCAGGTGGGCGACGAGGTCCTGGGCCTGGCCTACGGCGGCGCCTACGCCGAGTACATCGCCATCAGCACGCGCATGCTGCTGCGCAAACCCTCGGGCCTCAGCTGGACCGCCGCAGCCGGCATCCCCGAGGTGTGGATGACGGCCACGCAGGCCGTGCACCTCGTGGCCGGGTTCGAGGACCTCAAGGGCAAAGACGTCCTGTGGCACGCGGGCGCGAGCGGCGTGAGCATCGCGGGGATCCAGCTCAGCCTGCGGGCCGGGGCGGCGCGGGTGTTTGCCACGGCGGGCAGCGATGAGAAGTGCACGTTCCTCGAGAGTGAGCTGGGCGCCACCAAGGCGTTCAACTACCGCAGCCAGGACTGGGCGAAGGGGGTGCTGGAGGCCACAGGGGGTAAAGGTGTGGATCTGATTGTGGATTTCATAGCGGGGGATTATGTGCAGAAGAACCTGGACTGTGCGGCGCGGGATGGCCGGATCGTGCAGCTGGCATTCATGGGCGGGGTGGTGATCAAGGAGGTCAACCTGGGCCAGTTCCTGTTCAAGAGGCTGAGGTGGGAGGCGAGCGCGCTGCGGAGCCGGGACGAGGAGTACCAGGGGCGGCTGGCGGATCGGGTGGCGGCGTACATACCGGACATTGAGTCTGGGCGGCTGAAGCTGTTTGTGGACAAGGTGTTTGGGATGGAGGACATCCAGGAGGCGCATGCGCTGATGGAGAAGAACGTCACGAGGGGAAAGATCATCTGCACTGTTCCCTAAAAGTCTGGGATGAATCAAGACATGTGTGTGTGTCTCTTTGCTGGTCTGCAGCAGCGAACCATTATCATGCCCCGTGAAGCTATTTTCTAAAACACTTTTTTTTCTTCTTTCCCTTCCCCTCCTACTCTTCTTTTCACCCCAAACCCCCCAAACGCCATTTTCCTCAACCCAAGTGATGCATTGCCTCTTTTCCTCCCCTTGAATCCCCTACTTACTTACAGGTCCATCTTTTCGTGCAGAAACCTCTTCTTCCCTTGTCCCTCTCCATACACGGCCGACACATGGCCGGTGCCCCTCACCTTGTACTTGTAGATGGTCAAGCCCTCCAGACCCACGGGCCCCCTGGCGTGGATCTTGTTGGTGCTGATGCCGACCTCGGTGCCGAACCCATACCGCATGCCGTCCGCCATCCTCGTCGAGGCGTTCCAGTAGACACCAGCCGAGTCAACGGCGGACATGAACCTCTCGGCGTGGTCCTCGTCCGCCGTCAGGATCACGTCGGTGTGGTGCGAGCCGTGGGTGTTGATGTGCTCGACCGCGGCGTCGAGGCCCGGCACCGTCTTGACGGCCAGGACCAGCGACAGGTGCTCGGTGTCGTAGTCCACCGCACGCGCGTCCTCCACCCTGCCCTCTGCTGCCGAGGCGGCGGACACGTTGCTGCCGAGAAGGGCAGCCTTGCTCGGGGGGTCACACCGCAGCACAACGCCCCCTGCGAGCAGCGCCGCCGCCGCAGCAGGGAACACCGTCTCCAGCGCGGCCTCCTCGACCAGCAGCGTCTCGAGGCTGTTGCAGGCCGCCGGGTAGCTCGTCTTGGCATCGACCACCACGCGCGCCGCCATGTCCCGGTCTGCGCTGGCCTCGAGGTACGCCGCGCACAGCCCATCGGCGTGGCCCAGCACGGGGATCTTGGTGTGGGCCTTGACGTAGCGCACCAGCTCGTTGCCGCCGCGGGGGATGACCAGGTCGATGAGGCCGTCGAGGGCCAGCAGCTGCGGGATGACGTCGCGGGTGGTGACGAGCTGGACGGCGCCGTTGGGGACGCTGCACCGCGCGAGGCCGCTGGAGATGGCGGTGCTGATGGCGATGAAGGACTCGGTGCTCTCGCGGCCGCCCTTGAGGATGGCCGCGTTGCCGCTCTTGATGGCCAGGGCGGCAATGTTGGCAATCACCTCGGGCCGCGCCTCGAAGATGATGAGCAGCACGCCGATGGGGCACGTCAGGCGCTCCAGGACCAGGCCCTCGTCCAGCTTGGTGCGCAGCGTCACCACGCCCAGCGGGTCGTCGAGGCCGCGCACGTCGAGCACGCCCTTCAGCATGTCCTCCCACTTTCCGGGCCGGCTCAGGTCGAGGCGCGAGACCAGCGAGGGGTTCAGCTGGCCGTCGGCGGCGGCGAGGCGGGTAGAGTCCATGTCGCGGGCGTTGGCTGCTAGGATGGCATCGCGGGACGAGGCGAGCGAGGCGTGGATCGAGGTGAGGGCTTCGTTACGGGACGTCACGGGGAGCGTGGCTAGGTAGTGTGAGGCGGACTTGGCCGCTTGCGCAGCCTCGTGTGGGGTGGCACTGGTGAGGGACATGATGACTGGCGGTGGTGGTGCTTGTTGTGGTTGTGGTGGTAGACGAAGAAGGAGGAGAAGGAAAAGGAAAAGGACCAGTCAGGGTTGGACGATGTTGAGATGAGAGGAAATAATGTTCACCAGTTGGGGAGTCATTTTCATTGTCATTTTCTTCGCTATCGGAGTCGCCACCCGATCTGATACGTCTCGACTGGAAGTTCATTATCTAGCTGAAAAATGATTTTATATATACAATGTCGTCATTCTTCTCCCTTAATTTACACACAAACGCCTCAGAAAAAAAAGAAGAGAAAAAAAAAAAAAAAAAGGCATGAGAAAGAAGGTATTCAAATGTGCATAGTGGTAGTAGCCTCTCCTCACTTGTTGTTTCTGTCACTAAGTGAAAAAGGGTAAAGCAAGTCCAACCACCCTGGTCCGGCACCGGCGATGGGGTCTTATCGATAAGAGAAACATACTGTAGTTATAGCCCTACCCCTGTACATACACACTTGCCCTTTCCTTCTCAACTAAGTATCTTTCCAATGTTGTTGTTATGTTCGCTTCTTCTAATTTTCTTCCTCAGGTAATGATTGGCACCATGGCGACACGACTTGCACCGATGCAGGTCACGCTCGAAGATGATGCCTTTCAGTACTGAGTTCTTGCTTGCTCACTTCGTGTCAAAATACGTACTGACAAACAGAGCGTCCTAGGCAGGGGACGTACTTAGGAGGAATGTCCCCCCCTTTCCTTCCCGTTCACAGCAGCTCAGTTAGACTCGGGTCATACCACTATGGCAGGAACCTTGCCATCCATATTTTTGGGTTCTCCTCCCGAAAAGCTAGAGGAGAAGAAGGGTGTTTCTGGAGTAGTGCCATAGTACCGTAGTGCTCACTCATACCGTTGAGCCGTCACACAAATTACGAAGATAGAGAAAGAGAGACAGGGCCGATCCGGTGCCGATGTAGCCGAACCACGAATCACAATCAAGGACCAACCTCCATTGCTCTTCCCCCCCCCCCCCCCTCTTCTCCTCTCTCTTGTGTCTCCCTCCCAAATCACGGCTGCCCCATTTTGTACAGACTACGAGAATGACGAGAGAAAAAAGGTTTACCTATTTTGTAAGCAGCCGGGTGGGGTTGTGGAGCTCGCGAAACCGCGAGCCGCGAGCCGGTCAGCCGTTGATCCTTCCCCAGCACCATCAACGACACCGCCGGGACTGGGGTTTTCATCTCTTCCCGCAGTGGGTGGAGAGAAAAAGACAGACTGAAAGGAGAGAGAGAGGAGAAAGAGTTCTGCCTTCAGGCCTCGGCCGATAGGAGGGGCTCTGGAAGAAATCAAAAGTGGGGGCCGGGACATCGCCGCTGGTATGGGATCGGCCATAGTACGAGATAGTAGGAGACACTACGGGGCAAAAAAAAATAATAAGGGCTTTTTGCTGCTGAGTGCTGTGTGGTTATTTGATCTCACGGGTCAGAACCGTGCCTTATTTCCGTGCTCATTGACCGATGTCCCTTTTTTTCCTTTTCTCCTCTCTGTGTCTTGTCATAGGAAAAGGGAAGAACAGCTCCATTTTATTTTTTCCCCCTCCTCTTTTTTTCCTTGCTTCATCTTGATTCTGACTTGTTCCCCCTTCTTTTTGGCAGCCATGTACGACACAGCCATTCCTACTACCCCATGATAATGGTGATGCGATATCGGGCGTGAATCACAATTCAATGGTTCCCCTCTCTTCTCCCTTTCACCACCTTGAGAATAGTCATAATTGAGGGAGAGTAGAGATTAGGGGATCACTCTTGAGGGAGGGTCAAGCTACATCTCGGCCAAGAAGAAGGCAAAAGAGAAGGAGAAGAAGAAGAAAAAGAAGAAGAAAAAGAAGAAAAAAAAACCAAGACGGGCCTAGTCATCATGGCTCCCGGCCAAGAAGGAAGTCATGGCGATAGCGCCGATCAAAGTAACCCCACTGCCAGGAATTTGGACTCAATAACAACGGTTCCTTCCAGAGAAGTTGTGGATAACAATGACCATCCTGGTTCTCACCCTCGCCCAGACGACGCTGACCTGGACAACAATTCTTCTCATCACGAAGATGACGATGACGGGGACGACGACGACATCATTGAAGGCGAAGAGGAGGAGGAGGACGACGACGACGATCAAAACGAAAAGTCACGGCACTCGACCGATGAGGCCGAGCTGGAGGAACATCACGACCCGGAGGCCGTAGGCCCCGAAGGCCTCAACACCGGCGTCCTCATCGACCCGGACACTCTGGCCGCTCAGAGCCGCACCCATTCCCGTGCCTCGTCCACCCGGTCGCGGCCTTTGGTTATCGTCCCGCGGGCTAAGAGGAGGGGCCTCTTTGCTACCCTCGTGTTGATTCCCGAGGTGGAGCGGCCGTATGACTACTCGAGGAAGACGAAATGGACCATCACTGCCATTGTCGCCCTGGTCGCCGCTGGAGGTCCCATCGGGTCCAACCTCATGTATCGTAGGTGTCCTTTGTTTTCCCCTCTCTCTCTTGTTTAGAAGAATGACTGGGCTGACTAGAGATGAATGTGTGGTTGTTGAACAGCTGCTCTTGGCGATATTGCCCGGGACTTGAATACCAGTGAGACCATGGTCAACTTGACGGTCGCTTTTTACATGCTCGCCATGTCCATCTTTCCCCTGTGGTGGTCATCCTTTTCCGAGACCCTCGGCCGTCGGACTATTTATATAATTTCCTTCAGCCTCTTTGTTGTCTTCTCCGTGCTGAGTGCACTAAGTACCAACATCGGGATGCTGATCGCCATGCGGATCCTTGGTGGTGGTGCATCTGCTTCTGTCCAGGCTGTGGGTGCAGGAACCATTGCCGACCTATGGGAGGTTTTTGAACGAGGCAAGGCTATGAGTATGTGGCTCTCCCCTCCTCCCTCCCTTCCCCCCTTTCCATAGGAGTGTTGTTCTCCCTTCTGCTTACATGTTCCCTCGTGTGGATGACTCGCTGACCATGTTCTCCTAGATACTTTCTACCTTGGGCCCCTCCTCGGCCCGCTGCTCGCACCCATCATTGGCGGCGCCCTCGCCCAGAGCCTTGGCTGGAGAAGTACAATGTGGTTCCTCGCCATCTTTGGCGGCCTCAACTTCCTCAGCCTGCTCTTTCTCCTCCCCGAGACCCTGGCCAAGCGCAAACCTCTCGTCCCTTCTGCTCCAGCCCCTCCTTCGGCCTCTGCTGCAGGAGGCCAAGACGTCAGTCGCACCGCCAGCCTCACGCGCATGTCTACCCGACAATCTGTGGCCCTGCGCACCCGCCGCGGCGCCGTTATCCTGCGAAAGTTCCTCATCGACCCCCTCAACTGCATCACCTATCTGCGCTTCCCGCCCATCGCCCTGGTGGTTGCCTTCGCGGCCATCACCTTCGCCTCCCTCTTCATCCTCAACATCTCCATCCAGTCCACCTTTGCCGCCCCTCCCTACAACTTCTCCACCATCATCATCGGCCTGCTGTACATCCCTTCCTCCCTCGGCTACTTCTTGACCTCCCTCTTTGGCGGCCGCTGGGTCGACTACATCATGCGCCGCGAGGCCCAAAAGGCAGGCCGCTACGACGACAAGGGCAAGCTCATCTACCACCCCGAGGACCGCCTCAAGGAAAACGCCTGGATCGCCGCCAGCATGTTCCCCCTGGCTCTGCTCTGGTTCGGCTGGTGTGCCGACTACGGTGTCTTTTGGCTCGCCTGCATGATCCCCAATTTCTTCTTCGGCATCGGCAGCATGCTCGTCTTTGGCGCCGTCACCACCATGCTCACCGAGTTTATGCCGCGGCGGTCGAGCAGCGGCGTTGCACTCAACAACTTTGTGCGGAATATATTCTCCTGTGTTGGCGTGGTGATCACGCAGCCGCTTCTCGAGGCTATGGGGGTCGGGTGGCTTTGTACCATGGTTGCGCTTTTTTCGCTGATCAGTGGGAATCTGTGTATTTTCCTGCTGGCGAGGTCTGGGGGGCGGTGGCGGAAGCAGATGGATGCGGCCATGGGGGGTGGATGAGGCCCGGCTGGTTGAGAAAGATTTGAGGTGGGAAGGAAGGGGGTGAGGGGAAAGGGAGTGGGAGTAAACAATGAATTTAACAAAGATATATATATGTGTGTGTGTGTGTGTTCTTTGCCTTGCTTCTTTGCATTAGCGACTGGGTGGGTGGGTTGTTTGGGATCATAGCCTTTGGAACACTGAGAACCGGAAGGCTGGCTTTTTACTATTTTGCGATTCGGATTCATCTTCTTCTTTTTCTCTGTCCTCTTCCTCTCTTTAAGAGGGTGATTGCTTTAGGTTTTGGAAGTATCAACTTCTTTGATTATTAGATCCCATTATGACTGAGTACATAGGACTTGGCTTCACGTCAAAGTATCTCTGTCTTTTTGTCTTCAATAGGAGACAATTACTACAGCCTCGCAATTGTTGTTGCAGACCTCATTCCTGCAATAATTAGTTATACCTTGAACATGGTTGCCTCCAGTACATTTTTATACGACCAATGACGAATAACTTTCTGTAGTGAGTGCGTGTGTGATTTTATATGCTTTTTGGTGACTCTTGGCTACTAAGTCGATGTCCTCTTTGAAGTAAATAAATACCCTGTGATAAGGCATTTCCAAAGAAACCACTGTCCTATCACATTTTGTGGATGAGATCTTCTTGATTTTTGACCAGAGACAGCAAGCTCCCCACAGGCACCTTGTTCCAATGCCACTGTCCAAGCAGGGGGGGGGGGGGGAAGCTGGGGAAGGACCTGGAGATGCGGGGGAACGGCTTGGCCATGCCAGCCCTCCCGAGGTCCAACGGAAGGAAGGAACTACTGTGTAAGTGCCTCAACAAATATTGATCGTCACCACCTGCAGAATAGACTCGCAGGTGGTGACAAAAAAGAAGGCCTTAGATGATCATATCTTGCATATTTCCAACACCTTCATTCCATCTCTTTCAAGCAGTTTGGCGGCAAATCGTTGTCACTCTATTTACAGTGCTCACCTCCAATCTGGTCTCTCTAACATGCTTTAAGTAGACTACGGGCTATAAGAAGTGAGAGACATTATAGACTACGTCTTATTCATCGAGTGTTATTTACAACAACAACTACATCAGATACTTTATTACTACATACCCAGCTCATCTATTCTCTTCCATTCTCTTCTCTCCTCCCTCCTACAATGTCCCTCCATCCCCAGGACGCCCTCCACGCCGCCTCCCTCTCCCACCCAGAAACCTTCTGGGCTGCCCAGGCCGCCCGCCTCCACTGGCACAAGAAGCCCACGACCATTCTCCAGAAATACACAAAAACCCTCCCCCAGTCTGGCACCGCCCATGACCACTGGGCGTGGTTCCCAGACGGCGACATCTCCACCTGCTACAACTGTCTCGACCGCCATGTCCTCGCCGGCCAGGGCCACCAGCCCGCCATCCTGTACGACAGCCCCGTCACCTCGGACACGCGGCAGCGCATCACCTATGCCCAGCTGCTCGATGACGTCCAGGTCTTCGCCTCGGTGCTGCGCGATGAGGGCGGTGTCCAAAAGGGCGACGTGGTCCTGGTGTACATGCCCATGATCCCCGCCGTCCTCACAGGTCTCCTGGCCATCTCCCGCCTCGGCGCCCTGCACGCTGTCGTCTTTGGCGGCTTCGCCCCGCAGGCCCTCGCCCAGCGCATCGACGCCAGCCGGCCCAAGGTCATCCTGACAGCCTCGTGCGGCATCGACGGGAACAAGCCGCCCATCCCGTACCGGGAGTACCTGGAGGAGGCTGAGCGGCTGGCCACGTGGCGCACCCCCAGGACCCTCGTGTGGCAGCGCCCGCAGCTGGAGTGGCACCCTCTGCGCAAGGAGGCCGGGGAGAGGAGCTGGAACCGTCTGGTGAGGAGCGCTGCGCTGCGGGGGCGGAGGGTGACTGAGTGTGTGCCTGTAAAGGGTACCGACGGGGTCTATGTGATTTATACGTCTGGCACGACGGGGTTGCCTAAAGGGGTGGTGAGGGAGGCCGGCGGGCATGCAGTTGGGTTGGAGGTGAGCATGCGTCAGATGTTTGGACTGCAAGGGCCAGGAGATGTGGTAAGTTTGATGTTTCTCTCTTTTTTCCCTCCCCCCCCCATCCTCTCTCTCTTCTCCGTGATTTCTATGCAAAATAAATAAATAGTACTCCTGACAAGTAAACTTTCTAGCTGGCCTGTTTCAGCGACATAGGCTGGGTCGTCTCTCACAGCTACACCCTCTATGGCCCCCTCCTGGTCGGCGCCGCCACCGTCCTCTACGAGGGCAAACCCGTCGGCACTCCCGACCCAAGCGCCTTCTGGCGCATGGTACAAGAATACAAAGTCAACGCCATCTTCACTGCGCCCACCGCCCTGCGCGCCATTCGCAGGGATGATCCGGACAACAAACACCTGCGCCGCATCGGGGAGCAAGGCGGGCTCAGGTCGCTGCGGGCCCTGTTCCTGGCGGGCGAGAGGTCCGAGCCGGCAATTGTGACCACGTACCAGGACCTCTTGGCTCGGTATGGTGACCAGAGGCTTGTGGGCGGGGCCAGGGTGGTGGATAATTGGTGGAGTTCCGAGTCTGGGTCGCCCATTTCGGGCATCTCAATGGCCCCTCAAGCGGTGGTGGATTTTGAGGACAAGAGTACCACAACCGCGAAAGAGGCGAGACAATTTCCTCCTCCTCTGGACATCAAGCCAGGCAGTGCTGGGAAACCTATGCCTGGCTTCGATGTGCGCGTGGTGGACGACGAGGGCAATGAGCTCGCCAAGGGGAAGATGGGGAACATCGTGCTGAAGATGCCGCTCGCGCCGACTGCATTCCGGACTTTGTGGGAGGATGAGGAGAGGTTTTATAAGGGCTATCTGAAGAGATTTGAGGGGAGGTGGTTGGACACGGGCGATGCTGGAATTGTGGATCTGGATGGATATATTCACATCATGGCAAGATCAGGTCTTGCTTCCTTTTCCTTTTCCCTTTTATCCTTATACTATCTCGACAAAGTTGTTAACTCTGGCTTCTTTCTGCCATCAGACGACATCATCAACGTGGCAGCACACAGACTGAGCACTGGTACGTCCAAATAATCCCCCCTAGAAAGGAGAAGAAGCAAGAAGAAGAATTGGACAAGCTGACGCACCTCTTCCAGGCACCCTCGAACAAGCCATCACCTCCCACCCCCACGTAACCGAAGCCTGCGTGGTAGGAATTCCCGACCAGATGAAAGGCCAGCTTCCCTTCGCCTTCGTCCAGACTTCCGCCTCATGCCCCCTTGACGACTCCAAACTCCTCTCCGAGATCCAGCAACTCGTCCGCACCCAAGTCGGTCCTATCGCCTCCCTAGGCGGCATGATCCGCACCAGATCTGGCGGCGGCGGCGGGGGCGGCGTTGGTGAGGAAGGGAAGAAGAAGGAGGAGGAGGAGGAGGAGGAGGAGGAGGAGGAGGAGGAGGCCAAACCAATTATCCCCAAAACGAGATCCGGCAAGACACTGCGGCGGGTCCTGCGCGAGCTGTTGGAGAACGGGGTGCATGGGGAGTTTGACAAGGCTGTGAGTGTGCCCTCTACGGTGGAGGATGCGAGCGTGGTCGACGCGGCTGCGAGGGCGGTACGGGTCTATTTTGAGAGCAGAGGAGGGGATGTGCATAAGGCTATTGAGGGGAGGGCCAAGTTGTGATTTGGCGTTAGGGGAATTGAATGAATGCTTGTGTGTGTGTATCAATGTCTCTTGTTGTTTGAGACATGATTCTATAGCCACATAGCCCAGATAAATAGTAATCTGGTCTCAAGAGTTAAAAAATAAAAATAAGGTATTCAAGGTATCTATATTCGATGCAAACTCCTCCAAGTTGACCCTCTGTTCTTCTCTGTCTCTCTCGTACTACTTTCCATGTAAACAAACCCGAGAGACTGTTCTGTTCTCTCTCTCCCCCCCCCCCCCTCTCTCGGCTGTCTTGTGCAGAAGACACATACCGAACGTATCCCTTTCCTCCGCTTTCTCACCGTCAAAAAACCTCCTTTATTTGACCCGGGGGAAGTAAAGAAGGAAAAGAAAGAAAAAGAAAGAAAAAAAAGAGGAGGGGGGGGGGGGGGGCACAAGCCCACCAAACCTCCTACACCATTTTATTCTCGTTGGAGAAGAGAAATGGGGGATGGGAAGGAAGAAAAGAAGGAAGAGAAACGAATTCCCATCTTATATAGCATCATAACAGCATCAAATCATAGCCAGCCAGCCCAAACGATGTTCCTTGTCCTTGTCTAGCAAGGACACAACCATCAACACACCCAACAACACTTTCAAAAAAAAAAGACCACAGCCTCCTCTTGGACAGGAGAGGGGAGGGAGATGGAATCCCAGACCCCGCTCTACTCACTCTCTCTCTTTCGTGCTCTCACAAACAACCTTGCTAAGAGGAAAGAGAAAGATGTGCACACAGCATAGGAGGAGGGAGAGGACGCCATCTCTTATTCAAACATTAGGAAAAGTCAACCCTTTCTTCCCTCTGCCTCCTCAAATACCTGGCGCTTCCCCCTCCCCCTCCCTTCCAATCTTCCAGGTTATCATCCATGAATCGCGGTCGCAGCAAGCAAGCCTCTTTGCTGCAAGGCAATTAGGAAAATTCCCTTGAGGGGGTCTACTACAATCAGTCGCCCCGGCCCCGGTAGCTGCCCATCTGTTGGATACTCGACATCAGACCCCCCGGCCGCGCAAGACCACTGCCAGGCCTCACCAGCCCACTGCCCCCCACGTTGGACGGTGCCCGCTGGTGTGCCGCCCCAGGACCACCACCGCCGATCTTGCTCGGTGCTTTCAGGCCCGACGACATACCCCCAGGGCGCCCGATCATGCTGTTCCTGAAGCCGGACTTGCCTGCTGCCCCGGGGAGCCCACTGGGTCCACCTCCCAAGCCGGTGGGGGCGGGCCCAGGGCTCAGAGCCGTCTTTCTCGGCGTGGTGGTCGTTGCGGACCGTGACAAGCCCATTGTCTGCCCTCTGGGCGGAACTGGTGCCGAGGCCCGCTGGGGCACGCGCTTCGGTGGGGTCGTGGTGATGGGAGCGGCGGCGGCCGCCATGTGCTCGACGGGCGTAGGCTGGCGGCGATATTGTTGGTGCTGTTGGTGCTGTTGGTGCTGCTGCTGGTGGTATTGGGCAGCCGCAGCAGGTGGCTCCGGGGTGGCCTCGCGCTGCTCAGCTTCCTGGGCGGCAAGCATCGTCGTCTGGTTGGACTGCATCTGCATCAGCTCCTCGGCCAGGGTGACCAGCTCGCCCTTCTCAACGCGCTCGACCTCGAGCTGGCGCCGCAGCGAGTCGTTGTCGCCCTGGACTGTCTTGAGCACGGCCTGGAGCCTCTCCACCTCGGCGTGCAGGCCTTTAATCTCGGCCGTGTCCCTGACGGCCTGGTCCCGCCTCTCGCCCGCCTCGATCTCCACCTTGGTGAGCGTGGCGTCGCGGCCCACGCGGAGCTCCTCATTCTCCCTCGTGAGCTCGTCAATCTTGGCCTCCATCTCGCGGATCTTCTTGTCCCAGCGGTTCTCGTAGTTCTTCTTGAGCGCCGCCACTTTCGCCTCGTGCTTGCTCTTGTAGGCCGCGTGCAGCTCCCTGGCCACCTTCTCGACCGCCATTTCGATCTCTCGCTGCGACGCCGTGGTCTTGGGGCTCTTCAAGGCGCCGCCGCCGCCGGGCGAAGTAACATTGTTGTTGCCGTTGCCGTCGGCGCCCACGACCTTGGAAGCGCGCATGGCGGCCATCTTAGACTCCGCTTCCTGCGCCATCATCTCGGCAGCCTCGCGGCGCCCCTCGCTCTCCTCAAGCCGGGCCTCGAGGGCTTCGCGCTCGCGCTGCGTCGTCATGATCTCCTCCTTGACCTGGCGCAGCACCGTCTCCATCTCCCTGCCGCGCTTCTCCCACGTCTCCTTCTCCTCTGAGTAGTGCTCGCGCATCGACCTCTCCTCGCGCAGCTGCTCGCCCGACTCGCCGGCCCGCTTCTCGGCGTCCATGAGCGCCGTCTTGAGCGAGGCCGCCTCAGCTTCTTTCCCGCTCAACGTCGCCCTGAGGCTGCTGATCTCGGACATGAAGTTCGACTTGAGGCTCTCCAGCTCACGGGCGCTGATGCTCGGGACGCTGCGTGGCGTGGGCATGGGCGGGATCTCAAAGTCGAGCAGGTTAGCGATGCCCTGGCGCTGTGGCGTCTTCTTATTGCCGTCTGCTGCTGCAGCGGCAGCGGCAGCGGCAGCAGTCATCGACCTTGTGGGCGAGCTCGACCGCCCGCCAGGGAACCGAAGGCTATCCGTGAAATCGAGCAGGTTCGTCGTGGTGTTGGACCCCCTTGTCGCGTCCTGCGCCATCTGTGTGGGCGTCCGGCCGCCCAGTCTCGCAAATGTGGTCATGTTCGGGATCGCAGAGAACGTGCTGAACTCGCTCAGCATGGTCTCGTCCGCCATCGACTCGTCGTGATTATTGTTGTCGTCGGTGTTGAGACCAGCTTGGTGGCGGGCCGGCTCCTGTCCACCGTGGCCAGGTACTCCGTCCCTTCTTGCACTGTCTGTGTCCTCGTCGTCCCCCTCGTCGCCCATACTGTCCAGTGTGTCCTCGAAAATCTCAATCGCATGCCTGACCCCGGGGTTCTGGGCGATGGCCTCATCGAGCGACATCTCTCTCTCCTGAACCTGGCCCTGGCTGTGGCTATTGTTACGGCCGTGACTGTAGTGGCTCCTGCCGGGTGCAGCCTCGGGCGCCTCGGAAGGCTCTTCGCGCTCTCGCACGGGCGGTGGAATCGACTGCGGCCGTCCTCCTCCTCCTCCTCCTCCTCCTCCCCCCCTGGGCGTGCTCTCACCGGTGTTGACCCTGACGGGGAACCTCCGCATGGGGCTGATGGACTTGCGAGGGCTGTTGGGCGGCATGAGCCTCTCGTCGACGGTGGTGTTGTTGTTGCTGGTATTGTAGTTGCCGTTGTTATTGTTGTTTGTCCCTCCTGACGTCGAGGATGCCTCCGAGTTGGACCGCTGGAGCATCTTGAGCGGCGACATCTCGCTGCCAGACATGATGCGTGAGCGGCGTTTGTCTTTGAGGGGCGACGAGCTGTTGTAATGGTTCTCCTGGTTCGAGGAGGCCTGGCTCGCGTCGTCGGCGTTGCTCACAAAGGGCGAGGAACTGGCGTCCATGTCGTCGAGGCTGTCTGCGCCCGTGGACCGGCGCGTAATGGGGGGAGGGGAGAGCTGGCTCTGGCGCGCCTGCGAGGGGCTGTTGTCGCTGTCGTCGAGGTGATCGAGGTGGCCATCGTAGCTGTGATTGCGGTGCGCCGCGTTGGGCGTGGAGATGTTAAGTGGTGATTCCTGCATCGGGGAGAGGGGGCGTCGTCCCATCGGATGCTTTGTGAAAGATGCTAGTCTCGAACGATCACGGTTTCTTTGGCTGCCTCTCTCTCTCTCTCTCTCTCTCTCTCTCTCTCTCTCTCTCTCTCTCTTCCTGCCTCCTTCTTTTGCTATCGTGTTTCTTGTTTGGCTGCTGCTGGGCTTTTTTGGGGTATATGTTGATCAACGGGTGCAGACGATAGCCCACAAGACATGAACCACACACAAACACACCTGCATACAACAACGTATTGTAGGTAAGGGTGCAGGAAGATAAAGATAGTGGTTGTCGTCTCAATGTTGGGTCAATGTTGATCGGATCCCCTGAGTCAGGTTAGGATGGCAGGGGGGACGGACGGGGGGACGGCAAGTGAATTAAAATGACTATAGTGGAGTCAGATCGCGCGTTTCCTTTATGACCAAAAACAGTGCTGCTTTGCATGAAGGGGGGGAAAACCTAATGTAATTGCACGCACTGTTCACCATAGCATCTGATCAGTGGTCCCAATGTCTGCAAATGTCTCTCTCTTTTCCTGTAACAAACAGCAAACAAGGAATGTTGATGTGGTGTGTGTGATGTGATGTGATTGGATTTGATCTGCATTGTATTGCATAGGATCAAACAAGAGAAGGAGAGCAGGAGAAGGGAAAAAAGAAAGAAAGAAAGAAAAAAAAAAAAAAGCTAGGCCAACCCAATCACCAAGTCCAGCCCCTGGTCTGGCACCTGAGAGCCAGTGGTCACCCGTCCTACGCTGTCAGGGGCAACCACGCCGAAAGACGAACGCCCTCCCCCCACCTTCCCATGCCCTCCCCCTCCCACTGAGCCCACTGGAACGCCGCTGTACTATGGCACATAAGCCCAAACAATAGTGGGGGCTAACAGTCTCCCCTCCCGCGTCCACTATAGTTAGTGCCCTTCAATGTTTCCCCCCGGTTCATTCTCATCCAATCCTGCCCCCAAGTCTAAGCTTGTTTTCCTCCTAGCCTTTTCTTTCATTGGGCTGTTTTCTATGTTTCTAGGTCAGTTTCTGTTACTTTTCTTGTCCAAACATTTCGACAGAAAGAGACCCCACTCGCACGCCGTCACATCTGAGGTTCCTTAGGCTCAAATCTGTCAGTGTATCAGTGGCATCAACTGTATAACGAATCATTGGCGGCCGAGCACAGCTGCAAGGTTATAAAGTCTGCAGGCCAAGCCGCCAACCAACCGACCAACTACGAATGCAGTATTCAGCTGTACAAACAAGCCCCATCCCTACCAGCGAATAAGCACGTTTATACAAATACAAGGTGATATAAGAACTTATGCGTAAGAAACGAGAGACCTCGTGACAAATGCTCAAGAAGAGGAAGACCACATGACATAGCCAGGAAAACCTTGTCGATGCCTGAGCAATCGCCCTTGCCACCAACTTATACGCCTTCCCGTCTTGAGCTTCAAAAAAAAAAAGAGAAAAGAAAAGGAAAAGAGAAAAAGGAGGCCAGGCATACTTTGCACCTCGCCAAGGCAAGTTGAAAATATAACATGCACGAAACATTCAGATGAAGTACTCTTATCTCTTTCAGGGTCTACGTCTTTGTATTGATTTGGCTGTCCAAGGGGGAGGGCGGAACATATTTTTGGTGTTTTGTCTTGTTTTGGCGGTCCCCGTTCGTAGACTTATCACAGAAAGCGGCGAAATTTCCCAACACCTGCGCGTCGTCTGATACGAATGAGGCCCAAGCTGGATGATGCACCATGTGCCTCTCTCTCTCTCTCTCGTGATGCACTTCATTCACCAGCTTGCCGTTTCCGCGCTCTCCGTCCTTGCCTTGCCCTCGTCTTCGCCCCCGTCTGGAAATTCACTGCTTTTCTGGTTCAAAGAGATGGGGAGAAGGAAAGAAATGAAATAAAAGGAAATTCGTTACATGTCATGGTCATCCATAAAAAGAACACAAAACAATCCGAGGAAAAGAAATGACAGATGAACGGAGGCATCCCCCGAGCTGCGCCTTTTTACAGAGCTAAGCCCATTCGCAATCCCTCCCTCTCCATAAAGGAAGAAAAATAAAAAGAAAAAGCTCGCCCCGCCCCCCCAAAAGAACCCCGCCCCCCAAAAAGACATGCGACCATATTTCTCGTCTTTTCCCCGTGTTGCCCAATGTCCATGGTACCCAATGCCCATGGTGTCCCCGCATATAGACAAGAGGTAGTGAGAATGTCCCCTTCGTATGGCGGTGGTTGTGCCAGAGGATTGCTAGATTCGACATTCGCGTTTGGGTGTGTGTGTGTGTGTCTGACGCCGAGACCGCGTGTGTATAATTTTTTTCTTCTTCTTTTCCTCGTGGGTGGAAGCACGACAAAAAAATACGCCGTCATGGTCGCAGTAATGTTCTTGGTTGATCTCCCGGACCTGGTTGCATGATATGTCACAAGTCTTCCAGGACGCGCAGCCCATCAAAGTTGAGAGGTGTGCCGGCCAGGGCTTCTGGTGTGGATGCGTCAAGTCGTCAACCGTTTGCGTCTCATCGTGGGGCTATGGAGCGCTGTCGAAAAGTCAAAAGTTTTCTCTGTAGTCATAAAGTCGTCATCGTATGGCGGGGGCAAAGGCGATGATGAGTCGTAATTGGGTGTTGTCGCAAGAATACAAATATTTTCGCATTAAACCAAAGGGGGTGTGTATCCTCTCTCTCTCTCTCTCTCTCATGAGGGTTGCAGCACGGCCGCTCAGGCTTGGTCGTGTCGATGCCTGTCAGGTTCGTTGTTCAGCATTGGCATCGCCAATCATTTCCGACCCAGGAAAAGTGTGCAGCAGACGCCTCTCTCTAACACCATTTTGGGAGGCCAGCTAGACTGGTGGTCAACAACCCACCACTAGGCGCACACAGGAGTCGGCCTCAGGTGCATTTCATCGTCGCCGTGTGGGCGCAGTTGTCGCAGACGGAGGCTGGTAGACCTGTGCCGGGTTCGGGTCGAGAGCAAGCGTTTTTCGACGCTTGATGTCCATGCCGGGGCCGCCGCTGAGAGGTCGCTCATCCTCGTCATCCCGACCACGCTTCAGTCCGGCACTCAGTGGCGCAGGCGCGTAACCATTGTGCATGGTGTTATTCATGTCGGGCTGCGATGCGTAAACATCACCACCGTTGGTACCATTCGTCGAGGCGCGGTCGTTGCTCACCACGTTGTACATGCCCGACTGCGCTGCGCCACGGGGCGGCGTGTTGTAGCCAGATTGAGGATAGTATGCCTGAGGCGGCGCCGCGCTGCGTGGTGTCGACCGGCCCGAGGCACCCTGGTGGCCTGCCGCACCGGCCATCTCGGGCGAGAGGTGAGGGTGCTCCGACTGCTGCAGCGACGGGAGCTGGGGAGCGCTGTAGTTGTACTGATTGTTGCTATTGTCGTAAGTAGTCCGGTCGTGCGTGTACTCAGTCTCATGCTCATGCTCGCCCTCGTCCTCGGCAGCACCCCCGCCTTGGGCAACGTGCTCATTCCCCTGGCCGTGGTAGGCGCTGGGCGCCTTTTGCTCCTGCTCACCAGGGGCCCCAGAGATGGACGGCCGACTTGAAGGTGGGCCCATCTCGGTCTTGACATAGGCACCCTGTTGTGAGTACATGGAACGGTCCTGCGGGCTGGTGTTGGCAGTCTGGTAGGGCGACTGCAGCGGAGGTGGGTTGTACTGCTGCTGCTGCTGCTGCGGTGGCGGCGGTTGCTGTTGCTGCTGTCGAGAGGCGTCATAAGGTTGGGACGCTGGGGGGTAAGCAGACATGCTCTGGATGCTGCTTCCAGGGGGTGTGGTGGCTGGAGTGGCAGGCATTGAGCGTGTGTTGCTGATACTGGTGTCAATGGACATGGGATTAGTACCTTGAGCCCCATTCATGCCTTGCTGCTGTGGCCATTGGTAGTTATCAGCCCCCATGTTGCCCATCACGCTCGAGGCACTGGTGGGAGGCGTAGGAAACGTATGCGCGCGGTCGAGCGAGGGCCGGTGGGAAGGTAGTGGCGGTTGCGGGCCTGGCAGGCCCATGGAGTGATGGTGGTGGTGCTGCTGGAGGGAGGGCAGGGGAGGCTGGCCGTTTCGCATCTGCGTCTGCTCCGCCTTACGACGCTCCGCAGCCTGCATGACCTGCGAGGTTCGGGTCTGGTTGGTCGGGTGGTAGAGAAGGGCGCCGATGTTGTGCACGAACAAGGGGTAGAGCAGCTCAGTGATCTTCTCCTTGTTGGCAAAGTCCAGGGCCCTTTCAAAAGGAATCCTGTTGGACGAGTTAGGGTCAACGGGTTCTCTTCCTGCGTGTCTCTTGCGCCCCTCCCACCTCTCAACTCTGCTTTGGGACTTACCAGACGCCCTTCAGGTGCATCGGGCCAATCTTGACCACGTGTCGAACCTTCTCGCTCTTCAAGATACCGTCACGCCTTCCTCGGGTCATACCCGCGACATTGAGCAATTTAGTACCGTTGATCATGTGGTTGTCTGGCAGCCTGCGTTAGCACTCTTGTCCAGAGTCTTTTCTTGCTATTGAGTTGTCAATGGATTCAATGGGGAGTAACTGACCTTCTCTCCGCGCTACGCAGATTCCTCTAGCCTCCACTTGGAAGCAGAGACTGCCTTCATCCTCCCACAGGGTCGCTGTCACCCGGGGCTTCATGCCAGGAGGGGCGACCTGACCGGTGGTGTCAAACCCGTTGTACTGGCTTGGCATGCCTGGCTGTCCAGGGAGAGGGAGGACGTTGGGCGGCATGCCAGCGGGGACGGGAGCCGCTGGCGGCGAGGTGAGGCCATTTGCATAGCCGTACTGAGAGTAGGGGTGGGGAGAAGCCGAGTATTGCGCCGGACCGGGTGGAAGCAGAGGTGGTTGTGGTGGAGGGTAATGCGCCATGGACGAGGTGACGGGAGGTGCTGTCGAGCCCGACATGTGCGCCTGGGGTGAATAATACATGCTGCTTGGATCTTGCGGTGCTGGATTCATCGCTGGACCTGTCTCGTAGGATCCCGCGGTGGTGACGGGGCCGCCGACGGCGTGGTACTCGGCAGACGAGGGGGTGGGGGGCGTCTTTGCGCCGAGCGAAGGGGCAGCCGAGGTGTACGATGAATGCGATCCCGTGTGAGAGCCGACCGAGGAGCCCGGGGGCGAGCCAGTCCCCGACGAGTAGGCGTGCTGGGCGTGAACAGGAGGCAGTGAAGGTAGCCTCTCGGTCACGAACGAGCGCGGCGCGCTGTAGTATGAGACGTCAGAATGACTCCGGGTCGGTACTTGAGAAATCGACGGTAGATCCAGCTTTTCGGCGTTTCTGGCGTTCAGCATGAAATCCGATTGCGCTGACCAGTAAGAGGCCAGGAACACGAGTTAAAAGAGCTCAGTGGAGGAATCCAAAGTGTGTACACCAGGAAGAGATCACAACGCCGTCAAAAACAGACGCGATTGGCCTTGGGGGAACGTTCAGGTCGTGAGAAGGCGTTTGTGTGGTTGGATGTGTAAAAGGTGGGGGGAATATGCAGATGCAGGTCGCAAAGATTCCGGGTCCAAATACACGTCGTAGCTTCAAAACGATGCTGGCTACTCAAAAACTGATCATTGACACTTTTATCTCATAGAACGAGGGCTTAACGAGGCGAATTGGCTTGGGTGGAAAGTTGGAGAGGGAGAAGGTTGAGACGTTGTCCTTGCTGGCGCTATGGAATATGGCGCGGGATGTCGTGGGTGAGGTGAGCTCGCTCGTAAGGTCCGAATTTCCCTGTTGAGAGTAGGTTGGTCGTCCTCCAAAAGTTATCGCAACCACACTTGAAGGATCCCAAGAAAAGAGGGCCTTTCAAAGGTGGGCTGTATTTCCTAGATCAAGTCTGGAGAGAACAAAAACCAAAAAGTTAGCAGACCAGAAATATCAGAAAAGCCAGGGCGCGCGAAAACGTTGGGTGACGAGGGGTTGGGGTCGGCGCAGCTCGAAGCAAGAAAGCGGTTCGCAGCCGTTTGTCTGTGCATCTAAGGCTTGGCTTGCTAACGAGTGGCGGTGGAAATGGTGTTGGTGCTGGTGCTGATGCCGGTAGTGGCCCTCTCAGCTGGAAGAATGGGCTGGGCTCGGGCTGGTGGGGGCGAGCGCCGTCTTTTGTTCTCTCTCACCTTTTCCCGCGGGACTGGACTGGTCTTGTCTCTCCTTCGCACAAGGGGGCCTGCAAGAGTGTTGTTTGTTGGTGGCGGTGGTGGTGGTAGCCGCCGCCGACTCGACTTAGAGGTGAACCACGATGATAGCTACGGAAGGAGGAATGGTTGGGTTGCAGGGTGGAAGAGAAGAGGAGGGGGAAGAGGGGGAAGAGCGAAGGGGGTTAGCAAGAGAAAGAGAGAAAAGATGATGATGATGGAGAAGGAGGAGAAGGAAGCAAGGAAGAAGAGGACGAGGATAGGAGAGGGGGGAAGAGAAAAGGGAAAACGACAATTGTAAAAAAAAAATAAAAAATAAAAAAGAGGCGGCGCGATCAGTGGTGAAGAGGGAAAAGTCCGGTCCAGGTCAGGTCCAGGTTCAGGTTGACTGATGAAGAGGATGGATGGGATGGGTGGGCACGTCCAGGTTGATTAGAGCTAAAGTAAACCCAGTCAAGTCGCCCAAGGTCAGGTCAGTTCAGGTCAGTTCACTTCACTTGCGTTCAGTTACCCAGGGCAGGTCAATTCGGTCCCATCCACAGTCAGTGACATATGGTACAGCACAAGAGAGGAGTACCAGAGTACCAACACACCCCAGCACGCACCCCAAAAGAATTCAAATCCGACCTGGGACTGTGGACTGGACCATACACGCGCGCGCGCACACACACACACACGGACAGAGCCAGGGTATGGGGTATGGGTATGGGCCAGGGCAAGAGAGGGTACGGGTGTGAAAGTGGGTACCGAGTCGCTACTAAGGTACACAGTACTTCTGTTTTGTGCATAATAATGCTAGTGATGGGGAGTACATAGTACTATATATGTGCGGGTAAAGAGAGGGAAAGAGCGACAGAGGCATGCACACGGTACGGATCTCCACGTACTGTGTGTAAGGTTTGAGGGAAGGCGAGGAGAACAAGGAGTGAGGGTGAACTACGACGTCCTAACTACTACCACTGTCATACAGCATACATAGTAGTACTGCTATGTATTTTGTTGAGATGGAGAGAGAGAGGAGAGAGAGATCAAACAGGCCAATACCAAGGCCGGTGCGGGTTCTCAAGGCCCAGCAACGACAGATGCTTTGCTTGGTTGCAATAGGTAGAGATAGTTGCCTACTTCTGCCTAACGACATTGCCTATCATAGTGCATAGTTACTCTGCTACAGGTTATGTCAGTCGGGAGAGGGGGTTTGTTGACGAAATGATGATTTATTTGCTTGAAAAAGAGCAAGTCTCAAGAGGTCCCACCCCCGGCGAGACGTGAGTACCAAAGTAACAAGGATCGCTCGAATCCTTCGCCCACATGTGTTGTTTCTTTCCGTCTATCTCTCTCCTCTCCCAACCCCCCCCCCCCCCTCCTCGTAACCCCCATTCTCAAGAAAAGCTCCTCCATCGTGTCTCCATCTGTTTACCCCCTCTGCCATATTCCGACTTTACGAATCTCCTCATCGGCTACCAGGCCAGGAAGGAGTGAGAAGTGTGAGACCACCACAGGTGGAGAGGAGGGATGGCATCTGCTCACAATGATGTGTCGTCCATTCTGCTGCTACTTATCGCACTCTACATACATAGTGTACATAGCAAGTAGCACCACCATGGTACCAAGGGTGGGGTGCGTACAGATAGACAAGTGCTGAAAACCGTACACGCTCACCAATGCAAAGAAGAAGAAGAGAGAGGAGAGAAGGGGGGCAAGGGCAGGGATCAGACTGGGCCCCACTTGGCAGCATCCCAGTAAGGGTGGAGGAAGGGGAGGAAGGATACAATTGGTAAGAGGTCGGGGGAAGAGGAAAAAGAGGACGACGATGGGGGTGGGTTGATGTGGCACGGGCTGGAGGCTGGAAGCTGGCTGGGGCTTGAGAGGAAGGGAGTCAGGATTCTGATTATAGTATAGTATGGCCTGTGAGGTGGCCATTGTGAGTGTGTGTGTGTGTGCGTTGTCTGCCTCAAGAGGACCCAGACGACAACAACAAAAGGGAAAAGAGGGAGGAGGGGAAAGACCCGCTCGTATGTTCGGCTTTTCAAGCAGGGTCGAACAACTCACACTCCACTGAGCTGGGGCGCACTGACACACTGGGGGCGGCTGGTGGGTCTGGTCAAACTGGCGCTGGACAAGAAAGCCCACTGGCGTCCACTTGAGGACTGGGGGCGAGAACAAGGATTACTGGAGCTAGGGTCAGGTGGAGCCAGCGACAACGTTGGCTCAGGTTCAGGGCCCCCCCTTCCCCTGGCCCAGCCCCAGCCTACCTGATAAACCACTGCGGCACCCCGCGGGGGGGCGTCCCAGATAGCAGTAAAGGTCTCACTCTGCCAGTAGTGGCAACATTACAAGTAGTACTGTACTGCACATAGTAATGCTGTAGTGCTTGGTGTTGCCTACCAGTCTTGGTGTACCTAGTTTCATGTATTATGCGACTACTTTTGACACGCAGAACACTGCGTCAAACCGTGATGTTATTATGCTAATCCGTACATACGTTGCATAGTATAATACTACTTTGTTTGTCACAAGCGGGAGAGAGAAGAGGATCCGCGGCAGTAGACAACCACGTACATACGAAAGGTAGTAGCGCTCACTTTTTCAGTTACGGCGCCCCGGTGGATCCTTGGTCGGGGATCGTTTGCCCGTTCGCGCAGGCAGAGTACTACTGTATACTGTATGCAGTAGGTTCGGGTACAAAGAGGGGGGGGGGGGGGAAGAAGGAAAAAAGTGGGAGAGGGCTGGGGATGTACCCGTCCTCGCATTTCACTTGCCGGCGGTACATCGAACCCCAGCACCACATCCCAATTTGTAAACCGCGTTGGTAGTTCGTGGCCGGGACGATATACTATTATATGTGTATACTATGCAAGCAAGTCAGTTCAATTATTCACACCCTGGCCACCCACATGATGTAGCCCTTGTTTGACGACTTCGAGGGGGTCTCCTACGTATTTTCTCGGTTGTTCGTGTCAACTTTTAGGTAGGAACAGAAAAGAAGCTGGGGAACACGTTGGCAGGCAGAGAGAGTGAGAGAGAGGCCTCAGGCCATGATCAGAAGGAGGAGGGGGGTGAATTTACAAGGTTACACCCAAAAACCTGGTGAGGGGTGAGAGACTTTTTGTACCAGAGTGGATCGACATGGGTGTCCTCCGGGGGGGGGGGCAAGTTCATACTCAGTACCAATGCGGACTGTACAAATAGCATATTAGTAGTACTCTGTTTAGTGATGGAAGTAGATGGTGGGAGGGATCGGGAGGGGCCCACCCCAGCAACAACAGCTTCAGGATGCTAGCCCCGGGCTCGGCCACATCACATCCATGGACCCGGTAAGGTGCGAAAATGCATGATCCGTCACTGTATCCATCAAGCCAGCCGTTGTGGACTCGACCGCGGCTCGATTGTGCATGTCACCGTTGCTGTCGTGGTGGCTCGTTCTTCTTGCATCATCTGTTTCTTGCCGTTTGTCTTGTCTGTCCGGAGCTCGAGATCATGAGTTCATCCGTCCTCCACGAAGAGGGAATATGAAGGGGGCTGGGCCGGCTCGATCCATGGCAAGCAATGTTGAGTTTTCCATGGGGGTATTGGTTGCTCTGTCTCCATCTCACACCGCCACCGTTCAGGACATGCCATAGTACGTATTGCTGGACAGTACTGTATATAGAATAGTACACCGGAATCCTGCTAGCGCTTGGCCGTCCTCTTGCAGGTGGAGGTCTGCTATTGCTGGCTCTGCAAATGTGCGCGGTCAAGGCGTGTGGTTATGTGCATACTATGCGCAGTACTGTGGAAGTCAGAGAACTGCTGTAGAAAGAGTCAAGTTATCCGAACCTCAAATCAGAATGAGGCCTCATCTAGACACTAGGCACGGCGACAATAACGACGTGAAGGTTGTCGCCTCATGGTCGGGCAAATCACCCCTCCCTGTTCCGATTGCTATCCTCCCTTCCCGGCTTCAGTGGTCGTGTACAGAGGCTTGCAGAGATAGATCCTCCAGCCGAGAAGGCATCGGGACCTTGTTGAAGGATGCAAACTGGCGATCCCTTCTGGATTCTCTTGCTGACGAGGTCTCAGTTTTTGCCCCAGTCTCGTCCAGGCCAAGGTCGTTGTCTTGACGAAAAGAAAGAAGTCAGTCCAGGTGCCCGGCAAACTGCGGCTCTCCCCGCCCCGCCATCTTTCTTGCATGCAGAAACGACCATCGATCTGGCATTCGGCAGGAGGCCCCGTTCAGCAATGAGACTCTTATGCTTCGTGATAGGCTTTTATTACCTCCAACTCCCCTGAAAGACCATTCCGGCTCCCACGTCGCAACCGTCGTCATTTGTCAAGCCACATTTCTCGCAGCCATGCTGCAAGGCAGATCAATGTCAAGGTATCTTCAGTCTCGGCCTCCGTGGTGCGCAAACACAGTATGACGCACGGGGCATAACTGTGCCGCGACTAGTAGGAGACACTAGATCCTGACCCTGGCTGTACTTTTATCTGCCAATCACAAAAATCAGAGCGGTGCAGGGGTACTGAAGGGCCGAACGAAGATACGCCCATTTGGTCACCCTTGCTGAATTGTCGTCGCTGGCCGCCTGGTGCTGGCCGCCTGAACTGGCCGTCACACAATCGTATCCTCGTTTGTAAAATTCCAGCCGTGCCAGCCCGAGCGCAGTGGCCGTTGAGACACACGGGTGACCCTTTCGAGGACCAAGGACGAGTCATTTATTCCGCGGGATCGGGAAGCCCACTTCCGCCCCGTCGGGCTTGACTTCGCCGTGACTTCCAGGCTGGACGCACAAGCAACAACAGTACGCAGGTTGAGGGTGATTTGATCTTGAGTCGTGGTTGTTGGAACGACTTGTGGAAATGGTGTGGGAGACTCGGTCGAACAAAGACAAGGCTCTGGTAAGTACTTGTGTAGCGGTTGGCAAATAGGGTTCCTAGTAGGCTGCGACGGAGGTCAGCACGGGCCAGGTGAGACTGCTGCCTCCACCGTTACCCTGGTTCCCCCATCCCTACACAGTTGCAGTTGATCCCCCCGGGGCGCGCTCGCCTCTGATGCACCCTGGACAATCAGAAGCAGGGGGCCTGGACCTCGCTGAGCACGTAGTCCGTATGCAGCACCCGGTACTCTCTCCATAGTCCGCTTGATCCCTGTTATCCGCGCGCTAGCTCTCCCACAGCTGCATGTGTTGTTCCTCCAGAGGGCTTGTCCAAAGCCACCCAGCAGCTTCCACCTCAGCCTTGTTGATTCTCAAATGACACTGGTTCCGAAGTAGTCCATGGTGGGCGTGACACGATTATCTGCAAAGAAGCACGAGTCGGCGACTCAAGACCTGTCTGGACACGGCACTAAAGAAAGTCTGCAAGCGACGACAAGCGGGAGTATCTTTGGTCATGGTGCGGCATGGTCCCTGTGAGTTGGCCACATGAGAGTCACCCTTGTCAGTCTCCAGTGTCAGAGATGCGGTGGGATTTGACCACCCTTCTTCTTCTTTGGGTCTCAATTCTGTACTATAGTACCAACAATACGTACTCCCATCCGATCGATAACGGGGGCCCTTGCTGCTGTGTCAGAGAGAGGGCCCTCATGAAAATATGAGTTTCGAGGAGTTCATGAGGGGAAAGGATCCTGCCATCGCTCGTCATGACAGCGTGAGAGGGACGGGAACTAGGAGAGCTCAACGTCAACCAGGCGAGAGCTCCCCTCTATCCTGCATAGAAGCGAGACGCGAGATGACCCGCCTGCCCGCCTGAGTACTATGGTACATGCAACGAGGAAGTGCTGGGCTTGTCTGCGGGTGAACAACCCGCAAAAGCCGGCTCGGGTCCGTTTCTCGGCGATGGTCGAGAGTCCACACCTGAGATGCGTTGAGGCGCGCTACCCACCAGAACAAACAATGCTGCTGTGGATGTGCGCGGTGGGGAACGCAGTGCTGCTGCAAGGGGCTCTGGCCGCCTCTTGTTCTTCAGCAGAAACAGGACGCAAATGACGAACGAGCCCGCGTGTTGCCGGCATGCACTGGTGGTGGCGCCTCTGGTCACTGATGTGTGGCCCTGCAAGCTTCAACAAGCGCAGACGCGGATCCGACAATCACTGCTGATCAAGTCTCGGCCCAGGTCTGGCCCTAGGACGATCGTGGCGAGGGGTGCAGGTGTGGGAGTGTGGGAGTGTGGGGAGATGCAGGCGTCGCATGCAGCCAATGCAGCCAGGTTCCAGGGCAAAGCTGCCCGTACCCCATCAGCAGAAGAATGTCAAAAAATCAGGCTGACCAGGGGCCCTTGAACGTGGAAGAGCCAGGTCAGAAGTCGAGGAAGAAGCTCTTTTTCGGCGGCTTTGCAAAGAGCAGCAGCGAAAATGAGGAAGACGTTGGCGCTCGTTGTGTTGCACTGCAGCACAATGCAGTTATCTAGATCGGCGGTACTTCGACTTTACATGTCCATACTGGATACGCTTCTTGCAGTTTTCGATAATTGGGGTGCGGGTAGGCAACCCTTTGTTGGAACCTGTCATTTTTGTATCGTGGAAGAGAGAAAGAAGAAAAAAAAGAAGGAATAAAGCGAAGAACCCGCCCATCTCCCCCTCCAAAAACCAAAAAAAAAAAAAACCCTCCCCGAAAGGAAAGAGGAAACTGCATTAGGTCCCTCGTGGTTGCTGCTTTAGCTTAGTCATTCTGTCCTTACGTGCACAACCCTTCACACTTTCCTCCGCCTGCCAGAGGTTGGATCGTGTCGAATCCTGCTTCAACTTTCCAACGAACCCATCTCGCCATCTTGCCTATCCGCACCTCCCTCCCTGCTGCAATGCAATGTCGATGCAGAAGCAGATCCTGATGCGCGTTTTCGTGCGATGCCAACCCTGGCCCTGAACCAACCGAGCCAGTCAGCAACGCGGGCTTGGACGCCTCCTGGTTTCATTTGCAGAGCCTCCAACGTGGCGATGCGATACGAGAATTTGGGGGTCACAGTGGCATATGCACAGAATCCTCCGGGCCACCTTTGCCATACACTGTCCCGGCAAATTGGAATGCTATGCTGCTGCTGTCGACAAATGGGCAAGGACGTCAATCTACACATGCAACGCCAGCCAGTTGCCCCCCCCCCGCCCCAGCCTGGCGCGGGAAGCTCTGAGCTGGCTACTGTACGCCGACAGAACCTTAACTTGAGGTCTCGATCATTTGGCTTGCCACGAACCCGACATACCCTTCCCGCTTGCAGAATCTCCTCCTTTGCGGCACAATGTGACGAGGCAACTTTCGTCCATGGTATATGCGCCCTTTGGCGTAGGGTGTTGTCCTGCTCTCAGGTACGGCGCTATGCTATGCAGCTGGATTTATCTCAATGTTGCCGCCGTCCTCCACAAGAGATGTTCTGCTATGTTCAGTCTTGGTAGCAGCGGCAGCTCGGGGCTCAGGCCAGTGCTTCTTGTACATCGCAGATGCGCATGGAATACCAACGCGAGATCTCGGGACGTCCTGCAACTTAGTACATCTGTACCCACATCGACTTTGCAGGGGCGACCCCTTTTCCTGGTCCGGGTCCTTTCTGCAGTGCATTGGCTTCTGCAGCCTGGGGGAAGAGCCGCAGTGCAGTGCAGCAAAGATGGCCCGAGCCAAGCCTGCCAGCATAGCCCGGCCGACAAACATGCACGTCTTGCGTCTCAAGAAAGCAAGTCATGCAGCATTTCAAGATCGATGGACCATAGTACCCGCAGCACCGGCATCTGATGGAAACACAAAGTTGCCCACAGCTTTCACAGGCTTGCCTTCATGGTGAAAGAGGCAGCCCTAGGAAGAGGGTGCGAGTTTCTTGTGTAGCTCTACCAGTCACGATCAGTGCCGTTGACAGCTCAGCAGTGGGGTGTACCTATTAGGGCCGGGTTGCTGCCACACCTTGCAAGGATAGTAGCTGGAGTCTCACATCCCACCACGACCAAAACAGTGTCCTCACCAGGAGGACTGGCTTCACAGAAGCAAAGCCCAACGCAGCAGAATGCGACCGCCACTCATTTGTCTTCGTGATCACGATAAGGGATTTCAATACGCCGACTTGTTGGTCCACCTGATGAAAGACCCCACCCGCACAGACATTTTCCCAGAGAGGACAGGGTGACGTTGTTCTCCAGGGGCCTCCGTCCCAAACAGACAACGCTTGACAGCGTGGCAGCCTGTGAGGTCGGGCCGGCGAAGCGGTCCATGCGGACAGCCAGCCCACAGATCTCAATACCAAAGTCACCTCCTGAACAGCTGATAGGTACAGAAGAGCCAGTCCGTGGTCGAGGAAGCTTCAAGCTGTGGCCATCATAATTTCAATTCATACCGACAGTCCTGCACAATGAGGAACTCCGGCGTATGGGGCCTTCTCGACAATAATGCACCGTCAAAGACCCACCTGGTCTGGGTGGGCCCGCATACTGCATACTGTACCACACTACTATGAAGTATGTAGTATATGATGTTGCAGTGACCAGCAACGTATGAGCCAAGCTCGTGCGTGCTTTTTTGTCGCTCATTGTGGCGACGCACCTACCCCAACCAGAACAAGATACTTTCGCACCCTGATCAGCCGTACCGCCTCGGTACCATAATACCATGAGTAGGGTTGTTGTGTGGTGTGGGCCCTGCGCTGGTAGTCTCGGTCATCGCTAGCGGAGACGGATCTGGACGTTAGGATTTTGCAAGAGCGCAACCCAAGGCTACAAACCCCGAGAGCAGATCTACCGGCGATTTTTGTTCTTTTCCAACTCGGAAATTGTTGTCCATCGCCTTCTAAATTCAAATTGTGACACCGCGATACCCGCATCACAGAGAAAATCCCAGGCTGCCTGGGACCAGAGAACGAACGTGGTACCCATGGCAGAGATATGTGGTGGTCCTTTCACATGTGCTACTACTATTGTACACAATTTGTGTACACAGCAGCTTTCCTCGGAATATGGGATGTACGCGCCGTTGCCGGGTGGCAATGAACGGGTCTCGAGGGGGAAATCCAGTGCTTTTCCCACATCACCGGTCAGACCATAAGTGCTCGCCGTGTCTTGGGCCTGAACGACGTTGAGCGTGGCGCTGTAGCTCAAGACTAGCTGCACACCGGCATTTGCGCTCTTGCATGGAGGAAAAGGGAGGGGGGGGGGGGAAAGCAACCTGCGACGCACCTATCCGGGCACCCCTCCCAAGGTGCGTGGCTCTGCAGAGTGCTGCTCGTGGGCTTGAGCCTCATGCTTCCGTCTCATGCATGTCATCTCTTGCAGACCGCTGCAGTCACCACGAGGTCCAAGACATCCAGAGTCATGCCTATTTTGGGCTCCAGTTCTCAACCCCAAGCATGTTGCAGATCTTGTGGTATCTGCCGCTGAAGAGGAAGTCCACACATGGCGGCCTGTGGAGCTGTTCAATACCGTATGCCATGTGTACACAGCCAGGTTGACGCCTGTGGTGTATGGCACAGCATAATGGGATGACTCGCTAGGCCATAAACATGGTACATGCGGTGGCCAACTTGCTAAACCTAGTCCGCACCACGGCAAAGGTTCTACAAACTGTCGGATTTGCAGAGCGCTGCTCCAAGTGCACAAATCCCACACGGGGGCGATGCTAGCGAGAAGTGATGCGAAAAGCTAATATGGGCTGCTCTCAAAATCATCAAAGGGTGAACAGAATTATTGGATCGTATCCATCATCATCATCATCATGATTCAGGAATTAATTCTACTTTCCCCTCCAATACAACCGAGCCACGAAGCCCTGACTTCCCCGAAGCGGCCCAGCTAATCTTGTCGGTATCACACTATCACACCGACTGTCAGCCTTCGGCAAGATCCTCCTCGGAAGCCAGCAAGAGGCCCCGGCACCATGCAGGCCTGACCATGCCACGCATGCTACGCAGTGCGCTTCTTCCGCATTCACAGGGTGCAAGGGATCTCGGCCCCAGAGTGATGCAAGGCAGAGATGGCCTTCCCCCCCGGTCACCGGAACTGGACTCCCATTTCGGTTCAGCTTCAGGATACGAGGAAGAGGGAAGGGGTGGTTATCACCTCTTGGTTGAAAATTGTCAATCACACCAGACACGATGACAAGTGTGCGCTTGTGCGTGCGTGCGTGCGAGCTATGAGGCCCAAATACGCAGGTACAGAATTTCCACCACGAGTCTGTGTGTTCCGGCTTAACTGCACGATGGCGCCGGACGTCCAACGGTCCCTGCAGGCTCGACATTTCTAAAGCTTATCGTCGGATGGGTAACAGGGATCGAGCTGCACGACGGGATGTCTTCCTTCAGCACTTGCTATGCAATGCACAGCGGCTATGTACGTCTAGAACCTAGCCAATCACCAGGACCCGCTGGGATCCTGGCTCGATGCCTTGTTCGGACGTTTCAGCTGCTTCTACATAGTACTGTACCTATGGTAGTACTATGATGGTGGTACCTCGACTGCTTCTTTCTCCTTTCCTTTAACTGCAGACCCCTCTTCGGTTAGTCCATCTTCTTCCCCATTCAAGATGCCTCTCCTCCCCGCCAATACAAGGAATTTCGCGATGTTGAACTCATCAAAGTTGTAAGCACTCATATTCAGTTGACCGACACCCAACTAGAAACTTTTTACGGCAAATGACAAGTAACATTATGATGGCAGCCTTTGCAACAATGTCTTATTGTTGTGAATTGCAGGCCTACCTGGCAGTCCAGGTTTGGGTTTGTCGTCCGCTGTAACTCCATAGTGGCCGCTCTACGTGCTCAGGATTGCGTCATGGAGCCTCGTGGACTGCTAAAGCGCTGCTCAACATCAGAGACACCATCATCCATCATTTAGCATGGCCATTGTGCCAGGATACTACATAGTACCAGGGACCCACCAACTGAGAACATTGCCCGTACGAAGTTCCAGCCAACCTTCCATGATGCTATGCAGAAGCGCAATGAGCGGACCAGGGTTGGCAGGCCAGACTTTTCTAGCCGACTTTTCTTTGGGGAAGAGGGGGAAGCACAACTCATCCGCCGTTCGATTGTGTGGTTATCCATACCGTCTGGATGAGATGTACTGGCAGATGTCTCTGTTCTATTGATAGCTACGGAGTATTCGGGGCTGGCCTCTTCACCGTACCGGCCTCTCCAGCTGTTGTCGTCAAGTCGTGGGTACGAGGTCACGGATAACGACAATCCAATCACCGCCAACCACGTCTTCCAGCCCACACACTCAGCTGCTCCCCTCCATCCTAGCGCAATGGCGCCCTATTGTGCAGCCTTTTTCCCTTTTTGCTTCCTTTTTTTTCTTTTTTCAAAAGAGTTGGTGGACCAGGATGGTGAGATAGAAATGCAGAATCCGGGGTGGGAAGGTTGCCACCTCTCGATGTCGTCTGCAGGGCGGCTGGCTGGCTGACACGGGATGTTCACGTCATTTCTACTCTGTCTCGAAGCCTTCACCGTTTAATTCTTTGTTTTGACTTCCGGCCCAGCTCAGATGACCGGGGCTTGACACCTGACACCAATGGCCCCCCTTACCCCCCCCCCAATCCCTCCCCCAGCAATGCGTCTGCCACGATCTGACCCGCAGCAGACGGAGGCCCATGCATATCATCCATCAAAAGTCTCAGAGGGGGAGGTCGCTGGGCGGTGATTAGCTGGAGACACAGCTGCAAGACGGACCGTTCTCCGCCCTACATAAACCTAGGTTGCTGACGACTAGCTTTCGGCCGTTTGGCCTGGAAGCGCGGGCAGTCTGAGATGGGCACACCTGGATCCGTGGCTTAGACTGTGTTCCCCTTGAAAGTATACAGTACATGCTGAAAACAATATCGATGTTCTCTTGTAGTGAACCCTCAAGGGACCTCCTAGACGACAAGTTCTCAAGAGAGAAGCGGTACCTAAATTTTCCGGTCGGGCTACATTACCGCAGAACCTAAGCTCGGGGTGGTCGGTCAGAAGGTATTCATACGGTGAGACCTTGGGAGAGATGCTGCCCCCCCCCCCCCCAAAAAAAGAAAAACACTGATCTGCCGTTGGGATTTATCCGTCGCGTACAGGGACAGAAGCGTACCGTGGTTCACGACACGGTAGGTCTCAGCCTGTTGTCCCGCTTACATTTTGAAAGATGGATAGGCGGTAACGGATCTAGGGAAGGTCAACATGAAGCGGTTATATCTCAGATTTGCCTCGCGCCTTTGTATTGCAACGCAAACCAGTGCCGAGCAGGATCGATACAGGACAACGATCGAGGTCTGAAGGAACTCAATTCTTTCGCATACGACGTATCCCAACGATCGTCCAGTCTCTTTTACTGCATGAGGGGCATGACGCACGCGTAGACACGAGAGAGGTGAAGCCCTTTCAAACGTCGAGCCTTGCATCGTCATTCTCGCATCCGTACCGGATACTTTCAAGACATGGGGCCCCACCCACACCCACACACACATATATTTATGTCGCACTGTGGCCGCTCTTGGCGGCATTCTTTTTAGTGAGGTGATATCAGGGAACCAAAGAGGCATAGTCGAGGGTCCTCACCGCTATTCTCAAGCACGGCTGGGGGCGTATCTATCTCCCGCGCGCACTGCTTTTTTTGTGTGCTGATTTTTCTATTATTATTATTATTATTATTTCTTTCTTTACAGATTCCCGGCGGTCCTCGCCTTTGGCCCTGACCAATGAAAATTTGGAAAATTCGACTCCTTGCCTTGCATTTTCTTCTTCTCCCCAGCTTTGGACCCCTGTTTCGATATACCACAGAGAGAGACACAGGGGGGCCCTTCACGTGAGATCCTGATGTCGACTGGCTGGGGAGAGGGACACTCGGAATGGCTAGTCGCACCGTGTGACCTCTTTATCCTCCTCCCCCTCTACGATCCTCTGGTACGTGTTCAATAAAGGGATAAAGGGGCCTTAGGATCTCAACCATTCAACCCCAGAGAAGGGTGGTAGTAGTGCTGGTGATAGGGCATCAGACCGGTCTGTTATTTTTGACAGCAATGATCCTCGCTTACAGCAAAATGGCTCACATGTCGAAGCCGCCGGGAAAGCAGAAGGAGGAGGGGGGCCGAAGAGTCAGAACAGGTCACTCTTCCCGAGCTACTGGGTACTCTGTACTATGTACGGCACGGTAACGGACATGGAGTCTCTGGCGTCCATCTCCAAGTGTCAGCTGGACTGTTGTCCTGTATGCTCTCTATCAGCATCCATCTGTTGTCAACACTGCCTCTGGTGGTGACAGCCCCCCCTTCAGACCAGGATCTTGCCCACTTCAGGAAGGTCAGTCCATGGCAGGATCTCAGGTGGTTTTTCTCTCTCTTTTTTTCCTTTGAGACATTTGACCAAGAGGCGATAAACGGTGGTACCCCCTCTTGTGTGACGTGGTCGGTGGATGTGGGATTTACTGCTTGGTCATCTCCCCCTTCCACCCTCGCAACACCACCCTTGCGCACGGAGATACCAGCCTCCTCCTTGACGGCGAGTCCAGTTCTTGCGGCGCTTATCCTCTGCTTTCCTCGGTCGTGGTGGCCATTGTAACCTCCTTTTTCCCTCCTCTTCTTTTCCATACCTCTCGCATTCTGCACATCCTGATTCGTCGGCCGGGACCCTGTCACTGCCCCGGCTCCTCCTTGCCCTGGTCTGTACTCCGTACCTTGGATGTGCACTCGCATGCTTCATGTGGGCTTCCATCTGCAGGGCCCAGGCCCCTTGCTGCTACCCTTCAACCCTTCAAGCTGCCGCCAAGGGCTGATCTCCAGAGAGCAGGGAAGCGGAATCCAAATGCCTCCCCGCCAAAGAAAAGCGTGGGCAACAGAATAGCTGCAGTGCAGCCATCATAGGCGGCAGTACTATGCACATTCCCTCATCATTTCTATGTGGAAGATACTGTCTACTCTTCTATTCTTTTCTCTCCCCCCCCCCCCCCACAATGGCATGGGTTCTTCCTCTTGGATTGGGGGGTTGTACTATGTACTATACCATGGTAGTACGACTTGGAATGGGAAGCCAACCAGCCTCGGTTTTCTTGTTGCAGGTCTCGTGGGTGAACATGATGCTTTGGAGCCTGATCTTGTCCTGGTCCTGGGCCAGACCTTTTCTCCTCCCCCCTCCCTCTTTCTTTCCCCTGTGGGCCCCCTGCTGACAACCTTATGCATGTTTCTGGTATGCTAATGTACGTCCGATTCAAGACAAGGGATCTCGCGGCGCATCGCGTCGTGTTGGATGACAGAGCATGCGGGTGCTGGACAGACTGCAACTGA